TTTAAGATCCTGGATTTTTTTTTCTCTTTCTCTTTTTTTTTTTTTCCTTCTTTTTTGACACATCTTTAAAATGTTCGCTTTGAAGACAGCAGCAAACAAGGTCGCTCTTCCTGCCACTCGCGTTGCCTCTCGTAGATGCATTTCCTCTTCTACTGCCAGAAGTGGTAACTATTTTTGATATCTTGATCGATTTGACAGTAAATAACCTTAACTTTTTTTCGTAGCTTTCAACTCTACTCGTTTGGCTCTTAACGCTGGCAACAAGTTTGTAAGTAGAATAGTAGGCATAGTAAATTACATATATTGATATATATAATAGACTTCCAACATCCTTAAGGATGCCTATGTTTCTTCTGCTCCTTCTCGTTTGATGTTCTTTAGTAAGAAACCTTCAAAAAAGAGAAAGAATGCTTGATATTCATGCACTTTATTAGGCCGTCGTACTATGGCTACTGAAACTGGTGGCAAGTTCAGCCGTGGTAAGCCCCACGTCAACATTGGTACTATTGGTCACGTTGATCACGGTAAGACTACCTTGACTGCTGCCATTACCAAGACTTTGGCTATCGAAGGTGGTGCTCAATTCATGGATTACAACCAAATTGATAAGGCCCCCGAAGAAAAGGCTCGTGGTATCACCATTTCCACTGCCCACGTCGAGTACGAAACCCCCAACCGTCACTATGCTCACGTTGATTGTCCCGGTCACGCTGATTACATCAAGAACATGATTACTGGTGCTGCTCAAGTAAGACAAACGAAAGAAAGAGAGAGAGAGAGAGAGAGAGAAAAGTTGAATTAACGATTACTGTAGATGGACGGTGCTATCATTGTCGTCTCTGCCACTGATGGTCAAATGCCTCAAACTCGTGAACACTTGTTGTTGGCCCGTCAAGTTGGTGTTCAAAACTTGGTTGTCTTCATCAACAAGGTTGACCAAGTTGACGATCCTGAAATGCTTGAACTTGTCGAAATGGAAATGCGTGATCTCCTTTCCGAATACGGTTTTGACGGTGAAGCTACCCCTATCGTCAAGGGTTCTGCTCTCGCTGCCCTTGAAGGCCGTGATCCCGAAATCGGCGAGAAGCCCATTAAGGAATTGATGGCTGCTGTTGATGCACACATCCCTACTCCTGTCCGTGATCTGGACAAGCCTTTCTTGATGCCTATTGAAGATGTCTTCTCTATCTCTGGTCGTGGTACTGTCGCCACTGGTCGTGTTGAACGTGGTGTTGTCACTAAGGGTCAAGAAGTCGAAATTGTCGGTATGGGTGCTCCCACCAAGACCACTTTGACCGGTATTGAAATGTTCCGTAAGGAATTGGACCGTGGTGAAGCTGGTGATAACATGGGTGCCCTTTTGCGTGGTATCAAGCGTGAGCAAATCCGTCGTGGTCAAGTCTTGTGTGCTCCTGGCTCTGTCAAGTCTCACAAGAAGTTCATGGCTCAAATCTATATCTTGACCAAGGAAGAAGGTGGTCGTCACACTCCTTTTGTTAACAACTACCGTCCTCAAATGTTCGTTCGTACTACTGATGTCACTGTCAGTCTTACACACCCCGAAGGTACTGAAGACCCTGAAGACAAGCTTGTCATGCCTGGTGACAACGTTGAAATGCAATGTGAACTTGTCTATGATGTTGCCCTTGAAGATGGTCAACGTTTCACTATTCGTGAAGGTGGTAAGACTGTCGGTACTGGTGTTGTCACCAAGGTTCTCGAATAAAGTAGAGGATTTCCTATTTACTGTATATAATATTAATCACAGCAAAAAAGAAAAAAGGGTTAGCATATCATTAGAAATAAATAAAAAGTGTTCAAGTGTAAAGAAATGGAATTCATGTGATGAATAAGCGCAAAAGATGTTACACACTTGAAAGAGAATAAACTTTTCTCCAGGTGATCAGTTTACTTTTTCCTTTTTCTTTTTTTTTTTCTCTCTCACTTTTCTCTTTTCTTTACATCATTTTATTTTCTTTTTGCTATCTTTTTCACTGAACAAAAGAAAAAAGCAATGGCAGGTAAAGCATATCTATTTTTTTATGTTTAAGAAAAGGGGGCAAAAAAGAGATTATTATGCAAATATGATTAACAATAAAAACTTCAGATCTAGGTTTTTATGACTTTTCAGACAAACGAGATGAGCAAGAAAGGAACAACAATATGAAAGAAACAATAGCAGTAGCCATTGTAGCACATACCGAGGAAAGCAAAGATCATAATGATATAGCGGTACTTGAACAAGACAGTCAGAACGAAGACCAACTTCCGCCTTACACAGAACAAGACCAGTCTGTAGTTTTACTTCAGGGTACTGAATATCAACAAAGCAAGAGAGAAGGTAGTTGTTAGTGAGACCATCATAAGACAGAAACTATGACTAACTTTCGTCGTATGACACAGTCATTGATAATTTTGATCTCTTCCAAAACAATGAATCAATCATGACAGCAGAAGATGCAACATCATCGATTACAGCAGGCGGAGAGGATAAAGAAGAGGAAGAAGAGGAAGATCTGTTAATGAGTAGTCTATTACTTTCTCCTTTAGAGAAACTCGTCAAGTTTAGCCAGAGTGCCCTCGTCTTACAAAGGTATGAACGCATGCAAGATAAAAAAAAACAAGTTGTGCTGACTGTTTTTGTTTGTTTATCAAGGTTGGTTGTGGCACGAGAAATTTCAGCTTTGCTTTCTGAAGCTAGTGCTCAAGAAGCAGTGAATTTAGTATTGCCCATCATTTTTCGACTAAGCATAGATACAGATGATGCAGTAAAAGAGTCCCTTGCTGGAGAGTTGGATAAGATCATGCATTTTTACTATATGGTAATAAGCGCAAAAAAAATGACAAGGAGGCATAGTAACAATAGAGTATAGAATGCACCACCCTCATTCAACAAAGAAGATGACAACAAGCCACATATGCCACAAAATACCTTTGCGCCCATGATCATTGATTTTCTATTGGATCAAAATACTACCCTTGCTTCCATCACACAACAATCGGTAGTTGCAGTTGCAACAGAATTAGCAGACACACCAAAAGACTCGGATAGATATCGGCTTAATCATGACATTTTGAACTATGAAATCTTTGATGGTATTGTAGTACAATTGATCCACATTTTCAAAGGCAAAGAGACAAAGGAAGACGAAGAAGAGGAGGGAATAACCGGGAAAGATTCTCCTACGATTACGCCAGACACTTTGGTCACTAATAATAGCAGTATTCAATTAAACGGTGTTAAAGACACGACAAACAAGGCTAAGAAAGAAGAGTTGATTACAAACAACGATCTTTCTATCGAGATTTCATCTGGTACAAATGTCTTACTAAAGAATTATGACAATGGAGGAGTAAATCTTGCCAAAATGAGTTGCTTGATGGTATGTTGATTGAATTTTGACAACTCTTTAATTCTTGTGTAGCTTGTGTCAGCATTAGCTCAAGCATTCGGTTCTAATGAATTCACAGAACAAGTGCTGCCTATAATTGAAAGCTTAGTGGCTGATTCTATGCTATATGTTAGAAAAGAAGCTGCTGCTGCTATAGGAAATGTTGCACTTGTTGCACCTCCTTCTGTTGTTGTTAAAAGACTGGTAAGCTATAGATGCATTTGTGTGTATGTTGTTCTAATTTTTCTTTCTAGTTGCCCCTCTATCTGACTTTATCAGTGGATACAATTTGGCATGTAAGAAAATCATGTGTATTTACCTTACCACTTTTGTGTGAAGCGCTACCTTATGAAATCAAAAAGAAAGTTGCAGTAGACAGTGTTGAATTGTTCAAGAACGATGCTTCTAGAAATGTACGCAACTCACTATCGGATATTATGGGTGAACTTATATCCAAGTTTCTGCCTCCTGACTGGAAAGAAACTGGCCGTTCTGGTGATGTGCCTAAACCGCTTTTAGAATTCTTTATATCTCTAGGAAATACCACGGTGTCAAATGCCAATCAAATGTTCAAAGTTGATACAGAGCGTATTCACAGTTGTGCTTACAATTTTCCTGCTGTGGTCTTGACTGCTGGTCGAGACTATTGGGATTCACACTTTAAAGATACCTATTTGGTACTGACAAAAAATTACCAACTCAAGGTGAGACGCACATTCGCTTATTCATTACATGAAATTGCGCGAGTTATTGGGCCCGAAAGAACAGAACGCGATCTTGTACAGATATTTGCTTTGTATTTGATGGACTTGGATGATGTGAAGCAAGGTGTGCTGGAGCATTTGTTTGATTTTCTAAGTGTGTTGGATGTCAGCTCTAGAAACGAATATATTCCTATCTTGGCCGAAGTCTGGGATGGTGTCATGAACAATTGGCATTTGAGAAATATTCTTACAAGCCAGCTTCGAGATATTGCTATGCTTTTTGATGCATCTCGAGTGGTAGAACATATCCTGCCTTTAGCTATCAGAACATGCCATGATGAATATGCCGGAGTAAGAGAAACTGGTGTGGATATTGTAAGTCAGTTTTTTTGATTCAAAGTCATGATATTCAATACGACGGTTTAGTTTCCTACTATTCTAGATATTGTCAAAAGAACTGTGGATGAAGGAGGCGAGAATCTGTCATTTATCGGGGATGAAAATGTGGAAGAAGAAGAAGATCAGTTTATTCAAAAGCAAAAGTATGCGCTAGCACTCTTAAGTCATGTCATGGAGAAACTAGATGAGCTAGTTCGGTTGCCAGGATATCGTACTCGACTTATGTAGGTAGAAGAGAATGAGACTTTCAGCTAATGAATCATCCAGATTTGTCCAGATTTGCAAATCTTTACTAGAGGCGGGTATTAGTCCTACAGACTTTGCATCTTTCTTTTTGCCAAGAATAGCATTACTAGCCAAAGACCCTGTAGTTAATGTACGAATTGCCGTCTCCAAGGCAATGCAAACATTGTGTTCTATAGGTAATTAGATTTGAAAAACAATAGTAACTGAACAGCACTGCCTAGATGGCTACAAGCAAGATTTAGAAGCAATAGCATACCTAGATGAAGTCGCTTTAGAAGAAAACTCAAGTCCTTGTCAAATGCTACAAGATATACTCCATTATTTATCTACAGATGAGGATTCTGATGTTCGCTTTTACATCTCAGAGTTTGTGTCTGAGAAACTTGTTGAAGATCTGCAAATCACATCAACAAGAGAAAATGATTGGGTGCAAACAGAAGCCACAAACAAGAAGCAGGCAGAGTTTGTCTCTTCTCCTCCAGATATACCTGCACATCTGATTTTACCATCCGCTCATTCTCAAGAATATTCTAATAATGACCCAATGATGACTGATGCTGAAAAAACAATAGAATCAGTAGCTCTGTCGCCAAAAGAAGTGTTTGATGCGCTTAGTGAGGATTATATGGATGAAACTGCATCAGTAGAATCACCGATGGAAATTGTGGAGGATAATGACATTAACGATACAAAAGAAGGGCATTCTGTTATGTTACATAGTAAAATGAATGATCAAGAAGTCTCTTCTTTCCCTCAAGATAGTGTATCTATTGAAGATCATGATTATGATGGAGACCTAATTATGATAGGAGAATATGATGCTACTTGTTCTGAGAAAGAAAGCACAGAAGTTAAAGAGAAGGCACAGCATGTTTTCTTGTCCAAAATTACAGCACATGTTGTCATAAGTAGTCCTCAAAGTACGCCAGCAAAAATGGCCGTATTATCATCTAATGAAGCCTAACTATTCATATTATTTGACTATATATTATATATACTTTTACATACCTCATATTTGTTTATTAATTCCTTAATCTGCTAAAAATAAAGTGCCTTATTTTTTATTGTATACATAGTCAAATAATTAAAGATTAAAATTAACACACTTTGATTATCAACAGAAAAAATAAACTTTTGTCTGTGCGTTGTGTAACGAGAAACAAATTCATTGTAAGCTAAAAGTATTGATTGGCTTGGATTTCAGGTTTTTGCTCTGAGATACGATGAGTACATCTTCAACAGAAGATAATCATGTCGATCATTGACGTATTCTTGTATAATTTCTTCAAAAGAAAGTAAATCAAAGAACAGCACTGACAATTTTTTATTTTTTCTAATTAATTATCCTTGAAAACAAAGACAGATGTCTTTTGATATATTTAGCTATATAATAAAATATGTATACAAGATAAATTTAAGCAGTTTGAACCTCCTCTACTAGTTCTAGACGAGGTCCGTTATTTCTTTTACCAGCATTTAAATGATTTCTTGGTAAAGGTGGGGAATCAGATAAAGCAGCGTCTGTATCAGACTGGATACTCTTTAGCAAATCTTCTGCCAAAATAGCTACAGATTCGCTCTTTTGCATTCGTTTCTCACGAAAGGTAGACGACCTTTCGTTATTTCTTGTTCTCTTAATACTAGTATCTAATTCACCAGCCCTCAGTTTATCCAATAAATTATCCATGATATTCTTGTCATCATCCAATCCTGCTTGATTTGCTGCAAAAAAAAAAAAAAAAAAAAAAAAAAAAAAAAGTTAATACTTCCAATACCATCATTTTTAATCCTAATATTACCATCGCTTGTATCAACACCACGAAGTCTTTGTGCTTTGATCTTTTCCTTACGAGCTTCTTCTACACGTCTAGCCTTTTCCATACTCTCCAGCTTCTTTCTAGCAGTGACGTTGTCATTCATTGCACGCTAAAGCTATGTCAGTATTCCACTCAATATGAGCTATCAAAATCCTTACCTCCCAACTTGATGTGAATGTCTTAAAGATGCCAAAGAACTCATCAGGCTTCATTTGTTCAGGATTTTCACCATAATAAGTAACAACATCTTTATACGCCACATCCATGGATGTATATCGAACTTCAAGCTCTTCAAACTTTTCAATGGCTTCATTTCTAAAGTTTCTCATGACTTGAGCATAGTTGTCTCCTTCAGGTTGTTCTTCATCCTCTGGATAATGGTTTTCTAACTCTTGAATAAGTTTTTGTAGACCTGTACGAATTTCGTTGTAATCCTTGACCATATCTTGCAGTGTAACTAAATTGATTGAATGAATAGGTGATGTCTAAATGCAAGCAAAGATATTTACCTCTACAAGCATTGCCACTTTCTTGAAGATCGTTCAAGAAACCATGCAGACGAGGGAATTTAGATTCAACTGAGTCAACTAAAAAGTGAAGCAAAGTCGTATTGCCTTCTGTACCTTTTGTGTCAACAAGCTATAAAAGATGACAATGAGCATACATAGACTATTATTTTTTTTCTTGTTTTACCTTATTGATACTTGTGATACGAATGCCAAAAGCGCCACCTTGAAAAGTGCTTCCGTTCATAAAGTTACCCATAACAAGGATAAACTAAAATTGGAGTTTAATAAGCCTCTCTCTAATTATGTTTATACCTTTAACAGTTCCTTGAAAGAGGTGGATTCTTTAAGAGCAATAGAGGCTTCCAAAACAGCTGTCATATTCTATAGATCATTTAGTATTTTTGATAACGCTGTGCCAAGTTGTTTGCTTACTTTGGAAAGTTGTTGATGTCTTTCTGTAAATGTTGTACGGAACAACATGGTGTCAATTCTTTCTTTGTAACGATTGATTTTCATCATCTAAATAACGAAATTATGAGAAATTGTACTTGATTATATTCCTATATTACCTCTACGCAGAAAGTATCTGGCTTGGATAGGTTTTCTAAATCTTCTTCCGATGCACTCTTAACAAATACAGACAGTTTACCTTGTTCATCTGCAGTGGGTACATTTGTTTGCATGTTAAGCAACAAGTTCTCTGTCATGATATGATCATCCACAGCTAATACAGCTTTTGCCATTTCAGGGAAAGAAAGATTCTTGAGTTTGGAAAGGATGGCAATATTAATATTGTATGCTTTCTTGGGATCTAAAATACAAATCTCTTGCTTCTTTTCTTTCGTAGGTCGCTTTTTGCGTTCAATCACCTTTTGAGCAAACAGTGTTTCAATGGAACTAAAGATACCCATCGTGTCGAGCTCATCTTCCAAAGCATCTTCGTCGATCTCGTCCGTACTCCAAATTGTTTTGCCGACAAAATTGGCTTGGATCTTGGTCCATTGAAGAGCACGCGTCTTGACGTTGGGTTGATGACGGATTCTCTTGCGGGGAGGACCCATGGGAGCAAGAGGAGCTCCAGGTGGAGGAGGAGCGCCTGGAGCGCCTGGAAGAGGAGGTGGTGGTGGTGGAGCGCCTGGAGCGCCTGGAGGAGGAGGAGGTGGTGGTGGTGGAGCGCCTGGAGCGCCTGGAGGAGGAGGTGGTGGTGGTGGTGGTGGAGCACCAGCATCTGCAACACTTGGTTGAGGAGGAGGTGGCGGTGGAGGAGGTGGAGGAGGTGGAGCACCTGCAGAAGGAGCTGATAGCCCAATTGGAGGAGGAGGAGGAGGAGGAGGTGGTGGTGGTGGTGGCGGCGCTGCTGCTGCTGTTTTTGAAAAAGACGTATTGTTGTCTATGACAGCTGGAGGTGATGGAGGAGGGGGGATGGGAATATTGGTATTATCTGAAGAGATTACTTGAATAGGCGGCAATGGAGGAGGGGGAGGAATATTAGATGCAACTGCTTCTACTTTGAGAGGTTCATTCAGAATCATGTCTGTCTGAGAAGGTTGAGGAGCTGGTCGAGTGGACACATTGTTTTCTTGGGCAACCTTTTGTACTTCATCCTCATATACCTTTTTATCTTCAACAATTGGTGCATGTTCTATCGAGTTGATCGTTGTAGCTAATCCACCAGCAGGTGGCAAGCTAACATGTTGGTTGTTGTGTTTTCTCAATTTGTGCTCTAACTCGGCTGCCAATACACTTATTGGTTTGTCTGTGTAGTCGTCTAATATAGAATCTGTAATATCATCATCTCTTAACAATTCATTCAATTGTTCTTTAAACTCTGCGTTCATTTTGATGCCATCTTTCTTTTCATCTAGAAGTTCGGTAGTAGCAGCATCATCTAACCAAGTCTTCTTTGCTCCATTGACGGGTATACGACGAGTGGAGCCAATCAAAGGAACAGTTCCTGGTATGACGAGTCCTGCTGGACCACCTCCACTTCCGCCAAGTTGACCCTGCAACGATGACTTGAATGATTCTGACAAGCCTTCTGCTCGAGGAATTATTTTCTGTTTTGAGTTAGAGACAAGAAATTAACTCTTTGACTTACATTGTCCTCTTCTTGTTGTCCTGGCCTTCCTTCAAGGATAGCTTGTGCTCTTAATCGATCGTATACTCTTGTAACTTCATCTCGTCCTAAAACAAACTGACTGTTTTGGGCATCTTTGGCAACACCATCCTTTTTATTAGCATCTATTGCTGTAGCATGGATTTCCTTCAACTGCTGATCTAAAGCTGCTATATTCATTTCATATTTCTGTTGAGTTTCTTTTAATTTCCTTTGAAGTGTAGCGATAGTTTTACGGGACATACGCAGCAAGTCCTCTAATGAATTGTTTTTGTTACGCAAGACACCAATCAAGCCATCTCCTTTCAAACTGATTTCTGTCTCCAATTCTTGTTTGTCTTTAATGGCTTTTTCATACATTTGTTTGGCCTCTTTTGCTTCTTGCAGTGCGACATTTAGTTGGTCTTGCTCTGCAAATTTGTCAATCAGCATCTCCACTGACCAACCCATATTGCCAGAGATATCTTCGTTTTTTAAACCCTTTCTATCCATGACTACTTGTGTAATTAATTTGTCCAGAATTTGAAAGTATCTGACTCTAATCCACGATTAGCCTATCCATTGATCCTGATAAAAAGCACTTACTGCACATCTCCTTGAGCCTGAATCATAAGCATATGTTGTAAAGCACTCAGAAAGAAATTGTAACTACGTGTTCCTTCTACTCTTTCTAGGATTCTTTCAAAGCAAGAGCGAGGATCATTCATGTTTGTCAAGATGGTCTCGTTATAGATTTCCATGATTTCATCCACGTCATTTTCACTCATTTGTTGATAGATATTGATATGTCTCCTGAGCTGTTCATTGTTGAAATCCAGCATTTTTCCAGTGATGGATTCCAATCCACTTGCATTCATTTGATTTCGAAGATGAACACGCACCTCTACGTCCTCAATTACGGTGACAAGCGAGTTGATCAACATCATGTTGGATAAGGCAAAATCAGCAAGCTGACTATCAGGTGCGCCAGCGCCTACAAATCGCTTTACTTCCTCACTCGCACCGACAAGACTGCCCATTCTGCCTCTACCATCCAAGGTAGCATCCAGCAACTTAAGCCAAGCATCGAACCGACCAAACTCGCCCAAATGATCACTTAGTTTATCAAGGCCCTTGAGTACAATCTCTTGTCCTTTAGGTAAATCAACATGACATACAAAAGCCAGGATTTCACAAACAAGCTTTCTGGTTTGAATGGGCGGAGATACAAGTGACAGTACAATATGATAAATGCATTGAGGATGAGAAATCACTTCTCGAGCACCCCACTATAGAAAACATAAGTATATTGTTTTGTTATACCATGAATCAACTTGCCCTATTGTTGATGAGTGACTTGAAGCATTTCAAGATCTCAACTTCCATCTGAAGGTCTGCTTCTGTCCTATATTTACAAATCATCATGAGTCACAAGTATTACTCAACAAATGAACATTACTTTTCGTCTCGCATGTTTAATGCTCCAATGACATTAGTAATGATTTGTAGACCTTTCAGTTCAATAAACTGTCGCACCCAGCTAAGAGGCATTGTTCTCAAGCTGACAGCTAAATGAGCAATCAATCGAGGTGTGACTCCTTTCATATCAGGTTCAAGAAACTTTTCGACATAAAAATCAGGGGAATTTTTGTCGGCTTGACCAATTGCAGTCATGCTTTCCCTGTTGTTTAAATTATTCGTGCTGCTTGTTGTATTTGAAGAAGTGGATGAAGGAGTAGGTGCTGTTAAATCTACCTGCTTATCTTGTGACACCATCAACCATTTTTTTTCTGTGGGAAATCCCAACATGACCGACCTAGCAGCTGCATCATGAATACCTCTTCTTGTCTAATGAAGAAAAAAAAATATGAGTGTGTCAGTACTTGTGTTATTTTGGAAATGAACTTGCCAGCATTTTTTCAAACATTTCTTGTACTTCGTTCTCTGAAAACCCGCCATAATCAATTGAATTATTTCGTGAATCAGCTAATAAGAAATATAGAGCATTAAAAAAAACAAACACTCGAAGAAAATCTTACGTCTCATACTGCCACCACTAAAACTGCCGCGATGAGAGTCATCGTTAGAAATAGATGAGGATCTTGAAGAATAGTAAGGACCTGAAGAAGGAGTTGCTGGAGTTTTGTCGTTTTGAATGGAAGACTGTCTAGGCAGACTAGGCGTCGAAATCGATTCAATTTCTTTCCTCTTTGTCTTTTTTGTGATATTGAATAATTCCATACAACAGTAGGAAAGAAAAAAGAAGCAAGGAAAAGAGAAAATATGTTTAATTAAACTATAAAAAAAGAAAAGGCAAAGAGACACAATAGTGATTTTTAAATGCTGTGTAACTATCCCACAAGTAAAATGTATAAAGTACCAAGTACATTTCTTTGGGGGTCTTGTTTACATAAGCTAATAAAGTGCCAGTCTATAGGAGGAATAAGACATCTTTCTTTGTCTTTGTATTTTCAGTAGACCAAAAAGATACACTTTTTTTGTCCTTTCTTTTTTAACTATGAGTTACACGAACTATATATAAAACAGTTCTTTTGCAGTTTTTGAAAATGTGCCCAGCGCAATATGTAATTAGCCTTCAATAGGAAAGAGTGGAATTGGATTCAGGGGCAATACGTCTTGACGACTGTAGCCATAAATACCAGTTTCCATAACGACCCGCCATAGCAACTATAACTTTAATAGGAAAGAATTTTTATGATGCTCATAGTAAGCATGTACTTTTCATATTCGTGCTGGAGAATGTAGATCAAAAAAACGCTGCATTACCTACATGTGCTTCTGTGCGTATGTTTAACGAGAGGATAGATAGTCGTGATTCAAAGTCAGTAAATGAACAACTACATCATCATCACCATTACCATTTTCTTTCCTTTTCTCTTACCAATATAAGAAAAAAAAGAATGGACACAAAACCTCCATCAAAACCGGAAGAGAAAAAAGATGACAATTTGCTGGCGACTACAGTCAAAGGAGCATCTTATCTCATCATGCTGCAATTTATATCGCGTATGCTGACATTTTCGCTTAACCAAATCGTGATACGTTTTACTTCAAAAGCAACATTTGGTATTGCCTCAGTCAATTTGGAACTATTATCTTCGACTATTCTTTTTATTTCTCGAGAAGGTTTTCGTTCAGTCCTGATCAGAAAGAGTAAGAATCAGCAATCGATTCTCAACCTGGCTTATATTCCTTCATTCTTTGGCCTCATCACCACTATTGCCGCGTGCTTATATTATTTATCCACCATATCTTTAGAGGAGCAAGCGCAATTTCCTTACTACAAGACTGCTGTCTTGTTATATGGTGCAGCCTCTTTCCTCGAACTCTTGGTTGAGCCGCTGTTTATATTAGCACTCAATAATTTATACTTCCAGCTCCGTGTAACAATAGAAGGTATAGCTGTAGTCTTGAGATGCCTAGTCACATTTGCATTGACGCTCTATTTTGCTGGAAACGAAAAGCTTGGGATTCTAGCCTTTGCCATTGCGCAATTGGTATATGGGTCGACCATGATGATTGGATACTTGGGCTACTTTCTGTACAAGGAAAAGTCGATGACCAAACTGTTACCAAGCAAGATTGATCAAGGAGAAAAGAGTTATTGGTTCGATAAGGCATTGCTTCATTTAGGCTTTACCATGACAAAACAATCTTTTCTAAAACATGTTTTAACTGAAGGGGATAAAATGCTGATATCCATTTTAAGCTCTTCACAAGATAGAGGCGTTTATGCATTTGTTGTGAATTATGGTTAGTGCGCATTCTATATGACGTTTTTTATTTATATACTTCTTTAGGCTCATTGATTGTCCGTATCGTGTTTCAGCCATTAGAGGAGACAGGCAGAACGTTTTTTTCAAAGGCGTTATTATCAGACAATAAGAAAGGAGAAAATGAAGTTACAACGGCCAATATTTTAGTATTGCTTATCAGATTTCATGTTTTGTTGGGCTTGATCTTTATCTGCTTTGCTACCAACTACACTTCAACTTTGATCGACTTGTTGGCTGGCAAGAGCTGGTCATTAGGAGAAGGAAATGCACCTGGAGTACTGGCCATGTATTGTATTTATGTTCCATTTATGGGTATCAATGGTATTACGGAGGGTTTTGTACAAGCAGTAGCTACCAAATCTGATTTGACTAAATTAAGCTATTATATGGTCCTATTTTCTACCTGCTTCATGGCCTCTGGTATCGTATTTATGTATGTGCTGGAATTAGGTGCTATCGGTTTGATCTTGGCAAATATGGTAAACCTCGGCATTCGTATCGCATATAGTTGGTTCTACATTTGTAGATATTTTGATAAAGTTTCGCTTTCTGTGCGTCAATGGCTTCCTCATACTACAACAGTTGTTTCATTTATGCTGGCCTGGACCATAACTTATTGGTCTCAAAATCACCTGGGTTGGTATACCTTGAGTCAAAAAATGGCTCATATCTCTGTGGGCGGTGTTTGTTTTATTATTGTTTGTAGCGTGATGTAAGTCGATACTTTTTTTTTTGTATTTTGCTGATCAACCTTTGTTTGTTTAGATTATGGAAAGAGAGGGATTTAATTGGTGATGTGAAACGTTTAAAGAATCACAAGTTTGATTAGTGAATTTTTTTTTTTCTTTGAGACGATCAATAACTCTCAATGTACAAGAAATAAAATTATCGGACTTGCCCAGAAATAAGGTTTGGTTTAACTATAGAAAGGCACCTGTTTCTTTTGTGTGTCATCTTAAGTCGGGAATCTACTTTTCTTTTCTTTTCAAAGGGGAAAATGTAAAGAGGAGGCAAGAAAAAAAGAAATTCAAAAGAACAGTAGATAATAGGAGAGTATGTAAAAAAAAAGGGAAGGAAGGAAGGAGGGAAACAAAATGACTTTCATGGTGAGATTATCATAAAGAAAATTCAGAACATTTTAATTGTTGTACAAAGTAATTGATAACCTTTCTCCTTTTTGCATTTATTTCATATAAAAGGTCTCATTATTCGCATGTTCTTTTTTTTAATCTCTATCTTTTTCTCTCTCTATTTTTTTTCTTCTACTAAAGAAACCCATATCATTCCTTCCTTATTTCAAATGTTGTTTTCTCGTTCAGTTTTAACACTTTCATGTCTTGTGTTTACTGTTATAAACGCAGCTCCTATTCAGTCCACATTTAATACTGATGTCTTGACAGAAACATCAAAATACGTGCCTAAAGCAGGCTTCTTTTTGATAGAAAGTTTATCAGAATACTATGAAAACATTGTAGATCAAGTTATGTTGGATGTTTCTGAAGATGCCTTGTCCTTTATTCCTCAGTCCATTAGCCATGGTGAAGTAGAAGGTAGACTTATTGTTCTTATTTCACGATAAACTAAAACCAGACATTCTTATAGCTCGACAATTAGCGCAAAAGTCATTGAATCGTAATCTTAACTTTATGCGTGCAAGTTTGCTTGCTTCTGTGAATCCACTTGTGTCTACAGATATTCCTCAAATTGCTGGCTTAACCGACATTCAAAATGAATCTGCTCTCTCTCTTTCTTCTGAAGAGGAAAGATTGCATCAAGACACCCAAGATGAACTCGAAACTGTCTTATTAGAATCTATCTTGACTCTCAACAAAAAGATCAGTCATCAACTCGGCTTGATTGTGAATGCTGAACAGTCTTCTTCCATCTTAATTCGCCAAGCCAATACCCATCCTTCAACAAAGAGTCAAAACAATGCTGGACCTACTGTGATTACTGTTGAGTGGAAGCTTCGTCAACCTTTCCAAATTAATGTCCACCGTGAACAAACCATTCAACAATACGATACAACATCCGAGTCCGAATGGCTTTATCGCCAATTAGCATCCGTTGAAGTCAATTTACTAAATGAGTTCAATGATCGCGCACAGGACGCTGTTCAACTTGTTATGGAAAGCCTTTCTCTTGATATCTAATTCTATTTAATCACACTAATAACCCGCCCCCTTTCTTTTTGATTTGATTCCCTTGTTCGTATATTATTGCTTCTCCTTTTCTTTTATTCTCTTTTTTTCAAGCAACATTGTATTATAAAATGACAGCTTCATTTATTTATATTTAATAAAGAGCTATATCGACTAGCCATTCAACAGTTACACAAGTAATTTAGTTTGTTTATTAGATTACACAAGTAGAGTTTTTATTCCCCATTTATAAAAAAGGCACATGTATCTTGGACAAATGTTAAAACCAAAGACTGACACTAAAACTAATATCAAGTGATTTCACAAAATGCCACCATTTCGGCTGCATAATAAAATTGTTAACATACCATAAACAATCACAACTTCTAACTTACAGGTACATACAGCACTTGACCTTCTTCCAGTACACATTCAACATACTGCACTCTGTCAAACAATGGATATAAATGAGTGTCGGGATGTTCTACATCGACCTAAGAAGAGGGGATACAATCAGCTAATTAAAGTATATAATGAAATTATTATTTACTTGGCTTGTGTTGTTCATTAAACCGTCTCGTGGGTACACATAGGAACTTTGTTCTGGTGAAATGAGCTTAATATATTTACTCCCAACTACTTGGCATAATAAATTATGATACGGATCATGGTGTAAAGGTGACACTGTATTTTTCGGTCCAAACCATGCATTCTTGATCACATCGTCTGTGTGTGATGTGTACAAATCATTTAGGTTTGGCTTGATGTAACAATAGTCAGGGACAATAATGTCTCTTTCTAATTGTGGTATTTGATAAAACAAATCATGTTGAGCCAAGTAAGCTGTCGTATCTGATTGCTGAACAATATGCTGCTCAACAAAATCGGAAAATCGTATCATTTTTTGACTCCAGTTGGTATCTGTATATTGACTGCCAAGCTCTACAGGAACGATACGATCCGAAGCAATGGACAACAAGTAATCTATCGATGTCCAGGGATGCTCGTTGAATGCTGGCCAGTGATCAATCAGGCCTTTCGATATAATGAATGGTGTAGGCCTCTCGCTGTTACAGTGCTGCAGAAACCATTCAAAGCTAGGTGGCTCAGCGAGTTTTTTGATTGGGCAATCTATTCTTGGTAACAAAAGACGGTTAGCCTTAGAAAGTGTTCTGCGCATGCCATTTCTGTTTCTTCCGTTTGTTAACCAGCTTTGGAGGTGTTCCAATATCACGTTGGTCGCGCATTTGCGATCGACTCCCGGTGCTCCGCTGACGATAGCACAAGTGTCCAGATCCATCATGGTCTTTTGTACCTGAGTTTCCAGTGCCTTGAAATTCCCCGTCTCTATGTTTGAGAGGGAGTGTAACTGAATCAATGTCTTTAAAAGCCCGGCATCCATCAACATTCGACGCCAGTGGAGGGGCACATCTTTAAAATGGTAGCACATGATTGACTCGTTGCAGTAGTCAATAAGAGCGTCGGCTTTTACTAAAAGTGCGCAATCGGTCGATGACTGATTGAGTAAACTGTTCAGAGTAGATTCAAACAAAAAGTGAACTGAAGATCCGCAAGTCTTGAGATCTAGAGTTTGTTTTAGAGAAAGGTTCGGCTTCAAAACTAAATATAGTGTTTTACCTATTCTATTCTCTTTGTCTGCGAGTAGCTCAGCAAGCGCGTCGTACAACTCTCGAAACGATTGAAGCATTGTTCGAGACAAATTCCAAAAAAAAAGCAAGAGAAAAAGAGAAGCGCGTCTGAGTAAGCATTACTCTTAAAATAGTCATCAAATGCTTAATTTCAGCAAGCTATAGAATAGGCACACAGCTAAAGATGATGTATGAAAGCCTATTTATGCAGTATCACTGAGGGGTCTTAGTCATCTGCAATTACTTCAAAAGAGCTACAAACAGCCTGTTTTGGATTTATAAGACTATACTTTTTTTCATTTTACCCTTAGGTACCACGAGGATTTTCATTGTTTTTACAAATCCATGATTTTGAAAGCGACAGAGCAATTTTTACCAAGATATACTCTGGTAAAAAAAAAACATTCATCAAAGACTGTAGAATGCATTGAAAGTTTTAGATTCAGAAAATGACAGCAAAAATATTGCAAAATGATCTATTATATTCAGGAAGAAAAAAAAGAGTGTTTTGAAGGTCTAGCTCGTCCATTTATTGACCATTTCAACCTTTTTTTTCTGCATTTTTAGATACTTCAACTTAATATATACTTATTCTGCTATAAATATATGGCTTTATATCTTCATCTTGGTGCTTTTTTATTTAATTTATTGAATTTCGTTTTGAATTCTCATGAAATTTATGTTTCTTTTATTGCTTTTTCTCAACCAATCACAGGCTCGGGTTTTATTGACACTCGACTGCACGCATTGTTGTATTGACGCGCCACATAATGTTTTCAACATCTTGTTTCTAATAGAAAGATGGAAGAAAATTTAGAGAATGAACATTTCGATTACATTGTACTTGGTACTGGCTTGATAGAGTCCATATTAGCCGGGTAAAGAGACGCTTAATTCAAAAGTAAAAAACGTCTTTATTTACACTGTTCTAGTTCACTTTCACGAAGTGGTAAAAAAGTACTTCATTTAGATAGCCATCAAAACTATGGTGGCAATTGGGTAGTATTCGGTTTCCGAGAATTAGTTCAATGGTGCTTGGATCAAGCTCAAGGTAACTCATTGGCTTGTTTTATTGCCTGATGACTCACATATTTCATAGAGACAACCCGACCTTGCATAGGTAGATGAACTTCTTTACTCGACAAGCTTAACTGATATCGTCTGTCTATAGAGGAGAACAAAATAGATTACGAAAATAGTTATGCCTCCAATTTCCGTCATGTCGAACTACACATTCATGCTGAACAGCCAGTTGAGGATGAAACAATGTCTCTCCAGCCCTCTTCAAGTTCAGATCAATCGCTTTTTGATGCTTTTTTCAAAGATCAGCCTAACAACATAGGCAAGAAACAGCTTTTTATTGACTTGTTAAAGCATTCTCGTTTGTACAATTTGGATTCAACACCTAAACTGCTAGGTTCTCGAGAGGATCTCGTGGAGGCGTTGGTTCGTAGTGGCGTTGGACGCTATCTTGAATTCAAAAATGTAGACGATATCTATATTTTTGACAAGGCAAAAAAAGCATTAGAGAAAGTGCCAAGTTCAAAAGAAGACGTCTTTACTAACAAATCAGTTACCTTGGTTGAAAAGAGAAAACTGATGAAGTTTTTGACGTTTGCAATGGAGTCAAACGAGCAGGATCCTTTGTTAGAAGGCACAGAGCAAATGTCTTTTGCTCAATTCTTGCAGGATAAGTTCAAGATGAGCGATAAGTTACAAGAAGCGATTGTTTATGCCATTGCCCTTGTGGATCAAATTGCCTCTGTCAAAGTGGGTTTACAGACCACACAAGCGTTTGTTAAAGCAATGGGTCGGTTTGGCAAAGGAGCCTATTTGTGTCCGCTGTATGGTGGTGCTAGTGAGATTGCACAAGCATTCTGTAGAATGTGTGCAGTTTATGGTGGTATTTATATGCTTAACCAGCCCCTTGATCACTATTTAATGGAAGAAGGCAAATGCGTTGGTGTAACTACTACAGATGGAAAGCAATTCAAATGTGACAAACTTATTGCTGATATTGACTACTTAAGCCCCTCTTGGTTGCCACAAGAACAAGCGTTAGGGTAGATATTGGCCATAGAGTATATTCCATCTCACGTTGATGTTTATAGGACATGGATCTCAAGAGCCATGATTGTCACAAGTAAAGATGTGCCTACATCCATTGGTTATAGCGTATTCCCACCTGGTGTATGTGGTAACTCAGAGCCCATCTATGGTATTCACCAGAATGAAGAGAGCATGGCTTGTCAAAAAGGACAATGTAAGCAAAAAAAGGGGGGAGGGGATTTATTCATACTTTATTCATGTATTTCATGTTAGATGTAACCTATCTTTGGACTACCTCAAAGGAACCTTTTGTCCTTAAAGAAGCTGCTGATTTACTTACCAAGGACACTATATTCACTGTGTTTTATGAGCAGTATGTACGCAATGCTCCTGAAATGACTGAATTACCTGCCAATGTGATACCATGCAGTGATCCTGATGTAACTTTGGATTTCCAATCTGCTGTTACCGAAGCAAAAAGTTTATTTTATCAATGTGTAGACACAAGTGTAGAATTTATGCCTGCAGCAGAAGAGCAGGAAGATGATGATATTTTATAATAAAAGAAACTAATTCACAAGAAAGAACATATACACCATTTGAAGAGCAGCAATTGTGAGTAAGAACCACAAACGTCTTTTACGTTGAGGGTTCATGGTAGAAGGACCAGCGGCTGCATCAGGTAAAATAACATATCGCATTGAGCGAAGCTACCAAAAAGTCAGTCAAAATGATCAAATCGTATAAATGACTTACCAAAAAGAAACTAATACAAAAACCAGTATAGAAGAATACAATCCATGAACCATAGCCTTTGCCTCCAATCAATCGAGCAATGTCTGTGACAATAATACCCACAAACTTGTATCCATAGTAAGACAACAAATCCAGCATGGATGCTTCAAATGGAATACTCAAGAAATAACAGCCTAATCTTGTATAAACAATCTCCCAAAAAACAACAGCAACTGAAGTAGAGACAGCAATGTATAACAGTTCAGGATGGAAACTAGCATTTAAGTTAGAATCAAGGGCACATTTAGATGTTCTTACTTTTTGTGAAGACCAGCGGCTAAACCACAGAGCAAAACATATGTCACAACAGCCATCACTGTTTGGGGGGAGTAAATACAAGCTAAATATGCATCTAGGCAATCTTACCAGGAATATACAAATCAGGCGAGTTCAAGTCTTCTCTAGGTGGTTTGAAGCCTTCCATTTGACCTGTTTCTGATCTCATGATCAGACGATTCCAAGACTAGTCCATGATTAGCCTTTCTTCCTTAAAATTAACGCGATATACTTACAGAGTTTCTCCAGGGAAACATCAAGAGGCGCAACTTGTTTATGACATATGTGTTGCTTACATTAAAGTAGTGCCTCAGTGCAGGCATATTGACCCATCTATTAAACTAATGTGGCTCATGAGTACACTAATCACGCTAACTGTCAACTTACATTCTTTTCTACATAAGCAGAACCCTGAGCCATAGCATTGCCTGCAAATTGCATACCCATTTGAGCAGCGGGATCATTAAAACCAAACTGAGTGTATAAGTTGCCTTGTTGTTGTTGTTGTTGCTGAGAAGGAGTATAAACATTAGGATCATATGTCTGATGCATCTTTTGTTGCTGTTGCATCATGGGCTGACTATATTGGTATTGCTGTTGTAAGTTGGGAGAAGGTGTTGACTGTACTGCTGTACCAAAATCAGGAATAGGGTGTTGAGGCACAGGATGTTGAAGAGGTGGTGGTGACTTAGAAGGTATACCGTAAGGTTGATTTGAATATGAAGAATGGCTATTTCCTGCACTGGAAGAATACATGATAAACGCGTTAAACAAAAAAAGGTGAGGGGGAAAGAGAATTCTAAATTGTAGCCCATACTAAAGTCAATTTGATTGGCTCAGATGTTTAAGCAAATGACATCAAGTCATTCAATACCTATACGCATAAATCAGTCTTTTTTTTTTTTAGAGTAAAAGGGAGCTAGAATGAAATATTGTAACCAGGAAGAATCTGCTTTTGGGGGCCAATATCTTTAGGTGTTTTTAAATGGTTCTTCTCCTTGAAATAAGGAGAGAGCGCATTTACTGATCATGAATTGCAGTCTCGAGAACGTTTAAGCCTTCAATGTGATCGATTGTTCGCTTTAACTTTTAAATACGATTGATTGCCCCATTTATTTAAAAAGCCTATTTATTCGTCATTATACGAGTGTTTAAATGTCGGGGAAAAGTACATTGTTTGTTGCCTATAAGGCAGTGATTTTTCCTTGCAAACAGTATAGTAAAGTTAAAAAGATCCAGAAATCATATTATCTATTATTGATATTTACTTTCCTTCTCTTGATATATAGCTATGTCTGAAAAAATAGAAAGCCAAGTAGCACTAAAGGATGATACTGAGAGTAGTGTTCAAGCCAATTCATTCACAGAAGATTGTTCAGTCAAAGTAAGCCTTTCAAAGATTGAAATGAAAGCATTCATGTTGGTAGAATAAAATATCGAAAAACAAGAAATGGTTTATATTGCTGATTGTAGCATTACAAGGGTTTCTAGGTCCATTGACCAGTTCAATTTACGTACCAGCCATTGATCAAGTAAGACAGTCATTTAATGCATCCAACACATCCATCAATGCTACTATATCACTGTATGTTTTTATTATGGGACTAGCTGTATGTTATATTCATCAAAACTATACGCCTCATGTCTTCTTTTCTAGCCTTTACTTTGGGCATCTCTTTCAGAAAGACATGGACGCCGAACTGTTTATTTATTAGCAACTATTTTGTATGTAGGTTCAACGATAGGATGTGCCCTTTCGAATTCTGTAGGTCTTTTTATTGCTTTACGAGCAATACAAGCAGTAGGAGCCAGTGCAGCACAGGCGGTGGGTGCAGGGTAGATCCATTATTTTTCATGTGTTTTGTCAATACTCATTAATTAGATAGAACCATTACTGATCTATTTGATGTGCACGAACGAGGCAATGCTATGGGTCTCTTTCTTTTAGGTCCGCTAGTTGGCCCAGTTGTCGGCCCTATTGCTGGAGGATTTATCAATGAATGTAAACAGAAAATACCCAAAAATAAGGAGAGTCTAATAATGTGATTCACATAGACATGAACTGGCAATTTATCTTTTGGTTCTTGTCTGCTATGGGAGGATTGATTTTCATTTTTATTTTGTTCTTTTTACCAGAGACATCTGTTCTTATTCTCAAAAGACGAGCCCTAGCTAAGCAAGTAAAAGAGACGGGTACGACAGTTGTACAAGGTACGCTCCAGAAACAAAATGATGGTAAAGAAACTTTCTTGGAAAGCATGGCTAGACCCTTCAAGTTTATTACAAAACCCCTTGTTATTATTGCCACAACACCTTACTCGATGGCTTACGGCTTCATGTATTTTGTCATTGCTAGTCTTCCCCATCAACTTTCTATTCATTATCAATTCTCAAGTTATCAAATTGGTTTATCCTATTTGGCCAACGGGATAGGAAATGCATTAGGTGCTTTTATTTCGGGAAAGCTGTCAGATCGTCAACTCAACAAGTATAGCCAGATAAATGAAAAAAGGACGCATTTGGAGGCTCGATTACCCCCTATGTGGATTGGTATTGTACTGCTTCCTGTTGGAGAACTAGTCTATGGCTGGTGTATTCAACTCAATGTGCATGTCATGGCTAGTTTGACTGGCTTATTTTTATGTAAGTCTCAATCTAGAGTAGCAGGATAATAAATTCGTATAGTGGGACTAGGTGTGGGTTTTGTCCAGACGCCTTGCAATACCTATATTGTGGATTCTTATCAGCAACATTCAGCCTCTGTCATGAGTGTGGCTAATCTGATGCGATGCATCTCGGCGGGATGTACTCCTCTAATTGCTCCTACTTTAATTGATCAAATTGGAAATGGATGGTCTATGACTATCCTTGCTATTCTTAGTCTATTGAGTGGTATTTGTATTTTTTTAGTCCAAAAATATGGTGAAAGATGGCGACAACCAATGTAATTATTTATTTGATATGCAAGGCAAAAAAAAGTATAAAATAAACTGTTTTTTTTCTTATCATTGAAGCTCTTTTTTTCTTTATCTTGAAATGGAACCTTTTTTTTCTGATTCTCAATTCTTTTTGTTTGTTAAGCTTAAGTAACTGTTTAGTCATAGAGGCATCAATGCTTTAAATCATCCGAGGATTACTTGAGCATATAAATATTTGTTCTCGGAAGAACACCTGTAATTGGGCTTAATAGTAAAGCTTTACAAGAGATTGAATGAGTCCGAGTAGATTTTCGATAATCCACTCAAAGACTCTACTTGCATGTTTAGATCGCAGTCGATAAAAAGGGACGAAACCTGACATAATTATGTCTTAGAAACAGATATAAATAATCAGAAAACACGAAAAGAGATCTTTCTTAATTACATTTTATTATCATGAAATATATCTTGCCACTTTCTTTAGCCTGTCTTTTCATCAGTGGGAATGAAGCATTAGCAGTAAAAGAAGTCCCTGGAGGCATTGCTAGTCATTTTCCTTCGCATATTGTCAAATTCAAACCCGCCAATACTATGAATATCACTGGTACGTTGACAAAAAAAATTGAAGAATGATGCTCATTTTATTCATTAGGATTTGAACCTACTTCTTTCATCAAAAAGCACTACACTACCTTTCAAGCAACAAAGACAACTTTACAAGGAAAAAATGCTCTTATGGATACAGGCGTTACAGACGACATTCATCAAGATGACCTATCTACAGAGTCAATCAGAAATATCGAAATTGGCCAAGAATTCAAAGCTGTTGCTGGTTTCTTTAATCCTTCATTTGTCAGTTACCTAAATCAATTGGAAGATATTGAATACGTTGAGCCCAATCAAATCTACAAAGCTGCCATTCAGCCTATCGTTTCTTCTCCTCAACCTTATTCAGCAAGCAATGTCCCTCTTCAAAGATCTAAAAAGCATCGTTACAAACAACGTACCTCTAAACAAAAACGCGGTATAATGACTCAAGAAAACGTACCAAGCTGGGGAATTGCTAGAATCAATCGTAGAGAGCTCAGTGATCTTACTACTTATTCTGCGGACGATGCTGCAGGGTAATTATATTTTTAATCAATCAAATCTCATATCTTTGTTCTATAGTGCTGGTGTTCATGTCTATATTTTCGATTCGGGCATTAATGCAGATCATCCAGATTTTGGTGGCCGCGCAAACATGGAAGCTAGCTTTATAGACTATGAAGACGACACAGATCATGCAGGTCATGGTAAGAATACAGATATACCTTTTTTTAAAAAAAAATATATTTATTTAAGAAAAGGAACGCATGTCGCTGGTACCATTGGTGGAAACTCATTTGGTGTTGCAAAAAACACAATACTTCATGGTATCAAGATTCTCGATCGTAACGGTGATGGAGCAACATCTGCATTAATTCAAGCCATTTCTTATGTAGCTCAAATTGCTCCTCCGGGTAATAGCATTATCAACCTCTCTTTGACAGGTCCTCGCTCTCAAACAATTGACGATGCACTCTCTACTGTCGTTCAAGAATATGGTATTCCTGTCTTTGTCTCTGCTGGTAACTCTGGTGACGATTCTTGCAAATATTCGCCTTCTGCTAATGCTGATGTGTTTGCTGTTGGTGCTTCTGATGAAAATGATATGATTCCTAGTTTTTCTTCTTATGGTGATTGCGTCAATGTATATGCCCTGGTACAAACATCACAAGTAGCTGGCTTGGTGGAGAAAGCCAAACTATGGATGGAACAAGGTAATTGTTTTATTTATATTACCTTCTTGAGTTTATGCTAACTTTTTTTCTGAAAAAAAACAAAGTATGGCCAACCCACATGTTACTGGGATTGCTGCCATGTTACTTGGTGAATATCAGTTCAACTCTGTGCATGAATTATATGATAAGATTAAGTCCATGGCTACTCAGAATGTCTTAAGATTTGAAGCAAATGAGGGTGATGATTACGAAAGATTGCTTGCTTACAATGGCCTTGAGTAGATAGAAAATTGCGAAAAAAATCGTGAATAAAAATAAAAATGTCAACATAAGCGTTTCATTTCTTACAAAAAAAAAAGATCTTTGATTATTTTTCGCATAGACTTTTTTGAATAAGTACAAGCAGAGATAAGAGCAATTAGTTGAAAAGTATTTTTATTCATCTAATTATACACTATTTCTTCTGCCTCTCTTTCCTTTCACTTCCTTTCCTGCCAATTGCGAACTATTATCAGCGTCGCTAATTCTACCAGTAGCATACCCGGCTTTTTTCCAACGACCGACAATTTCTTTACCAACTTCATAGCCAGTTTGGAAGATATCATTGTATTTTGCAAATTCAAGTGTGCCCCATTGTTGAACAGGTAGCTTCAAATACAACGAACCATCTGTGATCTTGGCTTCTTCAAGTTTAGCAACACTACTCACATAGGCAAGTCGACTTTGAATATCTGCAATACTTGGCACATTGTATGTTCTAAAAGGATTGAAACCATGCAAAAGAGCCCACCAACCACTAATTGAATCACCATAATGGACAGGACTTGTGTCGTCTTCAGAAGCCACATCGACAGCAATGATGATATCCGCGCCCATACTCTTAGCAACAGACACAGGCAAATTGTCCATATACCCACCATCCACTAACATATTACCATTGTCGCAAATAGGGGCATATAACCAGAGAGTGACATGGAAGCACGAATGTAACGCCATGCATAGCCAGTGGTATGTACTTCCATACGAGAGAAAGTGATGTTAGTGGTAACAGCAAAATAAGGTAACCAATAGTCTTCGATCTGACTGTCGCCCACACATTTCCAAACAGCACGGTTAAACTCATGACCTGTAAACCAAGCAGTGACTGGGTAGGTCAAGTCCATGATCTGCCTCCAAATACTCGACACACGACCTGCAAACATTCTGCTTCTAGCAATAACAGACACCAAATCCATATTCTTGGCATAAAGGCCACCTACAAAACTACCAATACTTGTGCCACCGATAATATCAATAGGAATTCCTGCTTCTTCAATAGCCTGGATTACACCAACATGACCTATACCTCGAGCGCCACCACCACCAAGCACTAATGCAACTGATTTGCCACAAAGTCGTCGAGCTAATCGAGCGAAATCGTTGCGAGAAGGAGAGTGTATAGCATTGATTGAATTAGTGGTTGATTTCTTCACATCGAGCAAGCGACCAAAGTTGGGTACAGCAGAGTAGTATTCTTTGATTTGGTCCTTGACATTGGCCAGCATGTTAATCGATCCTGCAGTCATCTTTCGACCTTGTTCAGCTAACCATGGGGGTCTAAATCTTTCAGTTACTGTCAATGCTGCGTGTTGTCTCATGGGCATATAAACGTGATGATGTGCTTGAATCCAAAGACGGTTCTAAACAAAACATCAGTACCGTATTGACTGCTTTTATAAGATTTTACCTTGAGCCAGTTTTGCGTTGTTCCTGAAGTACAAGAACGCTCGCCATGCAACAAGACCAGTTCTTTTCTGGCAGTTGTCTTCATGTTGATCAAAAATCGTTCATATTCCCCAACAGATGGATCGCCATCACCAAGGCCAACTAACAAAATACAATCCGATTGACGAATACAAGTACGTGTCCATTGAGAAGTAACACCACTATCAGCTAAATATAAAACAATACGATACTTTTCTTCTTGCTCTGCAAGCCAGGAGGCCATCTTGAGTTTACCCAAGCGAGAAAATGCATATTTGCCCATCATTGTAGTGACAGTAGCACTGTTTAACAAAGCACAGGTGGCACCCACGGAATGAATCAATTCCGTCTTCAAACTTTCGGCGAATTCTGTAACGGGGACAGAAGAATTCACAGGAATAATACCGACAGTCTTGAGGTTGACATTGTTGCGACCGTAAAGCTCTGGGTAGCGGTTCATGTTGCCATCAGCAATGGAAGAAATAGCAGCCGTAGCATCCGCTGTTGACTTGAGTTGCAAGAGCTTGGGACCTTGGCCTCCACCATTGGAAGAGTTTGAGCGTGTCACCAATTGAAGAGAACGGAAAGCAACCATGCGAGAAATCTGAAGTGTGATTTCAGGATGACGCATTGCCAAAGCATTGAATAATGTCTTGGGCATACGAGCAAGTTCGGTATCACGAATAGCATGGAGTGTAGCAGCAGTGGAAGCGCCAGCTAATACAAAAAGTTCAATAAAAGACATACAATGTAGCAATGCTACTTACTTAATACTTCTAATTCGCCCACAGTATCACCATGACCAAATTCACCAAGGATTTCAATTTGACCATCCTTCTTTTCATGAATTGTTCTCAGACGACCATGCAGAACCATGTAGACATCATCTCTGGGTTCGCCTTCTTTGCAAATAATTTGACCAGCACTCACTTGCATCCATTCCAGAGCAATATCGATGTGTAAAACTAGACAAAAAAAAACATAATGAGTTCAAAACGTAAAGTAGCTAAAGCTTACTTAATGGACTGACATGACCCACAAGTTCATTGGCAAGCTTAAGCATGACTGCAGGGTTTTTATCAATGATGCGATCCAGACGTTTCTTGGAGACATAGCCCACATAAGTATCTGTCTTGGCTCGAATCTCAACAAAGCTAGGGAAGCCCGTCAAAGCATCAAGGTAGCCAGCTAAACCTCCAGGTTTAATGATATATAAAGGTTTCTTGATTTTCTCATGTCCTTCTTCATTGTTGTCCTTTTCATTTGAGTGACCGGCGGGGGCTTCAGATGCAACTACTTTGTCTTCTTTACCATGATGTGTGCTATAGGTCATAAAATTGACACCAGAATGTTTTTGCTGTACTGATTGTTGTTGACCAGAGATGGAAGAAGTAGAAGAAGAAGGAGATAAGGTGAGATCAGGATCAATGACTCGAGACTTGCGACGATTAGCACGGCTCTTTGACTTTTTCTTGGTAGATTCTCTTGATCCAACATTGTTCAGGACATCTTCGCCAGTGGCAGGTGTCATAGAGGCTTCTAAAAGACCATCGATAACAAAAAACAAGCCATTGTTGTGAGCACCTTCACGTACAAGCACAGCATCTTTAGGGAAATACAGGATCTGAACGTCATCGGGTGAAATGGGTGCAGAGCTTTTGTGGTTACTAAAGATATCAGAGTTTGTGTTTCCAGAATGAACAGAAGATGTAGTTGAGCGAGCATCAAGATCATCATCATAATAAAGACTATCCAAGGCGTCTAATGAAGGCGAATTGCTTGTGTCGACTGTACCTGTATGCGAGAACAAATCCATAGGATAATGAGGAAAGCGGCGAGGATTGCGAGGTGACATGGTCAAGGAACGAGGCGATTGTGTGCCTTGAGGCGTACTCTCATTGGCATCAGGTAATTTGTGCTTGATACCTAATGCTGCAGACACACATTGCATGACGGATGTTCTTAAATGTTCATCGTCTTCCATACTATATTCCCCTCTTCTGTTCATTTTTTGACGCATCAAATGTGGAGATCCAGATTTTGTGGCAGAAGTAGGCGAATTACCAGAGTTAACACTAGAAGGACTATTACCATGCAAAGAAGGAGTGCCAGGAATATCAATGATACCAATAGCACGTATAATGCCAGAGTTTTCACTTCGACTGATTTCAGAAGGGCCTAAACTACTGTCTCCATCTTGAGAAGAAATTTCTTCGTCATTAAACTTGCGTCGCAAACGGTCCATGCCTCCAGGCACAAAGAAATCAGGAGGTAATTCATGCAAATTACTGGCTGATTCATTAACCAACTTTTCCAAGCGCAACAGTTCCTTTGTAAGCCCTAGGTAACGATGACTTGTCATGAGAGTAACTCGCTGAAATCGAGTCATGATAACTTGAACAATATGAGCAGCTGCCTTAGGAAACTTTTGAGTTAGTTTGTGAAAAGCTTCTTCTGGAATGACAGCTAAAGTGGTATCTACTGTAGCACGGGCAATAATATTGGGATGAACAGATCTATAAGATCGTCGCAAACTATCATGTTTTGTACGTTGTTTTGAGATACCTGAGGATGTAGACAATTTGCGCAATGGTGCAGGCATAGCAATCTCGTTGTTTGTTTCATACGATTCCTGTGTATCATGTTCACCTGTAAAATAGTTGTCTTCCAAGTCGCTTGCTAATTGAGATAAAGTGGTAGCTTTCATTGGTTTTTGAGGATTACTGTTGTCAGATTCGGGTCGAGAAGTAACACCACTGGGAGCACCCGAGTCTTCTAAGCCAGGAAAGACTTGACGCCATTCATCTATGTTTGATCCAGCCATAGGATCCATCAGCAAAGGTGCCAGGCGGGACAAATGAGATCGTTGGCCTTGCGTTGATTTTTGTCTCTGTCTTTCTTTGGCTTCAGAACGACTAAAGCTTTCTCTAAAAATAGACAAAATAGTAAACAAACTCGAAAGAGTGCCACCTGCACTAACTTCGTTGATCAAAGTGTAATTCTTGAATTTATCTCTCTTTCTGTCCTTTTCTCCGTCAAGATACTCTGATGGTGTACGCCATGACTGATAATGATAGTCCTGCTCCAAATCACTATCTGTTTCATCCTCGTCGTCCTCATCGTTGGCATTTTCAGGCTTCACAAACATTTGCACGTGCCCATCGACAACAATGTAAAACGAACGCTCTTGTTCCGGGTTTCTAAAAAGAGTGTCGCCGGCTAACATTTTCTTTGTCTGCAAATGACGAGCAAGTTCATGAAACACGGGCTGCTCGAGGTAACCAAATATTTTGATGGACGACAAAAATGCTGACAAGAATTCATCAGGATAATTCTTGTAGCCTCCTGGTTTGCTAAAATCTCCATAATCCTCTTCAGTGTCTGGGTGTAAATCAAATGACGAAGCTACCTTGGGTGGTTTGGTGATTGGTTTAAGACGAGAGTATTTTGTCAAAAATCGATAGCGCACAATCAAATAAGCAATCGTCGCAATTACTGCCAGGATAACCAAGAGAGATGAAAAATTAAGGTGAAGAGTAAAAGACCAGGTCAAGACTCGGTAAAAAAACAAAGGGATAGATATCGTAGTGAAACTTACAAATCGAAGCAAAGTCCTTGGAACAAAGCCGATGACTCGAGAGAAAGCAGATCTATGTGTTTTTTGTTGTATTGCTTCGTAAAGCACTTCAGAAGGGGATGGTACTGTTACTGATTTAACGGTATCCTCCATAATTGCCAGATAAAAACAAGAAAGAACAAGAAAGAAAGAAGAAAAGAGAAGAACTTAATTTTATGAAAAGGTGGAGTTTCAAGATCGTATCGTGTAACAACATATCATCATATGAAAAGTATTTTTTAAATAAGACCTTGCTTGAGTCTGAGAGCATTGTGTTTAATCAAGACAAAAATATATTTCTTTGTGGATCTATAAATTCCTTGTTCATTGAATGGATATTAACACCCTTTGTTGTTCCTGTCGAGAGGAGTTGTTTACGTTTTTGTGTCACCAACATACTTTTGCATATTTTTATTGACTTTACTGAATTGACCATTTAAATCTATCAATAATCAAAAAATAAAAGAATTTATGCTATTCAAAGTGCTGTACATGGTTTATTTCTCTACTTTCAACAAGAATAATAAAAGAACTTTTGTTGAAATGAAGGAAATGACGTTAGAGCTGTTACACGAACAGAAATGTCATGGAAAAATCTAGAGATTAATACTCAACAAAACGAACAGAGATTCTCGCTTTTTCGGCAATTGTGATTCTAATTCAGCTGCTCATTTCTCATGATGTGTGGCTTATCAATCGACTCTGACAACATCAGAATGAATATTAGGTTATGCAAAAGCAGATTGAGCAAACATAATTTTCAATTTGAACTCAGGAAATAAGCATCGCACGCGTGCAGCTTTTCATTTCTTTTTTCGTTAAAATATGAGTGGAAATCCTTTTCTACAGCCAGATTCGCCTGGCCTAACGTCTTCTTCAAGAAACAGAATGGCTATGAGACCAGCTTATAACGCAATGCGTGCATCATCTGATGATTACCATGAATCGAACGACGACATGGTACAGGGCGACTTTTCTGAATTTGAAGGTATACATCATCTCGGAAGTTCGTTTCCATCGCAACTAAATCTTTATGCTAGCTGTATTGAGAGAGATTCATGAAGGATGGGCTTTTATGTTGGAAGACGACGTAAGCCAAAATAGTGATGTGCTGTTTATATTAATACACCATGCAGTTTGATCCAGTTGCTTTGACACTTAAACTAATGGACGACAGTTCTGTTGGTAAAAAAAAGGATTACAAAGCGTTTCAGCGTGTACTTTACAACCTCGATATGGCTCTGAAAACTATTGTCAATGGTATATTGACAGCTTGAGAATGATAGAGATTTTAATAGGATCACAATGTAGATTATTATAGAGGATTCAATAGTTCAATTGGCACTTTTGGTGGTGTCTTGCAATATATCAATGGTAACAGACATCAAAATACCATCCAATGTGTTGATACCATCATTAGATTCTTCAACTAGAGTAGTTCAAATGAAATCCAACTTGAAGAAATGCAAAGAAGAACTCCTCTCTAAAAGAAACGACTTGTTGAATTTATGGTACAAATCACAACAGTACAAAGAAATGCTCAGTCTTTTGGAGATAATGTAAGTCTTAGCCAGTTTGGGACGACCTACTCATTTTCATATAGAGAAGAACTACGAATTACACCAGAAAAGATTGAAGCCATGATGGAAAGTAAGCATGTCTTGGGTGCTGCTAAATTACTTGTGAGCTCTTTAAAGCAAGCCATGAACAAAGGAATGATGCAAATTGGTGCATTAGACGATGTTCGAAGAACCTTAACATCGCAAAAGAATGTATGTGAAAGGAAATAATTATGACTTGTGTTCAATAGACATATTAGCTCTTGTATGATATGCTTGTAGAAGAACTTCATAACCATTTATACCTAAAGAATTCATACTGTGATAACCGATGGGCAACTTACACACCTCAGCAGCAAGATTGTAAGTACATCTTTGGTTCAATGATACATACTAATTTAATAAGTGCCTGAAATTGCTGTCAAACCAAGAGAGTTTAACGAATCGTCACAAAAGGATCAATTTAAGGACTATCAAGATTTCGAAGACTTGTTTGCTATTGAAAATGACATTGTAGAGTAAAAGAAGACATGAGGATATCTACTGATATTATCTAATAGTTGACTGAAGATCCAGACAAAAATCCAGAAACAGACTCTTATTATTATATTGAGATCATTACAGAAGCACTTTTAGTGCTTGGAGAAATACCCGCTGCTATAGAAGTATATAAGCAGTACAAAACGGATGGAATTGACTTATTTGTGCTCTTTAGACAATTCAAGAACGACTGTCTGTTGAAATACATGCTATTGTAGACAAGACAATTGCACAAGTGGAGGCGAGGCATGTTAATACAGGAGCTACCAGTCGCAAAAATGATAAAAATACCGATGAAAATGATATTTATTGCCTTGATAAAGCAAACTCTGAATCAAAGAATGAAATTCTCAAAGATCTTTTATGGACTTTATATTCCAAATTAGAAGCTGTTCTTCGAGGACATCGCTTTTTAGAAACCTGTGCAAGAAGAATCAAAAAGGTAGGTATATTCAGTGAAGTGTTCAATTTTAATGAGGCATCCATAGAGAATTCAAACTGCTAAGGCAAACTCAGAAGAAGGTAAGTCTTTGCATTGCTGATATAGTCTAATCGTTCTTTTCAAGTCGGATTTTCTACTGATTTCAATATTTATCATTTTCACGAAATATGGAGACCTGTTCAGACTGAGGTATGTTTGAAGCAACGAACTATAGGTCAGTAAGATTTATATGTTTGAGTAGATTCGTTCTATCTTGCAAGACTATTTGTCAAGCTCAGATCAAAACATTGTCTCTGTCAACGAAAACACTTCAAACAAATCGTTCCGTGGTAAACGTGATAACCCTAGACAACTGTTTTCTTTTGCAGAAGCGGGAGGAGACAATGAACTGGATGAGTCTTATGAAGGCTTAAAGAAAACATTGCTTCTTTCATACAAGAAGCAAATTCCGGGCTTTGATGTTTCTAACCCAAATGCGTCCATTCATTCTACTATTGTTGATAAGTTTGCAAATGATGTGTCATCCAAGGGTCACAAAGTCTTGGTTAAGCCTGACGCTTATAATGTTAGTGTCTTATTGAAGCCTACAATGGCATTCTTACAACGTCTACGACAAGTATTTCCAAACTAGTAAGTCAAAATGACTTAAACCAACCAGTATACTCATCTCTTCCTCAAAAAGTGATGATCACAATGAAGAAGGATTTGGCAGCTTCTTGGATGATTTTGCTGTAAATGTATTTTTACCTCAGATTGAAGAAAAAGTTATGCAACTTATACAACATGCTACTGTTGGTAAGGCTAATCTATAAACTTAAAAGAACATGCATTTACACATATGAAATAGGCTTGGATGCATTTCAAGATGCTCGCGATTACAAAAACTACTCTAGATACCCTATTGCCAAGGTAAGAAAAATGCAAGCATACATAATAGTTCATCATTTTTTTAGAGCGCTGTTGCTTTGATCTCTGTCATTCAGAGCTTGTGTCGCACTATGCATAGTATGCCTTTTCATACTGACGAATATGTCCGACTAGTTGAAGTAGTTTTACTCAAGTTTTATGAAAAATGTTATCAACGTTTCTATTGTAAGTGATAGTTTTGTCTATTGGGTGTCTAATTGTTTCAAAGCTACTGTTGCCCGTGGAAGCTCTTACGCTGATGATCAGCAGAAAAATGTCACCGATGTTACTATTAGTACCAGTGGTGACTGGGCTCAAGATGAAAGTCTTGTCGGGCTGCTTGCACAAAATCCATTCTTTAATGAGGACTCGGTAAAAACAAGCGAATCACTCATGTTTGGAAACTAAAGTTTCTATAGAAAGCAGATCACGAATTCATAAAGGCATTAAACCAAGCGGTATGTACATAATATGCTATACAGGATCACTTATTTGTCTGTTTATTAAGGAAATTGCCATGGAGCTGAAACTCAAGAACGATAGATTGTTAGAATCCAACGAATTGATTTTTGATTCCAAGAAATTGATTGCATTAGGCAGACTATACCATACCTTAAAGTGGTTTGTACGTGAAATATGGGACTTACGCTCCTCTGATCTGCCTCCATCAACAGCAGTTAATCAAGAGCAAGAGTCTCTGGAAGTCAGAAACTCAAAACGATGGTCAAGTCAAGATTCCAAACCACAACTACTCGAAACAAATGATAACACGACGCCTGTTGTTCTACCTCTTCGAGGAGAAATTGCAAAGTAAGTCTATTCCTATATGTCAGTTTCGCTGATTCTATTGATAGGCGATTTGATGCTTTGCTCACGACATACCAACAACTTGCAGAAACATGTCTATTTACATTGCGTTTGGAAGGCCGTTGCCACACCATGTATTATCTTGAAATGGCAATTCGTGATGGCAATTACCATCTTGAAGACGAGTCGTTTGAACCTGATCCATATATCATCACTCTTAACTCTGATCTGATGGAGCTTGACGACTGTATTAATGCTTCTCTTCCACCTAGAGACGAGCTGTAAGTATGATCAAGCGTTATTCATGCAACTCACTTAAACAGGTTTGCATTTGATGGCTTGCCTGGATTGATTGTACATCTCTTGATATCCGAGGCAACGTACATTAAGCGACTCAACAAGAATGGTGTACAAAAGATGGTTCGAAATATTTTAGCACTTCAACAAAACTTGAGTAATTTTGTACCCTTGTCTCAGTGCTCAGTGATGCAGCGCGCAAGAGAGTACTATCAGCTATTCGGTCTAGGAAGTGAGGTAATGAAGGTTATGTAAAGTATAGTACACTGATGCATAATGGATAGGGCATCATTAAATCCATCCAAGAAAATGGGGCTAAATATACCTTTGATGAATACCGTGTCATACTTGGTTTAATTCACGACATTAGTCAAGAACAAGATGAGGAAGGTAAAAGTACCACACCTGCTTCTGCAGAAGAAAAGTCAAATGGCTCTAAATATAGCGAATGGTTAATGAAATTGGTGGACTTAATGGCAGATGACGAAGACTAATAAAGACCCTCTTTATACGATTGACTTATGGCACAAGTGTTAGTGAATGTAACAACAGAAACAGGAGAACATAATGGTTATGTCGAGGGTAGCAACGATATGTCAAATCATATCAAGGGGGATGCATGCATCTGCATGACAGCTCTTAGCTAGATAAGGGCAGGTGGTGGCACATAATATAAACAATGGAATTTAGGCGCTCCTGCTTTTTAGGAGGAACAAACAAAGACTATCATGTAACTCAGCACTTTAGGAAGATTCCATGTATTTTGTTTGCCAATCAAGGAGAAGATAAGAATAGTACAGGATTGTTTATTCTTTATTAGGCCTTTTTGTATATGTGAGAGGCAGTGAGGTGACTTTTTTCTTTGCTTAATATAAATTGTCCCTCTCTTTTTTTTTCTTTCTCTTTTATAATCACTTATCTTTCTCTCTTTTTACTATGTTGCGTCAATCAGTGCTCCACCAACCATTTTCTGTTGGCATCGGTAATGCTTCTTCAAATGAAGTTGCTATTCAAAAATCCTTGTTGCTTGATATTGTCAACGAGAATCATCATTTATATCAAATGGAAGTTAGAGATAGACCAAACAACATTATCCGTGTCCTTGTTGAGTTACATAAATTAGGAGGTAAGTTGCTTATAACAATGAACAGGCTTTACTAAATTGTTGTTTAGCAACTCAGGAACAACTTTCTATGGCCTATCAAAAGACCTTACTTGAAGTGGAACCTATCCGGTTATCTGATTCCCATAAAATTAATGAGAGAAACTGGCAAGAGTTTCTCGGATTATCATCGTATGTATCTAAAATAAGCTGCTAATTCAGCTGATTTCCAAAAATAGGTTTTATGGTGATTACCTGGTATTCTTTGACAACCAATTGTCGCTGTTGGGATTAGATGAGACACTCGACCGATACTTTTATTCTATCCCTCCTTCGATGGGATCGCAACTACAACCTATAGTGCAACTTGCATTTGGTATTGAACATGATTTACCCCAAATAGTCACACAAGCACTTGCTTACTACACTACATCATACCTCGATGTCTCGAGTATTCTTGACTATTGTGATGACCCAGCATCAAACTCTAATTCAAGGGCCTCACAGGATGCTCTAAATACTATTCTTTTCGATCTTATTCGAGCGGACCAACGCTTTGATGGTAAAATTGAAGGCTACAACACTTTTCAATCTGCTGTCAAGCTCCTATTAAAAAGCAAATATGACTTACTCAAGACATACGTAAAGACATGGTCCACGCTCTCAGATTCCGAGAGTCGGTTAGAAGCCCTTGTATTTTCAGCTACCACCTTGTACAAGATGGCCTCACGACAGCAACACGATGCGGCACATGTTGACCTTGACTGGTTCTTAGCAAGCGGACAATTGATCGATGCTACACTAGCGATCAAGCAAATCATGCGCCCCGACTTTTTAGAGGATTGGGTCAATCTTCTATTTTTAAATACACTGTGCACTTATGTGGTACAGGGCAGACCTATAAATAACAAGAACAGCAAACAACAAATGGAACATACCAATTTTGAATCATGCACAGCAACCATACTTCACAACTCTTTAGATCCTAAACTTGTTCTGGCTTTTACGTCTTTGCTTAAGGTGACAGAACAATATCCTCATTTCAGTTCACTGTGCCTTGATGTTGCTAACATGCTCGCTTTGTTCTCAAAAGATGGTACTTGGATTAAAGGTGGTCTTGGTTGGACTTGTTGAAAATGTTTTTATTTTTCTGAATACAGTTGTTCTATATATCCAATTGATAAAAAGTTTATTTCTGAACTGAAAATTACGCAATTCAGTGCTGCCAAACAGTGTTGACCCTCCTTCAGTTCATACATAAAAGTGCTGAGATGCCTTTAATTAGGAGCAAAACGCACTGCAAAAAAAAAAAAAAAAAAAAAAAAAAGGTTGTGGTTTTTAGTCTTCAAGGAAGATAATTTTGCACTTTTTGTGAGCTATTTGGCATTCAATAACTAACCTTAACACAATTGATGTATGGTCAATTGAATTTGATTTGGGGGATACACTATACCATCGAGAGTGGTGATGCGTGCGCCTCAACATAATTGACTTGCAAATGACGATTTAAAGACACACAACAAGCTTTGAGTGGTTTCTAACCCAAAAACTTGCTTTTAATGACGGTTTGTTTTGATTCCGGACATGTTATAGCTTAAAATAAAACAGCTTAACAAGAAGCAGATATACCCTTTTATATTTTTCGTTTATATTCTTTTATGTTCAGATTTGAACATTTATCTTAAAGTTGTAGACTTAGCAAAGGCATACTTTGATGCAAAAGTCAAAGTAAATGAGCATTCTTTAAGAGGTTCTTCCTATACTCCAATGAGACATAGAATTAAAGCAAGAAACTTTTTTGCCATGGAACTTGTCAGACTTTTACTTTGATAGATTTGTTCATCACTTTTAACATTTAAACAGCTGTTCATAGATTCTATCTATTTATCTGCTGCCATATACCTGTCAAAAAGCTTAGTCTTACCTATTTATGCATAACTCTAGCTTTGTTAGCATTGTTTGGTGCACAAAAGCAACTTTATAATGCATTTGATAAGATAGTAGCGTAAAGGCCATTTGTTCATGCATCTCTTAAAGTAGCCAAGGCAACAGATTGATTGGCTAAGCCACCTGACTTCGAATATGGTATTTTTATTTCCAGAAAAAATTTTTTCTTTTTCAAACCCTTGTCTTTAATTTCTACATTGTTGTCAAAATAAAGACCATATTGCTCAGGGTACCCAAACTCTTGTTTAGCTAACCTATGGAGCTAAAAGAGTGCTACCTTCCAGCCGTGTAGCTGTATCTGTTCAGTGTTTTGCTTTTTTGGCGCTGTTTGGATATGACGTTGTACTAAGACCTGTGTAACCAAAAGCTGGGGACAATAGCGATTGTTTATACACGTACGCACTAATTGGCTGCAGAGATCAGGTTTCTGGGTTTACTGATTCTCAATACATAGATACTTGTACTCCGGGGTACTTGTATACACAAAGGGAAAAAAAGAATGCGCAGTAGCATTCATACATACAAAGACAGAAGACGAGCTATCTTCAAACTACTGCAAATACTTGTACTTCGGGGTACTTGTATACACAAAGGGAAAAAAGAAGGCATGGTGTCACTTTCTAGGCTGAAACTGGTCTTTCTCTATCGACAAGGCTTTCTCTCAGGTGTCTCCAAGGTTACTCAGCAAGTCTCAAGGTCAATCAAGAATGGCTCTCATGGCTCAGTGGATATCTAGTAAGTATCTTCCAATGGTATTAAAAGTATAATACACTAAAGTCCTTTTGTTTAGGTGTTTGCAAGGCTGGTCATCAAGGTCTGTTACTGGTCCAAGACTGACTCTCTCCCTGGTTCTACCCTGTTATGGTTAGCAAGCTCAAGATCCCTAGGTATACTCTACTTATGGTGGTGTCTAAGGCGTCTCCAAGGTTGGCCATCATGGTGTGTTACTGGTGCAAGACTGTCTCCCTTTGATTCTGGTTCTTTCAAGCGTTTCAAGGTATCCATTGAAGGACTCAACAGATCTTCGCAATGCCGTCTGCTTTCTTCAGTCTTGTCTGTTTAAGAGTCTGATCAGCTCTTATTGAAGCAAGAAGAGGGTTTGGTTAGGCTTGATCATCCTAATCAAATCCACAATATGTTTGTGCTGTGTATACCAAATTCCTTTTTGTTTTTTACTAGCGTGTCCCCCCTCCTTCCCATCTCTACTTTTCTTTTCTTTTTTGTTGTGTTGTGGTTTAACTGTTGAAAAAGTAGGTGCATTTCTTCGTTTATGTTGTTTTTCTCTTCTTGGACTGAAGAAGGTTTTGTCTGGTGTCTTTAATGTAAGTAATAGTTGTCTTTTTCTTGTTTTACAGTCAGTGCCTGTGGTTGACTAGATCTTGTGCTTGCGCATTGTCTATTCATCTTTAGTTATTGGCAAAAACAGTCTTAAATAAAAGTAATGGGTTGAATCCACTAGTATAACTGCTTTATCCACTCACCTCTGTTGCTTTATTGTTGTCTTTTATTGTTAGTGCGAGTTGATCAGAGTACAGTTCACTTATTGAACTACAGCGATGTTGCTTTGATTGTACTATGCCATTACGTTTTGCTTTTGTGAATCTGTTGTCTAGTCTTTGTAACAACTGGATCAAAACGCGATTATGGTTTGTGAATGTCAATAAAAAAGAAATGATATTCAAAAGCAGCGAATACATACTAGAAAAAGAAAATTGGGTTTGAAATACGGAACCCTCTTTCTACAAGACATCCATTATTAGTTATACTTTAAATTGATCTCTTTAGTCTCAAGAGTGCCATGTACTATAGCAAATCCTACTAGAGTGCGTTCTGTGTATTGAATGATACATAATTAAGTACGCACTTACTTATTAATGTCTATTAAAGAGCCTCTTTTATACTGATAACAGTGTACAATAAACTTTGAATGGAGATTTGAAGGCAATACTCAAATTAAGTCGCCTTTTTCATCTTGGTAAACTCGTTTTCTTTTCCTCAGAAATACCTAGAGATGACCTTGGCTTATTTCGGTTGGATCAGACCTATAGCACAACTGTTTAGCAAACACATTTACCAAAAACTAGAGCCTCTGATGCACGTTTCGAGTATTTATGCTTGTCGATAGCTCTATTTTTTGTCTTGAAGCGTCAAGAAGATTAAGAGTTGTCAAACGAGCTTTTTTCATGGGTAATACCCTTTGCTCAAAAGGTCATTTTGACTATTTTTTACAAGTTGCTTTTTTTTTTGCCTAAATCAATTCCAAAAGTACCATGGATGTTAATGAGAATGTTCTGTAGATCTTCAGAACATTTAAACTTGCATTAACATGGTTTATGTCACTTTTGTGTGGTAATGCAATTTTGTGTATTCTATTCTTTTGATGGTCTCAATCTCGCCATTATTCGAATCAATGTATTTCAATTCTTATTTTGTAATTTGTATGATTTAATCAAATCAATGATGCATCGTTTCGAAAAGAAAAATCTAGCAATTGATGTATCTTATCCTGAACATTTCTTTGTTGTTGCATGTCTTTTGAACTGATTTTTTTTTTCGGCTAGTATTTCTAGTTTGACTGTTTTATCCATTGAGGTTCATTTAGGAGGAAAATTGTAGAATTGATCCAGGCATAATTCAAATTTTCTAGAAAGCATTTTCTTTGCTTTATCAACTGATCTAGTTTTTGTCTTTGGTGTAAGATTGAAAAGTTACGAAAATGCCACCATGACTACAAATCGCACCCTTTTTAAACGATCATGTTTTTAGCTGATACAGATGTTTTTTATTTTCTACATTTTAAAATGGTTTTCAACTTCTTCTCTCCAGACAGCTTTTGTGTCAAATTTACTTCCAAGCTTTGTGCACAGTAGGAATGCACCCGATAGCTTCTTGTGAAGACCATAAGTCTCATCTGGAGGAGGAGTTAGACGATGACGAAGCATGACAGGAATTGTTTCTCGCACACGCTGTGTAATTGTCTGGCTCTGGAAATCAAAGTTATCAGGTGCTGATGCCTTGAAAGGCTCTCCCAGAACCATGACACTATCAATATGAGCATTACGCATCACCTCAGTCTCATAGCCTGTTACAAATCCTAGTTCTTTTGAATATTTCCATACACCATCACGGTCATTATGAGCTGCTGAAACCAAAATGCGACCATAAAGATCCAAGAATTCTTGTGAGTATTCTCTACAAGCACCAAAATCAAGTAATTCAACTTGAGTCTTGTTGTAGAAAAAGTTTGACCAATTTGGATCTGTCTGCATGAATCTAAATAAAAATACTTCACGAAGGCAGAGACGCAGCAAATTTTCACCCAACTGTTTATTAGTTTTGCCAAACAAAAAGATTCACATACCTGATTACGAGTCTCTTGAGATTCTTCCACTGCTTTGCTTAACACACGCCCAGTTAATCTTTCACTAACCAAGACGCGCTCAGTACAGAGATCTTTGATTACTTTAGGCACTTTGTATCTTTGGTCTCCCTCCAGCAATGATTTGAATCGAATGGCGTTGTTTGCTTCACGGATGTAATCGCATTCCCAAGCAAGTTCCTCTTTGGTGACTTTAATGGTGTTATCCAAATACAATCCTCGAGGCAATAAATTACTGAATGTAACTAATGCTTTCAAATTACTGAGATCACTATCAATGGATTCAGCTACACCTGGATACTGAACCTTGATAACAACAGATTCATTTGTGCCTGCTAAAGTGGCTGCATGCACTTGCCCGATAGAGGCTGCAGCAATAGGTATGGGATCAAACTCTTTAAAGTTGGATCTCCAGTCACTTCCTAATTCTTTACTCATGACTTTTTCCATTTGTTTTTGAGGCATATAATTGGCACTGTCATGTACTCTCAACAAAATCTGTTCTAGTTGTGGGGGTAATCCAGTCTTATTGCCCGAGGCTTGAATGCCCTGAATACTGAGCATTTGGCCCATCTTGAGAGCAGCACCTCTCATACGTGACAGTTTATCAACTAGTCTATTGACATTACTTTCACTAAGCATAACAGAACCTATATCTACATTAGCATGATGTGCAGTCTATTATAGATTTACCTGAGCTGTCTTGAGATAGGCCTGTGGCTCTTCTAAATGATTCATTGATAGCCCCTATACCCATACCAGTCGCTAAAGTTCCATAATTCCAAAGCCTTCCAATACGAGAAGTAGGAATACGTGATTCTTTAAGTTCTTTACGCTTTGTCTCTGATAAAATGTCTTTTACTATAGGTGTTTCTACTATAGGTGTTTCTACTATAGGCGTTTCTTTTATAGGCGTTTCTTTTATAGGTGTTTCTTTTATAGGTGTTTCTTTTATAGGTGTTTCTTTTATAGGTGTTTTAGGCACAGGTTTCTTGATGCTTGCTGTTGCTGTTGTTCTTGTTGTTATAAGTTCAGTTTCTTTAGGAGGAATAGTTTCGTTTATGCGCGTAGTATTTTGTTCAGATACTGCTTCTTTATTTTTATATTGATGTCCTACTGCTTTGTTTTTTTGATAGGATACTGGTGGCTCAGACACTACTTTTCCTTCGTATTCTGGAAAAGGAACTTCAATAGCAGTTTCCCTGTCGATATGCTCCACTGGCATAGGAGGTGCTTCCGGCTTTATAGGTGTAGGATTCAATAGACTTGATGTTTTTACGTGATGACAGAGAGCAGAGGCCTGGCTTGCAACCACATTGGAGCCAACCTTAGATACTCCACTTGCCAACACATACAGATCAACTAGACTTCGAGAAAGTGACATATAAAGAGCAAACTGAACTTGACAGGCCTAAATCCATTTCTTTAATGAAGCCACGCTTTGTGACGTAGATTCTGCGGCCAAAAAAATGCCTCAAAATGCATTCACTCTATAAAAAAAATTTCTTCTTTCCTTATGACAGAACCACAAGAAAACACGGGCGAACTCGGTTGGCCCGAGTTCATAAAGACAAGAGTCATGACCACTATCACATACTCTGGTATTTCTGATAGACTTGACTTTCTCAATCATGCACTCTTGATTCGTCTTCGTAGAAAAGGTACAACCGAGATTACTTGACACTTTTCTAATCTAAACGCGTATAGACTTGCCTGTAGAAGCACTTCCTTCATTATTACATTTGATTTTTTTAACTATATCTCGTTATCAAGATCGTGCTTCTCGTGTTGCCATTATTGAAGTGATCAAGGAACTCAACAATTGGAATGCTGAAGTCTTTCAAAAAATGTTTGTGCCTGTTGTGGCCAGAGAAGCTGAAAAATATAGCAAGCATAAACCTACAGGGTAAATCATGCACACCAATAGAAAACAACAGTGGCGCAGCGATTGATAATTTCTTTCTTTTAGTGAAAGCGTATTCCCTGCCGCAGATCGATTTGTGTTACTGACTTGGGTCAATGTGCTCTTCACATGTGTATTAAAACAGGTTACTACAGAAGGAGCAAAGACCAGTCCCTTATTCTCGACTATTCTTAATGCTCAAGCTGCCTTGATTGATTCACTTGTTCATGACGCCAAAAAGACCATTAGTAGAAGTGCTGTTGCTGATGTTAGACGCACCATTCGAAACAACGCTGAAGCAATTCCTGTTATTCTTGAAGTCGCCTTAAGCAATGCACAGACATGTACACCATCTTTTAAAAATGCAGTGTTGATTGGAACTGTGGTTGATGTCAGCCTTCGTTTGAAGACCCGCAATGATGGAAAGACAATGATTGAGAATGCAGCATCTCGCTTGACCGAATATTATCTTAAGAATGTTGTTTCTTCAAGAGTGGCTGTTCATAAAGCAGCATTGGATGCATTCAATGACTTTATCGCAACTTTTATTAGCAGGGATAAATTCGAAAGCGAGTTTTTACCTGTCCTTGACAAGATGATGCTTCGATCTCCCGAAGTTGTTTTATTAGGTAAGAAAGGACAACACACTATTAGGACAGCACATTCATTTTCTATATAAGCACTTGCGCGTATCACACCTGCGTTTTCATTTGATCCCTCCTCTATTTTTACCAACAAATGGCTTGATCCTCTTCTTAACCACTTGCGTTCAACTTCACCTACAACCGTCAATGGTGCTAAATCATTTTGGGAAGCTTTGTCACTTGCTTGTCACGAAACTGATTCTTTAGTCAAAGTGGCAGAGGGTGTGTCTAAATTACTAGCAAGCGGCAAGGTAAACTCCTGGGAGCATCGTGTTATTATGTACAATGCACTTTCATCCCTTGCTCAGGTGACTGATCCCACTGTCAGTCAAAAGGCTTTAGAAGGCTATTTTGCTATGACTTCTAAAGAAGCTCATGAACAGGCTATGGCTACTGCTGTTGATGGTATTGGAAGACACTTAACAGTATTGATTTACAACGATGAGTTCTGTGCTGCCCACAAAGATTTTGTGGAAAAGGTGTTTAAGACATCAACAGATGGTTTGGATGCTGCCAAGCCATTGGCAAGAAAGAGCTGGGCTAATGCTGTAGGTGCTACTGTTTGGGATCACAAGAATGCTACAAGTGCTACTTTGAGTGCCAACATTGTCAAATATTTACAAGCCTTGTTCAAGACATTTAACAAGATTGTAGACAAGCCCTTGTTGTGGAAGGATGGACCTTTGGAAGCCTATGTCATGGTTTCTATTATTTCAGGACGTATCCAACACTGGCCCACTGTACCTCAGCCTGTTGTCGATCTCTTAAAAACTCAAAAATACCCATCTCAATTATTAGTCTCTTCACCAAAGCCCAGTTATTTGTTGTGGGATCGTATTTACACGAAGGCTTTATCTGCTGATGAAGGCACTTGGCTTATCAGAGCTCTTGCTCATGTCTTTATCAACGAAAGCCAAGAATCGCTTGAAAAGACAGGTGCGGGTCACTTGGCTGCTATGGCTCTTATCTGGATTGCTACAAGCCATCCTGAACACACTGTGCGTAGAATTGCCTTTAATGAGATTGCTGATATTACTGCCAAGGAAGCTGTCAAGTTGAACTATTTCATGAAACCAGCCGTCAGACAATGGCTTTTAGATATCGAACACAATGTCAAAGACTCTACAGCTGTTGCTGCTACTAACGCTGATAGCTACAACAAAGAAATTGCCATTACTCGTCTTGCTTCTGTCTTGAATGCAATGACTTCATTCTCTGCTGATGTACCTGAATCCACAAAGGGTATTGAACTGATTGATTTGATGGTCTTGTCTCACCATAAGTACATCGCTTCTCCTACCAACAAATATAACTGGATCACCTTGGTTCAACGTGCTCATGTTGACCCTGGAAAACTAGTCCAGGAAAAGGAACACAAGATTTTAGAGATTTTGAAAGCAACACTTGAAGCTCGCAAAGAGGTAGATCAAACATACATGTTGTATTGTAACTAATATTGTCTAGTCTGAATTATTCTATCAAGCTGCTATTTCTGCTATTTCCACTTTGGTCTTTGTTTCTCCTGACTCGATTGCCGAATTTGTTAATTTCGCTGACAATAACTTGAAGCCTGAGTTGATTAAGGACATTGGCGAATTGGAAACAAATATCTGGAAGGCTCCTGCTGATATTCCATTTGTTGATGTTCTCAACAAAAACAAAAAGACTGAGAGCCGAAACAACAGAAAAGGAAAGAACGATGATGAATGGGAAGAAGAGCTTCGTGCTGAACTTGCCAAGAAGAAGGGTGTAGCACAAAAGCTTTCCAAGGAAGAGCAAGCTGCTGTCAATGCTCAACTAAAGAAAGAAGCTGATATTCGTTCTCATGTCCAAACTGTTTACGAAAAGGTTACTCTTGGCTTGGATGTCATCCGTGCTGTTGTTGCTGGGAACTGTGAAGCCGTTGAAGAATACCTCGTTGACCTCGTTCGCATTTTGTTGGATGCCGGCAAGCATCATGCTGGTCTCCTCGTTGGCGACCTTTTGGTCGATACTTATCGTCAATTGGGTGACTGCATTACTGAAGATGTACAGCCTATTCGTGACGCCATTGCTTTGGCTACACTTCGTGCCAACAAGATTCATCCTATCCCAGCGCGTTGGTTGGATGAGTCTTTAAGTGCTCTTGTTCCTCGTGTTCTTTTCCGTTTACGTTTCATTACTGAATCTCGACCTTTACCTCCTGCTTCTTTTGGCTTTATTTTCCCTGTTCTTTATCAAGTCATTGCTCAAGGCGGCATTGATTGTAACAAGAATGATGAGGCCGGTCTTGAACAAGTGACGATGGCTGTTGACGTGATTAACTTCCACTGTATTCATGGTCAATCTTTAATCCTTCCTCGTCAAGAAATGATTGATATCTTGTTGCGTAGTATTAAAGACTATCCTTCATGCAGCAAGACAGCTAAAAATTCACTTGTCACTTTGTGTGAGACAATGGGTGATTCTATAGAATCTAGTGAGATTAACACACTCCTTCAAGGTTTGTTGTCTTCTGAAGTACTTGTTCGTACTGCTGCTCTTCAAGCATTGCAACTATTGGATTTGACTGATATTGATTACTCTCCTGAATTGTGGGTTGCCTGTCACGATGAAAATGAATCCAATGCCGAATTGGCCAAGGCTCAATGGGAAGACAATGCTATGGAAGTCGACGAGAACTTTAGAGAACAATTATTGACATACATTGTGTCTGACAGCAGCTATGTCCGTCAAGCTGCTAGTCATGCTCTTGCTGAAGCTGTTGAGGAATACCCTGAATCTGCTTATGATACACTTCAAGCTATTTATGCCTTGTACAAGAAGTTATCCGCTTCTCTTGATCCTGAATACGATGAATACGGTATGGTGATTCCTGAAACCCTTGACCGTGCTGATCCTTGGGAAGCCCGTGTTGGCCTTGCTCTTACCCTCAAGGCACTTGCTCCTTTGATGCAACTTGAAAATGCCACTAGTTTCTGTAAATTCTTGATCAATGAAAAAGCACTTGGTGATCGTAACGAACAAGTCCGTAGACGTATGCTTGAAGCTGGTATGGCTGCCATCAATGCTTATGGTAAGGTGGATGTTGAAGAGTTCTTGGTTTCTTTTGAAACCTATTTGAACTCCACTACCGATAACAGTGATGTCCAAGACCATATCCGTCAAGCCGCTGTTATTCTCTATGGTGGCGCTGCAGGTTACTTGAATCTTGGTGATGAAAAGGTCAGCACAGCTGTTGAAAAGCTGATTGAGACATTAGATACTCCTTCTGAGACTGTTCAAAGCGCTGTTGCTGACTGTTTGCCTCCTCTTATCAAGATGTGTAAGGATGAAGTGCCTCGTTTGATTAAATCTCTTTTGAACAAGTTGTTTAAGGGCGAAAAGTATGCTCAACGTCGTGGTGCTGCTTATGGTCTTGCTGGTGTTGTCAAGGGCCGTGGTATCACTGCCTTAAAGGAATGTAATGTCATGAATGCTTTGAAGGATGCTGTTGATAACAAGCGCATGTACGAATACAGACAAGGTGCTCTTTTTGCTTTTGAAACTTTGTCTGCTACTCTTGGTCGTTTGTTTGAACCTTATATCATTCAGATCATTCCTCTCCTGCTTGTTTGCTCCAGTGATGCCAACATAGATGTTCGTGAAGCTTCTTCTGATGCCGCTCGTGTCATTATGAGTAAGATCAGTGGTCACTGTGTGAAGCTTATCTTGCCTTCTATCCTTGAAGGTTTAGAAGAGCGTCAATGGCGTACCAAGAAGGCCTCTGTTGAACTCTTGGGTTCTATGGCTTATTGTGCTCCTAAGCAATTGTCTGTTTCTCTTCCTAATATCATTCCTCGCATTTCTGAAGTCTTGGCTGATACTCACTCCCAAGTTCAAGCTGCAGCCAACCGTTCTCTTCAATTGTTTGGTGAAGTTATTAGTAATCCTGAAATTCAAGAACTTGTTCCTGTCTTGTTGAAGGCTCTCAGTGACCCCAACACCAAGACAGCACCTGCTCTTACTGCTCTTTTGCAAACTTCATTTGTTCACTATATTGATCCACCCTCTCTTGCTCTTGTGATGCCTATTTTGGAACGTGGTCTTCGTGAACGTGCTACTGATATTAAAACTAAGTCTGCTCAAATTGTAGGTAATATGGCCTCTTTGACTGATCAAAAGGACCTTGTTCCTTATCTCAGTATCATCTTGCCTGGTCTTCACAGCGTCTTGGTCGATCCTGTCCCTGCTGCTCGTGGTACTGCTGCCAAGGCTTTAGGTGCTCTTGTTGAGAAATTAGGCGAAGAGAACTTCCCTGGTCTTGTTCTTGACTTGCTCGATACCCTCAAGACGGATTCTGGTGGTGTTGACAGACAAGGTGCTGCCCAAGGTCTCTCCGAAGTTCTTGCCGGTCTTGGTCTTGAGCGTCTTGATGGCTTGTTGCCTGAAATCATTTCGAATGCTGACTCACCTCGTGCCTATGTTCGTGAAGGTTTTATTTCGCTTTTGATTTACTTGCCTGCCACATTTGGTGCTCGCTTCCAACCTTACCTTGGCCGTATTATTCCTCCTATTCTCATGGGTCTTGCTGATGAATCCGAATATGTTCGTGAAGCATCTCTTCGTGCTGGTCGTATGATTGTCACCAATTATGCCACTAAGGCTGTTGATTTGTTATTGCCAGAATTGGAGAAGGGTCTATTTGATAGCAAGTGGCGTATTCGTCAAAGTTCAGTTCAACTTGTGGGTGAACTCTTGTTCCGTATCACTGGTATTACTAACAAGAGTAACGATATGGCTCTTGGTAATGTCGAAGAGTTGGGTGACGATGATGCTGATGCTGGCTATGACGACTATGGTTCTGAAACCAAGAAGAAGCAACTTGTTGAAGTGCTTGGTAAGGAAAGAAGAGATCGTATCTTGGCTGCCTTGTACATTGTTAGACAAGATGCTTCGGGTGTTGTCAGACAAGCTTCTCTTCAAGTTTGGAAGGTCCTTGTTTCCAACACACCTCGTACTCTCAAGGATATCTTGACTGTCATGACTTCCATGATTATCAACATTTTGTCTAGCGATAACTTTGAACAACGCGCTGTTGCTGGCCGTACCTTGAGCGAACTCGTTCAGAAATTGGGTGAAGGTGTCTTGCCTGAAATCCTTCCTGTATTGGAACAAGATATGCAATCTGATGATGAAAGCGTTCGTTTGGGTGTCACTCTTGCTTACAGTGAAATCATGACTGCTGCTGATAAGGTTCAAGTGATGGACTTTGCTGATCAAATCACACCTGTCATCAAGGGTGCTTTATGTGATCCTTCTGAAGAAGTACGTGAAGCAGCTGCACAAGGTAAAGTCGAAATTTTATTTAAATAGTAGCTAATTTTTATGTTATAGCCTTTGACACTCTTCATCAAAATGTGGGCGCTAGAGCCATTGATGAAATCCTTCCTTCTTTACTTAACAAGCTTCAATCATCTGATGAATCATCAACTTATGCTTTATCTGCTTTGAAGGAAATCATGTCTGTTCGTTCCAATGTTGTCTTCCCCGTGCTCATCCCTACTCTTATCACAGTGCCTATCAGTGCTTTCAATGCACGTGCTTTGGCCTCTCTTGTCACAGTTGCTGGTCCTGCACTTAACAAGCGTTTGATTGCCATTCTTGAAGCACTGGTTGAAACTCTTATGGTTGAAAAGGATGAAGAGACTATTGAAGCCCTCAAGGCTACTACAGAAGCTTTCTTGTTATCTGTTGACGACGAAGATGGTCTTCACACCTTGACTGTTGCACTTATGGAATATGCCAGAGATGATAACCCTCTTAAGCGTGCTGCTGCCTGTGACATCACTGCTCAATTCTTTAATGAATCTGAACTGGATGCATCCTATTATGTTCCTGATTGGATTCACTTGTTGATGTTGCTCCTTGATGATCCATATGAACAAGTGATTCAATCTGCTTGGAATGCATTGACTGCCATTGTCAAGTCTTTGCCCAAGGAACAATACGAAGAGCTGGTGTCCCCTACTCGTCATGCTATCACCACAGTTGGTATGGCTGGTGTTGATATTCCTGGCTTATGCTTGCCAAAGGGTATTGGCTGTGTCTTGCCCATCTTCTTGCAAGGTTTAATGTATGGTTCTACCGAAGTACGTGAACAATCAGCACTTGGTGTAGGTGACTTGATTGACCGTACATCTGCTGCTGCCTTGAAGCCATTTGTTACTCAGATCACAGGTCCTCTCATTCGTATCTTGGGTGACCGTTACCCTGCGGAAGTAAAGGCAGCCATTTTACAAACACTTGGGTAAGTTGAATGATTGAATTTAAATCAAAAGATTAACACTTTATAGCTTGATGTTGAACAAGGTCCCTATGCATCTCAAGCTCTTCTTGCCACAACTTCAACGTACTTTTGTCAAATCTTACTCTGACTCTACAAGCGATGTTGTTCGTGAGCGTGCTGCTTCTGCCTTGAAAGCACTTAGTGCTTTACAGCCTCGTGTGGATCCCACTGTAGCTGAAATCCTTAAAAACGAATCACTTTAGACTCTTTTGTACTATATATTATACATACATAAATGAAACTAATTAGAGCTATCTAATTGTCATAAAGCAATACTGTTGCCAGTGTATTTTCTTTAGAAGAAAAGTTGTCAGCCTATAAAATTATCATTCATTTGACATATATCTTTCATATGCCTAATCAAGTTACACAATTCTTCTAGATAACTTTTGTGTATTCCGAGAAGCCCAAGATCTGTGCACTCAAGCGACATTTTTTGTTGTACCAAGTATTCCGACAATCCGAAGTTGTATTTTATCTATTTATTACGAAAACACCATATACATTTTAACCGAGAAAACAAAACAAAAACAAAATGGCATGGCATACATCAATGTCATTGGAAAAGAGGATTTTCTTTTTAGCTTTCCGAAAATAGTTATTTTTCTTGTTTTTTTTTTTTTATTTGCGTAAATATTGTTGGTTAGACATTATCACATGCTTATATTGTTTTTTTTTTTTGTCTATATAAATCTCGAGTAACCTTTTCTTTGTCTTTCTTTCTCCTTTAACTTAATGCCGTCCTTTGTTTCTTCTATTTTTCATAATTCTGCTAGTAAGATAGAGTCTACATTACTAGGAAAGAATTCTCGATTAGCAATGCATGCTCCAAATAACTGTTATTACAGCACCGATAATATACCCGCCCCTCCACCCTACGACACCATGCCAAGTCCTACGCCTACACCAAGTAATTCATGGACATCAGAAATGAGTGCTCTAGCAGAGAAAATTAGAGACGATGTCACCAGCACTTTTAAGGGCAATCACAAATCCAATTCGCAACAAGTAGATAGACACAGCATTTCTCAAGGGATGAAGCTCGTGTCGATCGCAGCAGACGAGTATGAAAGTGGCAATGAATCTGTCGCATTAGATCTTTATTTGACTGGCGTAGATAAAATATTAATGGCCTTGCCAAGTAAAGTCATTGTTTATTTGTTTGTATATTAATCTAACATGTTGTTAATTATAGATAAGACGGATTTAAATACTAAAACAGCGATTAGAGAAAAACTTCAGAGTGTAGAAGAACGTGTGGGTATACTCAACTTGGCAGCCTCTCAAAAGAAGTTACGGCAAGAGGATACGGATATCAAGAGCTCTACTGTCAACTCTTATATTTTATCCCGCATTGCTTCTACTATCAGTACAATCAGTAATAAGGCTTATCAATCAGCCAAAATAGAAGAAGAAGACTGCAGTGCAAGTAGCAACATCACAACCCATATGGAAGGAGATTCAATGACAAGATTTAAGCGATTTGGGCAGTATATGATTGACGCAGCAGTGACTTGTGCTATCTTGATCAAACAGTCTCCACTTCCAGGCAAATATAACTTATTGAAACATGTATTAGACATGTTTATGCTCAATATTTAAATAGGCCTCTTATCGTTTCTATTTGGTTATGTGATTCAACTATTCTTGTGGATCGATTCACAGTACCACATTATACAAAAGTTGCAAGACATGAGTGTTCAACTTATCAAGTTGAGTTTACAAGCCGATGAACAATATCGTCTGCATGAGTATATATCAGAGGGTCTCTATATAGTGTTTGCTGCCGGCTTGAAGGCTGTTGTTGCATTTAAAGAAACACCGCGTAAAAATGAGGCATCTGATGGCTATCCCAGCCGTAAAAAAGAGCGAGTCATGGCTTGTGCACCACCAGCACCACAAAAGACAAGTACATCTTGGACTCCATGGTAACAATCACTACACTATAGCATTGTGAAAGCCAGAATAAAGTTAGAATGGAGTTAATGTGTTAACTCTGATTAGAGTGAAATTAGAGGCTCAATGACCACATAAAGGACGGTAATGGTTGCAAGGAAATTTTACAAAAGCAACCTATTGTTGTTTATCTAGCCTAATCGTTTGGTCATTTCCTTTTGTCTGTCGCTTGAGCTATTCTAAACTCTTTTTATGAGAATAAAATACAATATAATTCCCTTTCTTTTTTCAGTGTATGTTTTATTTCTATAGTTAACAAATGACTTTATTTTTCAGCATGATATTGATGAGTTCATTTAATGGCTGTATCTCTTGCTTTTCAAGCAGATCAAATTCCCTGGCAAAAGAGATAAAATGAGCAAAAAGTGAGTTAAAATGAGGCTCTTCATGAAGACACAGCACTTTATCAAAATGTTCATGGTAAATATGGGCAAACAATCTAAACATTTGCCCAAACATCTTCTTTACCACTGAATGTAATTCCCGTGGAAAGTCAGGACCTTTAACAAAAATGTGAATTGGTGCTCTTTTCGTGTCTATCTATGCTTACCTGATTTTGTAGGGAACAAAGATTCGTCATTCAGCATGATTTCTATGCTGCTTGTCATGTAGTCAATGTACTGGGGAGCAGACAATTTCACTTTTTTAGAAGTAGAGTCTGACCATGTATACTCAACACTATAGATAATGTTGATTTATGTGTTATTAAGTAGTATATAGTTACCCTGAACCAGCAGACATTGTTGGGCATGATTGAGGCGTACAAAAATTAGTAATTGAGCCATAAAACAAATTGATATGGTTAAAAAACTCAAATGCTATTGAGAACAAAATTAGAATGGCGCTTTTGTTTCATTGGGTGTCATTTACTGTTGAATGCAAGCCATTCATTTATATCTACATATTTCGGTAGTTCTACAATTGTTCTAAAGTTTCCTTTGACAAGCATGTTGTTTACATAAGGGCTACACAAGTAAAGAGACTTTGAAGAAGCAGACAATTGAGAAGTAGAGTGGTTGGCGTGATGACTATGTATTGATGAGGAAGATGATCCTGCTGACTTTTTTGAAGACTTGTTGCTTTTTTTACCAAAACTGTAAATAGTGAGTACATGATTCTTTTTTTTTTTTTGTTTTTTTTTTGCTTTAAATTACCTAAATCCTAAGAAATTCATCATGATTTTATGTTACTAAGAAAAAAAAAATAAAGAGAAAAAAAAAAGAGAAATGTACTTTGAACACGCCTAAAAGCGAGATTGTGACTCCTTTTCGAATTATGTTGCAGAATTCATGGTTACTCAATGCAATCTCGAAAAGCTTCAACTCAATCTCAACTTTATACCAACTGACAAACATAAAAAGTAGCTTAAATCGATTGGTTTTCTATTGAGAGAATGTCTAGGAAGATGCTAGACAAAGCAAAACCTAATTTTAGCTTACTGTCAGACATAGCTGGACAAACTTGTACTAGGAGGAGCTGAATTTTACTATGCAAATCAGGTTAGCAAGGATTTTTTTGTAAGATGGCTACTTGAACAAGTTCTTTAGATCAACATTATATTTTGATGCAAAGGCAGTCAAAAATGGTTCCTTACCCCTTGATTTAAAAGATCAACATGCTGAAATGATTGAATTAATTTGTTTACCTGAGCAATTCTAGTAAGAATGCCCTGTATAAGCTTAAAGTTGTCCATGTAAAATAGAGTGTCATTCGTTATTTCCTAACCTGTTCTGAACTATAGATCAAAGGCAAACAAGCTGGTTTCACAGAATGACGTCTATCTCTAGAACAAACAGATCTTGGTTGTGTTTATGGGAAAACGAACAGTTTCTTTTTCCCGCAACCAATCGTCACTTGCTTTTTTTAGGTGAATGCTTGTATAAATCAGGAACATGTTTTCGTTTCTTTTTCGTAGGCAGATCAAGCATTCATATGATACTAACTCAAAAATTGGCGACTTTTCTGCATCTGAGTCCGATTGGCTCATAAGAAACGTGTAATCCTCTCTTTCTCTCTTTCTCTCCCTTTTTTTAAAATCGAGTTTTTATATTCTCTCCCCTTTTTTCTTTTTTTTTTTCTTTTGAACATATATACCCCATCATAGAAGAAAAAGAAAAAAAAAACAATAAAATGGAACAACCAGAGATGCGTGCTTCTTCTTCTTCAACTACTATCAATATATCCTCTCCTCAATGTCATAATCGCTCAAGCTTAACAGAGACAATCAGCGAAAAATTCAAGGAGATTGAAGAAGCAGACACAACTGGTTTTCTGCAATATATGGACGATCAAGTTCATGACACTTGGGATAATGCAAAAGCAGTGATGCTAGGTGCACAAAGACTATTGCAGTTCCATGAATTGCCTAAAGATTGGCAAGAAAACGAATATGTACTATCCGGGTACGCTTAAATTCCCCGCACGAGGGATATTTTATCCCGATAGAATGACACGTTTTAATCATCTTCTTTCTAGTTACCGATTCTATCAGACTAGCTATGCATGCCTAAAATCTATTTTTATGCTTCATAACGAAACCATGAACATTTGGAGCCACTTGCTCGGCTTTGTATTTATGTCTTGCCTTAGTATTTACGGCTTTCATGTAGGTTTGTTTTGCCGAAAAAGAAAAAAAAAGAAAAAAGATAGACTAACTTTACACTTTAGAGACACTTTCCTGATGCATCATTTAAAGATCGTACTGTTTGCATGACATTTTGTATTGCAGCCTTAAAATGCCTGTTCTGTTCCTCTATTTATCACACATTCATTTGCCATTCCCATCGCCAAGTAAAATCATTCACAGCCACATTGGATTATATGGGCATTTCTTTCTTAATCACAGCCTCCGTACTCGTGACTGAATACTATGGCTACTACTGTAGACCCATGATGCGTGCTAGATACATGATATTCACCACTTTGATTGGAAGCGTGGGTGTGTTTGCACCCTTTTTGGAAAAGTGGGACACAAAAGCACTTAGACCCTTGCGTATTGCCGTGTTTGTGTCCATGGCCGTCTCGAGTGCTGTACCTGTCTTTCATTTGGCCTATTTAAATGGTCTTCGAGCTACTTGGCAATTCTTTGAACTGGCTTCGGTGAGTGTCATTATGTATGTTCTTGGTGTCATTGTCTGTAAGTCTCATTTCTAGAAGCGTACATTTTATTAATGAAATTTAGATGCCAACCGTTTTCCTGAACGATTCTATCCTGGCAGATTTGATTTCGCAGGTTTAACAAGTCATGCTATCTGGCATGTTTTCGTATGCCTAGGCATCTTTGTAAGTGGATCATTCAAACTTATCAATCAATGACTAAATTATCTTCTTAGTTCCATTATTTAGCATCTATTAGGTTTTATGCCAACCGATACTCATATGGATGCAACATGATATCAAGAACATAAACCCATTCCCTGCATACTATTCTCCTTGATACAGGAATATATATCCTTTTTTTTTTTTACTGCATTTCTAGAAACATAATTCAAATTTTGTAATAAAAACATCACATACATTAATATTGTTTATTCATGTCTTCTAGAACAAGAATTAAAAGCAGGGCTAGTTTCAATAAGATAATCAGTACGATCTAAAAAGGCTTGAAGATCTTTAAAATAATCAGGACCAACAGTGGCAGTGGAAGGATCATAAGAAAAATAATCTTCTGAAGGCAATACTATTTCTCGATCTTCTATAATAGAGAAATAGTTTTGCTTTTCATACATGATGGGATCCACAATATTATAAAGACATAAGAAATCAATAGCATCTTGCTTAGACTTGGGTGGCACAGGAAAATAGATTCGCAGCTCACTTTGACGTGCTACGACTCTAAATTTGCCATGGCGCTGTAGATTATCGAGAAGTTTCAAGACATAATTGATATGAATTTGGTATTCATATGCAAGTGTTTCTATGGAGTCAACAAAGGAAGTACTTAGGCTTTCTGTAGACCAACTACCATTCTTGTCTTTAAGAAACTGTAATGTATCCAAGGTGATAAGCAAATAGATAGTTGAAGATGTGCTACTGTTAGATTTCTTGCGTACATTGCTTTTCATTGTTATCTGATCATCTGCTTTCCTTGCATGATGTTGATCAGCTGAAGGCTGCTTTAGGCGACTGTATCTTGAGTGGTGTCTCTTTCTGCCGGACATTCGACTACTGGAACTATGCAATGAAGAAAGATCATCATGTTGAATAATAAAATCCAACTTTTTACGGTTCATGGATCGCTTTTGTTGAGCTTGGCTTGAAACAGATTCACGACTGACAAATAAGCCAGAGACAGTATTGTCTTGTTCAGATTCATAGATGCTGTCTTGTTGATCAACTAAATCACCCATACCTTTATTGACCTTTTTTTGGGTAAAGATATGGTTGTAAGGTTGTTCATCAGCACTACTAGACTCGTCAGAACAGTTCAAGTTTGGATGAACTGCAGCAGATTTAGGAGATTGCTTTTCATTCAGATCAGGCTGGTTCATTTTGGTGCCAGCAGGTGAGAAAATTCGAGACGAGATATGGGCAAATACATTGGATTGTCCACCATTCGCTGTCGTGTTGCTCTGAAAAAGAGTGACACAAGAAGGCGACCTGGTTGAGAATTGACGAGCAAACGTAGGACTACGTCCAACACCCATTGCAGCAGTACGAGGAAGGCCCCAAGATAAGAACCCAGAGCTACCGCTACTGGATGGAGTAGACATCATTGTGCGAAGCTGCTGCTGTCGACCAGCAGCCCACATACGTTGGTGAAGTGTAGGAGCAGAAAATACTTTGACAACTGGGAAATGCTGCTGAATGACCTTGAGTAAAGCCTTTTCATTTACAACGTTTCTTTTAGTTGTTTGTTGATAAGTCTTTTGTAAAAGAGTGCGTTGAATAGAGGTCATTGTTTGCTGCGTAGTCACAACGTTCCTCAGTTGATTTGTAGAATGCGGTGCTACCAGCTCGGATACTTTTGTTTGGAAATAGTGCCGAAGCTGGTGCAAAGACGTAAATATCTTTGACGGCCGTAACATTTCCTTACAAAATAAACATAGAGATAAAAAGAAAAGAAAAAAGAAAGAAATTGTATTTTCTTGTGTTTGTTTCTTAGGGATGCATGTGACTTATTTAGTAGCTTGACGTATCCAATGAAATGATTTGCTTATGAAAATTCCTCAATAAATAGAGAAGGTTCTCTATCTTTTTAAGGCAATTAGACCAAGCAGGAATGGCAGTCAATTTGATCTGTTAAAATGGCGTAAAAAAACATTTATAAGATGCACTTTTCTGAAGCTTTTAAGACGCTTCGTGTGTTTTTCCTTTTTTAATCTTGCTCTCCTCTTCCCCCTTTTTTTTCACATGAGATAACTGGTTTTTATGTTTGTTTTCCATTACTTTTTTGGCAAAAAAGAAAAAGAATAGTACTACTAAAATCTTTTCGCTTGGGCGTAGATAAAAGATATCAAATTGTGTGCTATTAAGTGCAAATTGCTATATGCGACAGGGCAAAGAGCACACGCTTATGATTCAATCACACAAAAAAAAAAATTTATTATTGTCTATGCATTAAAAGTTATTTTGAGCAAGGCTTCCAATACAAAAATTTCCATTCTTATCATTTTCTTGCACATGCTATAAAATAATGTATCTTTACATGTGTAATTAAGGGTCAAATAAGAAAATATATGAATAAAATAAAAACCTGTTCTCTTCATAGTAAGTTCAGCTAGATTTGTATTGATATTGGGGCTATACTAAAAGGCTACTTAACATAGACTATTACATATGTATTCTATGTTTGCCAAACTTCTAACATGCGTTTTCTTCTTCTTTTGCCTAGATTCTGAAATCACGAATTACTTACTTGGTAATACGCAGTAATATCTTCTTTTTTCTTTGTCCATATACGATAGAATTATGCCGATAATTTTATTAAGTTGATAGTATAGCATCCTAACTGTTGAAGTGGATTTTATTTGTATATTTCTGGCAAAAAACAGCTGGGTAACTTGCTTACAAGTGTATGACAAGAAGTACCTTTTTTTTTTTGTCCTCCAAATCAATTGCACTACCATTCAACTGTTTTTTTTTGAGTTTCATAAGACACAGACAGCTTCGAACTTCTTATCTTTTGCGTTGCTTGATCAATCATCACTGACTTGTTAATCTTTTTCTTATAGTATAAATAGAGCATCACGCGGTGTCTATTTGTTTGCTTTTCTTATTACTGCAACATTACAAATTCCTTCAATGTAGTACCAAGGGCCTACATTTAAGTAGAAAATGGCAATAAAGTCTGCTTCCATGATTCGCAACTGCATAATATTATACTAATATAATTGTATCGCCATTCTATCTTTTCCATTGGACTTTGTCTCATAAACTATATTTCTTTCTTTCTTTCTCTTCCTCTTCTTTTGCCTGAAAAATCACTAGTTTATAATCGCAAGCAATCAACAATTTGCTTACTATGGACGATCAAATTAAACCTGCTATTCAAACGTACAATGGTGGAATCATTTTTGTTAGTTATCTGACTGCAGTCGTAGGAGCCATGACAGCACTCGAATTGCTTCAACGCAGAACACATATTAGAGGATACTACAATTGGTTCGTCTACAACAATAAAGTAATCGTATTGATCTTTTCTTTTTCTCCCCAGGTTCTTGTTGTCTGCTGCTGCTGCCTCAATGGGTGGTGTAGGAATTTGGTCGATGCACCTTATTGGCAATAACAGCCTTACTATTACGTTAGAAAACAATACCCATTACCAACTCTTGTATTCTTCTGGAGCCACTTTTGCTAGTCTAGTAGTTGCTATTCTTTGTATGCTTCTTTCGTTTGCTTTTGTTGGTATTACGGAACAAGCAAAAATATTCAGAATTGTTTTGAGTGGCATTATTGCTGGGGTAACTTATACCAGCATATCTTATCTTGTCTTTCTCATCAATAATTTCTATCGTGTAGCTTGGTATTGTATCTATGCATTATTTAGGTAAGCTATACAGAAAATACAACACAGCTAACCTTATGAACTCTATATAGGTCAAATTGCCATAGCATTCTTTGTAACGAAGAATAAAATTGGACATGTTTTGGGAGCTATAGCTATCGCAGTCTGCGCCGTTACAGCAGCACTATTTATTTTTTTCAAGCTTCGTGAACAGTGGGAAAATCAGTGGTACAAACGTCTTGGATGCGCCATGTTAATGGGTCTCGCAGTATGTGGTATGATAGCTCCTTGTAACACCTACCCTTTTTTCTCTAAACCTTATTACTATAGGCATGCATTACACAGCACTTTTTGGGACTGTATACTACGCCAACATAGACTCAGATGTAACACCCCCCACACCTGTAATGACCATTCCAACATTGATTGGAATCATATCTGCTATTGTCTTGATTGCGTGTATCTTACTCTTTATTATAGCTGTCAAATCAAAGATAGAAAATGATAACTCGCCTATTCAAGCAGACTCACGTACAAGACTCATTCTAGGTCTAGTGTTTTTTGATGCGCGTGGAAGAATGCTAGTCAAAGTAGATGGTATTGTGCCAATGAAAGAGATCACCGAATCTGTTCCTGAAGATGTAAGTCGTTATATTTGTCAAAATTGTTTCACATAATAATTATCTTTATTTATAGCGATATTGTGGAGCATTCTCTGCACATCATCCGATTTTTGCTCGGCTGTTTGAAAGTACGCTTTCTTGGTCAAGACATAACTTAGAAGGCCCAATACATCAAACAAATGAGCATCCTATTGATCGTGCATTTATGAGTGCTGCCACAGAACTTGCTGAGGAACTTGACTTCAAAGATTTATCTGATCTCGGTCATCTTTTCCATTCTGTTTTGATATCTAATAGCATCCCCAAAAAGAGCATATTCATACAACCTTCAAAGTTCTTTCCAGCCTTTCGAAGAGAGAGTATCAAAACAACATGGATTCTCTCTAAATATGGCTCCAAAGAAACAATCAATGAACAATCACCTCAATCATTGAAAGGTACTACAATATGTAATACTACATCAACTTCGGAACAAGCAGTGAAACTTGACATGAGCGATGATGATTTCTTTGAAGAAACTTTACCAAGATCAAGTGGCAGCTTTTACTCTCAAGATGAACACATTTTTCTGATTAGGAAAATAGAATCTGAAAAAGATTTGGTAGATTTACTGTCGATAGGCTTTCGATTTGCTGAACCTATGTTTATCGCGAAAAAAATGGGGGATAAACTACAATTACCATCTGAATACTTGCTCAGTCATTTTAAAGATATGCTCAAGATGGCCGAAATAACTGCAAGCATGAACACATGCGCCAAATCTTCAGATTTATCTCTGCAACAATCTCTGAAAAATGAAGAAGATGTTTATAAAAGAGTTTTTGTGGGTTTATTCACTGTAATTGAATGCGAAAAGACATCAAATAATCCGCCATGCATTATTGTAGATAGAAACAAGCCTTATACTTTTCCAATCGTACAAATTAACCTAAAGAGTAGCACTGGGTTAGAGGAAGCACTTACAGATCTTAATAGAGAACAGAAGAAGATCATTCTAAACATGAGCGGACAGTCACTAGCAAAGATTGCTTCAACTACATCAGCAACTCAGCAATCTCTGAATTCAATCAATCACATTAGCGCTATCAAAAACGATGACAAAACTGAACATATATCAACTACATCATCGACCTATATTCAGGAACTTGAAGGCCCAAATCAAAGATTTTTTAGTGCATTTCAAGAAGCCTGCGAAACACTTGCTAATTTGTCTCAATACGATAAGCATTTAACATTTTCTGCCAAGCTCTCGGGTGACATTATAGACATTCCGTGCTTTGCTCTTAGACCAGGCCCGTGCTCACTTATTTTGTTCAGGGCGCGCATCGCTTTACCTGAGACACAACATGAAATAAATTCGCCGAATGCAAGTGCTTTCAAATGCATACCCTTTTCCGTATACCATAGTTTCTCAGCCTACGCAACCGATAATGCTGTACAGTTTTATCGCAAACTACAGCTCAAAAACAATTCGCCTCCATCTTGCCTACTTCAACAGCAGCTCTATCAATCTACTGCATCAAAAAATACAAAAGAAGATCCATTGGTAACAGACGCTATGGTTAAAGAACAGATTTCTTCTACGTCAACTCAACAAGTACTCTCGTCCCTCCCACCACCGCCTAGAGCAAAACGCAATAAATTCAGTCTTACACCGAGTACGCCTTATACAGAAACTGATATGCATGTCAACAAGTCATTTTTACCAAACATTATCAAAAACAGTGATTTAATACCGCTGGCATCTGTAACTCCAAATCCAGTGATAGAAGCTATTGCTGCCTTAAACACAATATCAACGAATGATAGATTTTGGTGGCTAGATAATGTTTTTGAAGAAACTCGGAATCTGTAAGAAGCTAATTTTTATATACATGATTGAAAATAAACATATTGTTTTTTGTATATACAAAAATGTAATGGTTTTATTGAATTTAATCAGAGCTAGGCTTAGGCAAGACAACAAAACCAAGAGCAGGGAAGTGAATAAAGGCAGTAGTCCCATAGTTAGGATCATTGTATTCAACAACAGTCTCATCCTTAGTACTCTTCAAAAGTGTACCATAAACAGGAACTTTGCCAGTATCCAAAGGCATAACCAAAACTTGTTGACCTAATTCAATAGGAAGGCCACTTGAATGAACCTTGAAGTCTTGAGATACTTCATCAGAAGCATGACGTTTCAAAACTTCAATAGCTTCTTCTTCAGTAAGGACAGGACGCTTTGCAGTGCCTTCCCAATCAGCAACACCCATAAGCTTACTCATGTGTTCAAACATAATCTTCAAGTTTGCTTGAACCCATTTCTCACCAACCAAGTTTACTGTAAAGAAAGTCATCATGGCTGCATTGAAGTCGATAAGAGAAGGTGCTTCAGTTTCCAAGATCCAGTTCTTTCCATCAAGGAGCTTTTCCAAAACACCAAATTCAGCCAATAAAGTTGCTTTCATGAAAGGAGCAGCGGCTGTTAACTTGTCGACATCAATTTCTCTACCCAACATAGCACTACGATCAGCAAGGAATTCAGCAGGCAAATTTTTGGCGGGTAATTGAGAAACAACATTGAGAAAGAGAGAGTTATCTGCCCACAAAGTCAAACCTCTAGCAAGGGCTTCAGAGGAAGCACCAGTAGAAGAAAGCTTAGGATAGAGACTAGGTTCGGGGAAACTGATGACAGTTGAAAATTAGCATGAAATGATTATTTAATGCACTTACAGTTTTTCAATCTCCATAAAGATAGCTTTGGTGTCGCAGAAAACATGCTTACCGACTTGAAGAATAGGTGTCTTTCTGTAACCACCATCAAGAGGACGACGAAGTGGACGAGGTTCCATTCTTTGACATAATACAGTCCTGTATTCAACTTTTTTGTAGTTCAACACCCAAGCAACTTTTTGAGAATAAGGTGATTCAGGATACCAGTGCTATTTTCGTGCATGAAAAATTATTGTGAGAAAAAATTCATGACTTTTCGCGATAACAAACATACCAAAATAATGTCTTGTGTGCCAGTCATTTTTTTTAAATGAAAAGAGAAATAAAAAACAAATTAGTCGCCAAAACAGTTGGTTTATTTATATTTGTAAGCAACATCTGTCTTTGAACATTTAAAACATCCTAATCACAGCATACTTTGCTTATCTAACAACGTACAGTGACAATTGATAACCGAAACAATGTAAGGTAAACGATTTATTTTAAGGTACATAAGGATGCTAATGTTACTGCTAAATTGAAGTTTTAAGGAAAGAGTTAAATCGAGATACATTACAAATAAGGTAATATTCGTCATTGACAAATGTCGCGTTACGCCATGGAACTTTTGCTTTTTAAAATAGGTACTTTTAATAACTTTTAAACTATAGTAAGCTGGGAAAGAAACCTTCCTTTTTCGTATTTATGCTTGATCATCTTTATTTCAACTTATTCATACAAAAGCAAGTCACCATGTAATGCATTATTCAAATTGTTTCCCTTTCTCTCTTTACAACCATCTTTTCCCAAGCACGATCATGACAAACCGCCAAGTTATTTTGGTAAGTTATTGCACTCTTTTCTATGTAAAAAAGCATTGACCTAATAACCGCTATGATATTCAGCATTGGTATCCTCAATCTCCTTTTGCTCAAAAAGTTGCCTGGGCTCTTTTGTACAAGAAGGTGGATTTTAAGATTGTTTTGATAACGCCCATTGAGCCTCGTCCACTCCGTCGCCCTCTTGATGGTGGTTATAGAAAGACGCCTATACTTCAAATCGGCAATCATACATTCTGTGACAGTAAGATCATTTTTGCTGAACTAGAACAGAGGTGATATATCAGACCAACACCCAAAAAAGAGGGCGTGTCTCTTACATCCATATAGAAACTGACAAAAAAATAGATTTCCGGAACCAAGCTTCTATCCAAAGGATACTGATGGTGTTTCTAGTGAAAACTTGATTAAGGGCCTTGCTCGCTGGACTGACAGCTCATTATTTAGCTTGGTGGCATCACAAATTCAAATGGGTGCGTTAGGTAAAGAATTCCTTGAAGACCGCTCAAAGTTTGCTGGTCGCAAGATTGACCCCGAGAAGTTGAAGTTTACCATTCCATTCATGAACCAAAGCTTGAAAGCTGAAATTAAGATTGCTGAACGTTTTGTAAGCGAACGCAACAAGAATGGTGAGCTGTGGGCTTTAGGAACCAACTCATTATCATTGCTCGATCTTAATTTTGCTATGATTACCTGGTTTGTCAAGAGTTTGATCGGAAAGGATTGGATAAATGCCAACGTGCCCGTCTTGGGCCACCACTTGGAAAAGACATTAAAGGCTGTGGATGCTGGCAAACTGAAAAAGATTGAAGCTATTTCACCTGAAGAGGCATTGAAAGTAGCAAAAGAACAGTCTTTTGGTCTGTCTAACGCAACTCATGATGGTTCTTTGAATATCCAGTTAGGAAAACTAGTCTCCATCTCGCCTACAGATTCTGGAATAATTCCTTCTATTGGCGTACTTGTTCATAGTACTGTAAATGAAACAGTCATTGAACACAAGGAAGAAAAATATGGATTCACTTCTTATACACATTTCCCTGTTGTTGGTTTTGTTGTTCTTCCACAAGTTTCAAAGTTGTAAAACCAAGCAAAGCAAATGCAATGTCGACTTAAAAATAAAGAGCAAATATACACAGGTTTTATTAGAAGTCTAACGTCTCTTCTTATTGTTGTTTTTGTTGCCTCCCTTAAACTTTCTCTTTCCAGGCACTTCAAGCTTTTCTTCTTGATCAGCATCATCATCGTCATCATCATTTTTGCGACCTCGTTTTGACTTTTTGCCATTTTCTGTTTCCTTTAATTCTAGTGTAGCAATACGCTGTGCTTCATCCACACGTTCTTGAAGCATCATCACTTCATCTTTCTCAGCAGGGAATAAATCTAATTTGCGCTCTAAATCTTTCTCGATACGTTGAATCAATTCAACATCATATTGAGTAACAAAGGTAATAGATTTACCGGATCGACCAGCTCTTGCAGTACGACCAACACGATGAATATAATCTTTGGATGATTGAGGCACGTCGTAGTTGATAACTACATCCACAAGAGGAATATCAATACCTCTACTAGCAACATCAGTTGCGACTAAAATACTACGAGTTCCAGCTTTGAATTTGTTGAGTGCACCTAGACGCTTAGCTTGAGGCAATTGACCATGAAGAGGAACTGCAGCAAAGCCCAAGTTTCTCAACATGATGGCAATCTTTTGTGTATCATGACAGGTACGTGTAAAAATGATAGTGGAGTTACCGGCAAGTTCGTTCAAGAGATAAACCATGTAACAGTCCTTGTGCTTGAGAGGAAAGAAAAGATAGTATTGTAATAATGTCTTTACTGTAGAGTATTTGGTGGCAACTTCGACCTTGACTGGCTTATGCAAACTGGCTCTTTGAAGCTTAGCAACCTTGGTTGTCATGGTAGCGGAGAACAAGAAAGTGTTACGTTCTCGAGGAATGACTTTGAGAATTTGATCAATCTTTGGCCCAAAATCCATATCTAACAAACGATCGGCTTCATCCATAATAAGATATTTTAAGTTCTTTAGGCTAAATCCCTTAGTGTTTTCTAAATGATCTTGAAGACGACCTGGTGTACAAACAATGACATGTGGACGCTTTGAAAGTGCGATAGATTGAGACATCATATCCATACCACCAACAATGACAGCACAACGAACACCAATGACTGAGCCAAGTGATTCGAATGTTTCTGCGATTTGATATGCTAATTCTCTACTTTATGTAAGCAATCGCATACTTATCTTGATCATACGAACCTTGTAGGAGCTAAAACACAAGCGAAAAAGGCTTGAGGGTTATCCCAAAGTCTTTGAATGATTGGGATAGCAAAAGCAGCAGTTTTACCAGAACCAGTTTGAGCAAGGCCAATTATATCACGGCCTTCAATAGCCCAAGGAATGGATTCCTTTTGAATTTCGGTTGGATGCTTGAAATTCATTTTCTCACAGGCTTCGCATAATTGTGGAGAAACACCCTACAATAAAGACCGTTAGATCTAGAAAACTGACGATCGCATATTCTAGTCTTAAAAGACTATACTTACAAGTTCGGCAAAGGTTGTTTCTTCAGGCTTCTTTTTGGAAATCAATTCCATGTCAACTTTGGGTTGAGCTTCTGTAATTGCAGACATGATATTAAAATAACAAGAGGAACAAAAAGAGCTTTTCTGGAAGGTTCAAGCAACTATCTCTTTTTTTTCTACGTTCCGAGCAAAAGCCACACATCATTGCTCAGAAGGATAAACAGTCCAAAATTGTACTGTGACTAAGTATTTATTTGAATAATTACTTCTGCATATTTCTTTTGATATCCTTAAACATGTCTCAAGTAGAAAACAAGAGAAAGCAACCTTCTGGCGACGACTTTGAAGACGACTTTCAAGAAGATGCCATTGTCTATTCAGAAAACGAAGAGGCTGTTTCTGATAACGAACTGGCTTCAGGCACTGATATGAAACCTAAAGAAACACCTGCTTCAGAAGAACCACCAAAGAAGAAAAAGAAAAAGCAGCCCAAAAAGAAGAAGGGACCCAGCAATCCTTTTGATACTATTAATATTTGGCAAGAAAATACAACGGTTCAAGCCGAATATTTAGCTGATCGCCAGAAATTAGCATTACCTAACCTTTCTTCTGTCGAGCTGGAAGAGCAACAGTTGCTTGAGTCAAATTTAGTCAATAATGAGAACTTTAAGCAAGAACATGTACTTGATGCATTACCCAATTATGTTAAATACGGTGTTGCAGGCCACAAAAAGTTGAATAAGAAGCCCACAGTTCATGCTAGTCCTGTTGCTTTAATTGTCACTCATTCTGCTATTCGTGCAGTTGATCTTGCTCGGTAAGTTGATGTTTATATCAAATTGTCTTGCTTGTTCTGACTTGTGCATAGTGCTTTAAAGGAATTCTCTAGTACTGCTAAAATTGCCAAATTATTTGCAAAGCATTTCAAGATTGAAGAACAAGTTGAATTTTTAGATCGTGAAGCAATTCACTTGGGTGTCGGTACACCTAACCGTCTCTTAACCCTTGTAGACCAAGGCCATTTGAAGTTAGACAACTTGGAATTAGTGGTTATTGATACTGAAAGAAATCCTAAACGATTCAACATTTTTGATCTTCAAGAAGTAAGATCTGATCTGTTCAATTTTTTGGGTCAGCATATTGCTCCCTTTATGAAAAATGGAAAGACTAAGGTTGGATTATTTTAGACATAGATTATTTATAACATCCTGTACATTTTATCATCACTTTTGAACTTTTTTTTTGAATAATAAAACGACCTAAATAATCATAATTGTAATTTCAAACTACAAGTTTATATATATAATAAAACACGAGAGGAGGGGAATGCAGAGAAGAGAAGGGAATAGTTATTAAGATAGTCGTTAAGAAAGGCCACGAAGAATCTCAAGTGCTTTCTTGGAGCGATGAGTAAGCAAATCATTTTCTTTTTGTCCATCATCTTCAGAATCAACTTCATCAATTTGGTTGGAAACAAAAGCGCCTAATCTACTTAATCGCTCAATGATAGCTTGATTTGTCCTTAAACCATCTAACGAATGGCGACGAATCATGCGACGTAAATTCAAGCTAGCATGGTGCACTTGCTCTGTCAAAGCTTCTTCCCAGGCATTTCGATCTGTTTGGTCTTGTGCTAGTACAGGTGCAAGACGCCAGGCACAAATCCATGCTTCCAAACCAGTGACAGCAGTGACAAATTCAGCAAGAGCTAATACAGAGCTCTCCAAGTCTTGGTTGTCGTATTCAGTCTTGTTTTGTTTAATATGACTTGCATTAGCCATGATCCTCTTTATATGCGCCTTGATTTGTTCTGCTTTCTGAAGTTCTTCAACACCTCTAGGACAGTATTCTGTAGATTCTTTCTTCAACCAAGTAGCACCAACCAAAGTATGAATAATAGATTTTTTAGTCAATTCATCCAATTGATTCATACGTTCCTTGTAACAAACAATGTCACTGCCTGCAATTTCACGAGAAACAAGTGAACGAGGAACATTTTGTACTAATGTTTTAAGTAGCTTTTCAGCAGTCTTGACATCGCTTTTCCAGAGAGCGTCTACAGTAGCGCCGACAGCAGCAAGCCAATGAGCTAATCGATGATAATCACCTACTCGGCTTTCACTTTCTAGACTAGAGTCAGTGATATCCATCAGTAGAGCAAAAGCAGTTTCATTGAAATCCGATTTGCTTTCTTCAGCCACCATATCAGCTGTTAAAGGCTTTGCGGTCACTGAGATAATCAAACGACCAAACTGTGTTTGCAAGTTGTCAAGCAAGTGCAAAGTAGACAGTATACCAACAGGCACAAGAACTGGCGCTGTCATCGATAGCGAAAGACCACGGGCTTCTGGCTTCCCAAAATGCTCGATTTGTTGATTCATGACTTCAAGTGTCTCGCTCCAAGCGCGAGAGGCGAGCATCAATTCCATACGATCTTCGCCATCATCTTCATGACAATCAAAAATCAATGCTCGCATCAATGGATCATCTTCAAGACCTGATTCGTACATGGCAAGACGCCAGAAATATTTTGATATTTTTTCAGCAATACCATGATGAGGAATAACAAGAGCCATCTGCATAGCAGTTGTAGCATAGACACGGGAACGAGATTGTTCGACGTATTCGTTCTCATCGTCCTCCATCAATTCAATCAAATTGAGCATATGGAAGCAAGAATACAACATAGAAACACGAGTGACATCAGGGTTACCGCCAAGGCATTCAACTTCGTTCAGCTTAATCCATTTACAGGCTTGTACCCACTGCTCTTGTGGAGTTAAGTTTTGATCATCATATAGAATTTCATAGCCAAGCCAATGTCGACAAACAAATCGAGCAATTTCTTTAAAAAGCGCAGAATATAAACGAAGAGGATTCTTGTCTTTTTGAGGAAACACAGTTCCAGACTTGTTAGAGCGGCTCTTCTCAAGTGAGCTGACAAGAATATTGTAAATTTGCATACATTTTTGATCACCAGGCGTTAAAGAAGTAGTGTGAGTTGCAATATTTCCATTCAGGGATGACTTGTTTTCGGCCGAAGCTGTTCTTGATTTCTTGTTGACTTTTCTTACTTTAAAACCAGAAGGAAGCCAGAAGCGAAACAAAGGGAATAACAATTGAATCAAACAAATCATAAATAGAGTAGTTCGAATTGTAGACCTGAATGCAAGTTAGTCAATACATTTATACATATCGTTGAACGCTACCATGTATCAGAGAAAAGGGACACATTGCTCAAGAATGACACAGAGCTACTGTTGTTTGAAGAAAAGAGTTCTTCTGCAGTACGAGAAATATGCTTGTGACTTTCATATTGATCCTTAGTACTAGGACCAGCTGAAAGGGGTGAAGAAGAAAAGAAACTGATTGCCATAAAAAGAGCCATAAACACTTGGTTTTTCATTGAAGCGTTTTGCTCTTTAGCTACTCTGGGCATCTTGTACATAGTTTGATATGGTCTTTGGGTAGAATGTTGGAATTCAAGAGGAGTAGACATTATTTGAGTCATTTCTAAATCGTAGCTGCCCCCTTGTGTTTCAGAAACACGGCGTGTTCTTTTTCTTCCGCTCCCTTTACGTTGTTGGCGTTGCGAGTGTTTTTGTAGCGCAGCATTTTGAAGTTGCTGTCTTTCTATTTCCTGCTCGCGCTGAGCTCTTTGTTGACGATAGCGACCAAGTGCTTGACGTCCACTAGGCAATTGAGCCAACAACAGTTGCAGAGTCTCATTTTCTCTGTGAAGTTCTTCATCATTGCGCTTTAAATGTAGGATGTATTCGGTCGATTTTCGCAAGATAGTAGCCTTGTTTAATTTGGTAGCCACAGTAACGCCATCAATGAGTTCTTCTCCGTCTTCTTCGTCGTCGTCTTCATCATTGCCTAAAAGGGATTGGCTAGATCGCTTATTAGGTGCAATGCCAGAGTCCTTTAGTTTTGCATGAACTAAGGCAGGAACTGTATTTTTAAGCTCAGTGATACGATCATTTATATTATTTCTATAACGACGCTCAATGGCATTATGAGCTGATTTCTTTTCCTGAGGTATAGAATCTTTCCTTGTAGTGGCTATATTTACAATTGGTACCGGCTTAATTGTTGTGTTGCTGCTCTTTTCTGTTAATGATGAACTTGAAGGTTGTTCAATTGGGAAAAAATATGGTGGAGACAAAGCGTCAATACCTAAATAATGTTGTGTAAATACCGACTGCAGTCAAAGCATAAGTATGATGAGATACCTTGAATCAATGAATCGTTTATGCCAGAATTTTCCAAAGGTTCAATTGATTGGAATTGAGGGATTTTAAACTTGAGCGGTGAAGTGAATATATCCTGATGAGGAGAATCAAGAGGAGTTTCTAAAGGAGTAACTGTAGTAAGAGAAACAGGTGATGGCTGCTGAAGCTGTTGAGAAAACATTGTTTGGTTATTGGACAAGTTTTGTTCAGGTGATTTTGGCTGTTGGTGCATAGAGTCTGAACTATGAAATTCAGGACTATTAAACCATGGTGAATTTGATGCGTCGCTACTAGTTGACTTAAAATTTTTATTGCATGTTAAAGGCGAGACTGGACTTGAGAATATTGGTTTTTCATTGCTGTCTTGTTGCTTGTGAGTTTGTCTAATAGGTGATGATTTACCATCAAGCTTGTTGTTTTCAGGTGTTTGTTGCGCATTTGTTTGACATTGATTATCCAAAGTTTGGGTGTCTTTGTATTCAACTGGAGACAAATAGTTTTCAAAGTCTTTCCATACGTCTATCTCTTGCTGCATTGCTAATTGAGCTTGCTGCTGTAGCTCCATGTCAAATTGAGAAAGGGTTATATATGGATTATTGTTATCATTTATGATTGCTTTGTCTGCTGAAGCTGAATTTTCTTCTTGTTGTAGAAATTGACGTGATGTTTCCATATAATATATTGATAGAGGTAATGATAATATTGGTAGTAGAAAGATGTGTTTCTTAAAATAACACAAAGAAAAAAAGAAAGAAGAGAGAGACACGTTTGAACTTTATTGTATGCAAGCGAAAAATGATGGCCTGATTCTCTAGTTCGTGACACAAATTGTCTTGCTGAGTTTTCGGCTGAATTGTTTTAGATTGAATCCAGCCACAAGTAGTCCACGATAGCTTGAAACCAATTATACTTAGCGTCTATTAAACTATGAAAATGTTCAACCAGATGAAATACAAGCATGAATTGATTTACATATTCTCGAGTTTTTCTTTTTGTTGCGAATATCGAAGAGCATTAGCGGAGAAAAAAATTTTAATACAAAGGTCATTTATATTACAGCATGAGGTATATTTATTGTACCTTTTACAAATGGTACATGTAAAGAGTCATTCGTGCTTTTCTAGTCACCAACTAATCAGCTATCAGAATGATAAACAGTTCTTGATGTACAAGCTTATGCAATTGTTATTCTGTTTAAATTACTGTCAGTTTTATGTCATGAATTGAACTACAAAGCTGTTTTATTTGTTTATTTACTTTCAATATCGACACGTTCGTCTTGCTTCCAATGAAGCTTCTTTTTCATATATAGCGTAGCGTACACAAACACAACCAAGACAGGCACTTCAATGAGTGGACCAATAGTAGCAGCCAATGCTTGCTCTGAATTGATGCCATATGTTCCGACCGCAACAGCAATAGCTAACTCGAAATTATTACTGCCAGCTGTAAATGATTGTGTAACTACAAATTCATAAGAAAAGAACATCTTGAGCACAAAAAAGGGCACAAAAAACATAATGACAAAGTAACAAAATAAAGGAACTGCTACACGGAATACAGAGCCAATGTTGGCAATAATATGATGCCCTTGATTGGCAAACATGACAATGATGGTATAGATGAGGCCTACAAGAGCCAAAGGTCCGAAATGAGGTAAAAAAACATCATTGTACCACCTGTCACCCTTGATCCAGCGCAAAGAGTAGCGTGTGATAATGCCTGCAAGCAACGGAATACCTAAATAGATCAAGACAGATTGAGCAACTGGCCAAATATCAACATTGATAGCTGTGTCTGTGGGAGCACCAAACCAAGATGGCACAATATTGATAAACAACATGGCATAAGGTGAGAAGAGGGCAATTTGAAGAATAGAATTGATGGCCACTAGGATAGCACAGTAGTCTGAGTCACCACCTGCCAAAGTATTCCAAATAAGCACCATGGCAATACATCTGTATAAAAGTATATTAAATTAAGTTTAAAACATATACTGTCGTGCGCTTTACCTTGCCAAACCAACCATCACAACACCTGTACGAAATCCAGGCAAGTCAGGTAAGCATGCCCAAGCAAGACCAGTCATGACAATAGGCCCAATAATCCAATTGATACCAAGAGAGACAAGGATTTGAATCCATATTTTTCTGTCATTCAGGATGATGTGAAGTCGTTCATATTGAATTTTACACAAGACCGGGTACATCATAACAAGTAGTCCGACAGCGATCGGTACAGAAACAGAACCGAACTGTACAGTCTCAAAAGACTCTTGTACATGAGGAGCAAAATAACCAATGATGACACCAATAATCATAGCAAGTAAGATCCAAACAACAAGAAATCGATCCAAGAACCCAAGCTTCTTCATCAATGCTATGAATTTGATCAGAACAGCGTACTTGATATCTATACAAACTCACCTGTTTCTTTTTGAGATATCTCTTCTTGATAATTAGTACAGTAATCAAATTTGCATTCATCTGTTTTGTAACAAACAAAGGTACTCTCTGGATTATGATGATTTCCTCTAGGCTCTTGAGTGGACATATTGACTGAAAAGAATAAAAAAGAAAACAAATTCGGATCAAAAATTAGCATTTTTATATCTTGAAAAATTTGGGGGTGGCAGATCAGTTTCTTTTAATTTTGTCCTACTTCCCAATCAATAAATAACACTTTTTTTTTGTGATTTTATTTTTTGCTCTCTTTATTTCTATTGTAAGCATAAAATGCCAAAACTCACTATATTCCATAATCCTAGCTGCACTAAGTCTAAGCGCAGCGTAGCCTGCCTACAGACTAACAAGACAGATACTAACTATGATCTCGAAATCATTGAGTATCAAATCAACCCTCCATCTAGTGATATTCTGGCTACCCTGTCTAGCTACCTTGGGCTTACCGAACAAAACCCTGCTTCAAGACCTTGGGACTATCTTTTGAGACCTGAAGCTCAAGGAAAAGCAAATTCGTTTGAAGAAGCATTTGCCATTATTCAAGTTAATCCTTCTCTTTTAGAAAGACCCTTTGTTATTGACTGGGATCGCAAATTGGCTGTACTTGGTCGTCCTGATATTTCTCAAGTCGAAAGAATGGTTACTGAACGTGTTGCATTAGCCAATAAACATTAATGTTATTAATCAATAAAGATCTTATTATCTTCTTTCAAAAACTATATTTTTATTACTTAAGCTCTTGATAATTATGATTAATAGTAGGTGTGCTTCTGTAAATATGTACTGGGAAAGACTTAATATTGTTGGTATATAGTATTATTTTGGGGGGAGATCCTGTCATCTATTTTTTTTTGTGTCACTTGAGTACGCTGAAGTTAAACTAGTCTGAATTACTAATCCAATTTTCCTGGTCAAAAGCATTTTTTAAAAAATTCGTCTTTTTTTTAGGTGACTTGCTGATCTTTATATTGTTGATCATGATACCTTTTAGTTTACTTCTGTCAAAAGAAATTAACGAATGCCTTTATTTTCAATTTTTAGTAAGAATATGATATACTATAATAATGAGAGCTTGTTGTGAGGAGTAGAAGCATTGTATTGAATACAAGCATGTACAGCATAAATAGATCTCTATAACTGATGTCCGTTGTACTTGAGAGGTTTTTTGTCAGTTTCTCACTTTATATATGCGTATTACACAAAGAATCAAGTAATTCCTCAAATGTGTGAAGATTGAAGACAGAGCAGCTGTAAGAATAAACATGAAGATCAAATTGAGAGAGATTTACATAATTTAAAGCACGTCAAGACTCTTTTCTTTCAGAATCAGCATATTTATGCTTCTTGAAAAGACAGTTGCTATTTTTTAAGAGCAAGATCTGATACTTGATGTCTTTATATACTTTTGTTCTTACAGCTAATAACCAAAAATTATTGCTCGTGGTCAAGGAGAGAATCGAGAAAATAAGAAAAGATAAAAATAAAATCAAACTTATTACCACAAAGAAAACCATAACTTATCGAATGCATATTTAGGTCAGCGTTGCATTACTGAACCTAAGAGTTGTATCTGATAAAATGCAGTATAGTGTGATTAATTTTCTATAAATTCCTATCACCTTCTCAACATTTATTGATTCAAATAAACGTTTGCCAAATAACAAAGTGTTTGTAAGTCTGCGTTTCTTTTATTTTGTTTTCTATTTTTTATGTGTTTACTTTTTATTTGCACCTATGCTGTTTGTCCTGTCCGAATATTACTATTGTCTGGAAAATAGAAACTAAAATTTTGCCTTTTCATGCAATCTATTCAGATCGTATAAAATGATCCAAAAATAGCTCTTTTTATTTCCAAATTTGTACAACGAAATAATTCCTGAAGACAGAACACCATTACACTGAAAGAAGTATATACTAAGGTATGATCGTCATGATTCAGAAAACACAAAGTGTTCAACTTCTTGCTCAAAAGCATATTCGATGGAGCAAGAAAAGAATTAACTAAAGAGACATAAGGTATGTGGCTTTGAAAATATATATTTGTAGCATATGATGCTCTTCTTGCGCCTGGACTTTGTTCTTCTTTTCTTTTCTTTTTGATTTTTTTTAAAAAAAAATGAGGTTAAGGCATTTTATCCTACCCTTTTTTGCATACTTATCTCTAGGAAAAGCACAGAATATCGATGATGTTCGGTTCCCTTCTACCAATTTTACGTATTGTCATCAAGGACGATTCAATGTTTCAGGTGTAACTCGATACTTTGACATAAGAGACTCAAGTTACCACCTCCAGTTTATGGGCATATCTAATACCACTGTAACCAATCTAAATACACAGGGATCAAGTAAATAAAAGTAGGGAAATGACAAGGGGGATGTTTTGATCGAATTGGGATACTAATATCAACCCATAGCATCTTCTGCTTCAATGTTTGAGTTAAAGTTTGGCTTCCAAACACTACACATACCAAGCCACCAGTTTTGTCTAGATTCAGCTTGCCCCATACCCAATGGACAGCAATTTATTGTTCAAAGAGTAGGTTGTATATAGACCAAATGTCATGCTTATGTAAATATCTATTTATAGTCTTTTAACCTTTCAAGTATTCCCTTGTACCCATTAGCTGATATCACCGCCAAATATTCAGCCGTTGATGCTGACTCCAATCATCTCGTATGCATTACATTAGCACCTGTAGGATATCAGCATCCTGTATGGCAAAAAATATTTATGTATTTACCTATTGGACTTACTGCTTCAGCTGCTATTATATCTTTGATTGGATCTTTTATTACTTTTGAAGACAGTGAGCATGATATCTTTCTTTTCAGCTCGAATTATGCCATGTTGCCGGGCATATTACGATTAAAGACACCGGGATTCTTTGATTTGGTATTCTATGCTCAATTCATTGTGATTGCTGGTCAGTTCAACATTGATTATCCGAGATTTCATCCACTTTTTACTTCGAATTTCAGCTGGAGTTTCTTGTTGTTTAGATCAGAATGGCTTCAAGATACCATTAAGACTATCTTTAGAGGGCAGTCTTCTCCTCTTCAAGAGATTGCATCTGTACCTGGAAACAGTCTTTACAGACGACAGATCAGCAATGGCACAGACACAAACAAAATCAACATTTTAGGCACGGGTATGCTGAACTTTGCCATGGCAACAGGAATTGATATCAATGCCATGTTTTTTACTTTTCTGGTTTACTTTCTACTTGTATTTACTTGCTGTGCTGTTTGTTGTTTCTTGACATGGTTAGTATTGTTTGCGATTGCCAAGATGAATGAGGATGAAGCATTTACGGCCCAATGCAAAAAAGTGTGGGATTTTTCAATTGGTAAACAGCAAGAAACATGACATGATTTGTTACTCACATTTGACTCGATAGGCGTGTTCATTCGCATTCTCAGTCTGCTGTATCTCCCAATGATGACTGTTGCCTTTTATCAACTCATGATTCCTTCACGCGCGTACATAACATGTTTCGCTGCGTTGTTCCTTGTTTTCCCATTGCTGATTTATGGCTTTGTTTGTATCAAACTACTCGAGATTCGACCTGCTTCTTTTCTGTTTACAGAACTTAAACTTTTGTTACGATACGGATCTCTTTACAATGGCTATACAGACGATACGTTTGCTCTATTTGTGGGTATCATTGTCTACAAATCAGTGGTAGCAGCCATGATTGGATTGTTTCAAACAAGCGCCATTGCTCAGATTATCCTCGTCCTTTTAGCAGAATTGGCCATCACAGCCAGTTATATGGTCAAGTGGCCATGTGCGGACAATCAAGTCAATATCTTTCATATCTTTTTTGGATGTATCAAGAGCATCATTCTTCTCTTAAATATTTGCTATCTTCCTCAACTCGAAGCAACTAGTTTATCAAAACAATACGTAGGCTATTGTCAATTGGGCATCCATTGTCTTGCTTTTTTTATCTTTTTGGTACTTCAGATCAAGAATGCAGTCATCATTCTTACTGGTGTTACAAATGATGAGCTGGATGAATCGGGAAAACCTCCTGCTCGTATGGTGATATGGAGAAAGAGACATAGAAGCAAGCGTCGCCCTATGACTACGCCTCTACAGTTAGGCAATAGTTCAGCAAATCTTATGTCTATCTCAAGTCGCTCCCGTTCTCATAGTGCAAGTTTCTATATGGCAGGACAGCATACAAATCATACAAGGACCTCTATCATGGATATGGATCTTTTGAACAATTATTATGGTACAGGAAATAATACGAGTAGCAGTAACAATACAACAAGCATAACCATCTTAAAGCCAGATGAAATTAAGCGAGCAAGTACACCACTTGCAATGACAGATACAATAGACAAGACAAAGATACCTTTGATATCAGAGCAATACGTTCGCTCAGGATCCTCAATATCTCTAGCTATTGAACAAGTTGATTCACCGGCTACTATTCAACGTTATGTGGCTCAAACTAGCATACAATCATTTCATGAAGAAGAATATGCACATCCTACTGCCAAAGCAATATACAGAATTGACGATGAAATTGTTCCGAGTACAGAACCATTAATGACATCCATTGATCATGATTTGAACACTCGTTTATCTCCTCCTCCTTTGCCGCAGCATACAGTTGGAATTAACCAATCTTCATCCATTTATTCACCTCCACACCAAACATCATTTACAAGCGTGGATGAAGAATTTGTATAGAAATGTATATATATAATAAAGAAGTTTATTCATGGCCGTACAATAGACACTGAAAACAACTTGATATTCGCATCTAATCCTTGTACTTCTTGATCCAATTCAAACTTTTTCGGTTGGATCTTTTTATCCATGCTTTCTATCACAGACATAACAGCAGGTGCTTCCAACATGGGACTTGGTTGCTTGGGCATCACAATCTCCAGATTAGATGGACTATAAAATTGTTGAAAAGTAGGTGTTAAAGGTGAAGAAGTCGAGTCTTCATCTTCTGACTCAGTATGCACCAAACGAAATTGGATGCCACTTTCAATTAAGCCTAAACCAGGCTGACGAGGAGATATCATAAACATAATCTCCATCAATCTACCTACGTATCTACATACAGCAACGCCATGCTTACCAACCATTTTTTCAATGGCATGGAACGCTGGATCAGGCACCTCTCCTCCTTGACGGTAAGCTAAAATTAAGGCTAAGATAGCTCTTTCAGCATGAAGTAAACCAGGAACATTTGCAAGAGGACCACTTGCAAGAGGCATATGAAAAGCAACAAAGGCTCTTGTTTCTTTAGGGTAATGGGTAGTCAAGTTACCAAGATGAACTGCAGCTGGTAGCAGGCGATGTAGTTGAAGAGGATGATCTGGCGAAAGATAGAGTGGTGGAATAGCGTCTCTTAAGACCTGTAAAAAGGCATCAAATTCTTGAGGGGATAACGCGTGTGGCAAGGGCGATACATATGCCTTTACTCCTTCTAATAAAGGATCTTTGGATTGCTCTATCTCAGATAACATATGATAACAAACACCTTGTCTCACACCTCCTTCACTGAAATAGACTTGTTTGATCTTGATCACTTTTAGAATACCTGAGACCAAGAAACAGATAGCAGGAAGCATACGAGTACGACGTTTTGAGATACGGAACACTTTAAGTTCACTGACTAATTGATCTGGATCTCGATTTTTGAATTTGTCTACGAGTGTTTCAAGTTGTTCTCCAGTGATACTGTAGCCACTAATGATAGGGATAGGATAGACTGACTTTTTACCAGATAATGCCATGGACAAATAGCCTAATGCTCGGAATCCACCTCCACTCATGTAAAGGGTATACCCATCATGCTTCTTTAAATGACCTGGAATATTTGCAGTATCTTTTGCGAATTGAACTTGCTCAACAATCTCTTTTAATAACTTCTTTTTTTGTTTCTTATCTGAGCATGCTGACAATCGATTTCTCATGATAGCTGCTCCATAAGGAAGTGATACAGGACTTGCACTTGTCTTTAATCGTTTTCTAGGTCTTTCTGCCAGTGGTGAAGATGTATGGTTGGATGTCACATAACTCAATTCAACAGATCCACCTCCCAAATCCATTGTTAATCCATTCACTCGATAAAATGATCCTAGTACATTATGGGAATTTAGCACACGTTACACACACGCCTTTCTTATTACCAACAATGCCCATAGAAGAAATTAAGGCTTCTTGTTCTTTTGGTAAGATATCGACCTGCCATCCAGTGGCTTTCTGTATTCTAGACAAAAAATTTTTCGAATTGGTTGCTATACGAGTTGCTTCAGTCGCAATCACTTTGACGTTGGTAGGATCTACACCTTCATGTTGGCAGACCGTTTTGAATCGCAATAAGCTAGTGATGACTTGGTCTATTGTTTCAGTGGGAATAAAATGTTGGTCGTCTTGAGCTTCCAGTAAAGAAATAGGAGCACGCTCTTCATAAGCAACGGGCAAATGTCTTGCGAGTGCAGTAACAATGCCAAATCGAATACCATTGGACCCCATATCTACTACACCAAAAGGTGCTTGTAGAGTATGGAGTATAGTCATGATAAAAAAAGATGAGAAAAAAAGAAGATAGATAAAGAGAGATTTTCAATAGGCATTTTAAATAACCCTTAAAACGTGATATCAATCCACAGACTGGTTTGACACTTTTGTTGTGGTACAAAAGTGCATAATACATTTGTTTAATTATCGTATAGTAAGAGAGGTATAATACTTGTATTTAAAGTGGCTTTCATTTGTATTAGATGGTGAATACTGATATAGTTTTGTAATTCACAGTCATCTACTAATTCAATGGTTGCTTGCTCATCTAAATCAAGCCAAAGATAGTCAATATAAGTAGGCACAAATAAGTCAATATGACAGGCTAAAAGAGAATAAGTCTTAAAATTATGTGTTTCTTATACTTGCCGTCAAATGACCAACTGCTGTCGTCTACTCGAACACAACCATTGTGTACCATATCATTACCCAATTCTTGTCCATCTAATTCATGAATATACAACTTTTGTCCATAAGGAAGATCAGAAGCAGCCACACTAACATAAGGAACCAAATTCTGTGATCCTGAGCCTAATCCAAACACAGTATGAGAACGACCTGCTTCTCCTATCTTGATAAATGTAGGTATATCCACATTATCAATATTGATCAAATCTCCATTTTCTAACAAACACTACGGATATAAATGATCAATTTGAATCCCTAGTGTGTTTACCGTTCCTTCCATTAAGCATTTCTCGTGCATTTCAGCAGATACTTTGGTGATTTCTTTATGCTCCTTGTCATACAATGGGGTATTCTTGTTTGTTGCGCCTAAAAACATCCGATCACCATCGTTTGATTCGTCCCATTCGTTCTCTCTCGGTATCCAATATTGAGAAAAAGCGACTCGTTGTTGGTAGCAAGTATCCACAAGATATTCGTCTTGTACTGGTTCAAAATTTGAACTGAGATTTGTGTTTGTTGTACTTGTTGTTGAATACATGTAATTGCTAGTTGCGGGTGCTAAACTGCTCTCGATTGGACTAGAATAATAAGGTAAAAGAGCTTGCACATGGCTTGATGTTCTTGAGATTGTCAGTAAAGTAATGATGATTGAAGATTTGATATTTTTCAGCATTGACGATAAAAAAAAACCGAACAATTGTCATTGGTCTCATTTTAGTACATTCCAAATAGGATGTGTGACTCAAATACCATATAAAATACAGAGGATTATTTTTTAGCGCCTGAAAAAAGAATTATTTTGACAAGATTTTGCATGAATCTAATTGCTCGCGTTATTATACTGATTGTCCATGTACTAGATCATAACTTTTCATTCTATTTGCCACACTACACACTCAATATGCTTTTGATCCTCACTTTATGCCTTTTTTGAATATCAAGCTTATTATAAGTTCTTATTTTATAAGCTAACTTTTTTCACGGCTCATTTTTGAAAGAATTGATAAGCATAACAGTACCAAAAGTGTATCGGCAGCCCGCTGCAGGCGCGAGTGTTTTTCAAAATAAACTCACTTTTTGAGTTTCTTATGTTTGAACATACATAAAAGAACATATTTATACAAAAATAGAGCAAGTTTTGAAAAAGTCATTTTGCCCTTATGATACCCTTTACGAAATCTTCACTTTTCACTATTTTGCGATTGGTGAGCGATAGAGACATTATTGATATAACATGTCTTAGTAAGAATTGTTTCTCTTGTTCTTTAAAATACATTCAAAGCGTTACATTTGCAGAAATACTATGAAAAGTGTATACTACAGCTCAAAAATTGAAAATACGTTTTTGAAAGATAGCTCTATATTTTACTAACAAATGTACTATGTTTTTTATATCATTCGATGCGCCGTATTCATATCTACTGACTTTGCTAATACACTTTTCTAATAGCTCATGTCAAAAACTAAAATAAAAAAAAATGAAGGCATTTAGAAATTCAAAAGGAATGATGCACTAAAAGTGTTTAAAAACGAGGAGAACACTTCGCTTATGCGAAGTTCATGTTAAAAATACCTCATACTACACAGTAAATGTTAGTCATCAACAAGAATTGGCTCAATTTGAGATAATTATAACTTGCTCAATCAAAAGATGTGACACCAAAGGAGTTTGTTTGTTTGTTGCAAAGACGCCACGATTGCCGTAAATGGCATCCACAGTAATGTCACTGAATTTTCTTTCTGACTATTTTGCCAAGAATTAGTTGTGCGTTTTCCCAAGGAAAAGAAAAAGAAAAAGAGAAACAAGAAAAAAGAACATGTATACACTTTGCACACAATCCTTTTTGCTCTTCTCCTTTTTATTTTTTATTTTCTGCATGATCATCAAGCAAAATCGTAGCCTTTTCTTTCTTAGTCCATCTGGACCTGGTAAAAGGCGTTAGTTTGGAGAGGCTGGAGCCTCCTTTTAACCCATGTCTTGTGTAATCAATTACGTGGTTGAACACGATTTTATATTGCAAAAAGGAAAATACATTGTGAGCTGAGATTAATCTTATTACAAGCAACTAATTAAATGTAACTTCATCCCCTTTGTGCTTGTCTTTATTCCTTGGATAGTAGACAGAATGGAGTTGTTAGAAGACGTAATCGATTGTGAGCAACGATAATTTAAAAAAGCGCCAAAGGAGATGATAGTGTGGGAGAAGAATCTGCAGAATCTGGGTTTATTCGGAACCAACATCTTATTCCGGGTGATTACAGAGAGACGTAGTTTTAAACAGCTTATTACTAGCATAAATCTGGTAATAATGAACTCTAAATATAAAGGAAGCGTGCTAAGCAAGTAATATAAAAGCGTTCAGTTTTCTCTCTCTTTTTTTTCATTTTTTTATTTTCTATCTTATCATATACAAAAATGAGTTTGTTTTTTATCAAGAGTCAATTTAACGGTCGTGTTCTCGATGTCGAAGATGGTTCTACTGAGGTAAGTGTGAAAAAAGGGAGAAGGAGGAACGCGTGGCTCATATCTCTTATAGGACGAAGCCAACATCATTGTTTATCATCAAAAGTATGAAGACAGTTTTAACCAATTGTGGCGTTACGAAGATGGTTACTTTATCAATGCAAAGAGCGCCAAGGTGTTGGACATCAGTGGTGGTGAAATGAACCCCGAGTCTCAAATCATCCAATACTCTCAAAAGGACTATGAAGAAGCTGCCAACCAAAGATGGCAAATTGATGAAGAAGGCTACATCTTCTGTATGGCTCGTCCTGACTTGGTCTTGGATATCCAAGGTGGTGAAGATGGTGACTGTGTTCCCGTTATTTTGTACGAAAGACGTGAAGGTGAAGTTTCTGCTAACCAACGTTGGGTTTTGGAACCTTTTGAAGGTTAAATATAAATAAACTATTATGTATCATATATTACAAACTACATTACTATCTCCTTCTCGGTAAATTATATAGTCATACGGAAAAATGATTGAATGTCTTTTAATGATTTTTGAAATTAAAAAAAAATGTACGCTTCCCATCTTTGAACAACTTCCCTAAAGAATAATAGATAAGCATTATGAGCTCTGTAGAATAAAAGCTTGGGTTGTTTATTTAACAGAAAAAAAAAGAGAAAGGCCAATATTTGATGTAGCCACTATCTACATCAATCACAGCTTAGTATTGGTCGGTCATATTGTCGATCAAGCGTGGAGTAGTATGAATGCAATGATTTGAAGCAATTATGCAATTGACAAGATAGTGGTATTCAACTATTTCCTCATATCCTTGTAAGTATATTATACACTGGTTAGTATATGTTAACCTTCTATTCTCTGCTCTTCCTTATAACCTAATGTAAGTAGCAATACAAATATTACTTATGTATCTCACACTCTGCTTAATTTCTAGTATTTATTTTATTTTTTCACAACGAGGTTTTTTCCCTATATACTTTTAAACCAAAATAATGTTTCTAAAAAAAGTGGTACAATGAACAAGAACTTCCATAGGCCACTACTTGTTTCAAGCGGGAAATATAACAGCCACTTACTTCAAACAGCACATGTCATATCCATCAAGTATAAACAGTTACACCAAGATGATTATCATATGCCAATTGTGACGTGAACTCTTTTCTTTTTTCTTTTCTTCTTTCTTGTGCTATCAAAATGGAAACAACAGAAACACATAAGCCTATTCCACTGCAGTTCCAACTATTATACAACTGGGAAGTGGAAGCTACTCAGGAAGCGCTTTTGAAACACAAGACACGCATGTACCCAGCATTCAAAGTTGAACTCAATCAGACACCTATCTATCGGCTTATTCACTACGAGTTTGAACGCCACTTCATATCAGCAGGACAGCTCTTTAGAGCCACTGGTCTGACTATTACAGAAGGATTCTTTCTGTTTGGGCTCAAATTGACTGATTTTGAGGTTGATTTTCTAGTAACTCAGTTTCCTTACTGCGATGTTTGGGTGAGCGTAGAACAAGCCAGATCCATGGCAATGACTTTAGGCATCGAATTTGAGCTAGGACTTTTACTGAGCGAGGGGTTGGATGACTGTTATAGTTCAGACAACATGAATCGAAACGAAATCATGCATAATTGGAAAGTACCAACCATACCCAACTTGCAATACTCGACACGAGCTCTTTTAGAAACAACATTTGACGAGGTTGAGCTACTGGATCCTATAGGCAGAAAGATTCGAACCCAAATTGCAAGATCAAAACAAGCAGGCATGGTGATGAAAGATCGCGCAGAAACAGGGCTTGTACGATGGCAAGTGTGGGCATATGAACAGTTTTTGCAGCTTAGTGACGACCAAGATGAAGAGAACATAAAGATGCCTACGCTTGATCGATCGGGTGCTGTATGGGATACACTACAAGGTATTTTATCTGATCTACAGACATTGAGCAGAGGAGCACAAGTGAAAGGAACTCGAGTCTTGTCTGACAATATGATGGTGGGGAACATGCCACTTAAAAAAGAATACTTGGGACATAGTTTGTTACTACAGCAATTATACATAGCAGTCATGGCAGAAAAGATTTCAAATGAATTAAGTCGTGTGTCTTATCAATCGTACTCAACACCTCTGCCAGTAGAGCCAAAAGAAAAGGAAGAGGAGCTCAAATCTTGTTCTTCTGCATCTATAGCAGAGGGAGAAAGATTAAATGTTCAATCAGCAACTACGACCATTAGCACAACTACACATAGCAATACTAACATGCTTTTCCATGATCGCATGGATCTATTGGAACAAGAATTATACCGAGTAAAGAAGAAGTCAAAAAAGAGGCTTGAAGACATACAGTTATATCAAGATGAGTTGGCACAGCAAGTCAATGAATTAACAAGCTGGAAACTACAGTCTGAGCAATCTAGAAGGAGTGAACGTGTTTGGATGTTGATGGTAATGGTCTCTGTAATATTTGGGATCGTTTCTCTGCGGACATTCTTCTTTTTTTAGTCTCTTTCGTTTATTGTTCTTGTGTTTGAAGCGCATAAAAGATCTCTAGTTGGAATTCCGCTTAGTATTCTTAATAGCTTTTTAATTAAGCGTAAACTTTTAACCTTATGTGTTCAGTAGACAATAGTGTAAACTATAATAACAAATTCTTTATCAGATCAAATAGTATCGTTTCTCTTTTTATTGTTACAATCTCAAGTCTGACTAAACTGTCTGACTTTCAAATAAATTCGACTGTACTACTTTAGAAGATCTTTTTTAATGAAGTAAGAGACTTTTTTTTTTTATTCATTCTTTTTTTTTTTCTTGCTTTGATATCCAAACATGCCCCCAAACTATAAACATGTACAGGCAGACGCGATAGAACTTTTAGCACCGGGAGATCATCTTGAAGGACAGAAAAGGAGACCTGGACATACTCGATCGGGATCAACTTCATCGTTTATACACTTTCGAGGACCTCAACAAATAGTCGAAGAAGACCACAACACAAACAAAAGCGGCAATAAACTAGCTTCTCAAGTAAGGACGACAGCCTTTTTTTTTCTCTCTTTTTTTTCTTGGCTAGTATCTGACTTGTAAAAATAATTAGGCACTACCATCACTTGTCATTTGTGTCATTGGTTTAATATTCGCAGGATGGATGATGGATATTTATCAAGTAAGGAAACCAGAATAGATAGTATAGTTACTTATTCCTATTTCGAAGCATTGGCAAGTCTTTACGCAAGTGTCAGAGCTATTTATTCTTGTACCCGTCTTGTTGAACTTAAAAGGAAATCTCGAAATGAATTTGGCAGCACGATTTTCAACTTCGGCCAATATGGGTGATCTCGACCACCCTGCCACACGAAACTCTTTAGTATGGGGCAATTTAGCACTGATCCAAGTACAAGCATTGATTTCAGGGTCAATTGCAGGTATCTTTTCAGTAATTCTCGGCGCATTCTTGCATCCCGATGAGACGATCGCCGTGGGTGAAAGCATTCTGGTGATTGCGAGCTCAATGGTATCTGCATCAGTCTCCAGCTTTGTCCTTGGATTGTTTATGTGTGTTTTAATTATTGTCAGTCGCATCTTGAAGATTGATCCAGGTACATACATACATAAAAGGATAGAAAGAGAGTTGCTTACATCACCAATTAGATAACATTGCTTGCCCTATGGCTTCGTCATTAGGTGATGTGGTAACACTCGGAATCTTGGCTGGATGCGCCAATCTCTTGCTGATAAATATGGGTAAAAAAAAAAAAGGCGAATTGTATGACGAGTCGTGTAACCCTTCTTTTTTTCTATAGAGTCTAATCTGAGTACCTTTTTACTGTTGAGCATGTTTGTCTCCATTCCATTTTTTGGGTTTAGTGTCTGGAAGAATACGCATGTTAGAGACTTATTATTTTCTGGTTGGTCACCTATTATCATTGCCATGTTGATTTCGAGTGGCGCTGGCCTTGTGCTTGAACGATATGTTGAAAAGTTTAAAGGACTGGCCATGTTGACACCTATTCTATGTGGTACAGTATGATATTAGTTTTGTTTTACACACTGACATCTTCTTTTTAGGCCTTGCTGGTAATTTGGGTTCCATTTATGCTTCTCGTATCAGCACATGTCTTCACCGAGGAGTTCAGGAACAATTCAAGATAGTAGAATATACCTTGTTGTTAATGAATGTACCAGTTCAGATCCTGTTCTTGATGATTGCTTGGGTATTGGATATTGGCCATTTAGATTTTACATTTGCATTTGCCATTACATACTTTATTGTCTCTATGATTTGTGTAAGTGACTTATTACAAAAGACGAGTATTCATGTTGTTATTGTAGACATATTCTGCCCTTAAAATGGGAAAATCCATGACTTTGACATTTTGGAAGTATAAATATGACCCAGACAATTATGTTCTACCTTACTTGTAAGTAAACCAAATAATAGCAATTCGGTTTATTAATACATGAATATAGAACTGCTATTATTGATGTTATCTGTACAAGTCTGTTGGTAATTTCCTTTTCCTGGTTAACAGCGAACGGATTTGCCTCGCTAGAAGCTAAAGAAGAGGACATTTTAAACTAGATGTACTATAGATACTTACATATTTAATTCTTAATATACTCTTAGAACTTTCGAGATTGAAATGACAGTTTAGACTGTACCTGTGTGATAAACATATTTTTCTATTTTTCTCACGCATTTCATTTAAGACTACTTTTTCTGTTTGCTTTTTCTTTCTTGTTACAGTTATGCTTCGTTTAAATACTTTTTCGAACTTTAGAAACTTGAAGCAAGTTCGTTTTATTGCCTCCAAAGCCATAGAAAGACCTCACTCGCACGCTTTTTATGATGATAAGATTACAACAGTAAGTGAAAGAAACCCCCTGTTTGACTCATGAGCACTTAGGCTTGTCTATAGTTTGCCAGTAAACCTGTGAAGCCAGTAACTTTAAAGCAGCTTGTTCGGTTTGGACAGCCTCCTTTATCAAACGAAAGTCTCCAAGCATGTACACACTATGCCAAGTCAGAGCTACCAGTGCGTTTAGCAAGACGCGTTCGCGCCTTTCAAAGTTTGCCTTTTATTGTAGGGACTAATCCTTATATTAAAGAGATTTACAACCTTTATTATGACTCTTTTGAGTCCTTGGTGAAATACGCTCTCCCTGGTGCATCCAATGATGATGTAGAGTTCATTGAAAAGTTAAAGGCCTTTGTTGAACGACACAGTGACAATATTCCTACACTTGCTCGAGGTAATGACAATACAAATGGAAAGAGAATATAGACCAATACTTATTCTTTAGGTTTCTTGGAATGTAAGCAATACATGAATTCACAAGATATGGCAAGGTTTTTAGACGACATGATTCAAGCACGAATAGGCATTCGTTTGATTGCTGAACAAGCTATTGCATTAATGCACCAAAAAGATATTGAAACAGACGGTTATATTGGCATCATTGATACGCAAATCAAACCAAATCAATTGATTAAACAGTGCGCAGACTTTGTTGCAGAACTATGTGAATTTAATTATGGAGAGAGTCCAGAAGCAATTATTGATGGCCATACAAATACCAAATTCACCTATGTTCCAGTTCATTTAGAGTATATCTTGACTGAACTATTAAAGAACTCTTACAGAGCAACAGTAGAGCACCATAAAAAGATGGGAAGAACAACATCTTTGCCTCCAATTCAGATCACCATCAGTCAAGGTACAGAAGATATTTCTATCCGTATTCGTGACCAAGGCAATGGTATCAGTGATGAAGATCTTCACAAAGTATTTGAGTATTCTTATACAACTGTATCTAAAGCAAAAGATGATGCTGAAAAGGATCCTTCCAATATTTTTAGAAATATTACTGAAATGGCAATGCAGAGTGGTGTCGGGGGTCCTTTGGCTGGATTAGGGTTTGGTTTACCCTTGGCTAGAATGTACGCTCGCTATTTTGGTGGTTCTCTTACTTTGGTGTCTATGTGGGGATTTGGATGTGATGTGTTTCTCAAATTAAAACATATTGATGATTCTATGGCAGAAGGACTAGAGATTTAAGAATAATAAAAGACACAGAGGTACATGTACGGATCATGAGGTTGTAGTTACCAAGTTATGTTTTCGTTTGCATAATGGACAAAACACAATAATTAGACCTCCTTTTAATTTTCAATTGATATAGGCTGATACAAAATAAGAACATGAGATGTTTGTGATTTACAAGCAGAATAGGAGTACTTCGGTCAAGAGTGATGAAAATAAGTGCATTTTTCATTTTAGAATTTGTAGGGACTTCCATTTGAGTTTTGTTGACATAAGGCAGCCTTTCCAAGCCAATCAGAACCATTTCACGTGACTCTCTTAGAAATTGTAAACCATATGTCAATTTTTACGTCTCAACAAAACTGATACGTTTGCGGTGCCTGAGCGTGATGCTGTTGAGTGAGCTAATTATGGTTCCTTAATATGAAACAGCCGATGGCTGATACTTTATATTAAGAAACGTTTATGATACTGAATATAATTGTCGACTCTTATTCTATCTGATCTGTTCTTCAATTTTTCTTTATTCAATTCAATTTCAAATGTCAAAAGCAAGGTCAAATTATATAAAATAAAATAAACAGGTGAAAAAGCTGTTGTCATAATATTTCAGGAATGAAATGTATAAGACCTCCTTAGGTGCAAATCAGAGAGGATTCGGCGCGAGAATAGCTGTTCGGGTCGCAGTAAGAATTTGAGTCACGTGCTATCCGAGGAGAATTTTAATTATTAGTATATATTATTTAATTTATACAACAAAAATAGTTCTAGCATCATGGCGCAGCAGGAAGCGCGCAGGGCTCATAACCCTGAGGTCGTCCGATCGAAACGGACTGATGCTATTTTCTACTTTTTGATTTTTATGATTGTAGTACCTGTTGACTTTATGTTATATTTGGAAACAATGTTATGAAAGTCAAATGACACTGTACTTTATTTACAATCTAATGAGCACGCTGCTTTCCTTTTCCTTTCCGATTCTTCGTTGCAGCCTTTTGTCTTTCTTCTTCTTCTTTCTTGCTTTCCAATAGTGCGCGTTCAATTTCTTCATCCTTCACTTTATTCTCCTCCTTTTCTTCATCTTCTGATGCCCTTTCAAATTTCTCTCTCACTTTAGAATAATGTTCAAGTTCAGTAGCAGAAACACTAGGAATCAATTCTTCTAAAGCTTTCATAAAATCAACTTCTTCTGCTTGAACAACAATTTCATCCGGTGTCACCATATGAGAAAGATAATATTGAACAGTCAAAGGTTGAGGAAGATCCTCTCGTTTTTCTTGGTTGAGTTGCTTGACTTTCTCTTCTATTGTATTAGCTACACGAGTCATTGCTTTCAACATAGCATCAGAACAAAGAGCATAAAAATCAGCACCGGTATAGTGGAAAGGACAACATTCAGCAACTTTACGCAAGTCTAGATCAGGATGTAAACGGAACCTGATGTTATGTTAGGCATATGCATGTTCCAGTTGCTATAGACTTACTTTCTTGTTAAAGCCTCAATAATTCGCAATTGCGATTCATGATCTTGACTTACGCCAAGATAAAGTAACTTGTCAAATCTGCTCAAAAGTGTCAATATTCAATCATGTAATACAATTGCTTTACCTTCCAGGACGCAGCAATGCAGGGTCTAATAGATCTGGTCTGTTTGTTGCACCAATGACAAACACATCGCCAGCACTAGAATCTTCACCTCCTTCACCCATACCATCAAGTTCTGCTAATAATTGACTAACAATACGATCCATCACACCCCCCGAATCACCTTTTTCACCACGCTTAGGAGCTACAGAATCCAGTTCGTCAAAGAAAATGACACAAGGTTTTGCATCACGAGCACGCTGAAAGACACGGCGCACATTTGCTTCAGATTCACCAATGTACATGTTTAGCAATTCAGGGCCCTTGACAGAGAAAAAGTTAAGAGAGCAAGAAGTAGCAATAGCCTTGGCAAGCAACGTTTTGCCTGTACCAGGTGGACCATATAAAAGAATACCACTACGCTTCTTGAGACCTGCACCAAAAAGCTCTGGATGCTCAAGTGGTAATTGAATGGTATCGAGAATATCGTCTTTGACATGTGCCATACCGCCCACATCATCCCAAGTAACAGTAGGAATCTACCAGAATATACTTTAGCTCATAAGCATCACCAAAAGTTAATTGTATTTACCTTGGGCGCACCAATAGAGTCAGAATAACTTGATCTAGCTTCCCCTAATGCCGACTCAAAATCAGCAGCAGTGAGTGCAATACCAGCTGCTTGAATGTCTTGTGTGGTGATTGAGCAAGGTGCAAGCAAACGGCCTGACTCTTTTGATTTACTATGACTAGAATGGATCAGGTCAATGCAAATGTCGCTTCTGGTTCTACTTACATGGATTTATCTATGCGTTGAAGAGCCAAGACACCTGCTCTTCCGACCAAGTCTACCAAGTCTTTAGCTACTAGAGCAGCAGTCTGTGTTGCCAGATTTGACAGGGAGACGTCAGGAGCTAAGGGACTATTAAGAAGTAGATTGTCAATGATTTGAAGACGAGCCTTTTCATCAGGGGCACACATAGAAATCTCATGTCTAAAACAAGAAAGAACACTCGAAGGCAAGGTATCAATATCGCCAGTTGTAGCAATGACCATAACAGGATATCCTGTTGCGATATGAGCAGCATTGACATTCTTTATGCATTCCTGTAGAACAGTAGCCAAAAGAGGTTCTATTGAGCAATGTTAAACAATAATCTCTTCCTGATTGTCATTACCTTGACCAGATTCTACAACAGCACTCTTTTTTGCCAAACCTTCCATATGTCTAATCAGTACAACACAAGGAGCCAAAGCAGCAGCCTTATCAAACTTGGCTCTCAAATGAACCTCTGTCTTTGCATCCGTATCAGAAACTATATCATATATAGAGAATTCATATAAATGAACCCCTAACTCCTCTACAACCTCTTTTACTAAAGTTGCTTTCCCTCCACCACGAGGACCATGAAACAAGGCATTGCAGGATAGTTCAAAGTCGCGACCAAGGGGATGAAGTGAAGAAGCAATAAGTTCATGAAGTTCTTTGTAAGCTGTGGATTGAGATCGAATCAAGGGCAACTTTTCGGAAAAGCCGTAATAATGCGAAATAGAACCAACAGGAACACGAGAATATTCCACGCCTGTTTGGACCATCTGAGTCTTACTAGGTACAATGCGTCGACCAGAGCCAAAGTAAGATGGATGTATTTTCGACGTATCACTCGCATAATCAAGCTTGGTCACTTTAAAGCAGGCTAACGTAGTTGGCTTTCCAGGCAAGACTTGTCCATTTGATTCTTCTTCCAAGGGCTTTAAACGAACACTATCTTCGTTCAAGCAAATGGCAATCACATCGTCTTTACATACAATGCGCTCTTTTGCTTCAAACCATGCCTTCAACGATTCGAGAAATGCTAATTGAAGTGCTTTATCCATGGATGCAGGTGAAGCAATGCGTGCAACAGTGACACTTGTTGCAATAGGAGGCCCTTCTAGAGAAGGCGAATCGACTCGAGTAACTGTAATTCTAGTGTCTTCTACAGATGCTGGTGGTAATGGCAAATCGAGATTGAAATATAAAGCCGGGGGAAGGTGTACCATGCCTCTATAAAACAGATAGATGTTATTTTCTCTATTTTACTTCTATCTATTCTACTTACTGATTTTCAGGTATATCATCAATACCATAGACTCGACAGAGTCTTGATTTCTTTGGGTTATTACCACTCACCAAGACCCAATCACCACTGAATACACCACATTGAGCTAGATCCTTGATACCAACATAAACCCGACTTTCATCATCATCTATACTATTAGGAGATGGGTGCAATCGTGCTTCAGGCCATCTTTGTTGAAGTATCTTGACTCCAAGTTCTTTTGGCTCAATTACATTGGGTATAGCAGGAGAATGTAACATGTTGAATGCAGCATTATTTGTGTCAACTTTCAATTCTTCTGGGTCTGTATTTCCACTATCTGATAAATCGACAGTCAATACTTGAGTGCAATCACTGGAAAAAATACAGCCTTGTTGAACAGGATTTGTCATTAAAGCTTCGTATAAAAGACCATTGCCAAAATTGTATTTTCCAGAATTACGAATAATTGTGCTTGGTTCTTTCACAAACAACTGGATCAAAGCCGCTGTATCTAGCTCATTCAATTAACTACATATGGTTCCCATTTTTTACCTTCTTACCTCTTTGTGCAAACTCATAAGACTGCTGATTCAAGGCACCAAGGATTAACTCATCCAATTCAATGAGTTCGACTGGCTTAATTTGTGCGAGACATAATGCTTCTCCTTCTTCTTCTTCCAATTGGTTAAGCGCGTCTTTTCCATATAAAGTCTGAATCAAATAACTACTTGCATGCACAGTATATCCCTCTTCATCCTAAAAAAATCATGTAAGCATTCAAACGAATATCCTAATTTTTGCTTATTCATGCTATTTACCCCTTGTTCGGTAAGCTTACAATAAACTATAAAAGACTTTAAAACAGGCTTGGTGCCATTTGAGACAGGATTAGGAGTGACTAGGCTTGGAACAGTGATAGAAAGAGGGATAAATTCTGACAAGAATATATAAGCTTGTGCGTGTCTTATTTTTATTATGCTCACCTTTCAAGTAGTCAACAGGTACGATCGTTTGCCACAAGTCTTTGGAGACAGCAACATATTGGTCTTGTTGGTCTTCCAAAGACAGTCTCAAGCGTGCTGTTGAATAAGAGGGCATACTGTACTCAACCACAAATAAAAGAAAAAAAAAGAGAGGGAGAAAAAAGATAGAAAAAAGTTGAATAAGCGAAAGCATATTGCCCTTAAAACGTCCTCCCACGCTTCAGTAATCATGTGTAACCATGTCAAACGTTTATTGTACCAAGTCAAAACGCAATTGAACTATTTTGCGCCAGTACTGACAAGTTCTCTATCCAAAGCGTCTTGATTGGATGTATCCCAGTTACCAATAGACCAGTCATTGACACTACCAGAGAACTTCTCTTTAGCCATTTCTTCACCAGAAATTTTGAGTGATCCAACCAAAGAACCTAATGAGTCATTGAGTGTCTCTTTCTTTATACGCAAAAAGCGGATTTACCTCCAATCCATCCTCTCACATTGTTCATAAAAATACGGCCTGCACCTTTCTCTTCTGGATTATCAATAAATTTGATAGATTTATGCAAGCGTAATAATGGACCATATTTTCTCTTTTCATAGTCCAAAGGGTCTCGCATAATTCTTAGTAACTCTTGTTTCATCCTTGACTGAAGTCCAGGCAAAAGAGATGTGCCTCCAATAAACAACATGGAAGAAATCAATGGCTTACGCAAATCAGGTTGAAGTTTCAGTAAAGCATCTAAAATACATTGTGCAATGCTAGATTCATCTTCATCGCCCTCAAACAGAACTTCGACTGTTCTTTCACGAATCCAGCCAGGAATCAATAGTGTTGCTCGTGTGCCGTCTTTTAATGTGATGGGATAATACAGATCAGTAGCACTACTCAGGTTTTTGTATGTTTCTACGATGGATTCTTGTTGTTGATGTTGCTGCCCAATCATCATGGGAGAGCAGAAGATAACTCGAGATTTGATATCTTCTAATAATTCTGGTGTAAGGATATGATCTGGTATACTGTTGTGTGGTGCAAGCGACAAATGAAGGCTGGAAGGAGGAATAAAGCGACCATATTCAGATAGCAATTCCTTAAGCCTCTTTGTCACTGATTTTCCAGCTAATGGCGTGGTTGAAATATAGGGTATCAAAGGTCGAGACACGTAGATAGGAAGCACACTTGTTTCTAAATTGCCAATATCAATCACTAGGCCAGTTGTAAGGCCAGTTGTTAATAGAGCCATAAGGTGAGTAGGCACAAATGATATAGAAGGTACTTGGAAATAGTCAAATAATAATCTAGCAATCATTTGCTTCATTATGACTGGTGCTAAAGGCGACTCACAAATGATTACTTTTCTTGATTTAGGGTCTGTCAGCAGTAGTCTATCATAGTCTATAAGCATCATACTATATATATATATATATATATATTGCTTCCTACCGAAAATAAATGTCGTGTAATAATCTTTTGAGACACTCTTCTATCTGACCTAGGTTGCCCTTTGCCATAATATCCAAACCATACAAGTCATCGAGCTGTCAAGTGAATAAGACGAGTTGCTAGAGTTTGCTTACCTCTTTATTCACTCGAATAGCTTCTCCATCTTCATCTCGAAAACGTCCCAAGTTAGACCAAGTAGGAACCAAATGTCGAGGTGAAGATTCGCCAGAAAAACCACACTTGATATAAAGAGAACCAATATCTAAAACTACTCTATCTTCTGTACCATAGATAGAGTGTCTACGTGTAAAGTTATGAAAGGAAGAAGACGAGGTATAGTTGGACAAATAATTGGATTCTGGCGATACAGAAGTAGTAGTCATTAGTAGAGGAAAAAAAAAAAAAAAGGAACGCAAAAAAGGATAAAGTGTATCATAAGTTTTCAGTCTTAAAAAGTCACACAGTCATTATACACTGAACCGAAATAAATGTCTTTTCAATAAATTGTAGTAGCATGTTAAGCTTTACTTTATTTTCTGAATGTGTATATATGATTATAAAAGGGAAATAAAAGGGTAAATTTACAATTCATCGTGATCTCTCAAAGGTTCATCAGAACCAGCAGAGGAGCCATCAGCATACAACTTGGTAGTGATGGGGTTGATGACAGATTCTAATTCTTCACGCTTTTCGTCAAAGTCTTCACGAAGAGCAGTAGGGTTTTCATCGATCCAAGCGAGCTTATCCTTGATAGCATCTTCAATGGCTTCCTTGTCTTCAGCGGAAATCTTGGTGGCAAGAGCACCATCTTCAGCCAATTGACTCTTGACAGTGTAGATGTAGTTTTCCAACTTGTTCTTGGATTCAGTACGTTCACGAACAGCCTTATCTTCTTCAGCGAATTCTTCAGCTTCTCTGACCATACGTTCAATATCTTCTTCAGAAAGACGGCCCTTATCGTTGGTGATAGTGATGGATTCAGACTTGCCAGAGGCCTTATCAGCAGCGCTGACCTTCAAGATACCGTTGGCATCAATTTCAAAGGTAACTTCGATTTGAGGAACACCACGGGGAGCAGGAGCAATACCGTTCAATTCAAACTTACCAAGTTGGTTGTTATCCTTGGTCAAGGCACGTTCACCTTCAAAGACTTGAATCAAGACAGTGGGTTGGTTATCAGCAGCAGTAGAGAAGATTTGAGACTTCTTGGTAGGAATGACAGTGTTACGAGGGATAAGCTTGGTCATGACACCACCAGTAGTTTCAATACCGAGAGTCAAGGGGTTAACATCCAACAACAAGACCTTGTCAGAGGATTCTTCACCAGAAAGAATACCACCTTGAACAGCAGCACCGAAAGCAACAGCTTCATCAGGGTTAATACCCTTAGAGGGCTTCTTACCGTTGAAGTAGTCTTCGAGGAGCTTTTGAACCTTGGGAATACGAGTAGAACCACCAACGAGGACGATTTCATCAACCTTATCCTTAGTGAAACCAGCATCCTTAATAACTTGTTCAACAGGCTTCAAAGTCTTACGGAACAAGTCGTTGTTGAGTTCTTCAAACTTGGCACGAGTCAAAGTTTCGGAGAAGTCCTTACCCTTGTAGAAAGATTCGATTTCAATACGGACAGACATTTGAGAAGAGAGGGCGCGCTTGGCGTTTTCAACTTCACGCTTAAGCTTACTCATGGCCTTGAGGTCAGTGGTAATGTCATCACCGTTCTTCTTCTTCCAGACCTTGACAAAGTGATCAATGACACGGGCATCGAAATCTTCACCACCCAAGTGAGTATCACCAGCAGTAGCCAAGACTTCAAAGATACCATCATCAATAGACAAGAGAGAGACATCAAAGGTACCACCACCCAAATCGTAAACAAGAACATTCTTTTCACCGTCGGTCTTATCCAAGCCGTAAGCAATAGCAGCGGCAGTAGGTTCGTTGAGGATACGGATGATGTTAAGACCAGCAATAGTACCGGCATCCTTGGTAGCTTGACGTTGAGCATCGTTGAAGTAGGCAGGAACAGTAACAACAGCGTGAGTAACGGGCTTACCGAGATAAGCTTCAGCAGTTTCCTTCATCTTAGTCAAGACCATACCAGAGATTTCTTCAGGAGTGAAGACCTTATCTTCGCCTTTGACCTTAACTTGGATGTTGGGAGCACCATTCTTGTTGACGACAGTGAAGGGGAAATGCTTGGAGTCATTCTTAACTTCCTTGTCGTTGAAACGACGACCAATAAGACGCTTAGCATCAAAGACAGTACGTTCAGGGTTAGCAGAGAATTGGTTCTTGGCGGCATCACCGATCAAACGTTCATCGTCAGTGAAAGCAACATAGGAGGGAGTGATACGGTGACCTTGATCGTTGGCAATAATTTCAACACGTCCATTCTTTTGAACAGCAACACAAGAGTAAGTTGTACCCAAATCAATACCAATGACTAGAAATAAGACACGTCATTACTATGACACTTTCTATGAATTTGTAACTTACCAGTTCCATATGCTTCTTTATCATCAGCAGCTTGAACAGAAGATGTACTGATAAACAGTGCGAGAATAATGGCGAAAAGGGCCAATAACGTGGCCTGTTTTTGCATTTTGTATATTGTAAAAGAAAAAAAAAAAAGCAAAAGACTTTGTAAATTGATAATTGATTATTTATATAGTTCACAAAGAAATTAAAAGATGTCCATGTATCAAATTATGATTGGCTCAAACTAAATTTAGTTTTGTAGGCCGCCACGTTGATCCAAACCAACAGAGCGATGAGTTTCAAAATTTGATCGAATCAGAATTGCCCAAGTCAAATTTCAAAATAAGAGATATGATTGCTTCGTAGCAGTTTACGTTTAGAAATTGACTCTTCAAACTGCTTTTTTTTTTTCCATTATCTTCTTATGTTTTGACTATTTAGAAAACTCAAATGATCACTTGATTTATATCTTGTTGTGATCTTTAGGAGGGGAGACTGTTGTTACTATCAAGTGTTGCGACAATGTCTAGCTAATTAACTCACGATTTGGAAAAAAAAAATATGAATGCACTTTTGTTTTTTGATAAAGTCAAAAATAACAAACACAATGATGCAATAAATAGATATATATATAAAGCATCTTTGGTATGATATTCTTCATCGTCAGTTTGATAGCCACAACCACTTGGTGGTTCATAATTGAGAATGACACCTTTTGATTCTATCTTGTGTTCTCTAGTTGGCTTGAGATGAATGTTTGGCGACATTGAACCATCATCCAAGACATTTCTTTGAGTCGTTCAGAGATGGGAAAAAATACTTGTTCAATGTGAAGATGATGGTTTCCCCTACGGTACAAGCCATCCAATACCTTTACAAATGACGGGTACGCATTCTATGCATGGTACATCTTCATTGCTTGACAGCTTGAATGTCACACAAATGTTGTAATTTAAAGAGAATGTAGATATTGTCTGCTTTAATAATTGAATTCTTTTTACTGTATCTACTATTACTATGATATAGTATTTACCTTAAATAGAATGTCATCTGGAATATAAAGCTGATTTTACCTTGAGATAGAAAGACCATAAAAGTCAAGCGTGAATAATAATGCTGGAGCATTATGAATAATATTATAGTCAATAATAATGTACAGAAGTAAAATGATAGAGTTTATTGTTAGATACATTATAAATAATTAGGGTTTTACGGCTCTATAGAAGCTAGCATACATGTTAACGCGATCAATGGCTTTACCAGGTTGACGAATGCCAAGAGGCTCAACTTTGAATCCATGCTTAACAAACAGTGTATTATACCAAGGTTTTGTGCCTGCACTACGCCAATAAACCTGACCGCCACTTTGCAAAGCACGCTTCATTTCCATAATCTCTTCATTTAATTCTTGACATGATTCTGGATCAAACCAGTCCATGTGATCCATGACAACCAAACGAGTCAAATATCCGTCTGACATGGATCTGAGTGCGTCCAAGATGGATTGAGTGTGTAAGCGGAATGATTGTAATGCGCCGGAAGACTTCAATTTCTCAAAGCCCTCTTTTGTGAGATAAGAAGGACAGCTGTTCTTACTGTAGCGTTGTTTTAAACAGAGATAATAAAAGTATTGATCGTTGCTGAACAAAGAATGTGAAGGGATAGGGTCAAGTGTGTTTTCAATATATTCTTGAGTAGTACATTCTTTCAAGAACATATTCATTTGATTGACAGGAACTATTTTATAAAACGTATCAGTTTTGTGGTCTATAATGATAAAAAACTTACCACCAAGAGCGTTCCACATGAACATTGGGTTATGAAGCACTTTTTGGATCATGGGAGAGAAAATCGCAGGTCTTATCTTTGTGTTCCAAATGGCCGTTTGTTCTTCGATTGTTGTGGCATTGGTCATAGCATCAATATCTTTGCCTAGTCCCTGCATACGAATCCACCATTCAAGAATAGACAAAGCCAGCCCAGAGTAACCTGTCTTATAAAACCTGTAACTGAAGCGATCCTTGTTATGGCTCCAGTATTGAAAGGCATAAGAACTCAAATGTGGAGAAATAATATCATGCAGCAAGGTAGAAAAGTGAGGATGGTTACCATCACCAAACATTCTCCAGAAATCAGTATATTCAAGACAAGTAATACCAGCAAGCTTCAATTCCAACAAATGATTCTAAATCATAATATAAGATATACACACACTTAAGGAAAGAAAAAAGGATATTGTATATTTACCTGACATGGATTCATATCAATACAATGAATTCGCTTGGGTTGTGCTTGAAGAGCATATTCTAAAGCATTATCACCTGCTGATGTGATAACAAACATCACATCGTCCTTGGACAAGTTCAAGTATTCAAGGTCTACACGAGGATCCTCCCAAGTAAAAGCATAAATGTAAGATCGGAATTGTGTGTGACAAGCCAATGCTGGGTTATAATCCAATCGCCATTGTTTGTTTTGATACGAGAAAGAGGAACGTCGACGACTTGCTAGAAGGCTATTTGCACTATTGAATGAAGAAAGATTACTAATACCACTAGCCACGCTGTCTGTATCATCGGGAATCTCCATAAGAGACGACAATTCGTTCTGACGAGCAGGAGAACAGCCAAGCCAAATGTAATATGGCATTTGGATCAAGTAAGGCACGATAAAGTGGTTACGACGGTTCAGCGACTTAATAGTACCAAACTTGTATTCCAAATAGTCGCGACGACCAGGGGTTAAGTTGATGTGATCCAATTCAAACCAAGCTTGCCAAAAGTGTCTAGTGAACCAGTTACATTGTCTGTTTTGTTGAGGAGACCATTTTTCTGCAGGTGCATTGGTACGACCTGAAACGTAAAAATCGACAACACCAACGATGCCTTCAGGGGATAATAGGGATTGAATGCGATCAACGACGGGGTAGTAATAGTCCATCATGGATACTAAAAGTGTGTGTAAACATAAACTGTCATGAGTTGAACTGACTTACATGCATAAGAGACAGTGATAAGACCAACGCGTCCTTCAAGGGTACCTTCAAGGCCAGGCATTTGAAAAGAAGCAGCATCTTGACAAAGGACAGTAACATTCTTCCATCCTTTGTTTGCAAATCGTTCGCGGGCAACTTCACAGAGAGAAGGAGTTAGATCAACAAGGATAACTTGTTCAAATTGGTCAATAGGAAAGGAATCGTTCATGGTTTCGATATTCCAACCTACAAGAGCATGTTTAGACTTGCTTTTATTATGCAAGTCATTTACCTGTACCACCGCCCAAGTCAATCCAAATAGGTCTCTTATTCATCATGCCAGTGGCAATTTGTTCTTTGAGTTGAGCAGCACACAATTTGAGCATTGTTTTACGACCTCTCAATAAGGCTCCGCGTGAATCGTCATAGACTAAAATGGAAATGAAGGAGGATCAGTGCCAAGTACTAGCATGAATAGGAGATTAGTATTAAACTCACTTTTAGCTTGGTCCTGATAAAACGATTCAAGACGGCTTTGTTGGTCATTGCCATGGTGGCCAATACGTTTAAAGAAACAAGAATACATAAACATGAAAGGAATTCGAACTTGGTCCCAAGCAACCAGACACAACATAGATGCACCTACGATAACATAGAGTGACATACTGGCTATTTTATGATAGTGATCATTAGTAAAAAAGCGAATCTGTAACTGGACGATATAGATGGTCAACAGAGAAACTGAGATAAAGCCTAAGCGAACAGAGAGTGGCAAGCATTGAATGTCTTGATGTAATTTTGACATTTGGTAATGTTATCAATGAAGAAGAAAAAAGGTAAAAAAAGGGGAAAATAACGATTCGAAATTATAAGCTTATTCTAACTAGCATATTGCTGTAGACACATGATGCACTAGCTATATTTCCTTTGCTCTTGCTAAAGATGTCCCAATCGCCTTAGAAAAACCCAAAACGTTGGTCGTTCCTTGCTAAATTTCATAAATCAGCCAACCAAAAATCACGCAGATCCCCTCTCAGCATGAGCACATGATTCAATTTATGCCAAATTTTAGATTTACATGTTAAAATATAGAAAATTTATTGGCTGTCAAGTCTATAGGCGTGTGTAATACTTCATTGTATTAAACTAAGGTGTTTCTATAGGATCTGTTTTATCATCTAGTTCTTCTTCTAAGACTTCTTCAGGTAGACCATGAGCTTGCCTCCATGCCAAAAAGTCATCGTATGTCTTGACTTGGCCTCCACTTTGTCCTACTACACGTCTAAATACAGCCAATGAGGTCTGAAATCGACGCTTATGATTCGAAAACCAATAAGTAATATTGCGTGGCTTGAGACCTGTCTCTTTTTGAACCTGTCGTCGCTGATCTTTTGTCAATTTATCCCGGCTACTATAGATATCAAAGAAAATAGTCTTTAGATAATGGGTTGTCTGTGCATCATATGAGGTAGCCGTGCGACGTGTATATTTTCTTTCGATCCCTTTACTAGTATGACTATCTTTCTTTCCTCGGGAAAAGCGTGCGTTTTCTTGATTTTGACTTGAATTGGTTGATGAAGCTCTACGATTGGATCCAGTTCGCCTTGATTTTCTCTTTGCACATTCATTCCAAATATCGTCATCTTCATCTGCTTCTGAAACAATGTATTCGTCGTCTTCCTTTTCAGTCTTAGATAGCCGGTCATCATAATCAGTATCATCGCTCACTGTGTTGTTGGGCGAAAGCCTCTCGCAAACAGATCCTGGAGAAAATGATAGATCATACTTGATATAGGTCGAGTCTTCTCCATTAAACTGTTCTTGTTGAATACACGTGGGAGAGGTGGGAAGAGAAAAAAAAAGATGTTGATGTTGTTCAACAGAAGGTGTTACAGGTAGAGACCATCCGTCGTGAATCCAAGAGGGTTGGATATGAGAAAATGGCGCTTTGCTAGACTCACTCTTTTGGTACGTGTCAGGTTGTTGGCAAGGATCATCAGTAAGAGAGCCTTTTGTTAGTATCATTTTGTTGTAAGGCATAATGTTGTATGTATGAATCACACGGTTTGAGAGTTCATGGAAGCTTACTTTGTCTGGACTAACCAAGTCTACACCACTTGCCATGCCGATCACAGGAATTACGTCGGAGTTGTTTGAAAAGTAGTTTATCTCTTTCTTTATCTTTGTGGCAGCTTCAACCAAAGGACTAATGGCTTCTAGGGGACTCTGATTAAACCAGACGCGACCATTTTCGATGAGCTGAAAGACTTGATGCATGATTTCTATACGGTCTTTTAAGCGCCTAAAAGCAGAAAAAATACAGCGTGCTTCAGATTTCATGTCATTGTTACCAGGATTTGATTTAACAATAAAGACTAGCATAAAATGAATCTGTAGAGCAGCAGACTTGAGCCAGGATAAAATATGCGGGCGATACTTGGGCTCCTTTGCAAGAAAAATGGCACGTTGCAGCTCTAGCCAAAGGTAACAAAAGGTGCCAAATTCCCTATGGCAGATAAAGGTGGACAAGTTAGGATAATCATGAAGCATTTCGTAGAACAAGATAGTTTCAGGGGAAGGGCATATGAGCTGTTGTTCATCGTCACTTTCATCAAGTGACTCAAAGTAAGGGAGGCCAAACTGACTGTTGAGGCTAGCATGACTGAAAGATACAGTAAGGCTATCACAGGAATATTGTAAATCACCACCGGGGGAATATACTTCTGGAGAGGACAGGTTGCTCATGGTAGACATAAATGCGTCTGTATTTTTAACATGTGATGCTTGATTGATTGGCATGACATCTGGTACGTAAACAGGGGGATGAATGTCAAATTGATCTTGGCTTTCAAATTGCATGATATATTGTGTTTAAATGTGTACAATATAACGAGAAGACAATAAAGAAGTGGTTGTTATTAAGCCTCTATATAAATATTCTTAAAATACTATTCCGAAGACCTTCTTGAAAAAAAAGTCTAAATAGTAATTATGCTCTCTTTTGTTTCGACTTGTTCTTTACCTGTTGTTGTACCGAGACTATTTATAAAGTTCAAAAAAAAGAAAAGGCTATTTAGAAAGAAATTCAACGACTCTAAGAAATAAGTAAGAAAAAAGAAAGACTGTTTTGACGTGATTTATATATATGCAACAGATTCAATTACTTCCAAAGAAAGGTTTCTTGCGACGCATTGTTGCAATTTCCTAATCAAGCGAACAAGAGATACAAAGAAACATTAAGAAAAATAAAGAGACCTTGTCATTAGGTAATTTAGACAATCCCTGTTCATAATGTTTTTACTGGCAAAGGCCTGAACTATACGTATCATCATTTTAAATACAAAGAATGATTACTCTTTATTGCCCTTTTGCATTCTTCGGATAGAGTCGTACAAAGGTGATTTTTTGAAGAGTCGTCAATATAAACACCTTTTTTTTGTTTAATAAATCTCTTTACATTCTCTAACGTTAAATCCTTCATAAAAACAACAAACAAGTCTGAAACAAGTTTTCTCTTTATTTGATATCGGTATCTCAAGTCAACTGTAATTTTCTATTTACAAAAAAAAAAAAAACTAAGATGGCGAAAAAGAAGATCGAGATTAAACTTCTTCATTTCGCACAGGGATAAACTTGCCACGATCTCTATTGCGTATCCAATTGAATGGAACCACATGAGGAAACTTGATCCAGGCAATAATACCTCCCAAGGTTAAAAAGAAAGCAAGCAATCCAATATAAGTGTTGTGCTCATCTTTTGCAAACATAGTAGGATCCAAATCATCTTCTAAAGGAGGCTGCTGTGGTTGTATGGGTTTTGATTTCTGAATATCGTAAAGTCTTGCTTGCTCATCTACAATACCCTTGAATGGTTTGACAGTATATTTCTTTGATCGAAATTTAGATTTAGGATTTTGAAGTTTCTCTTCTAGCTGCTCTGTCAATTCTACTTTTGGTATATAGCTTTCTGCATCAATAATACTTTGTGCAATTGATTTATGAAAGCCTAAATAAAAGTTTGTGAGTCTGTGTTTAAATAATGTTTTTTTTTTGTTATACCTGAAGTAAAATGGGTTTGATCCCACCAAATATAATCTACTGAGTTGAATGTACAGTCTGGTTTACCATAACACGTATCTAGATAGGGTTCAAGTGGCTCCTTAAAATTGAATACAGAAGGATCAACTATAATATCATTGATTAAGGAGTGGATGTCTACATAATCCATTTCTAGTGCATGATGATGTTTGTTGAGATTGGCAACATCTTTCTCTAAGCCACGGTTTATCTCCACTGCTGCTTGACTTTTATTCAGGGAAGATTGATCCTCTTGATAATAAGGCATGTGTTCAAATGGAGGTAGATTTAATACAAGGAATCGATCAGAAAGAAATACTTTTCGAGCAGCTCTCTAACAAAAAAAAAGTTAATTAACATTTCGACTACTGAAGTTCACCATACCAACTGCTGTCCAATACAATCAGTAATTTCTTTATATTCAGGTTCTTGACGTCCTATTAAGCATGAATACATAAAAAAGTTTGTCGGCTTACTTACCATGTCGCTTTGTCATTTCAAACACATCTTGTACACCCAACCAGAAAGCATAAACTGTTTCTTCTGGTTTTAAATTCAGACCAAGAGTGTAATAAGCTTCTAGTTGATCTCTAAGACTTGGAACTCTATCTTGACTTGATATTGATTCATACATTCGAGTATCACAAACTGATCCACTGAATGCGAAACTATATAATGAAGCGTTCCATCCAAGTGCTAGATATTCACTCCAGTTTGGGCCTTCTGACCAACGTTGGCCATTACCAACGTCTGCTTCTTGTGTGAGTTGAATATATACGCAAAAGAAACTGTGATATTACCTGAATTTGAGTCACCAAAGACAACCAAGTTTTTAACTGTCGCTCCCATAGCAACGGTTGCCAGGGGAAACGCGATCCATACTGCTGTCGCTAATCTCATAAGTAACAAGATGAAAGAATGAGTTAATTAAAAAAATCAATTAGGAACCTAAAACAGAATTTGTGCACTCTAGCACCCGCTACTGTCAAAAGTCACGTGAACCCTGACTATAGATCCTAATTGAATACCTATCAAGCAACTCAATGAATCAAGTGTGTTTTAATAAGATGCTTTGTTCGAACAAACAGTTTGGTAGCAAATCACTTGTTCATGTAGCTGAGACACCAGATAAACAAATGCTTCAGCAAGTATTTGTATGGACTGTTGTCTTTTTTTTCATTGCTGAAGCATTTGTTTATCTGGTGTCTCAGCTACATGAACAAGTGATTTGCTACCAAACTGTTTGTTCGAACAAAGCATCTTATTAAAACACACTTGATTCATTGAGTTGCTTGAGTCTGGTGAACCGAATTTAGATTGGATAAACCTAATTTTTGTGACAGTCAGCTGCTCGATAAGTATTTGATTGAAAGTCGTAGCCTAGGCACTGGGCGATCTTCTTTTCTCGCTTGGCAACAGGTACCTGAGTCTTGTATTTCCATTTTACCGGGTTCATTCCACAGTGACGGTGTATCAAAAAAAAAAGTCTGTTTTTTTCTTGCGTTTCGATAAATAATTGATTTAACATGCATTTCCTATTATCCTTTCTTCTTTTTCTTTTTTCTAACTTAATGCTGTAAATACAATATGCCCTCTATAGATTCAATTGATCGAGATTTATTTCCAACATCTGCAGCTATTTCAGATTCAAATATTCAATACGATGCTACAAGTAATATCAACAAAACTTTTTCAAAAAGACATTCGTTTCTGAGTTCGATACCCTCAGAAGAAATGAACTTGACAGCATCCTGGAGGATGAAATTGCTGGTATTAGCATGTATGTTGTCTTTACCAGGTAAGAATAAAGCAATGCCAGCATCCCTTCTCATTTATTAGTGGGTTGTCACTACTTGGAAGCAACGATTGGAACACTGAAAACTGTGTTAAAACATGTAATCTTTTGTGTCACATTATAAATGATCGGAAAAACTTACACTCTCCGTTTTGCCAATAGTCAATGCAGATCAACAATACACAGTTCAGTATTCTTCTATCATCTGTAACACTTGTAAATACTGTCTTGCCCTTACTAGCAGGTGTATTTATCGATGACATCAACAGCCTTGGATCCATTCGTGCCACTACACTCGTGAGCTGTGTGATTCTCTTGGGTAGCATTCTTGTCTCTGTTGGCAGTAGTTATAACAGTTATGCATGTATGATGACAGGTCAAATCATTTATGGTCTTGGTGGAGGCATGATTGTTACAATGCAGGAAGGCATTCTTTCTCGATGGTTTAGAGATAGAGAAGTGGCTATTGTGATAGGCATCATGCTTTGTGTTGCTCGGTTGACAAAATTCATTGCAAAACTAGTAGCCTATCCCATCTTGAATGCGACTAATTCAAAAGAACTTTGGCCCATTCACATTGCCACCTTTTTTTGCGCTGGTGGAGCAGTTGTCAATCTGACTTATTGGATTGTCATGTGGCGTAAAGGATTGGTCACTTCTTCTGGAAAAGAAATTGTGCGATATCAGGGCAGATACAAAAATGAATTTGATAAGCAACAACCAGACAAGAAAGAAAACATCAATATTTCAGCTGATGATCTGTCTTATCACGCAAATGTCAACCGTGCATCAAAAAAGCCGTTTAAATGGTCTTGTAGAATCCTTACATTTATCCCAAGTACATTCTGGATGGTGCCTTGGATTCAATTGTCTATGTCAAGTGTGCTGAGTAGCTTTGATGATGTAGCAACGTATGTCATACAGCGTTATTCGTGTTTACTCATATGCAATAATTAGTGAGTTTGTAGAATTTAGATATAATACAACAAGTATCATGGCTGGTGTAAGTGTTATTTAAAAAAGTATAGTGTGTTAACATTATTTCAGTATCAAAGTAGTTTGACACAAGTAGTGCCCATTGTAGCAGCACCTATTATGGGTATTTTAGTTCATCGTTACGGAAAGCGATTGACAAGCTGTAAGTTTAAATTGATAATCTAATCAGATTGATTCATAACTCGGTTTAGTGTTTTTTGCAACTTTAATTTTGATTACTTCTATGATCTTATTGGCCTACACTTGGGTTACACCCGCTGTAGGTATGATTATCTTTTCATTTGCACTTGCGTTGGGACCAGTCTCTTTACTTAGTTCCACATCTCTCTTGCTTCCTCATGAGCTGGCTGGTACAGGCATGGGTCTTCACAAATGTGCCAACAATATTGGTACGACCATCCTGTCTGTCCTTGTAGGCTATGTTCAGGACTTAACATACCATGACGGCAATCCCCATGATGATCAAACAGACTTACAGTCTGAATATGATGGTGTCATGATTCTATATGTTGCACTAGCAGGATTATCTATCCTAATAGTGGTTATCTTTTGGCTTTTGGATAACAAACTCCTTGATGGTTGGCTTCAGACTGATAAAAAGGAACGTGATCGCCGTTTAGAATTAGTAGAGACAAAAGAAGAAGATGAAAAGACACTGTATCTGCATGCAGCACAAGAAGAACTAGAAAAAGTAAACAGAGAGAAATTAGAGGCACTTAATAGAATTGGATCAAAGCTAAGAGAAACAAAGACATACAAGTTCATTGGTTTCTATTGCTTTTGGCTCTTTGTTGCTTGGGTCATTTTCTTTACTTTTGCGCTCATGCCTGTATATCAAAATTATATGTAAATATCATCTTACTCTAATAAACACCTTTTACCCTCTTTTCTCTCTTTCTTTTTTCTTATGAAAGCGTAAGCTACAATCTAGATAACGTATGTCGTTAGGGATGGTCATATTGTAGGCCATCTCAAGGAAACAATGAACCACAACTTCATTGCACCATAACAGGCCTGTCTTATTTAATATGGCATCAAAATTCTTTGTTTTTATTGCTGCTTGCTTATGCGAGTTAAATAATAATACTATTGCAATGTTTGACCTTCTGGATCAAATAGTATTTAAGAGTCCGTTTTAGAGTTTTTTTTTCTTCTTCTTGTCTGCTTTGGTTCTAGTCAATAGATGGCTGCTATTTTACGGTTTAACAAAAGATGGTTGTTGCTGATAGGTGGCATAATTATCTTGAGCTTAACCTGTATTTTGCTAAAGTTAAATGGGTCACCCGCATACCCAGCCCCACCTCTTCCTATACGTGATTCTCCTTCATATTGGCCAACCCCCATAGAACAAGCTTTCTGTCGACCCAAGATCTATGTATATAAGGCACCCGAGAGCTTTCAAGTATCTCGAGATATACAAGAACAAAAGTGTCATGAATCCAACTACAACTCAGAGATCATCCTTCATAATCAGCTTGTCGATCTCAGCAGTCCAATCTACCAACACTACGTTACTGAAAACCCTGAAGAAGCAGACTTCTTTTTTATCCCCTTTTTTGGTGCTTGTTACCTGTATAATTGCTGGGGAAACAATGGCTGGAATTGGGATGCACGCTGTGATATCGATCAGTTGTATGTGGATCCAATGATGGATATGGTTATCCATGACTTTCCTTACTGGAACAAGTCTGAAGGAAAGAACCATATCATGATTCACCCTATGGACAAGACATTTACTTATTATGAACATCATTCAAGATTTCAGCCTGCTATTTTCCTCAAGACAGTAGGAGACAAGCGACAGAAATGGATGCATAGACACCGTTACCATAGAGATATTGTGATACCATCTTCTACCCGTATGATTCATCATTTACAGGTCAATCCTCTTGACTATCTTACAACAGAGGGTCATCCCAAATCAGGTAAACGCGATATCTTTGTACTCTTTCAAGGCTGCTGTCCAGATGTCAAACCAGAAGATGAGTATTCAAATGGCATTCGTTCCTTATTTTTTGAACACTTTCAACATTATCCTGGCTATGAAATTGGTCAAGTCATTGCTGATCTAGATTATCTCAACAAGCTATCTCGAGCGAAATATGGTCTAAGTCCAATGGGATGGACATTGGATACAACACGTATTTGGGAATTCATGGCATTTGGTGTTGTACCTGTAGTAATTGCAGATGGTATCATTGAGCCTTTTGAATTTGATGTTGATTGGGATTCTTTTATTGTTCGTATCCGTCGAGATGAAGTCCATCGTTTAGATGAAATCTTGAGGGGAATTGATGAACAAACCTATGAATACAAGCGTAAAAAACTATGGGAATACGGTCGCCGAGTAGGACTCGAAATGGATGCCTGGCATTTTATTGTGCGTGATTTATGTAGAATGGAGAACATCAATGCTCCTGTAAACCTCGGGTTAGGTTATTAATAACTTTTTTTTTTTATTTGAATATGATTTGACAAATGTATTTACATGCCTCTATAAATAATACACAAAGCATTAGTTTAAACTTGTTTTGACTATATCCATTTACCTTTGCTTCATTTGCATAATAAGTGCAACTTTCTTTCCAACCATGGCACCGAATAATTTACGGTTACGCTCAATATTCTTTCTTCTCCTTGCGACATTGGGCTTTTCATAATATCTATTAGCACGCAACTCTTTACGCACATTGTTTTGCATCAAGATAGAATTCAGACGTTTATAAGCAGTGTTGGGGTTGGTAACTGAGCCAATAGAACGACCAACATAAGGGTCAAGTGAAGTAGAGAGTTCGCGAGGTGCACTAAGCTTTTGGTCAAAGAAACTAGGCATGCCAGGGGCCTCGTCTTTAGCTTCCACTTGTCGAACAATGTTGGAAGTAGAAATTTGACGCATCCATTGTAAAGATGCTGCGGGTGCTGTGAATCTATGTGAGAGTTGAGTGAAGGCTGAACGAAGTGCCATAGTTGAATCGATTCAAATAAAAAAAAAAAATTGAAAAAATAAAAAAGAGGACCTGGCATTTGAAGAAAAAAAAAGAGTCACAGTCTTGACAGGAACCCAAAAAGGAAACCTACTTGTATTTATGCAGGTAATATTAGATCAATAATCAAAAGTAATAATAAGTTGGTTATTTTTATCAAGATTTTGTTTCAATAGTAATAGAAAAATTACTTCTTAATAACTTCTAAAGGGAAACAAAGAAATGACCTACTGAGAAGGGAGAAACATCTCTCTGTTTAAAATGCAAATAATTGCATAACCTTACTCAAATAGACCAACTATTCAATTCAAATAGCATGTATGATGCCACTGAGTATTACCATAATAACTGAGTTTATATGATGCAGAAAGAAAGAAAAAAAAACAGAAGAAAAGGAGTAGTTCTTCTTTGTTCTTCATCATATAAAAAGTAATATAGATGCATTTTGATCCACAGGACCATAAAGGATACTATATATTACCATGTATTTGAAAATAAATTTTATAGACCGTGAACATTTAAAAATAGGATTCAGTGGCAAACAGTCTCAGAGAAATCAATGTAGATCACAATAAAATAAATCATCTCAGGGACAGTCAGTGCTGTATTCCAAAATAAGAATTTAGGTATGCACCTCTTTATTCATTATTTTGACAATACTAATATTTTGTCGTTCATATATTCATACATGTACGATTTATTGCATTTAAAGAGATCCAAATATATAAAAATAAAGTTGCAAGAACATATATAAAACCTTTGTTGTATTCGATTCATCTCTCTTTTCATCTTATCTCTCTTTTATAAATATGAACACAGATACACCCTTCTTTAATCCTCTTCATACTGCTGATTCCTCTTGTAGAACTCAGATGGAACAATCCAAGCCAAAGATTCCTCGTCCATTGAATTGCTTCATGGTCTTTCGACTCGAAAAACAACGAGAAATAGTCCGTAGATGTCCTGGCGCAAATCACCGTGATATCTCAAAAATCATTTCGAAATGGTGGAAAGAGCTTTCTGCCGAGGATAAAAAGCCTTATATTGCTGAAGCAGATCGACGCAAGATAAAACACAGAGAAATGCATCCCAATTACAAGTTTAGTCCTAAAAGAAAAAATGGTCAAACAAGACCCTACAAAAAACGCGCTCAAAATGAATTCTCTGCTCGTGACTTTGAGAATAAGATGAACCTCTATGCCATGTATCAAAGCAAACCTCTTGGATTAAGTGAACTTCCATCTTCTCCTGCTTCTGACTCTTTGGATGACTCTCAACAAGACAACAATAAACACAGTCTCTTGTACCTGATGGACAAAAAGACTGCTTGCAACAAAAAGAACAACAATAAAGCAGTCGGGTATGATGAAACCATAAACTATGAAAATAAGCGTGATACTTATATTTACCCACCTTCACCTTACCATTGTGTCAGTCCTGGTGCACTTCAACTCGATCATGATACAATCAATAGCAACTATAATGACACTGTACATTTCAATACTTGCATGCTTTATCCTACCATTCAATACGATTCGCCTGCTTCCAGTGTGTGCTATCCTATGTCTTCTCAGCATTGTTCTCCTGCCACAAGCCACGATATTGACTCTCCACCCGATGTAGATTGTAGTGGTCGTTTTGAACCCTTTGTAAACTATAACATCTACAATAGCTATTATGGTTCTGGCGATGTTTATACGAGTTGTCACCCACTTATCCTTGGTGAGAATGGTACATTACATTATGTTTCTCCCTCTCCTTCTTCCAACGGTGATCGTTATTCAGCCAATACTACGTCTCCATCCTCTCACACTATACCCACTTATTATCCCGCTTTACATATGGACAGCAATACACCTAAGCTTTCTCATTCAACTGTTATGGCGCCTACTCTTTTAACTCAGCCATTTCTTTATCATCCCTAAGTTTATTGTTTATTTTACTCCCTCCCTTTTTTTATACGTACATATGTGTATATGAACATTTTAGAATACAGTATCATTTTCCTTTTTTCTTTCTTTCATTGTTGACAGGTTTCTTTATGCTCTTTCTTTTTTATTTATATATATAAAAAAATAAAATAAACCACATAAAAAAAGTACATGTATACACACAAATATTCTCCAAAGACTTACTTTTTATGGACAAATGAATATTTTCTCCCATTTTTTTAAATTGAGATTTCTTTGTTTATAACACAAAAGAGGGTTTTTTTTCCAAAATACGTCAAGAAAAAAAAACTCGGATTTAATTTCGGGATCTCATCCATACCAGATTTTATCGCGTGTTGTTTTAGTGAGTATAGTTATTTCATTCTACAGTCTATCTTTTTAACAATTTTATTTTTGTCCGCGGATAACGTGGGGCTCAATCAATTTTTCGATTTGGTTTTGTGTTTTGCTGTGTATTTTAAAGGAAACTGTTCTAAAAAAAGTTTTGTCAACATGATCAATCCCAAATAAAGACAATAAAAAATACATTTTTTTTTATCTGTCAAACAATGCTACTGTACTATTTTTTTTTTTTTTTGCTGGATATTTTATAAAATTATCAGCTGTTGAACTTTGATGAAATATAGCCTTATACAATCCTCAATGGTTACATTTGTAACCTCTATCTGGTCATGAAAAAAAGAATACCAAATTCCGATTTATGCTACCAAAACAATCATGATTTGACTAATTTACATGCAAAAGAAAATAAAATAACCTTATTCTACATGTAACAAAAGAGAAAAAAATTGCTTTTACTGTTTGATGCATGTAAAGGCAAAAAGAAAGAAATGCATGACTTCACAAGTTATCCGTCATTATTCATCATGATCTATTTTTTTTCTATCCTCGTACACATTCAGGGACAATATATCGTATTTTGAATCTTACTGCTAAGCTAGCCATTTCGTTACACAACTTGTAACGCAGCTCAGATTTCACAAAGGGAACTCCTCCGCATCGGACTCGAATCTTGAAGTCATTTTCATGACCAAGTTATATGCAAGGTAAGCAGTTTTATTGGTGCAATGTATAAACTCTAAACTATAGAGTGGTGCCATTACATACAGAAAAAAAGATGTGTTTGTAGAAAACATATAAACAAAGAATAAACTAAGCTAACCAAGTATATATATGAATCTGAGGAATGATAAAATGTATCATGTACACGCATGTTATCTATCAGTGGTCATTTTACTAATGTGATTCATGTAATAGAGAAATTGTAGCAGGGTGGTACAAAAATGAGGTGACAGGAACAATCTCATGATTTGAAATTAATTTTTTTTATTTGTATATAATGCTTTGCTATTTTGTCCTTCTCTCTCTTTTTTTCTTCTTCTTTACCACTTTTTAATTTATTCAAACCATCATGCTTCGAGTCTATTCTCTTCTCTATATCGAACGTTTATGGAACCCTAATCTCTCTTCAGACATCGTTAAACAAGTGCCTGTTGCTACTCCTGTGAATTATGGTACAAAGACAGAGATCGTTGAACCCGTGATAGCCGTTTCAGAAGACACTATAAACAAACAAGTCATTGAAGGTTAGTATAAATCTCTTTTATATTGCATTCGTTGCTCATTCGTTACAATAGAAAATCATGTTCAAGAAGCAGAAGAAGCTATTGAGGAGGTTGAAATCCAAACGTGTGATGAACCCAGTTATCAACAAAAGGCGGAGATCAAACAAGAAGAACTTTTAGGGAATGATGGTCCTATTGCCTTATCCGAGGATGAAGAAGAAGCTGTTAAGGAAGATATTGTGGAGGTCCAAGAAGAACAAGAGATTGCTAAGGAAGTTGAAAGTATAAAGGAAGTTCAAGAAATTGATACTGAATCTATTCAAGAGATTGATGTTCAATCTGTGCAAGAAGTCGAACCTATTGAAAAGGCTGCTTCTATCAAGGAAGCTGAATCTTTACATGAAATTGAATCTATCAAGGAGGTCGAATCCGTCAAGGAAGTTGAATCTATCAAGGAAGAAGAAGAAGAAAAGGTTGTTAGCAGCTTAGCTATCGATACCAAGCAGCACTATCAAATTAATACTATTTTGGAATCTCCTATCGAAGAAGAAGATCTCTTTTCTGCAAGTGCAGCTGCTGATCACTCAACATCTATTTCGTCCTCATCCTCTATTTTGTCCCCCCTTACACCTTCCTCTGTGCACTCTTCTGGTTTCCTTTCTCCTGCTCTCGTTCTTCAGGAAGAAGAAGAAGCTTTTGAAAAGAAGGTCCAAGCCTTGCCTCCTCCTCAACCTAGAAAGAGAACCACTTCCTTATTCAGAAGAGAAACTGATAAACTCAACGATAGACGCAAGAGCTTGACAAAGAAATTAAAGCGTGCTCTCACTGTAAAGAGCGAAAACAAGCGCTATTCTGTGTAACAAAAACAATCATATTATTTATCCTGAAGAAAGATTTGTACTTTTTTGTTTTGGTGCAATCTCCTTCATTTCACTCATTCTCCATGTATATTTAACCAGACATATCACAGAAATAAGAACAAAAAAAAAAAAAAAACTAATTTATACATATCATACTATTCTTTACATATATATTATTCATATACCACCTCTCTTTTTTTTAAAATAAATACTATTATTCTTATTACTACCTCAATACTTGTTTATGCCTCATGTAATACAATAGAAGGAATGATATTTATTTATTCGTGTCACTTGAGCTTGGTGAATATATATGCGCGCTTATAGAATACATGCTCTGTATTGGTATGTGGCTATCATAAAATCGTTTCATCTTAAGGTACAGGAACTTAAACTCTTCTTTTTCTTTCTTTTTATGTTCGCAAACACCTGTACTACAATAACAAAAGTAAAAAATAAAATAAAAAATATAGATTCAATGTCTGTGTGTTTATTGTTTGTGCAGAAATTTATATATGTATATATTACTATAGTTAAGCTTCATGTTGTTGATTAGGATATGCCATCATATCATTGTTTGAATTAGCAGAAGGCATGGTCAAGGTATTGGACACGTTTTGAATCATGCTTACTGTTGTTCCATTTGCTTGAGCTACTTTGCAGTCTCGATGTGCCAGCAAGAGTGTCTTTAGATTAATAACTTCTTCTCTCAACATTGTAGCCTGTGACTGTAACTGTTCATTATCTGTCGAGAGAAACTCAACTCGATGTTGCAAGTCAGCCAACCACTGCTTCTTCCTCTGTCGACATTTCAATGCAGCTTGTCTGTTTCTCTCTAAAAAGTGCTTTCGCTTATCTTCTTCACTACTATCTGCACCATTTGTCTTTTTGTGTTTTTGACTCTCTGTTTTCTGTTTCCGAGTTTGGTTTGCGTACCGCGTTGCCGCCGAAATCGAGCCTTCTGTATGACGTCGAGCATAAGGAGCAGTGGTTATTGTGGGTTGTATATTGGTAGTATATTGATCGGGCTGAATAATAGGCAAACTTCCACGATGTTGATGGTAACCGTATTGGCCTAACAAAAAATGAGTTTTAAAACTTTTACTGCTAATTCAAGTACCATTTATCATGGAATTGCTTTGCTGCAGAGAAGAGTAGTTTGGAGGAATAGATTGATCGTACATAGTGTTTAATGATTGAGAGCTACTTAGATGATGAAGAGGTGTCATATCCATGTCGGAAGTTACGATTGAACTGTTTTGCCAATGATATTTCGAATCCAGTGGGCTTGTGTTACTTTCTTGCCTCTGTTGTTGTTGCCGTTGTTGTTGTTGTTGTTGTTGTTGTTCGGACGGCGTAGAATAAGAAGAATTGAGTATATTGTTGTACTGTATTTGGTTCATGTTTACAGGCATATACAGATGCTGTTGTTTTTGTTGTTGTTGTGGGGATGTTGCAGTAAACTCGTTATTATCACTGGCATTATTTTCATGCTGATTCATAGTTGATTTTTCTATACTTATAAATATCTTTTTTTTTTTATTTTTCGTTCAGGAAAAAACTTACTCATTATCATTTTTTTTTCTGTTGTGTTTTAAAATATCCAAAAATTAGAAAGAAGAAAAGAGAAGAAAAAAAAATAATTATATTTTTTTTTAATCAAAATTCGTATGGGTAAAATAAAAGTTATTGGAAAATGAGTTGTCACTTCAACACCGACTCAAAAAAACATTCGCATGGTTCGTTCTACTTTTGTATTTGAAAAAAGAATAATATTCTCATACGCTTGTTATGATGATTTTGAATCTTTCAACATGGATAAAATACAAAAGAGTTGTTTGTAATACCTGAGAAAATTCTATAGGGTTCCTAAAGACTGTTCATACAAACAAACAGTCCTTTTTGCTCGATAATAGCGACTTCTCTGGCAAGAGTTAAATGACGTGTTCTTATTCGGTAAAAAAAAATAATAAAAAAAAAACGACTTTATATTCTTCCTACAAGATGTTGCTTAATTTACGATAAAAAAAAAAAGTGAAGAAATATATGTGTATGTGTGTGTGTACGCTTCGAACCGACAGATTGGGACTTGGTTCCTTGTTTCGGCAAATTACTGGTTCTTCTTTATGTTACAGTTCTGAATATTGGCGCCATCAGCATTTGACAGTCGGGAATTTTATGCAGAAATTTGATAAATTTTCATCCGATTTGATAAAGTGACATTTTCTGCTTGAACTGTAGTTTTAATTTTGGTATTGACAATTCAATTGACTGATATAGGCAAAAGTTAATTTGATTACCAAACATAGTTCTGAGCTTATTCTTCTGTCTTTATCTTTATTTCAAGTGGTACTTGTGGTATCCGGTTTTTATCGAGGCGTAAGCTTAATTTAAGAAGATCTGTTTTTCACAAGTTAAACATGCTTATCTGCTTATGTAATCAATGATAAGATCGCCAAAGTTTTTTTTTTATTCTACAAAATAATATAGAATCTTAAGTTTCTTGAAATATAATTACAAAGATAAAATGGTTTAGACAAAAAGAGATAGATTATTATTGTTATTTTATACAGATTTTCCTAAGTTCTCATTTAAACCCACTAATTCAGAATTATCTTCGGCGGGTACCATAGGAATTTGAGGTCTTTGTCTTGTTTGAAGCATAGCAAACAGGTCATCTAATACTTGGCCACTATTCGCATTAGGCAAAAAGTCATTTGTATTTGTGAGCGTTGGCCCAAACTCTTCTTCAAAAAAGGGATCGAAATCAAAATCAAGATCAAAATCACCCATAGCGGAAGGAGGAGGCATACCAGCTAGATCTGGTATAGTATTTGTATTGCTCTGATTCCAAAAAGAATGCTGTAAGCTAGATATCTCTTGCTGTGGTTGTAGTATAATAGGTGGATGGTTTGTGATGGGATTTGGTGCCTGACCGATTTGTTGTGTTGGATTCAAGAGGGGATTTTCTAATGTTTTGCGTCTTTTATTGTTCTCATCAGATGTGGTATCATTTCCAGTTAGAGTAGTTTCAGTGTCCTGCTTATTTGAATGGTATGGTTGAGATTCATACCCTGTATGATGTGGTGCTCTTAATGGTATGGGTGCAAATGATCCCTCTTGACTCTTTCTACGACTGTCTTCAGTTGTCCCATGCTCTAATGGTTCATGCAATGAATGTTTTGCAGGTATTGTAGATGGATTTTGCTTTTCACTGTCTTTTGGAGGAGTATCTGATTTTTTCGTACCTACTTCAGGTATTTTAGTAGCATCTCCGCCTGTCAAAATGGCTACTTGATTCTCTAGCATAACTATTTTCTCGCGTAATTCTCCATTCTCTCGTCTTAATTTATCCATTTCCTCTTGCCAATCTTCCATTTCTTTTGCCTTGAGTTCCAAATCTTTAATGTATTGTTCTCTTCTTTGTCTAAATGCCTTTTGTGCTGCTCGGTTTTGTGCCGCTCTTTTGGAGGGAATGACAGATCGTGTATTGTTCTTATGTTGAGATTTGGAGTAGTCTGAGTCAAGCATTTGTATTGGCGGTGAAATTGAACGATCTTCATGGTGCAATTGACGCTGTTGTTGTTGTTGTTGTTGTTGTTGTTGTTGCTGCTGCTGCTGCTGTTGTTGTTGTTGTGGGGGAGGAGGTGGGGGAGGGTGATATGGAAGTGGCTGTTGTGAAGACGGGCTATGATGATAATGATGTTGCTGTGGTATTGGTAGCACAGAACCAGGTGGTCTTGAAGCCATGTTATAGTTATAAGGTTCAGGCCCTCGATCTTTAAAGTACAAGTAAGAAACAGGTGTCTTCATTGCTTTTTTCTTTTGCTCATTACCTGGCGAAGACAACATCCACGGTTGTGTACTGTTTTTTCTCGGGGAGTGACTGGAATTATTGTGCATATGGTGATATCTTACTTGATGAGAAAAAGAAACTTAGTCTTATTGTATAGAGCTCTTGTTATTCTATTTTACCTTGTCAAGTAATAATAACAATAATAAAAGAAACCAGCAATAAAATATGTATATAGAATAAGGCGCGTATAAGTTTATATGAGATATATCCTACTAGGAGGATAACATAAAGTACTATAAACAAGAGGACAGTGTAGTATTTGCTTAACTCGAGTTGTAAAGTGAAAACAAGTGTATAGGAAAATAATGAAACTCAAATGACCTTGACTGTTCTGATTGGACACTTGAATCCCTTTTTTTTCCCCCACACAATAAACCATCCCACATCAATTTGTGAACACAAGTTTAATACAACCTGTTACAACAGAATAGGATGTCTTTATTCTTTGTTTCATTCAACTTTTTTGCCTAAGGCAGTATGACACCCAAAAAGAAGAATTTAGGGCGTGTAGAAAATTCAATCATATTAAACCCATTCTTTGGAAAACTTGCTGGAAAAAACTTGGATAGCCTTTCATGGAAAATCGTCTGACTTGACATATGTAGTACAAATGTTGATTATTTAAGCAAAAAAGTCACGTCCCGCTAAAACCCAGCTTAGTTTAGGATCATTTGTAGACGTATAAATAAGATTGTTTCTTTTCTTTTTTTTTTACATTTAAATTCATTTATAGCGCCAATATGTCCTCTCCTGTGCCTTCTTTTGACTCCCTTGACAAGATCTACGATCCTACCGCTGTTCCTAAGCAAGAGTAAGTGTATATCAGTCAAGATCCACATTTTTTTAACTGTATAACAGTAAGAGGTACAAGCATCTTATTGCCGAATTTGAAAAGGTTCATGGGCGTAAGGTCGAATTCATCGTCCGTTCTCCTGGACGTGTCAACTTGATCGGTGAACACATTGATTATTGCGGTTTTGGTGTCTTGCCTATGGCCATTGAACGTGATGTGATTATTGCCGGTGCTGTTACTGATGATGATACCAAGGTTCGCATTGCTAATATCAACCCTACCAAATACTCCGCTAGAGAATTCGAATATGAAGGCAAAGAAAAGGTTGTTACTATCGATTCCTCTGAATTGGAATGGTCCAACTATTTTAAGTGTGGATATAAGGTAAATATAAAAATCCAAGGGTTGAAAACAAAAGATTAACATGTGTAAAAGGGTATGCTCGAGAAATTCCAACTTGATAAGCCCAAGGGTCTTTATTTGCTTGTTGATGGTACTGTTCCTGCTGGTGGTGGTCTCTCTTCTTCTGCTGCCTTTGTCTGTGCTTCTGCATTAGCTGTCGTTACTGCTAACAAGTTGTCTATTTCAAAGACCGAGCTCACTGAGATCGCCATTGTTGCTGAACGTAATGTCGGTGTTAACTCAGGTGGTATGGATCAAAGTGCCTCTGTTTTGTCCGAAAAAGATTTCGCTCTTCGTGTTGAGTTTGCACCCAAGTTACACACTTCCCCTGTTCCTTTGCCTACTACAAACCCTAAATTGGCATTCATTATTGCCAACACCTTGGTTACTGCTGACAAGTTTGTTACTGCTCCTCGCAACTACAATCTTCGTGTGGTCGAAACTCGTATGGCTGCTCTTTTCCTTGCCAAGACACTCAATTTGCCTCCTGTTGATAGTCTTAAAGAAGTCTATGATCTCTACTACAAGGACTCCTCTCTCAATGAAGTAGAGAGATTTACTGATCTCCTCGACAAGGCTCTCAAACATTTCCCTGAAGACAAAACTAATGGTAATGGCTATACACTTGAAGAAGTCTCTGACATGGTTGGCATGCCCGTCAAGGAAATTCAAGACAAGTACATGACTCGCTTCCCTGTTGTCACAGACTACTACCGCCTCGCTCAAAGAACAAAGCATGTTCTGTCTGAAGCTTCTCGTGTGATTGAGTTCCACAAGGCCTGTGAATCCAGCGAAGGTGACTCTACATTGAAGCACTTGGGTGATCTTATGAATGCTTCTCAAGAATCTTGCGACAAGTTGTTTATGTGTTCTTGTCCTGAAATCAATGATGTCTGTGACATCGCTCGTAAGAATGGCGCCTTTGGTTCTCGTTTGAGTGGTGCTGGTTGGGGTGGAAGTACTGTCCATTTGACGACTGAGGATAAGGTTGCTCAGCTTGTTGAAGCTATCAAAAACGAATTTTATCGTAAGGTTTATCCTGATATCACTGAAGAACAATTGAATGATGCTATCATTGCTACCAAGCCTTGTAGTGGTGCTGCTATCTATACTGGTTTCTAAACATCTTCTCTTTTTTTTTGTATTATATCTCTCTTGTTAAATATGTGTACACCAATAAATAAATAAATAAAAAGCTTTTTTATTTTATCTAACCAAAGTTAATACCTTGAGCTAAAGGAAGAGCTCCAGAATAATTAATGGTACAAGTACCACGTCTACAATATTGTTTCCAACTGTCACTACCACTTTCACGACCACCACCTGTTTCCTTTTCACCACCAAAAGCGCCACCAATTTCAGCACCATTGGTAGGAATGTTGACATTGATGATACCACAATCAGAACCAGAAGGACCAATCCATTTAAAGATAGTTGAGGGATTGCTTGTGAAAATAGAGCTTGACAAACCTTGAGCCACACTATTGTTAATAGCGATGGCTTCATCTAAAGTCTTGTAGGTCATGGTATGGAGAATAGGAACAAAGGCTTCGTTTTGGACAACTTCCATATCAGGGCGGACACGGGTCATAGTAGGCTCAACAAAGTTACCATCCTTTAAGGGTCCATCATCAAACACACGTCCACCACAAATGATTTCACCGCCTTCTTGCTTTACTTTATCAAGCGCTTTTCTATAGATGTCCACAGCTCCCTTGGTATGAAGAGGGCCGCACAAGACACCTTGATCTAATGGGTCGCCCACCTTGACTTGAGCATAAGCCTTCTTGAGTCTCTCGACTAAGGTGTCGTAAACAGACTCATGCACGATCAAACGACGTGTTGTTGTACAGCGCTGACCTGCAGTACCGACAGCAGCAAATAAAATGGCTCTGGCAGCCAAATCAAGATCACAATCCTCAGTAACGATGATGGCATTGTTACCACCTAGTTCAAGAATAGAACGACCGAATCTGCCTTGTACCACTTTGCCTACTTCTCTACCAACATTAGTAGAACCAGTGAAGGAAAGCACATGGGCACGTTTATCAGCAGCCATAGCAGCACCAACGTCGTTTCCACCAGTGACTAGAGCACAGAGAGAAGTAGGAAGACCATGATCTTTTAATGCTTTGGCAATGATCTTTGTTGCAGCGACAGAAACAAGTGATGTCGTAGGAGCAGGCTTCCAAATCGTACCATTACCGGTCACAAGAGCAATAGCACAGTTCCAACCGTAAACAGCAACTAATGTACTTGTAAGTATATGTTTCTTAGAAAGTAGTCACTTACCAGGAAAGTTGAAAGCACTGATAATACCTACAGTTCCAAGAGGATTCCAGGTTTCCAACATAGCATGTCCAGGTCTTTCAGAAGGGATGACAGCACCTTGAAGTGTACGAGAAAGGCCCAATGCGTATTCCAAGATATCAATGTACTCTTGAACTTCGCCAATACCTTCAGGCAAAATCTTACCCATTTCAAGTGCAACAAGCTTACCGAGGGGCTCCAAACTATCAACAAGAGCATTTCTCATAGTAAGCAAGACATGACCGCGTTTAGGTACAGGAAGCTAAGACAAAAAGATTGAGTCCGTCTGTTATCTAAATCGTTGTTTTCTTACTTCTCTCCAGATCTTTTGAGCTTCAGCAACTTTCTCAAAAGCTACATCCAAATCACCCGTAGTGCCCTATAATGTCAAGTGTGGGAAACTAACCGTGGGAGAAAATATATCACTTACAGTAATGACTTCAGCAATCACTTCATTGTTGACTGGGTTATAAGAAGGGATAATTTCGCCTGATCCTTTCCATTCACCATCAAATACACCTTTGTTGCCTGTTCTTTCAAGTCCAAGTGCATCAAATACAGAGCGATGTTTCTCAAAAGTAGATAAACAACGAACAGATTGAGTTGAGCGAGTCAAGTTGACTGCTTGAGTAAGTACACGGGATCTTAAAACGCGAGGAATCATGATAGTAAAAAAAAGAAGAAAAAGGAAAAGAAAAGTGAAAAAAAAAAGAAAACATGCTTATTTATACATCGTCTTTATGCTTCACAGTTATCAAAGATACTATGAGCGTGGGAATAACATACATCAATCAAATCAAAGCTTTAATACGTTTAGATACTCCTGAGCTTAAATGTTCTCTCAGTGTTAAGGAAACTAAAAAAAAGGGGGTTTGCAAGACAACATACTGTATGTAAATAAAAGAAAAATTCCATACTCACAAAGATCTACAGACTAAAAGTAGAGAATAAGGGACTCAGATACTCAAAAAAAAGTATCAAATGCAACAACCATATTTACTACGAAATAAAAAAAATCAATAGCATGAATTTCTTCATTTGGGAACTTCTTCCTCTAATAAAGAAATTAAAATCGCACAAGAAGTTTAAATTAAACGTACCAGTTAAAATGCCTTGTTTGACAAGTTCATTAGGATCAGGCCTATCATGGATCTTATGCTCCATAGCATCATGTAAACGGTTTCTTTCTAAATCAACTTGATTTCTTTGAAGAGCAGGCGCAACTTTTGGATCAGCTAACAAAAAAAAGGGAGTATGAATAAGATCACATGACTGTTTCAAACACATTACCTTTTAAGATGTTTTGTTCAACAAGCGTTTCTGGTGTTGGGCGATGATCAATTTTATGACGAAGAGAGTCTTCAATCTTGCGCTTTTCTAACTCATCACGTTGTTGCTGAATAGCAGGTGCAACTTTGGGATCTTTTTTATGATAGATCATAAATTACAGCCCTTTTTCCTTTCTCTGTTTTCTTACCTTTGATAATATTTCTATCGACCAACTCTTGAACGTCAGGTCTGTGGGCCAACTGAGCTTCAAGAACCTTGGAAGGGTTTTCAGGTACAGCTAATATATTCTCTTAGTGCTGGACTATTAGCTTACAAATAGCACTTACTCATATTGTTAAAAAATCAAAGATAAAAAAGAAAAAAAAGAAAAAGGATTGGACGAAAAAGGTATCACGCGTTATTGTTATTTATTTTAATTTCGCAAGTGACTTCGTTTCTTAGTGCTTAATGAGTAAGGTCTAGAGGATGTCTCTACCAAGACAATCATCATATTGTTGCACTTCACATTTCAAATGACTGTTTTCTGATGATTTGCGCATGATCTTTGTGCAAAAGGATTCAAATGCCGATTAAAAAAAAACCAGGCACAAGATTGGCTTTTTAAACTGAACTTGTGTACTTGATATCTCTTCTTTTGGGGGAAGGGAGGGGGCACACTCCATTTCTTTCAATGTCTACAAAAAGAGGTGACCATTGTTGCATAAAATTCTAATTACGGAAAGCTTTGAGATATGTCTATTCTTCTCACTTTATTCTACTATATTCTTCCTTTATACAAATAGATCGTTCAACTTCGAATGCATTTGATAAATTTTTGTTCTCTTTGTGTGATAAACAGAAATTGATTATCGTTATCTTCAAAGCAGCTAATACATTCTAGAAAAGGGAACAAAGTTTAAAACGTCTAACCCCTTACTCTACAAGACATCCATCATCAGTTATGCTCCAAACTTTTCAATTTAGTCTCAATAGTGTCAAGTGCTATAGCATATCTTACTTATGCACATTTTATGAATCGAATGGTGTATAAATAAGTACCTACTTGCTAATCAACATTTACCGAAAAGGGCCTCTTTTCTTCTATCCATAGTATATAGTTAACTTTAGGTGTAGATTTAAAGGGAATGCTCAAATAAAGTCAAATTCTTCATATTAGCGAACTTGCTTTCTTTTCATCAGAAGTATCTAGGGATGGTCCTGTCTGACTTTGGTTGGATCAGACCTACATTGGGTCATTCCAAAATTTTCTGATCGAATTTTGTTTTTTCATCTTCACAGACCTCCGTGAACCGTCATGGGTAAAAAAAAAACAGATTTCACTGAACAGCCGAAACAATGGTACCATTAGATTCTTGGACTCGAAAGAACATGTTTTAAATGGAAAAATGGATTGATTTGATAGTCTGGTTGTCGAACAATGTTGTATCAAAAAATGGCTCGTTTTAGCTACGTTTTGAGCATTTTTGCTCTAGATATCATATAAAACTTGTTAGTAATGTGTTTTTTAAAACATTCCGTCATTTCTATAATGTAAATGTGGGGTAAATGGGTAAAAGATGTATAGGATACCTGGTATCGGGGATTGAAATAGGAAGAAACTCAAACTTTTTTTTACAGCCGCATCCAAAATCGAGCTTTGCGGCAAATAAAATCATTTAAAAAAAAATTGAACTTTTGCTTAGAGCTGCATAAAGATGCAGTTCCATGGCTTCAACCCAGTTACGAAAGTAGTAGATATTTAACTTCCAAGTCTGTTGATGTATCAAATGCAATAGAATTACTGGAAAACTATCGAGTAAATAAACAGAAATGTTCTCGAGGTTTTTCGCTCTTATCATGCTATCTTCATAGTACGATTGGCAAGAAAACACATTCGTTAAAAACTATAGCCTCTAACGCACATTTTGAGTATTTAAGCTTGTCGATAGCTCTATTTTTCGTCTTGTAGTGTCAAAAACAAGATCGAAGGTTGTCAAACCAACGACTTTTATGAGTAGTGCCCTTTGGTTGTTTTTGACAAGTTGCTCTTTTTTTGTCCAAATCAACTCTAGAAGTACTATAAATGTTTGCAAAAGTTGTTTTTAGGTATCCAAAGTATTTAGGTGTGCACAAACGAACTTTATGCTATCTTTATACGCCAAAGAAAAAGACAAGTATTTATATGAACTGTTGTCTTTTTTTTTCATTGCTGAAGCATTTGTTTATCTGGTGTCTCAGCTACATGAACAATTCCATGCATTACTCAATTAATCATTCAGGTAAAATTATCTTATCAAAACCACACATGCTCCTCCAAATCAAAGGTGCCTTAAAGAGAGATATTGAGATAATCAATACTGATTGGCTTATTTAATCCGACGTCATTTTCTCGAAAAAAACCTCACATGCAGAGCAAATATTTTGTTAACACGATCGCAATGGACAAGAACACGATCACAGCACCACCAACACCTCAAGTGTCAGAAATACACACCACTCAAGCACCATCGCTTTCTTTTTCTCAAGACAGCTCTTTCACTAATGTTCCACCTGACACCATACTTGTCAACTACAACAGTAATCAAGAAAAACCAGTTTTACTTCGAGCTGGTCTAGCCACAAAACCTCGTCTTCTGCTCATGACTTCTGTGGGTGGCTTTTGGGGATTTAGTATGGGTGCTTTTTTGGGAGCACGTCAGTCTGGTCTCCAGTACTTGGCAGAGAACGCACACAAGTTACCTACAACAGTACAAGGATGGTACTTTTATCACAAGACAAAGAATTATAGAATGATGTTGGGAGGTATTAAACGAGGCATTCGATTTGCTGGCAAAACAGGTGGGCTTTGCTTGTTATACGGAGGAATTGAATCTGCATTGGATGATGTACGTGGGGAGCCAGACGTGTTAAATTCAGTGGTTGCTGGTGTGACCACAGGCACCATTTTCTCTGTCCTAAGTAAGTAAACATATCGTCATGGTTATTGTGACTCATGTTGATACTCTAGCAAGGTTGTCAAGAGGATCATTTCGCTATTCCATGATGTTTGGTGCTGTATTTGGTTTAGCAGCCGGTGGTCTTTCTGATTTACATCGATATGCGTCTGGAGACACACCTTCTTATGGCCATTCCTTGGGATCATGGATAAGAAAAGACACCATTGACAACAAATAATCAAGTTACACAAATGCTTCTTATTGACCGAGTGCAGTCCCCAAAACAAGAAGAGAGGATAATCTGTGTCATTATGAAATAATCCCTTTTTTTTTTCTCTTTTTTTTCTCTTTTTTTTTTTCAAATAAACTTGCTTATCTTAAGCCATGATAGAAAAAGAGCCAGAACCTGTTATACCTTCTACAGAGAAATTTGCACATCTTTTTCCACCTTCTGTAGATATGCCAACACCTCCTGCGTTAAAACCCTCCAATTCTGATCAAACCAGCAGTGCTTCTTCTATTATCACCTGTAATGCAGCCATTGATTATGTCATCCTATTTCGTTTCCCTACCAAAGTATCCCCTCAAAACAACAAAGACATTGCCACCAAAGCTGATTTACAAACACACGTCATTGGGGCGCTTGAGAACTTGATATCTCGATTAACCAAAGTCGGGTTGCGTTTTCAAGTGCGTCCTGGAAAACAGGAAGGGTTGCTCTTGATCCTCGTGAGTAGTCCAGTAGAACCTATCAAGAAAGAATACCGACAAGAAAGGTAAATTTACATCCGCATTGACCATGAACATTCATCCATTCAGAGTACGCGATTTTCTATTGGGTGTACGAGTAGACGAAATAGGCGATGACACTACAGATCATGTCGATCAAGCATTTCGTGAACTAACCGAGGCTGAACGTTTACGTCTTGTATATGACATATTGACACAACCAGAATCAGAAGGCGGTTGTGGTATTTCTTCTCAAGTGGACGAATATGTGGAGAGTATCATGCCATTGCATCATGATGAATTCAACAAGGTAAGTTATTTGCTTAATTAAGATCCATGTGTTCAATATAGTATATAGACATGGTACAAGTCATGGTCCACAAAATGGCTAATTGACGATACTGAACTGCTCAAGATCCGTGATCATTTTGGTGAAAAAATTGCTTATTATTTTGCTTTTCTCCAAACCTACTTTTTATGGTTAAGCGCTCCCAGCGTCCTTGGTGTTTTGGTTTACTTGACACATTCGAACACATTAGCCATCTGGTTCTCATTGTCCATGCTTATATGGGCTATTTTGTTTATCGAGATGTGGAAGCGAAAAGAATCCACCTTGGCTATTCAATGGGGCGTCCGAAACTTTTCAAAGCACGAAAAACGACGTGCCGAATTCAAAGGTGAAAAAATGGTCAAGGATCATGTCACAGGTGAAGACACACCTGTTGTATCTACTTGGAAGCTGTTAGGCAGACGATTATCTTCTTTACCCGGTGTGGCTGTAGGAGCACTGTTTTTGACTGTCATTGTTGGTTTCGTGTTTGTCCTTCAGTTGTTTTTGCATGAGTATTATAATGGTCCCTTCCGTCGCTTTTTGGTAAGTCTCCAATCTAATCTCCCCTCCTCTCTACTACTATGTACTGATGTGTCATAATAGCATTATGCTCCTACCGTAGGCTATGTGTTATTTATTCCTACCATGACCAAGATTTACAGTCAATGGATCAAAATGCTCACTAACTGGGAAATGCACAAGACAGATGCTTCTTGGGAATACAGCTACACACAAAAGATTTTTGTCGCCAACTTTTTAGTAGGCTATCTTTCATTGGTAAGTGTGTGATGGCGCAAGACATCAATCCTTAGTCATATATGTTAGTTTATTACTGCTTGGATTTACATTCCTTTTGGAGATCAAGTCTTGCCTTATCTTGCTGAATTCAACATCAGTCATGAACACAAGACAGTGGATTTTCAACGATTACGAGACCAACTTGTGTACTTTATTGTGACAGGTCAATTGGTGGGCTTCTTGACAGAAATGGTTGTTCCTTATGCACTCAAGCGATTGATGCCCAAAGCGAAAAAGATCACTTCCACCATTAGCAAAAAAAAGCAAGAACACCATACTGCAGACTTGAGCCTCAATGCTGTACAAGATGAAGAAGAAAAGAAATTGATGAACAAGATTTACAAAGAAGTCGATAGGGAAGAATACAACATTTATACGGATTATGTAGAAATGGTTGTTCAGGTAAGACAGATCGATGTGTTTGTGCATCAGGGCTCATGAGATGTTGATCTAGTTTGGCTATGTCAGCATGTTCTCGACCGTCTGGCCCTTGACTGCTCTTTGTTCCATGATCAATAACTGGGTTGAATTACGTGGTGATGCGATCAAGCTCTGTAAATATACCAGGTAAGGCATACTACACATGACTTCCCCCCCCCTCTCTCTATAAATCACTAATACGGTGTTCTCTAGACGTCCTGTTCCTCATCGAGCAGAAAGCATTGGTCCTTGGATAGGCAATATGGAGGCTTTGGTATGGTTGTCCTCTATCACGATGGGATCCTTTGCCTATCTCTTCCATCCTTCCACCAACATCCATTCTCCTTACACGCCCGTCTTTAGTTTACTCGCCATCCTGTTATCTGAACATATCTTTGTCGCCTTAAGAGCAGGTATCCGTCAAGCCCTTTCTATGGTACCCAGTGGATCCGAATGGCTTATTCGCAAAGAAGAATACAAACTCAAAAAAGCGTGGTTAGAGCGTATGATCGGTAACCACCATCAATTTATCTCTCGTCGCGATACACACCCTGATGATGCTGATCTCACAGAACCCTTGAGTGCCAAAGTCTGGAGTCATCATTTAGACCGACAGGCAGAAGCAACACAAGCGACTCAACTTGTTCAAGACATGTTCAAGACAAAATAAATCGTTTAATATTCTTTTTTCTTTTCATCATAACTTAATTGTCCTGGACCTGTGGACACCAAAAGCAAGAGTCCACCCATGATACTGAGGCATTGAAAGAAATTGTATTTTTGTACATCGCGCCCATAATTGTCGGAATGATGAACACTCCACCAGTTGTTCACGATGACATTCATGATGCAGAGCAAAGCCACTAAAAAGGCAGCAGACCATTTAGCTCTGAAGCCCACAACGACCATACCGCATGCCACGAGTCCTAGCAAAGACCCCATAAAGCGTAACAGACTCCATTCACCTTGTGCAATAAACCCAAAGAACAGCACGACCAACAATCCACGCCCAGCCAACAAAAAGTATTGGTGGCGTTCCATGTCTGTCAATGAAGGCAGAGAAGCAAACAAGGTTGAGCTGGACTTTTTTTTTCGTAACAAACTGTCTGAGAGACAGACCAAGAGACCACCCATGATAGACAAGTTGCGGAAAAGAAAGACCTATATCCTACATCAATAAAAAAAAATAATGGCATGATCCCATCATACCATATCAAACAAGAGTCCGTATCCAATGGCTTGAGAAACAATGACGCCTGCTAATGCATAAACAGAGATACTGACATGGCGTTTAGCAACGATAGCAGAAGAAAAGACGATCATGGCCAACACATTCAGTAACAAAAACAAGTGAGACAATCCTGCAGGAAATCCTCTTGTGTATGCTAAAAATCATGTTGCGATGACCATTGACATAGAATACGCAATGCATCTTCATAAAAAGTAACTACAATTAAGAATCGACTCAAGGCAGGCAAATAAGGCTTGACAGGTTGACCCACTGTATCAATAGCATCTTCAAGGCGAGAGCTTACTTGCTTTATTGTTTGTTGAACGTCCATCATATAAAGAAAAAAAGAAAGAAAGAAAGTTTCTCTCTAGTACATCTGTTTATATATGCCTTATGCTTAAGGATGATCCTCCTTGCTTCTCCTTAGTTAAAGTCACACTGTTTTTATTTTTTTAAACCTAAAAATACTAGAAACTTCCTGGAATGAATTTTTTTTTTTTAGCCAAAGTGGGGTGTAGGTTCCATCTGCATTTTCTTTCTTTTTCTTTGAAATAGGTTTGACTGTATGAACGTTTCTGACGCTACTAAAAAAGCTGCAGATATCTATGCCAAGGCCAACGATGCCTTTTTTGACGATGACTATGATGAGGCGCTCTATCTTTTTTCAGAGCTTGTTTGTCTAGAACCTGAGAATGCCGAATTTGTCTTGAGACGGCAAGTGATAAACCCATTTGTATGTTGATAAACTCATAAACGCGTCATTTAGGTGTCAAGTATATCAAAAACTCAACAAGTTGGATTTGGCTTTACAAGACGGAGAAAAAGCCTTGACGTTGTTGACGCAAGGTTCTCGTACTTTATTAGCTAGAGCACACTTACAGCTTGGGTAATATATACATATATATATATATACATACACACATAATAAGTTAACTCGCAAGGATAGTATTACTTTACATCGTTTAGATCGATTCAATGAAGCTCAAACACACCTTGAACAATCAAAAGAACTGAATCCTAACGAAAAGACATTGGTCACCTGGTTAAGAAAGAACACAGATAAATTACCTAAACAGCCTGTATCATCAACACCTACTAAAGCAAGATATGAATGGTTCCAAAACGATACATTTGTTACGATTGAAATCTTTATCAAGAAAGTAAAGCCTGATACAGTGGATATCAAGTTCTTTGAAGACGCTGTAAGTTTTATATATATATATATATATATAAGTTAGACTGACACGTATATAGTTGTCTTTGACGGTTCCTTTAGAAAGTGGATCTGATTATTCACTTGAATTGGAGCCTCTTGCTCATAAGATTTCACCTCAAGAATCAACCTACCACATTCTTTCCACTAAGATTGAAATCAAGTTAAAGAAACAAACACTGGGTTTGATGTGGGGTGCGTTAGAAGGTGAAAATGATCAAGGCACCATGAGTAAGTAGAGATACAATGATAAGTGATTGACATGATGCATAGTGTCGACTGCTACAACAACAAATAAAAAGACAAAGGATTGGAACAAATTAGTGCAAGAAGTAGATGAAGATAAACCTGAAGGAGAACAAGCATTGAATGCTTTATTTCAACAAATCTACAGAGACGCTGATCCAGACACAAAGCGTGCTATGATGAAGAGTTTTACTGAAAGTAATGGTACTTGTCTCTCTACCAACTGGACTGAAGTAGGCTCTAAAAAGACTGAAGTTAAACCACCTGAAGGCATGATTGCTAAAAAGGTAAGACAATGGTATATCTTTTATATTCACTAACAACAACGTCTATAGTATGAGTAAATCATATGTGTCTGTCTGTGTACGTGGGGAAACAACACTGAATTTTACACACACACACACACACATATAGGCATAAAATAAAGTTTACTCGGTTTTCTCTTTTTCTCTTTTTCTTACAAACACACGCACATATATACAATGAATAAATCTATTTATAAAGTGCTTATTGCTAACCGTGGTGAAATTGCATGTCGAGTGATACGTACTTGTAAAAGACTTGGTATAGCTACTGTAGCTATTTATTCTGATAGGTAAAAAGAACACACAAAAGACAGAACGAAAAACTGATGAAAGTAAAAAGTGACCAACACGCACTTTTTGTTAAAATGGCAGATGAAGCCTATCACATCGGTCCTTCAATTGCTTCTGAATCGTACCTGAATGGACAAAAGATCATTGAGATAGCTCAACAATCAGGGGCAGACGCACTTCATCCAGGCTATGGATTTCTATCCGAAAATGCAGATTTTGCACAACAAGTCATTGATGCAGGCATTAATTTCATTGGTCCTCTTCCAGACACTATTCGTACCATTGGTGACAAGATTGCTGCCAAAGTATTCATTGCTCAACATGTACCTTCTATTCCTCTGATTCCTGGGTACAATGGTGAAGATCAATCAGTGGAAAGGTTAGAAAAAGAAGCGAGACAGATAGGTAAATAAAAAAAAAAAAAATAGAAATGGAATGAACAAATTTGATAGAATTCCCTGTGTTACTCAAAGCTTCTGCTGGAGGAGGAGGGAAAGGCATGAGAACTGTTTACGACGCAAGCAGGCAAGTGCACTTTATTTTACAATGTTGATTGATATCCTACTAGATTAAAAGAGGAAATTGAGGCTGTTCAAGGAGAATCCCTTCGTGCGTTTGGATCTGATAAACTATTGATAGAAAAATACTTTGAGAGTGTCCGTCATATTGAGGTAAAGCAATCTTTTTTTTTTTTTTTTTTTTTTTGTGGAGGCTGTAGGTTGATGAGTCCTTCCCCTGTTAGATTCAAATTTTTGGTGATAGGTATGGTCATGTTGACCATATCAATGAGCGTGATTGTTCTATTCAGAGAAGACACCAAAAAATAATGGAGGTAATCTTGTCTGTGTTAAATGGATCTAACAAAAAAAAACACTAGGAAACACCTTCACCTGCTATGGATCCATCCCTTCGTATGGCTATGACGACAGCTGCTGTTGAATTAGGCCGTCAGTTAGGCTATTTAGGTGCTGGCACAGTGGAATTTATCTTGGTAAGTCCATCTCCATGTCGCATAGTACCGACATCCTTTTTAGGACGAGAAGACACGCAAGTTTTATTTCTTGGAACTCAATACGCGTCTTCAAGTAGAACATCCTATTACAGAAGCTATTTCAGGCCTTGATCTGGTTGAATTGCAGTTCCTTGTGGCTCAAGACACCCATTTAAGCGAGCTGCATCTGGATACCATTGCCTATCAAGGTCATGCGATTGAAGTCCGTCTTTGTGCAGAAGATCCTGATGATGACTTTAGTCCTCGAACAGGCACTATTCAGGCATGGCGTCCTTCAACGTCCATTACAGGTGTACGATTTGATACAGGTGTCCAAGATGGTTCAGAGATTACCGTGTTTTATGATTCGATGATTGCAAAGATCATTGTGCATGCACCTACGCGTTCTGAAGCCATTCGTAGTATGATAGCTGCCTTGACCAACACAGTTGTGATGGGCATCACGACTAACCAGAAATTCTTGATCCAGCTCCTAAAACATCCTTGTTTTTGTCAGGGTATGTTTGATACTCACTTTATCCGTCTTGAGCGATCGTATCTCTTTCCAGCCTTTGATCTGGATCAGGTCAAGCCAAGTATCATGGCAGCGCTTGTGTTTCACTGGCATATGCGTCATCACCAACACACTCCCTTGCACCATATTCAGTCAGGTTGGCGTAATGTTCCATGGCGACATCAACAGATAGATTTCGATATCAACGGCACTCACATCCATGTTGCATACGACTGTATAGGTCATACTGAATTGAAAGCATGGCTCGAAGCATCCTCTATCACCTTACGCGTATTAGAAACCCATCTCAGTCAACCCCTTGTCAGACTCTATGGTATTCAAGGGGCTCAAGGTCTTTTACGCTGTACCATACAAGCATCTCAGCACCATTTTTATGTGGCTGAACAAGTACGCGATGTGAATGATAAGTCTATCTTTGTTCATGATTTTAGTCTTGGTTATCCAACTGAATTAATCAAGATAGATCGATTCAAGAGTCACACTGCCACTGGAACGGAGGATGATAGAGGTATGAAAAAAAAAAAAAAAAAAGATCTTTGAGCACTCATTTATATATATATATAGTGACACCTTATATGTCATCCATGCCTTGTCGTATATTAAAAGTGTTGACTCCTTCAGGCACCATGGTCAAGAAGAACACGCCTCTTTTATCCATGGAATCCATGAAGACAGAAATCAAGATACTTAGTCGACATGAAGGTGTTGTTACAATCCATGTTGAAGAAAATCAGTTGGTGGATGCCAGAGTTCTTTTATGTTCTGTTGATAAAAAACAGTTTATTTAAACCTTCAAACGAAGCTTTTGTTCCATGCTTGCATGAATATCCAACATATCCGTGGATTCAGCAGGATCTATGCATATACATCAATAAACCCACTTACATAAGACACACTTACTGTTGAGGAAATCTTCATAGTCAATAGTCTCATCTCTTCCTGTCAAGATATCTAAATGTAAATTTGAAGAAGGAATAGCAGGCATACGTTGACGCTGCATTGGATCAGACATGGCTGGTAAATGCTAGATGGGATGTACCTTTTCAATCAAACTTCTTTCCATCATCATCTTGATAGGGGCATGCATACCATAAGCTTGACGAGCTAAATTCAACTTGAGTTCCCATTGTGTTGTTTCCCACTATCCTTTATCATCAGTATACGACAGACTCAGAGTGTTACTTGCCTGTTCTAATCTGTTCTCAAGAGGGTGACCAGGCAATACTTCAGATTTGATAGAACGAGTACCATAACGCATAGCATCATGACCACCAAATTCAGCGTGTGTTGTATTTAAAGTGCTTGTTACTTTTTCAGTATGCGTTTCAGGTGCAATACGAAGAGACTATCAAGGCAATAAGTATACTTCTATGTTGAATACAGACATCTTACCATGATAAAAGTATAAAAAATAAAAAATAAAGAAAAAAAAAAGAGTGCTTGCGCGTCTATAGATGAAAAAGCAGTCAGTGATAGGGATATCCAAATAAAGTAACTATTATTTCCGCATAAAAAGTACGTCATTCAGGCCATTCAACTCTATCTGATCCAAGTAGCCTTCCCCCTCTCTCTCTCTCTTTTTCTTTTTTTTCCCAGTGTGAGAAATTCCTTTTCCTTTCTTTTGAATGACGCCTATTACTCAAAGAACCAATATTATTGATAGTCATGTTCACTTTTGGCATCCAGATCAAGTGTATGTGTCTTGGATCAAACAAGATAACAAGGCCTTTTTTAAGCATAAAGATGCACACGAATACACAGAACAAATAGAGAAGTCTGATGTGTACATCCAATCAGCAGTCTATGTCGAGACTGATGTCGATGCATGCCATGGTCTAGTAGAAGCAGATTGGATTGTACGCTATGCAGATCAAATCCAATCCAATGCTGTGTTTGGTGGTATTGGTGCTATTGTGGTATTTGCACCTGTCTATCAAGGGAATCACGTCAGGAACTATCTTGATACGCTTATCCATCTCTTAAGGGATAAACAGTCTTATGTCAAAGGTGTTCGTTATCTACTACAAGACCCCACACAAGACCCGCACCGTGTCCTGAGCCCTGAGTTTGTTCAAGGTATTCAAGCACTGGAGGCCTATCACCTCAGTTTTGATTTGACCATCAACTGCAATGACCATCCTGAACAGTTCCCTCCTTTACAGACACTTGTGTCACTCTGTCCTCGTGTGAGGTTTGTGCTGGATCATATGGGTAAACCACCTTGTGATAGTCAGCCAGGCGAAAAACGATTTGAATTCTGGAGACAACAGATTCACCAATTAGCTCAGTTCCCTCATGTGTACTGTAAAGTGTCTGGTCTATTAACTGAGTTTAAAGAGAACCATGACGATGTTGCTAAGCAATTGAAACCATTTATACAAGTGATACGTGATAGTTTTGGTGTAGATCGTATCATGTTTGGTGGTGATTGGCCCATTGTTGAATTATCGCATTCAAATTGGCAGCAATGGTATCAAATTCTATCTGATATCATTCAAGATTGGTCGGCAGAAGAAAAAAACAAATTATTTGTTATAAATGCAGCTCATTTCTATCAACTGTAATAATGTGCTCCTTTATTTTATTTTTATTATGAAAGTAAATAAAAAACACATATACAACCATTACTTATTGAATATAGAATCCTGTAGAATTACCACCTACACCTTCCTCTTCTTATATGATACATCATGAATGGAAAGGTAATAGTCTTATTTTATTTCTATAGCTAACAATATTATACAGAACCAAGTCCTCGTTTACCTTCAAATTATGGTTCGATATCAACAGGTAAAATCCAACTTTTTTTTTTTTTTTTTGTTAATATATATTATCTAGAATCAAGAGCTGAATCACCCTCATTGAGTTTATCTACTGTAAGCCCTAATGATGATAACGAAAGTCTTTATCTATTATGGACACATCAATTACTACAAGAAAGAGGATTCCAACCCTCTCCATACAAATCACATAATAGTGATGATGATAGTGATAGCTACAGTATAGACAGTAGTATCACGGATGTATCCATACCTGCTCCTCCAAAAAAGACACTTTCCTGGCTACAGTCATGGTTTCCAATGTGCTAAACCCAGTTACTATTTTTGATAATACCCCACCTGACCGTATATTCTTTGATTTGATTGGTGGAAACACATGTCACACTTCACTAGAATGACGAAATAATTTGTTTTGTTTTCTGCAAAAAAAAACAAAAAAATAAATAAATAAATCAATGTTTGCTTTTGCTTTCAAAAAGGATAAATGAAAAGAAAAAAAAAACAGTGTCTAGACACAAACATGATTGTCTTTTATTCAACAAGATAACTTGCAATTTAGTAGAAGAAACCGAGGATCTTACCACCAGTGTGCTTTTGACGAGCTTCTTCGTGATCCATGATACCGGCAGAAGTGGTCAAGATAAGGTAACCGAATTGACGGGCAGGCAACAAGTTAGCAGTCCACTTTTCGAGTTCACCGAGCTTGATGTTGAAACGGGGAGAGATAACACCACACTTGTTAATACGACCGTTGAGTTGGATAACAATCTTGCCAGAACGGTGGTCATCGATTTGTTCGAATTCACCAATGTAACCTATGCATAATATATAAATATAAGAACATCTCTAAAAAGAGAGAAAGAGAAAGAGTATATATGAATGTATCTGTTCTATAAACAATACGCAACATGGTAAAAAAAAAGGTTGCGAAAGTGTAAGAGAATGAAGTTTGTTCTCCCGCAGATTTAAAGGTCAAAAGTTTGTAGAAAAAAAAAGTTCATAAAGAACAAGCAAACCCCAACTAGTTATACTACGGTGATGATAATGTGGTTTCCCTCCTTTTTTCTCTTTCTCTCTTTTTTTTTAAATAGAACTTACCGTGCTTTTGCATAACGGACAAGAACTTGACAATGACCTTGGAAGAAGGACGGACGAGAACTTGTCTCTTACCACGCTTTTCAGCGTTGTTGATGTTGTTCAAACAATCGTTCAAGACGGAAACTCTGACCATGTTAACAAATGCGCAAAAAAGAAGTCTATCAGTAGAAAGGTCAATAAATGTTTCAATAAAAAAAAGGGGAAATCCATAGTATCCTTCTACATCAATCATTCATCTCTCTTTGGTTTTTTTTTTAGTCACTAAAGTAGTTGATGGATGCATAGATAGATGGATGGATGGATGGTTGTAAGTTTACCTGTTGCGAAGAAGAGGGAGATCTTATTCTATAGCAAATTAGAAATTAAAGTAATCCCTCTCGCCTGTCAAAAAAAAAAAATTGGATAAGCCACCAATTTTAAATGTCCTTCCGAGAAACTTTTTGAATTTTTTATGCAAGCATGAATATCTGTTGTTTTAACAAGTGTTGATCAAATCAAACTATGTTGTAACATATTGATCACTTCTTTTAAGCAGATAGATACTTTCATTGTCATTCGATAGGTGAAAAGAAATAAAGAAAAAAACTTGTTGACAAGAAGGAAGAAGCATGCATTTCATTAGAAGCTGACAAGTATTTGTTATTTGATAAAAGAAATTTTTATTTTCATAGCATGAGCCTACCATAAATGACATCTCACATAGTTTTATTATTAAGGCGAAAAACGGAGAGGAGAATGGTAATACAAAGGATTTAGGATCGGCATAGTAAATGAAAGAGCCACTTTAGAGTGTCAAACTTTATTTCTCTTCATCTCGGATAAAACCGTCTTTTATCGACCGATGCATCCGATAAAAGTCAAATTATAAAGAGGAATACAATTTACAACAGGACTTTTTTAATCTTCCTTTCATTCTTTTGTATGCTACAGAAAAAATAAAACATGTTATCCATGATATGATCAAAGAACCTCATAAACTACACTAGATGGTCTCTGTAGGTCTATAGAATTTGACAAGAAAAGAAAAAAGAAAAAAGAGGTAAGAAGGAAGTATAGAAGATGTTTCAATGGTGTCAATGAGGCCAGAATGTATCTATGGATTATAAAGGAAGAAAGCGGAGATGGTCTCCCGATAAGTCATATGCTTTATAAAATAGGCATTTATTAACCTATGTGAATTGTCTTGAGGATATAAAAGTAAGGGGGAAAGGAAATGTCTAAGAAATAGATGGAAACAGTGTGTATGTTCCTTGTCTTGTTTTAATGTTGCTTCCGTTTTTCATTTAAAGGATAGCCGCCTGGAATAATGGCTCAAGAACCTTTAACCGTACCAACTCCGCTTGCAGGGTTCTTCTTGATTCGATACATTTAGACCTAAATTGGAAAATTCATTATAAAATTACCTGGCTTATTCATTGCTTCTTTTCATTGATTATGGTATGAGAAATTACCCCACACGTTCTCCAGACAACAATACTATGAAAGGCAACATAAAACATATCAACTTTAAATAGAGTTTTTGGACGCACAGAGATCAATGCATTTCTTTAAAGAAAAACGTCAAAAGGTTTTGGCGATGCAATTTGTCACCCAATAAATAAATGAAATGTTCTGATAGGTGGATAAATACTGGTCCGGTAAATCATCCTAAACATGAGCAGATCAGACATAATTGTCTTACTATGGTTTTCGAAACACGCCTAAACTTAGTGGTTCGCTTTACTATAAATATAGACTCTTTTTGCATAACTTTTTTTTTTCTTTTAATATTGTGTAGACCAATTCTTTACTATTTATCTTCATATGCCAGAACCAAAGCTTTCTGATTCTCTTAAAACAATAAGTGACCAAGGGCCCCGTAGAAACTCAAAGGATAGCCAATCAAGTACTATCCATGATACCTACCTTATCGATGAGCCCGAACCTGATCAAGAACTCGAGCAATACCGAGAACAAATTCGAGGACAGTTGCCTCCCGGTGTCCTTGCCACAAGAACCTTGTCTGTTCAACCTTACCCTTCACAACATGCAGACCTTGAAGCTGTCGCTTCTCGTATCATGTCACGCCACTCTGAGAAACATAATTTGATGCATTATGTGAATTGGGATGTCAATGATCCTGAATGCCCATACAACTGGAGCCCATCTTATCGTTGGTTTTTTACTATCTGTGTCGCCTCGTTAGTTGTATCGGCCGCTTTTGGCTCGTCTGTTATCACAGGTGATCTCTATGGTGTCTCTCGATCGTTTGGCTGTTCCCAAGAAGTAGCCATCCTTCAAGTATCCTTAATGGTCTTTGGTTTCATGATTGGTCCTCTTCTTTGGTCACCACTTTCTGAAATCTATGGTCGTAAACCTATCTATATTGTTGCACTCGGTATCTATACCATCTTTAACATTCCTTGTGCTGTTGCCAAAAACATTGAAACTGTCTTGGTCTGTCGTTTCTTTGGTGGTTTTTTCGCTTCTGTCGCACTCACTTTGGCAGGTGGCTCTATCTCTGATCTTTTCCCTACAGAAACTCGTGGTAATGCGATTGCTTACTTTGCTGCTGCTCCTTATGCTGGTCCAGTGCTAGGTCCTATTGTAGGCGGCTGGGTTGGTGTTGGTACCGGAAACTGGCGATGGATCTATTGGGTAAGTCCAAATAACATGTCCAATTCAGCTGACTAACACAACTAAGGTCAATATGATGTTCGCTGGTGTCGTCTGGATTATAATCTGCCTTTTGCCTGAAACGTATCATCCTATTCTTTTAGCTAAGCGTGCTAAACGCATGAGAGAAGAGACAGGTGATCCTACCTATATTACTGTCGAGGAAGAAATCCCCATTACCTTTTCTGAAATTGTTCAAACCAATTTGGTGCGTCCATTTGTCATGCTGGCTACTGAACCCATCTTGTTGTTGATGTCTTTGTACATTGCAGTCATCTATGCTTTATTGTATGCCTTCTTTTTTGCTTATCCCATCGTCTTTGGTGAAGTCCATCACATGAACGATGGTGAAATCGGCTTGACTTTTATTGGTATCCTTATTGGTGCTGCTTTTGCCTTGCTCCTCACCCCACACTTCGAACGCATATATATCAAGACTATCACGGCCCGAGGCAAGCCTTTACCTGAAGACCGTCTTGTGGGTATGATGTTTGCTGCTCCTTGGGTCCCTGTCTCTCTCTTTATTTTCGCTTGGACTTCTTTCCCTTGGTGTCACTGGATTGGCCCTGTCATTTCCGGCCTTCCTTTCGGTTTCGGCATGGTCTTGCTTTACTACGCTGCCAACAATTACATTATTGATTGCTTTTCTCGTTATGTCACCTCGGCCTTGGCTGCAAAGACCTTGATTCGTTCTGGTTCAGGTGCTGCTTTTCCTTTGTTTATCAATCAAATGTATCATCGTTTAGGAAACCAATGGGCAAGTACTTTGTTGGCTTTTATCTCGTTGGCTATTGTGCCTATTCCTTTTCTCTTTTATAAATGGGGTGCTTCTATTCGTGCCAGGTCCAAGAATGCCTCTTAAGATCATAGACTTTACTCATTTTGCATAGACATTCTATTTATTTATTTTTATCTATATCTCCCTTAATCACAATAAAATATGATATTACTATGAACACGTATCGGTTAGGAAACTACCTTGCATGTATGTCAGTAGACGCATGTTCAAAAAATGAAGAGAAAGGCTTTCGTTATGACGGCAAGCTTTAAGAACTCCATGGTCTAAATGCATCCACCCTGTATACATAGGTAGAGGAGGCGGGAAGGGAGTTCTGATAAAGAAGAATGATGTTTTACAATCATCTTTTCCACTGTTTAAATGTGCTCAACGTGTGCGCATGAAACTGGTCAATTTGAACAGACATGAAATACAGGTCATGATCTCTTTGATGCTAGTGCTCAATGTCGTCACCCCCTCTCTTTTTTTGAGCAGAATATAGATATAAAAGAAAAATGTTTGCGTTGCATCTTATCAATATAAACAATGACAACAATATACAAATATTCAGGGTTGCATAAATACACAAAGTGACTCTAAAACCTATTTTTACACGCTCAACTACTCTGAATATCCTCAAACCATAGTTACTATGATATATGGTACCTTTGGAGTGCATTTGGACCAAAACAAAAAGCGACATGTCCAAAACGGCCAAAAATTTCTTAAAAGTCAAAGAGTACTAGCCATGAACATCATTGATTTGACAACTTTCGATTTTTTTTTTTTTGGCGCTACAAGACGCAAAATAGGGTTTTCAATCTAGTTTTTTTTTTTTTTTTTTTTGGTGAACGTGTTTGCTTGCTGATTGCACTACAAAAATGGCAAGACATAAGCGAAAAACCCCCAGAAACATTTTTGCACATCGAATTCATATTTTATCAGTAGTATTGCTATTTAATTTGCATCAATCGACTCTAAAATTAACAATCTGCAACTTTTACCATGAAGACAAGGCGAAATAACTGCGTTTTCATGCAGTTCTAAGCAAATGGTTTGTATTCTTTTTAGTTGTGATTTAATCTCCGACACATAGTGCATGGTCATGCTTTGACGTATAAAGTCAGAGAAACTATGGACAAGTGTATTAGTAAAAAGTAAACAAAAGTCATAATTCTATTTCTTATAGCAGACCAAAAAAAAAAGCTTAAAAAGAGATATTTTACTTGTAGTATGTAAAAAACATAATTGAGAAAGGGTGCATATGATGTATAATAAATACTCACTATATTGCAGTATTTTGACTAAAGGGTATTATATTAAAAAAAAAGGGGGGGGAAAGTATATTGTTAAGTAATATAAATCCAATATTTTCAAATAAAGGTTATGTTGTCTTTTTCCTTAGCTCCTTTATGAAGTCTACCTGTTTAATTCTGTTTTTAAGTGGCCTTTTATCTCATGCCATTGCTTCACCAAAGCCATTCTATGGTCTCAATTATGGGATCAACAGGAATGATTGCCCCAATTTAGAAACTGTCCGCTCAGACTTTCGAGCTCTCTCCAAGTACACAAATACCATCCGTATCTATTCATTAAAAGACTGTAATATGGGACAAACAGCTCTTCAGGCAGCTCAAGAAAACAATTTGCGCTTATATCTGGGAATGTGGGTTGACAAGACTGATTCGTTTGATCTCGAATATGTAGCACTCAATCGCCTGGTATCCTCATCACAAAATCTAAACAGTGTAGAGGCAATTATTGTAGGCTCTGAAGTACTCTATAGAAATGACTCAAGTTCTGAGGAACTTTCTAAGCAAATCAAAAAGGTAAAGACACTTGTCAAGCCAAAAGGAATCAAAGTTACTACCTCTGAGGTATATTATAAATTCACTCCTGCTGTTGTCGATACGATAGATTTTCTCATGATGTAAATAATCCTTTGGTTTTACTTTTTAATCTTATTTTTAATTTGATGTACTTCAAACCTTAGGAATGCATTTATATACTGGGAAGGAGAACAAATCGAGGGTGCCGCTAACAAACTATACGAGCATTTTATTAGTGCCAAAGAACTCTCGAAAGGAAAAACAGTGCGAATCTCAGAGACTGGTTGGCCGGAAAAAGGTGACACCTTTAAGAATTCTATTCCTAGTCCTGAAAATCAAAAGACGTAAGTTTTCTACACTTTCAAGTATTATTCCAACTTTTTTTTATATAGTTTCCTTTTGACAACTCTATGCAAAGCAAAGCAGTACAATATGGATATCATTTGGTTTTCTGCTATAGATGAGCCGTATAAATCAGGCGTTGAAAGCCATTTTGGACTCTTGAACTTGAACCGACAACTAAAGAGTTTTTTAAATTTTAATCAATTAATGAATCCTTGTTAATTTGAAAGTATGCATTCATAGACTAGGCATTAAAGTCCTTTTTTAATTAATGACTCCTTTGTGTTTTGTTGTTGTTGTTGTGATGATGATAAAAATTGCATGTATTGATCTTCTTGTTCTCTCGATTTGAAAGCAACATTGACACTCCTTTCCTTTGCCAGTGTACAGAGAAAGATGAGATAACTTCAAGTAATATCTTTTTTCTCTCTCTCTCTCTTAATGTCTCTACTAAGCGATTGTTACCAAGAGGATACTTAGTATGACCAAAAATGTTTGACAATGTTACGTAAATATGAAATCGACTCGGTACGAGCCAGTAATACGCTGATCTGGGCTGGAAATGTTTTGATGCCAAAATGTAATAGACTCAAAAAAAAATTTGCCAAATTCAGGTATACCCATCCAAGCCAAAATATCCTCTTTTCTTACATCCATCCATCCATCCATTTAATATCCTTAAATATGGCTGATCTTGAAGACCTCAACAAACCCTTTGGTATGTTTGTACGACGCATATGACAGAAGATAAATATGGAACTTACGTATTACTAGATCCCTTTGCTGATGTTGATGAAGACAACAAGGGAGGTGTTACTCCCCACAACTATCTTCGTAAGTAAACGAAGACGCCAAAAATAGCTTATTTATTATTCAGATCTCCGTATCCAACAACGTAACGGTCGTAAAACCTTGACCACACTTCAAGGTTTACCCAAGGAAATTGATAGTAAGCGTTTATTAAAGGCCGTTAAGAAGGCTTTTGCTTGTAACGGTACAGTCGTCGAAGACGAAGAACATGGTGAAATTATTCAAATGCAAGGTGATCAGCGCATGAAAATGGCCGAATTTTTGGTCTCTGAAGGCATTGCCAAGAAGGCTGATATCAAGGTTCACGGTTTCTAAGCATCGTATTTATCATGTTTTATTAAAGTAATTGCCATCAATGTATCCTCTCTTTCTCTTTTCTTTTTGATACAAGCATATTATACATATATATACACACACACCCTTTCTTCCTTTTACACTCACACATACATACTTTCTCTTTTTCTCTCTCTCTCTCTCTCTCTCTCTCTCTCTCTCTCTCTCTCTTTTTCTCCACATCCACATCTTTTTCTCCCTCTTTTTTAAACGCATTAAATGCTATATCTCATTTGTACATTAAATACACTATTTCCGGAATTTATTGTGACATATTGGAATATAAAATGAAATCACATTTATGCAAATAATGATGCTTCAAATCTGCAAATACTAAAGCAATCCCTTAAAGGACTTCTAAGCAAACAGACTGAAACTGTTCAATTGGAAGTATAAATTCTCTTTCTTGTAAGATCATCAAAGATCTGCTTCTCCGAGCTGTAAATCGTCTTTCGCTTAATTGCTAACAACAGTCCTCTGTAAGATATAGCGTACTGTAACCAAAAACTCTTTCCGATCTAACTAGACATTACCTTATTCTTTTTCTATATCTCTGTTTTGATTTCAATATTCTATTCTTATTGGATTATCACTTGTAGCATTGGTTTCTCTACTTTCTTGCTAAGCACTGCTCTTCAAATTTACGCAGTAATAACATTTACTTTAAGAAAAAGTTCCTAAAAGAGCCTATTATGATTAGAATGATGAGAAGTTAGTAAAACACTCAAGAAAGAGACTTGGCCGTAATGATTCAACAGTAAACAAAAGGCTCTCCTTTATATTTTATTGATAAATTCCGCTTTAGCAATTCAATGCAGATAAGGGTACTTGCTGTTGAATATGAATGAAATAATTGACATTTCAATGTCCAACATTTTTTTGTACAGATCTCTTTTAGGAATTCATCTCATTCTCTTTTGTGCCTATTCAACTTTTAATCTATTCATTTTCAAAAATGTCCCAAGCATCTCCGAATAAAGTGTACAAAACCTCTCAAATGGGTTGTGTTGTGGCTTTTGTTCTCCCCTTAATTTTTTTTTTTTGTATATAACATTTCGTAGTCGGTTCTATATTTCATTTTTTATCTCTTTTTGTTTTTTGATATAATGAATAGTGAGCCAGCAACAAGAGAAGTTTCTTTAGAAATGGATACTCCTCAGTCAGTTTCTTCTGTAAGTGGCTTGATATCTGACAGCACTGTCTTACTTTATTAGGACTCTCCTTTACAACCTGCTTCTGTTGCCAGTGACCAAGAAGTAGAGACTGTTCAGGTCAAAGACGCATTATTAGACACTGGTCTTTCAGAAAGCATGATAGCAGAAGAAATTGCTTTAGAACAAAACACTAAAAAAGAACAAGAAAAAATCATGAGAGAAGAGGTATTGACTACGCGCGCGTGTGCATGTGTATGCATCATCCTTACTGATGGATCTTATCTGCTGATAGGCTCAAGCTCAATTTGATACTACTGTCAAGGCTCAACGTATGAAGCGTCTTCATTTCTTGCTTGAAAAATCAGGTGCTTATGCAACTATTTTGGGTCGTAAATTGGCAAAACAACAAGAAGAAGCTCGTGAAAGAGCAGCTCAGATTGATGCTCAAGAAGTGAAAGAAGATACTGTCAAGAAGACTAGAGGCCGCAAACCTCGGTCTGCTACAGCTGCAACAAAAAAGAGAAAGACAACTGATGCTGATTATGAATTGACAGACTACCTCAAAGAAGATGTAATTCTACTTCTATTTTGCATGAATTGTACTTAATTATTTATAGGACATCAAAAGACGTAAACAAGCAGATGGCAGTGTTACAAAAGCCATCATTGAAGAACAATCAGATGCAAACAAGAAGAGCAAGACAGAAGAACCAAGTACCAAACCTACTATTTCAGCACGTCAACCTGCACTTGTCACAGGCGGTATTTTGCGTGATTATCAACTTGCTGGTGTAGAATGGCTTGTGAGTTTATGGGAGAATGGTTTGAATGGTATTTTAGCAGATGAGATGGGTCTTGGTAAAACACTGCAGACCATTGGGTTCATTGCTCACTTAAAGTCAATGAAAGTGGCTGGTCCTTATCTGATTGTGACACCTCTATCGACTTTAGCCAACTGGGTAAATGAATTTAAGCGATTCGCCCCTTCTATCAATGTACTTTTATACCATGGATCTAAAGAAGAACGTCAACATATGATTAACCGCAAACTGCAAAAAAAGAAAGAAACCGAATTTGAATTTCCTATTGTCATCACTAGTTATGAAATTGTCATGAATGATCGTAAACACCTTCAAAAATATAACTGGAAATACATTGTGGTGGATGAAGGACATCGTCTCAAGAATATGAATTGTCGACTTATTCGTGAACTCAAGACTTATTCTAGTGCTAATCGTCTATTGTTGACTGGTACTCCACTTCAGAACAATTTATCTGAATTATGGAGTTTGTTGAACTTTTTGTTACCCGATATTTTCGATGATCTAGACATGTTTCAATCATGGTAAGAAATGGTGCTGTGTGTAACTATTGTAGCTGACTTTAGTTTAGGTTCGATTTTTCAGACATCAATGTCAAAAGTGGTCAAGACCGTATTATGAAGGAAGAAGAAGAAGACAATATTGTCAGTAGTCTTCATACCATTCTTCGACCCTTTTTATTAAGAAGACTAAAGACAGACGGTAAGCTTATTATATCGAGACTGCGAGACTTATTATTTTGATAGTTGAGTATGCATTGCCAAAGAAGAAAGAATATCTTTTGTATGCTCCACTTACTCAACCTCAAAAGAATCTATACGATGCTATTATCAAGCGAGATTTACGTGAATATTTAATTAAACGCAAGACAACCACCTCAGACAATCGCAATGATGACGACAATCAGGACGAAGACAATCCTGATGATGATCAAAGCAGAAGACGTAAGAAAGACATTAGTTACAAGGAGAAATCGGATCGTCAATACTTTAAAGACCTTGAAAAGGAACCAGAACAATCTGCGATTGACGAAAAGGCTGAAGCCAAACGTGAAGAAGTGGCACAGGCTGTCAAGCAAGTCAATGGCTTGCATTTACAGAACTTGGTGATGCAACTGCGTAAAGTCTGTAATCATCCATTCTTGTTTGATTGGCCTATTGATCCTGCTACTAATACACCTGTGTTAAACAATGATCTTGCTGCTCAATCAGGCAAAGTACTCTTGTTGGATCGTCTTTTGACCGCCTTATTTGATCGTGGCCATAAAGTGCTTGTGTTTTCTCAAATGACCAAGATGTTAGATATTTTAGAAGACTGGGCAACTGGATTGAAGGGATGGCCAATCTGTCGCCTGGACGGTAGTGTGTCTCAAGAGAACCGTCGTCAACAAATTGAGGAATTTAGTGACCCCAACAGTGCTATCAAGCTCTTTTTGCTATCTACTCGTGCTGGTGGTCTTGGTATCAACTTGACTGCTGCTGATACAGTAATTATCTTCGATAGTGATTGGGTAAGTAGATAACTTAAGTAAATATGTATATACTTATGGTATTAATAGAACCCTCAAATGGACCTTCAAGCTCAAGACCGTGTTCATCGTATTGGTCAAACAAAACCTGTTCTTATTTATCGCTTTGTAGCTGCAAAAACTGTAGAAGCCAAAATCTTGGAACGAGCTACCGCTAAACGTAAATTAGAAAAATTAGTGATCAGCAAGGGCAAATTTAAGACGCCTGTTGCTACTGCAAATGCTAAAAAGTCTCAGGAAAACACAGTGCGTGAATTGGCTGAGATTCTTGCTTCTGAAGACGGTGAACAAGTACAGATTGTAGCTCAGGGGGATAAAGTGATTTCTGATGCTGATCTTGAAAAGCTATTGGACCGTAGTCCACAAGTGTTTGAGAGTGAAAACACCAGTGAAAATGACCTGTTTAGAGAAATGGATACTTCAGAGATGCAAGATGAGAAGAATGAATTCTTGGCTACTCGTTTATAGTTGTCCTTATTATATACATACTGCATTCAACATCATTATTTTTATACATAATAAATCATGTACTTTTCAAAGCACGCACATATACACTTTTTCTTTCTTTCTTTTTTAGAATGGCCCAAGATAATGACAGATCCAACTTTTGGGCACAAATTAGTCATAAAGACTGGAACGAAACAGCAGACAAAATTGTCCAGTCAATTTGGCGACCTGTCTTGGGTGGTATTGTGGTGGGCGTACCTACTCTTTACTTGGTGTCAAAACTCTTGATCGGAACACGTTATAAAACAGCGGCTCATATTCCTCCTGAAGCATTCGACAGAGCACAAAAGATAAGGGGTAAAGTGGTTGCTGTGGGCGACAGCGATAACTTTCGAATGTACCATACACCTGGATTTGGATGGGGTTGGATACGCAATATACCCAAGACTAAGAAAGAACTACAGAATCAGACTATCTCTGTTCGAATCGCAGGAGTAGATGCACCTGAAGGATCTCATTTTGGCATGCCTGCTCAGCCTTATTCTAAAGAAGCCAAGGCATTTTTGACAGACTTAGTACTGAATAGACGAGTACAACTTCAGCTACTAAGTCGAGATCAGTATGGTCGAGTGGTGGGCATGGCTAGTGTAAGAAAGCCTCCCTTCTTTCTTAGAAAGAATGTCTCTGCAGAAATGCTTAAAGCTGGCCTAGCTAGTATTTATACTGCTAAAGGGGCACAATATGCCGGTATGCTAGATCAGCTAAAGAGCTATGAAGCAAGAGCCAAGTAAGTCTTTTGAACTTAAGCAAGTACTAAAACTCAATAGATTTTTCAAAAGAGGCATTTGGTCACTAAAGAAATATGTTTCCCCTGGAGATCATAAAGCAAAGTAGGTCAACACATTTCTCTGTTTAAGTACTTATTATAAAATAGATACCTTGGAGGCGGGAAATAGAATATGCTTTATTTCTTCTTTTTAAACAGTTTTTCTTGAAGTTGTTGAAACTCTTCTTCAGAAGGCATGTCTTCCTGCTTTCTCTTTTTACCTTTTTTCTTTTCTGAATTCGCTAATGTATCAATGATTGAATCCATTCGAGCCTGTCTATCTTTATTTCTCTGTTGAATCAAAGCAGCTAATCCATCTTCTTCTTTTTCGTTTTGTTGTGCATCAAATTCAGCTTGCTCTCTTGCTTCCTTTTTCAGGCGTGCCTGTTGTGCTTTCTCTGTGGTGGTTGGATTGAGTTTCTTGTGTAAAACTACTTCTTTCTTTTTAATAGCTTCTCGAATCATTTTTTCAAAACGGGGACAGTCGCTCGCTGATGAGCATTCAATCATGGTCAATATTTTGTCCATGTCACCTTTGACTTGGTTATAAGCCTTGAGAACATCTTGTCTTTCTTCTTCGGAGCCTATGCATCATAAGCCATACATTCATTGTAGAAACAAAGTCTTACCTTGATATTTCGATTTGTGGGCTTCAATTGTCTCTTCATTCACGATACCAGACCATAACTCTTTGAAATAAGCTGTCCAATCTTTATCTCCATCTTCGAATAAACTTTCTTCTGTTACACCTGTCTTGTCGTATCGTTCTTTTCGTTTAGGATCGCTAAGGACAGCATAGGCCATACCTAGTTGTTGGAATGAGGCATTGGCTTTTTCGAGTTGTTCAGGTGTAGCATTGGTAGGTTGCTTGTCCGGATGGAATTGAAGTGCAAGCTTACGATAGGCTTTTTTGATATCAGCAAGAGTAGCTGTGTTTTCAAGTTGCAAGATCTTGTAACAATCGAGTGCCATGAAGAAAAGAAACTTAAAAAAAAAAGTTTTGAAAACGCGTCTTATTGTGCTAACGCGTTTACTTTTTCCTATAGCCAATCATTGAAAGCAAGATGCGTACCTGAAGGAAGTGATGTTTATATTACATTAAATAAAGCCCAGATATTAGACACCTTTTTTACTCTAATATTTGGTAAAGAAGGATAAAACTCTAATTGGCAATAACTGTAGAAAACATATATCTATAGATGTGTTACATAATGAAGAAAGCAACTTTTTGAATTTTATCTGATATCACAGTTTTTACTACTAATTCTAAGCTAAGAAATAATTGCAAATCACAACAGATCTCTTTTAGCCTTTTTTGGTTCTGATTGTTTCTTATTTTTTGTTTTTCATACTCGCGTTGCTGATTATACCACAGTAAGCACGATTGTGAAGACTTGCTTAAATTACACATTCTGCTGTGATAATCGTTTTCAAAAAATGGATTCAACATCTTGTTCAGGCATAAAAACGAAGCAAAAAATACATTTTCACATACAAATTCTCAGTTTTCTACTTTAATAGATTTGTTTGTCATTTATCACTTTTGACATACAAACATTTCTTCATGGTTTTATTTATTTTTACATTTACAGCTTCATACCTTTATTTTGTAAATACAAAACAGTGATGAGTAATTTAAATAGATCTAAACAACTATAATTACCAGTTTATACACACTTATATTTTTATTGCTATTATTTGGTGTATAACAAGCAACTTTATAATGCATCTGATAAGAAAATAACACAAAGGCCATTTGTTCATGCATCTCTTAAAGTGGCCAATCTCTTAAAGTAGCCAAGGCAACAGATTGATTGGCTAAGCCACCTAACTTCGAATATGGTATTTTTTATTTCCAGAAAAATTTTTTTCTTTTTCAAACCCTTGTCTTTTATTTTTACATTGTTGTCAAAATAAAGACCATATTGCTCAGGGTACCCAAAATCTTGCTTAGCTAACCTATGGAGCTAAAAGAGTGCTACCTTCCAGCCGTGTAGCTGTATCTGTTCAGTGTTTTGCTTTTTTGGCGCTGTTTAGATATGACGTTGTACTAAGACCTGTGTAACCAAAAGCTATTGTCCCTAGCGATTGTTTATACACGTACGTACTAATTGGCTGCAGAGATCAGGTTTTTGGGTTTACTGATTCTCAATACATAGATACTTGTACTCTGGGGTACTTGTATACACAAAGGGAAAAAAGAATGCGTAGTGTCCGCCTTCTATAGTAGCATTCATGCATACAAAGACAGAAGACTAGCCATCTTTTGTCTCAAGATTGGGTTTAGCGTTGCCTAATACTCTGTTCAAGAGAGTGATTAGCTCTTGTTCAGAAAAAGAAATCTATTTGTTCAAGTCTGGTAAGCTTGTTCAGACTACTGCAAATACTTGTACTTCGGGGTACGTGTATACACAAAGGGGAAAAAGAAGGCATGGTGTCACTTTCTAGGCTGAAACTGGTGTTTCTCTATCGACAAGGCTTTCTCTCAGGTGTCTCCAAGGTTACTCAGCAAGTCTCAAGGTCAATCAAGAATGGCTCTCATGGCTCAGTGGATATCTAGTAAGTATCCTCCAATGGTATTAAAAGTATAATACACTAAAGTCCTTTTGTTTAGGTGTTTGCAAGGCTGGTCATCAAGGTCTGTTACTGGTCCAAGACTGACTCTCTCCCTGGTTCTACCCTGTTATGGTTGGCAAGCTCAAGATCCCTAGGTATACTCTACTTATGGTGGTGTCTAAGGCGTCTCCAAGGTTGGTCATCATGGTGTGTTACTGGTGCAAGACTGTCTCCCTCTGATTCTGGTTCTTTCAAGCGTTTCAAGGTATCCATTGAAGGACTCAACAGATCTTCGCAATGCCGTCTGCTTTCTTCAGTCTTGTCTGTTTAAGAGTCTGATCAGCTCTTATTGAAGCAAGAAGAGGGTTTGGTTAGGCTTGATCATCCTAATCAAATCCACAATATGTTTGTGCTGTGTATACCAAATTCCTTTTTGTTTTTTACTAGCGTGTTCCCCCTCCTTCCCATCTCTACTTTTCTTTTCTTTTTTGTTGTGTTGTGGTTTAACTGTTGAAAAAGTAGGTGCATTTCTTCGTTTATGTTGTTTTTCTTTTCTTGGACTGAAGAAGGTTTTGTTTGGTGTCTTTAATGTAAGTAATAGTTGTCTTTTTCTTGTTTTACAGTCAGTGCTTGTAGTTGACTAGATCTTGTGCTTGCGCATTGTCTATTCATCTTTAGTTATTGGCAAAAACAGTCTTAAATAAAAGTAATGGGTTGAATCCACTAGTATAACTGCTTTATCCACTCACCTCTGTTGCTTTATTGTTGTCTTTTATTGTTAGTGCGAGTTGATCAGAGTACAGTTCACTTATTGAACTACAGCGATGTTGCTTTGATTGTACTATGCCATTACGTTTTGCTTTTGTGGATCTGTTGTCTAGTCTTTGTAACAACTGGATCAAAACGCGATTATGGTTTGTGAATGTTAATAAAAAAGAAATGATATTCAAAAGCAGCGAATACATACTAGAAAAAGAAAATTGGGTTTGAAATACGGAACAAGACATCCATCATTAGTTATACTTTAAATTGATCTCTTTAGTCTCAAGAGTGCCATGTACTATAGCAAATCCTACTAGAGTGGGTTTTGTGTATTGAATGATACATAATTAAGTACGCACTTACTTATTAATGTCTATTAAAGAGCCTCTTTTATACTGATAACAGTGTACAATAAACTTTGAATGGAGATTTGAAGGCAATACTCAAATTAAGTCGCCTTTTTCATCTTGGTAAACTCGTTTTCTTTTCCTCAAAAATACCTAGAGATGACCTTGGCTTATTTCTGTGATATCAGACCTACATTGGGGTCATTCCAAAAATGCTTGATCGAGGTTTATTTTTTTTTTTTTCATCTTCACGGACCTCCGTGGATCCCCTGGGTCAAAAAAAAAAAAGAGATTTCACAAAACTGCCAAACCAATGGTACCATTCGATTACTGGACTCGAAAGAACATGTTTTAAATGAAAAACCAGACTGATTTGATAGTCTAGTCGTCGAGTAATGGAGCATTAAAGATTGGTACATTTAAGCTGTGCTTTGAGCATTTTTGCTCTAGATATCATATAAAGCTTGTTAGTAATGGAGCTATAGAGTATTGTATGTTATTTAGAGTACTAAGGAATATGGAAAAGTAGAAATACGGTTGATTGATGATGCGGTAAATGTGAGGTAAATGTGGGGTAAATGAACAAAAGACATTCGTGATAGCTGCTTGTGGAGATTGAAATAGAAGAAGCAATTTGGTTCTACATCCAGCTGCATAAAAAATCAGGCTTTTGCTGAGAACTACATAAAGATGCAGTTTTATGGCTTTGGTGTAGTGACAAAGGTTGTAAATCCCTGTCTTTTGAGTCTATTGATATAGAGAGCATAGTAGTTTCTCTGCTAAAATATAAAGCGATTAGACAAAAATGTTTACGAGGTTTTTTGCTCATATCTCATTGGTTTTATAGCACAATTGGCAAGCAAACACATTTATCAAACACTAGAGTCTCCGACATACATTCTGAGCATTGAAGCTCGTCTATAGCTCTATTTTTTTTTTTTTGTCTTGTAGCGCCAAAAAGAAGCTTGAAGAGTTGTCAGCTTGAAGATTTTCATGAGTAGTACCCTTTGATTTTGAGAGATTTTTGGTTATTTTTTACAAGTCGCTTTTTTTGGTCCAAATCAACTCCAAAGGTACCATAAATGTTATAGAACATTGTTTGTAAGTATTTAAAGCGTTTATGGCTGCATAAAAAGGGTTTATGCTACCTTTGTATGCCCAAGAAATAAAACGAGACTTGTATGCATTATCGTTGAAGCATCTGTTTGTCTGGCGTCTCTGTGACATGAATATGAAATGACTGATCCTCTTTTCATAATACGCCATTTCCATAGAGTTATCAACGGTAATTAAGATTGTCTTGCAGAGTCTCAAAAAAGCCTTTAACGCAGTCCCCGCTTGTTATACATGATCATTTCTCTCTGGTAATTCCTGCTAGGATGTTTCTCATTACTGGAACAGCAATTCATTACCTAGTTATCAAGTGACTACTTTTCCTATGGCTCTGTTCAAACTCGGGCTATATGGAAATCATCCAGGAACAAATGCATTGAAATGAAATCAAGTCACAGATGGCTTGCAATTTCTGATAAAGGATCTGGATATTTTTTTTTCTCGAGATCTTTTCTTTTTTGAATCACTATTAGATCATGGGTAAAGCAAGAGAGAAGAAGCATTCCAAAGGTACATAACAAAGAAAGACAATGTACATAAATCGACTGACGCAAACAAAACATAGGTCGTTTGGATAAGTATTATCACTTGGCCAAGGAACAAGGTTATCGTGCCCGTTCTGCTTTCAAGTTGATCCAACTAAACAAAAAGTTTAATTTCCTGGAAAAGTCTCGAGTTTTGATTGATTTGTGTGCTGCTCCTGGTGGTTGGTAAGTGTCTATCTCTAAATCCCAGTTTTTTTTTTCTCATATTGAATTTAGGCTTCAAGTAGCAACCAAGTATATGCCTCCATCAAGTCTTGTCATTGGTAAAGCTCATTTTTTTTTCTTTTTTGTATGAAACTCATGATTGCCATCTAGGTGTTGATTTATGTGCTATCAAACCTATTCCCGGTGTTATTACTTTCCAAGACGACATTACGACTGAACGCTGTCGTCAAAACCTGAGACAAGAAATGAAAACTTGGAAAGCCGATGTCGTACTCCACGATGGTGCACCTAACGTCGGCCGAGCATGGATCCATGATGCTTTCTCACAATCCGAACTGGTACTTGTGTCCTTGAAACTGGCCACGGAATTCTTGGCCAAGGGCGGTACCTTCGTCACCAAAGTCTTTCGATCCAAAGACTACAATAAGCTCTTGTGGGTCTTTCAACAACTGTTTCGTAAAGTAGAAGCAACCAAGCCTCCTTCGTCTCGTAATGTGTCTGCTGAAATTTTCGTGGTCTGTCGAGACTTTGTGGCTCCCAAGCGTATTGATCCTCGCATCTTGGACCCCAAGTCTGTCTTTTCCGATGTGGGGGCTGAAGAACAAAAGAAATTGACCGATATCTTTAAGCCAGACAAAAAGAACAGACACAGAGAAGGTTATGAAGATGATAATTATACGATGCATAAGACGATTGATATCATGGAATTTGTGCGTTCTCAAGATCCCATTACTGTCTTGGGTTCTTATAATCAGTTTACATGGCATTCAGATGAAGCCAAGGCTTTATTGGAGCGTGATATCACAACAGAAGATGTCAAGATCAACTCTGAGGATTTAAAGGTGCTTGGTAAAGGTGACTTCAAGGCATTGCTTAAATGGAGAGCACAATTACGTGAAGAATACAAGATGGATAAAAAAGAAGAAGAGAAAAAGGCTGAAGTGTTGGTAGAACAAGAACCCATGGACGAAGATGAATTGTTAGAAGCTGAACTTGCCAACCTTACAAAAGAAGAAGCAGCCAAAAGAAAGCGAGAAAAGAGAAAGGCCAATGAAAAGAAGATGAAGTTGATTCAGCGTATGCAACTCAACATGATTGTGCCTACAGATATTGCTTTAGATGAAAATAATGTGGGCGATCAAGAGATTTTCAATATCAAAAAGATCAAACAAGACGAATCCCTTGCTAAACTTCATAAGGGTGATATGTCTATGGCAGACGATTTAGACAGTGATGATGACGACGTGTATGTCGATAAGAGTTTGAAGGGTCGTATTCGAGAAATGGACTATGAAATGGAAAATGCTGTTGTAGACTCTGATGAAGAATATGAGCGAGATCTTGAACAACAAATGAATGAAAACTATACTCGATACAAGCAACAAAGAGCTGAAAAGGATGCTAAATTCAGAGCCAAACAAGCTCGTGAAGAAGAAGATGAATGGACTGGCTTTGACGATAAAAAGAAAAAGAACGAGAATAGAGACAAGCGATTTGATTCTGATTCTGACAGCAGTGATTCTGACAGCAGTGACTCTGAAGATGATGAAGATGACGACGATATGAGTAGTGATTCTGAAGAAGAAGAAATGTCTGTTCAAAAGAAAGCACCAAAGCAAACAAATAGAAAGACTAATTCTTTAATGAACGATCTTGGTGAAAAGGCTGCTTTATCTAAAAAGACAGCCAGTGGTTTAACTACTGCTGCTTCCATGTTCTTTGATCAAGACATTTTCCAAGATGTTGCTCTTGATGAGCTTGTTGAAGAAGAAGAAGAGGAAGAGGAAGAGGAAGAGGAACAAATAGAAGAATCTTCTCGTAAGAGAAAGAGAAGCCAAGAAGACGAAGAAGACGAAGAAGAAAGTGACTTTGAAGTTCAAGAAACAGAAGAAGTTGCTCCTTCTGACGAAGAAATGTGGGACGGTGCTGAAGACGAAAACTCCAAAGCTATGAAGAAGGCATTAGAAACTGGTTTAACAACAGCTGAATCCATTACCTTGGCTCGTCAATTAGCCAATAAGGAAAAGACAGTAGAAGATTTGATTGATCTTGGTTTCTCCAAAGAAGCCTTTAGAGACAAAGACGGTCTCCCTGAATGGTTCTTGGATGATGAAAAGAAACACAACAAACCCAATTTGCCTGTGACTAAAGAAGCCATGAACCAATTACGTGCTAAATTAAGAGCTTTGGATGCTCGTCCTATCAAGAAGGTAGCTGAAGCCAAGGCACGTAAGAAGTTTAAGGCTGCCCAAAGAATTGCCAAAGCACAAAAGAAGGCTACTGATATTGCTGATAATCCAGACATGACTGAAAAGGAAAAGGCAAAGAACATTGGTAAACTGATTGCTCGAGCAACCAAGTCCAAGCCCAAGAAAGAAGTCAAGGTGGTTGTGGCCAAAGGTGCTAACCGTGGTGTCAAGGGTCGTCCTAAGGGTGTCAAGGGTCGTTATAAGATGGTGGATGGTGTTATGAAGAAAGAAAGACGTGCTGAAAAGAGAAGAGAAAAGAAAGTCAAGAAACGTACTGGCAATGGACGTCGTTAACATGTTGTACTATAGATTCCCCCCCCCCTTTTTTTATTTCATTTTTTTTTCATTTTTTTTTTACATAATACATTGCATGGTGACACTAAAGTACCCCGCTTTTCAATAATAATAAAAAAAAAGTGGCTTCATACATATTTTCCCTGTTCTCGTATGATTCAAAGTGTTCTTTTGGTCCGGAAAATTTTATCGGATAGCTAAAGTTTAATAGCCAGCCCACACGCAATTTTCCGAATGCAAAAAATGGGGGACAATCAAAAAGATTTTATTGATAGAAAATTTTCCCACCCTAGAAATCATCCTCTACTTGTTCTGCCCAATCATGAAGCAATAAAGCCTCACTCTCTTTTTTCAGGTCAGCCAAGCCTGTAATGTCTTCCAAATAATTAGGTTCTTTCAAGACTTTGTTGATAAAATCTAAAGGGTCTTGTTCATAGGCATGAATAACCTAAACAGTATGAATACACAAACATGCTCCCTTTTTTTCATAGTGTTACCTTTTCTGAGCAAGCTGTGCATTTATCATATGCTTGTCCTACGATCAGCATGTTGCTAAATTGCCCAAGAAAGCCTCGTATCTGATGTGGAAGTAAACCCAGAAGATGTTGATTATTATCTGCTTTTGCATTGATCCTTATCAAAATTAGTGTCCCGCTGACCCTGTTTTTTTTTTTTCTTTACCCGTCTGGATGTTGTAGAAGAGATACCATTAATTCGACTGATAATGCACCTGCGATAGCAGCTAATCCAGGTCTTGTTACTGTACATTGTTGGTCCAATGTACGATCCGTAAGCGACTACAGAATAAACAGCCGAGTCGATTGAGATAAGGATTTACTTACATCTGTTGGAGCAACAATGTCATTACAGAAATAACAGCCTACATTAGATTGACGTGAACCATGTCGCATCACAAGATAAGTATCAAATCCAAGTGCACTGTTAATCACTATTTTGTTCTGTTGTGAGCCAATCAAGGTAGGGAACCATCGACTTTCTCGGCTATCTGTTAATAAATAAATCACATCATGTTGTTGAATCAATGCTATCAGTTTTTCCATATCATGCTTTAATTTCTCGTCTGAGTTATAAGGATGGCCAGGCATAGGGATATTTAAATCATACCCTAAGGCAGTCTAACAGTGTTGTTAGGGTTGGTATTAGCCTTATCGACTTACCATGGTAGGCTGAATTAGCTTTAATTGTTTCGCTGCTGTTTCTGCTTTAGGTGCACTGCGGAGAGCATCTTGGAATTGATAGAGTGGTTGTCGTACGGGATTTGAAAAAGATACTTGACCATTATCTACAAACGAAACATGACGCACGCCCCATCCCTAACAAAAATAAACTAAGCATCATATCATCATTATCTCAATTTACCACTAAACATCGGGCCACATAACAGCCCAATGTCCCTGCACCTAACAATAAACATTTGGTCTGTTTTATCTTTTCTAAATCAAGGTCAGGCATTACTCTCCATCGCATTAACTTCAGATTTAAATCAACAGACGTATCAGCCAATCTATCAAGTTCGTTTCGATTATCTACCCATACACACACACACACACACACACTTTTTACCTTGTAGGGTCCATCAATGGTCCCAAATCAACCATACGAGGACCTAATGCACCTTGTGGGTTTTTTTCCCATCCTACTGCCTTGTTGTCATACACAGCATTGGCTGGTAATTCCACATCCAACACAATCGATGTCTGTTGACCACGATAACAACATACTTTGAATTTTCTTAATTGCCATGTTGTATAGACCAAATAAAGTAAGTTTCTTAATGGCCAACCAAATGCATCTGTGGCTGTTGAGGGGTCCACAAACCCTATCATACACTATATATATATATATGTATATTAATCCATTATGTGTATGTGTGTATGTGAAATAGGACTGTACTTGATCATGATTCTCAAAAAACTGATTAAATTCACTGAATGGTGCTACCCGTAATTTCCCAGTAGATATTTCCTTTTTAATCAAGAAATAAGGGTGATAAGCATTTTCCAAAGTGATCTTGTAAGCGTTGTCAGTGAATCAAGATAGAGAAAGTCAGCCACTTACATGGATAGACTCCTGATGTACGCATTGCCATGGGACACTAGGCATGAGTGCAGGAAATGCAAACCAATAATAAAACTTGTATTTCTTAAGATCAGCAAATGTCAATAACAAAAACGAATTCAGTCTACTTGGGTTCTCTATGGCTTCTCTACTTTTGACTGCTGCCACGATCTTTTATGTGTATAAATAGAGGTCATCCTGTTCATCATTACTTACTGTTTCAGTCACGTGTTGAAATAATTGATTTTTATTCATTTTACTAAATTCTTCCATGGTATTGGTGTTGACCAAAGTACCTTGGACAGGATATCCTCTCTCTGTACTGTTATCTAATCCCTCTGCTGGAATACAAAATGGCCCTGGTATCATCACTTGATGACCTTGGTCTGTTGCTATCTGTCCCAGTGTATAATAACCATGAATCGTTTGAGGTTCACTTGATAGTTTCAAGATATCTAATTTCTTGGAAACAAAAGACTGCCAAAATGCAGCATCAACAGAAGATTGGAAAGGTATAAATTTAACAAGAGACATAAAGAAAAAAAAAGACACAAAGCAAGTTGGTTTTCTTTTTGTTTTGTGGATTGTCCTTGTGACTGTAGTCGTCATCTAGACAGCATGAGACTCACGTGATATACCATCACGCCTTCTTGTCAAAAAATAAAGTGATCGCTGTATATCATTCTAAATACATTTTCATATGATAAGCTTTTTTGGCATGTAAGGATGATTGCGTGATGATAATTCGGAATGATAATATGCACATGAAAAAAGAATAAGCGGAATATATACCCCACACCATAAATTAAGGGGGACCGCCCGGGAATAAGTGTGGGGGGGGAAAGGGAGGAAATAATTTCGCTTAAGGAAAAGTTAGGAGAAAAAAAAAAAAAGAGTTGATATGGGCAGAGATAAGAAAAAAAATAGACCATTTTATTACAATTACACTCTCATCCGATTTTCTTTTTCTTTTTCTTTTTTTATTTTGGTCTTTCTCTCTGTATTATTTCATCATGACTTTTTTTTTTTTTTTTATATAGAGCATTTGTTTATATCTAATTTTTTTTTCTCATTCCATATCGTGTGAAATATAAAATAAAATAATAAAAAAGGGATTTCCTATTTGGGTTATCGTTCTCATCTTTCTTGTTCGGATGTTGTGGAGAAAGAAACTGCTATTGTAAGCGTGTACCCCCCAACCTTCGAAAATTTCCTCCACTTTTTTTTTTTTTTTTTTTTCTGTCTTATCTCAGCCATCATCAATAACCCCACTTACTAAATTAGGCCATTTAAAAAAATGATAATAAAATCCGTATATAAAAAAGAGAAGTGAGCCCTTTTTTTTTTCTTGTTTCTCTCATCCTTTCTCTTTTTTTTACATAAATATATGACTGCTACATCATTCTATCTTAACAACACAACTCCTAAGCGTGCCATCTCACCAGTAGACAAGGCTAATATTCCAAGACCCTACAAATGTCCTATTTGTCCCAAGTCATTCTATCGTCTTGAACATCAAACTCGCCATATTCGTACACACACAGGAGAAAAGCCTCATCAATGTACTTTCCCTGGCTGTGCTAAAAAGTTTTCACGTTCTGATGAATTAACTCGACATGTTCGTATTCATACTTCACCTAACAAAAGACGTGTACGCAAACAACAACAACAACAACAGCAACCAAAGAAGGCTATTCAACAACCTATTATGCTTGTAGCAAGATCAATGCCACCTTCTCCTGCACTCTCTACAAGTTCTAATTTCTCTCATCATTCAGATAATGACGATATGATATTTACACCTGATCAAAGTCCTACTTTATCACCTCATACCATTTTATCACCTATTGGATCTCCCAAGTTATCTATGTTAAAACTCGCACCTTTGGAATGCAACCATGATCATCCTGTGGTGTCTCGTCCATTTTCATCTCCCGCTACTCCTTCAAGTCTGTTGGATCTATTAGATAGACCTCCTCAAGCTCGTGTCTTGCCTCCTATTACTATGTCTTTAAAGCCTTCATCATTACCTTCTATTCATTCTATTGTTCAATTTTAATCGCATTTCATATATTCATATAGTTACACCATTCGTTTTATGTAGAATTATTTCCTTTTTCTTTTTATTGTATAGACATCCCTCTCTCCCCTTTATATATATATACGACTTCAAGATTCACCCCACTCCCTCTTTTTTCTATGTACATATATAAAATAAAAAAATATTGTATTCAGCAGTGATCCAGATTTTCCCGTATTTAATTTTAAAATTGAATTGCTTATCTAAACTGAAATCTGATTGGTTGAGCTCATTAAGGGTTCTTTTTTATCTATCTACACACGTGGAAAGTTATCGTAAGGGAGAGGGCGAGAACATAAATAAGGTAACGTCATCGTCTAAATGGATGAGAAACCTCGTTCGATTATTTATTTTAATTGATCAGATATGGAACTCACCCCACACTTTTCTTCAGATTATTTTGATTTGACGCCATCGTTTTGCTCCGAAATATAAAAAAAAAATTTCTTTTTTTTTATGAAGGACGGGAAGAATCTGAATTTATGTAGAGGTGCTTTTTTTTTTCATCACCGCCCTTCCGGGATATGTGTAACTTATCCATATCTGTCTTTATCTTGTTTCATGTACACCCACTATGAAGTCACGTGAGAGAAATAAAGTGTCTAAAATAGCATTCGAAAAGAGAGCATAGCTATAGCTTATGATTGGTGCATTGTGTCGATGTCATCTTTAAAAAGGAGAACCAAAAAAAGAAAGAAAAAAAAAAGTGTGTATACGCAACAAATCACATCTTTCTTTCCTTTCTTTATATACTCTCTTTTTTTTTATACTTATGGCTCACTTACAACAACATAACAAAGATATATGTCGAGGTAACTACAAGAAAGACAAGGTATCCACTGACACTCTTATCTAGGTCGAAAACGTAGAACAGTAGAAGATGAAGAGATGAGTGAATGCACAGCACAAAAACCTTTATTGATGCGTAAAATAAAGTCACCCGAATCAAAAAGACAAAGAACAACATTACAGAAAAGAACCACACGGGGTGCTTTATTAGGTATGTAACTTTCTTTTGTTGTATCGTCTTATTTATACTACACTAGACACATTGGATAAAGAAGCATTGATTCATATTCTGGATTCTATCCTCAAGTCACAACCTCAAGTACGAAAAGAGATCATACATCATATTCCTGCACCTACCATTTTATCTGCCATGAATGTCTTGGTGGATCTTGAGAAAAAGTTTCTTGCCAGTTTCCCCTTTAATAAAAATGGACCTGGAAGAGATGATTATACATTTTCAAGAGTACGAGATGCACTGACAGATTATATTGTAAGTAATAAATACAAACATACATACATAATTGATTTACCATACTATACAGGACACAATAACACAATATGCCAATCATTTCACTTCAATACATATATTCCCCTCACATTGCTTTACATTTCTTGATCATGCTACACATATGGCACACCGATTACCCAACTGGGATAGTGAAGAAAACAACAGACTAAAGAAAGAACTCTATCAAAACCTGAATTTATTCTGGAAATCAGCCATTCAGATCACATCACAGAAACTACATGCATCAAATTATAACCCAGACACTGTACGTGAATGGGCCAAACATTTAGCTCAACACAACAGTCATACACATGGATGTTATTTTACTGAAGCTGTGCATGAATTCACGCGAACATTAGGTTATTTTATGGATCCAAATACCCTAAATTCATGTCATCATATATCTCATACCTTGGTTCCTTCTGTTGAAGCTATATCCTATCCTTAAACCTCTTTCTTGGCATGTGGCTTTGATATATATATATATATCTAATTTTTAAAAATAAATTTAGCTTGTAAAACCCTCCTTGGTTTTTTTTTTTTTGTTCTTCTTTTCCTTTTTTCTTTATCTCTTTATGTCAACTTCACCCCTTGTTTCTCCTTCTACTTCTACAAAAAGAACCTTACCTATTGTTGTTGAGACATTAGGCGCAACTACGTCTGAGACAAAAGAAGGTTTAAGGAAAATCAATAACTATCTATTAAAAAAAGAAATTGGTCGAGGTGCTTTTGGTACAGTTCACCTTGGCATTGATGAAAACACCCAAACAGAATATGTAAGTGAGAAAGAAGGGTAACATGTCATGTGATTGATGCATCCTGTATAGGCAATTAAAGAATTCAGTAAGTCAAGACTGAGAAAAAAGGAACAAATGGACCTGTTTCGAAGTGGAGGACCCCGCGGAAGAGGACGAGGTCGAATGATGGGATTAGGGGTCAATAACCCACATCAACAACAACAACCTACGAATCCATTAAACTTGATTCGAGGTGAAATGGCTGTCTTGAAGAAACTAAGTCACCCTCATATTGTTCGACTGTATGAAGTCCTTGATGATCCCTCAGGTGATTCACTCTATATGGTGTTTGAAATGATGCATAAGGGTGTCTTGATGGATATTGAAATAGGACAGGTAGCAGAACCTTATTCGCCCGAGATAGCCAGAAGATATTTTAAAGAGATGATGCTTGGTATTGAATATCGTAAGGATACATATTTGTCTCTCTCTTTCTCTCTCCCCTCATACGATTAAAGTACATGCAAATGATATTGTACATAGAGATATCAAACCAGACAATTTGCTGTTGTCTCAGCAAGATGTGCTCAAGATTGTTGATTTTGGTGTGTCTGAAATGTTTGTCAAGGGAAACGATAAACTCAAGAAATCAGCTGGAAGTCCTGCTTTTATGGCTCCTGAATTATGTGTAGCTAGACATGGTGAAGTATCTGGTAGAGCAGCAGATATTTGGTCTATGGGTATCACACTTTATTGTATGATTTATGGTAAAACACCTTTTGATAGTACCAACATTTTGGAATTGTATGAGATGATCAAACAAGCAGAGTAAGTGTAAGATAATCATGAATAGGCTGATTGAAATCCACAATAGCATTGAATATGGTCAAGACATCGATCCCAACTTATTAGACTTGTTCCATAGAATACTGGATAGAAATCCTGATACACGTATTACAATGAAAGAACTTCGTGTAAGTTCATTCAACAAGGCTGTCTGAATTGACACTTGATAGGAACACCCTTGGATTACAAACAATGGTACAGAGACCATGTTATCTGAAGAAGACAACTGTGATATTGTCTCTGAAGTCACTGAAGAAGAAATGAACAATGCTATCAAGAGTATTGCTAGTATTTTTGCAGTGGTAAGTGAACTTGATCCACAAGAGATAGGTTAACCTATCTCTATAGATGAAAGCTGTCTCTAAATTCAAGCGTCACTCTCGCTCCCTCTCTCAAAAATCATTGAATCAAATTATGGACGATGTAAAGAAACAAGACGATATACAAGAAGAAGAACAAGTGGTGAAAGCCACAGAGAATCTTCATGTTGAATAAAGTCACATTTAAGCGTCTCTTTTGTTTTCTCTTGTTTTTTTTTTTTTCTTTATGATACTCTCGAAAAAAGATCTTGTCCTTGTCAAACACGATGATAAAACTGAGCGTGTGTTGCTTTCATTAACACAGAAACGACTGGTGTCTATTGTTAAAGAATGGTTTGATGTACCTGAACTCATGCCTCGTCGTTCAAGAAGTACTTTGGAAGACTATACAGCACCTGATCTATTAAAACATCAGATTGTTAAACGCATGCTCCTGAAGGACTGGGTAAACTGTTTTTTTTTCTAAAAAGACCAACGTTATTGACTTTGATCTAGCCAAAAGGATTTTATGCGATTCAGTTGGCACATATTGATCTACACCGTAAAGAATGAGAGACATTGAGAAAGAGAATACTCATACGATTCTATTAGGGCTGATTAAAAACAACCACGCAAAGAAATGGAATGTTGCTCGTCTATTGAAAGGTGACGACATAAAGTCAAGTAAATCTTTAGATACTGATGGACTTTATTAGAAAGAGGAGATTTAAGACTGGATCTGGAAGCCTCAGAAGTACAGTCTCATTTGGAACGTTATCTATCTCAATTCTATGAGTGTTATTTTTGTACCATCAAGGACAAAAACACAGGATTGTATTGGATGCGTGTCCAATTAGAACAAGGCCTGACATTTTCGATTCGTTCTGCTCGTACCTATAAGGGCTACATTGTCTATGTTCCCAAAAGCGAATTTCTGTTGATTGCTGGCAATTCGACTCGGGACACAGACAACGATATCAAAGAAGCCATCCTTCGTACTTTTAAAGCAGACAGCATCATGTTTCAATACGTGCGAGATAAAGCAGTAGAACATTTTCGTAATTTTACTCGTGTCCGTCAAGAAGGCGGTGTGTTTGCTCAACTTCGAAAGAACCAAGTAGATGCTAATCCTTTGGATATCAGACAGAGCTCGAAAACAAAGGACTGGGATGACAAATTTGTGGAAGAAGGTGAACAAACCAGGCGTATCAAGCCGATAGAAGATAAGAAATTAGTGGCTCGATTTGATGTATTGAAAAATGAGTTTGGATGGAACAGTATGGCAGCTACGAATCGCTTGGATGTGGATTTGGATTTACCGTTCCAGCCTGTAGCAGGTCAAACACAATCGGATTTGGCCAATGTCAAGTTTGAACTCAATTTACGTGGAAAGCATGTACCTATGGGCATTAAATTTATGGTAGAGAAAGGATTGGTTGAGATGCCAGCACCAGAATGGTTGACTTCAGTGCCTTCAACAAATGCCACCTATTTTCATGTAACAAAAGATGGAGCAAGTCAGACAAAGCCAAATCAAAATGCAGAGGATGAGGAAATGGAAGAGCAAGAAGAGACACAAGATGTAGAATCACAAGCAGCAAGTGACTCTGAGTAGCAGAGAGTTATTATCTATATTTATGCATGAATAAAATTGAATACCATAAGAGCATTGTTTAAGTCTTTACTCATATTAATGTAATTATAGGCGATGAATAGCAGTAAAAAGTTATAAGGAGAGCCAAGACTACTTTTTGTAGGTTGATTGTTCCTGTTCCTGAAAGATACGCACATGCAATTTTAAGAAACTAGATCAAAAAGATGGGAGAAAGTGATTGTTCATCATATATGATAAACTAAATTATAGTAAAACAATAGATGTCTTTCAATAAGATGGTAGATAATTGTACAAAACAAAATGATTTTATCGGTTTATTCAAGCAAAAAAAAAAGAGGGTAACGACTCACGAAATAAGGTAAAAAACGAAAAAAGAATTGCCTTCTGGCGGAATCGAACCGCCGACCTTCTGCTTACTAGGCAGACGCTCTGCCATCTGAGCCAAGAAGGCTAATTGGTTGATTTTTGAGTCTCAAAAATTATTATATATTTGTAAATAATTAGAATCCGGACCGGAAGAGTATTCTATCTGAGCTTTTTTCGGACGCTGTAGCCGGATTTTGTCATATCCGATAAGGGTTGACTCTGTGAATAATCGATAAGGACTATGACTTACAAACGGACCATCATAGCCCACACAATGCTTTCTTCATCAATTGTACTCACATTTTGTTTTTATTTAATTGATGTTTTTCCTTGCTTGCTTTTCTTTTGGTTTAGAGTTAGACTTTTCAAATTCATTAATTTTACACAGCCCTGGATTTTTGATTAAACATATCTTGTATCATTACACAAACTAAAACCTACAAAAATGATTCAGGCTTGATAGCAAGATTAAGATTTTATAGACCAAGGTACGCCTAATCTCTCAAATGAAAAAAAGTTATGCAAGTAGATTTGCATCGAACATTGGTAATTAGAACCAGTTTTTTTAAATTGAAAAAACTTGGCATGAGCAGCGACAAACAAAAAAGCTGTAGAGCCAAAATTAATGCTTTTACATAAATGCCGTAACACAGAGCAAAAGTTTAATTAAGGTCTGCTGATGCTAAACAGTTTGAATCACAAGGGCAAAGTCTTGGATATTCAAGTAGAAAAAAGAAATATGCTTTTTGTGGTGTACTGAGATGTCTATATGGAATGTCTATCAAGTCATTTTAGTGATTAACATTTATCGATATAAAAACGTGCACGGTCCTGTTAATGTAACAGCCTTCAGATTTAGAACCCTCGTGCCCAGTCAAATTGAGAAACTATAACATCCTTGATGCTTGAAATAAAATTTAAATATGTGCCTTGAACGTATAGTAACATTACACAACTTCTCTGATCTTGATAGTGGCTGTAGTCATCATTTTTTCTTTTTTCTCAAAGCCCCCTCTTTTTTTTTTCCTTCGATAGTTTAAAACTCAAGTCTCACGACTGCTTCCTTTTTCTTGAATGTACATGTACAACTGGTATGACAAAAAAGGCTATTACAACATTCACCTTAATTCTTCTTCTCTTGTTCTTCTTTTTCTTTTTTCTACTCTTTTCTCATATTAGTATCATAGTTATTTAAATTAACCAAATCCTGTTAAAAATGAGGCTTTATAAGATTGTTGTTTTAGGAGAAGGTGGAGTTGGAAAGGTATGTCGAATGGTAACTTTAGCTTATCTTTTTTTTGTTAATCAAAAATTTATTCCAATAAGACAGCACTCACTATTCAGGTAAGCTAGACAGATAGGATGATGGAATCTCTCTAATACTACTTCTTACAGCTTTGCTTGAATCATTTTGTTGGTGAGTCCTTATTCGTCTTTTAAGAAACTATATTTAATTTTAATTTAGAGGTAGTAGACTGTGTTTCCAAATGAGAGGTTAATTGACAAAGATGAGATAATTTATAGACATACGATCCTACTATTGAAGATTCGTATCGTAAACAGACTGTTATAGAAGATATACCATGTCTGTTAGAAGTATTGGATACTGCAGGGCAAGGTAAGAAAAGAACCCCATTCAAATTGGCCTTTGTCTTATATGCCTCCCCCCTTTTTTTATATATAAAAAGAGGAATATACTGCCTTACGAGATCAGTGGATTCGTAGTGGAGAAGGGTTTCTAATTGTGTATTCAATTACTTCCCGTATGACATATGATCGAGTCAATAAATACCGAGATCAGATTTTCCGAGTCAAAAATACCAACTGTATACCGATGGTCTTGGTCGGCAACAAATGCGACAAGATTACCGACAGAGAAGTGACGAGAGAAGAAGGGGTATCAAAATCACGCTTGATTGGTTGTGAGTTTGTCGAGACGTCCGCAAAAACATGTGTCAATGTAGAAAGATCTTTCTATTCGGTTGTTCGATTGATTCGGCAGGGACGAACGGGAATCAGGGAAGAAGCACAAAAGCAGGAATTTAAAAAAGACAAAAAATGCGCTATTTTATGATCTAGAATGAATAATAGATCAGTCACCAATGCTTACTCATTTGTTACAATATTTGTTATAAAAAACTACTTAAAGCATCTTGTTTTTCTTCTTCTTTCTTCTTCGTTATCCCCTTTTTATTTCATTTTCATGACATCTTTGCAAGTTTTAGGAGCTGGCTTCGGCCGTACAGGCACTATGAGCCTCAAGTATGCTTTGGATCATTTAGGGTAACAATGATCAAAGTATGACTCTTTTTATTGAACCTCAAATAGATACAACACTCACCATATGCACATGGTCCTCATTGACAATACTCAAATACCAGAAATCTTTGAAGAGGCTTACAAGAATCCAGACGCTCCTGTTGACTGGGATCGCGCTTATCTTGGCTACAATGCTGCAGTTGACTGGCCTACTACTGCTTTCTTTGACAAAATCTATAAGCTAAACCCAGATGCTAAAATCATCTTGACTGTCCGCGACCCTGAATCTTGGTTTAATTCAGTTATTAAAACTATCCATGAATGGCCTGAAGTCAATGAAACATGGCCAACGCAAATCATTCGGGCACGAAAAATGGCGCGCGTAGTGGTCCGAGATGGTGAATTAGGAGGTTCAGATATCATTACTCGCAAGGATCAGCTGATGAAGAAGTTTGTAGACCATATTGAGCGTGTCAAATCTATAGTCAAGCCTGAGAATCTATTGATCATGAAACTCGGTGATGGATGGGAAGTGCTTTGTCCTTTCTTGGGGAAAGAGATTCCAAAGGATTTACCTTATCCACATAAAAACAAGGGAGAGAATTTCGGAAACATGCTAAAAGGCATCAAGGAGCTCTTGGGTGATCAAACTAAGGATGAAGTTGAAGTATTGAAGGTTTAAAACATTCGAACCTCCTGAAACAAAAACATTTACTCTAAATAAATGGACCCTTTTTTCCACCTTTTCTTTAAGTCGTCTATTAGCTAAAACCAGTTTTTCTAGAAGTAATTGACTATTTTGTAATTTAAAACAACTCTAGAAAATATTATACATGTCCGGTAGACCTTTTTAAAACATAAAAATATTATATATATATATTGGAGACTTGAATTTGACCTCTTTTTTTTGACATCATGATCTCTACAGAGAACTTTCAGAGCAGTGCACAAGCAAGTTGCATTAACTTATCACATTGGGGCTTTACTTTACAGATATATACAAACACGTTATTTTCTTGCAGCAAGATGCAGTATCATACTAGGTTAAGACTACAAAAAAAAAACGACTTGGCACTCATGTCCAGAATGTTTTTCTCTTATATGACGAAGATGGGATGTTTGCCTTTTATTTTGACTTCTCGTTCTTAGTTTTTAAAAAAGACACCTATTTTTGTTTAAGATTTGTTACAAAATCGCTTATAGGGGTATAGACGTCTATCGTCATATTAGACTATAAATACCCCTTCATCACTATGTAGTATATAACAAGATTTGTCTCAAACTATAGACGAAGAATCCTTTTTCTCCTTTTAATAGCCATGTGCATATATTCAAAGATACACACACATTTAATTTGATCTCCTGTTTCCTTCTTGTTCATCATTAAGTAGATATAAGCATTACCCATTCAGCATTATGTATATACATGTTTTGTAAATGTATTTAGTAAATATTTGCTTAAATTACGAACAGATAAAAAACAGAGCCTTCGCATGTTTAAACACAAATAACTTTGCCCCTTGATTTTTTGACATGTACAAAGTTTTCTTGTATCCTCCCCTTTTCTTCTTCTTTCTTTTTACTTTTATTACATTACTTCATTAACAAGTACCGAAAGCACTCTGTTGTTAGTTATTGAATATGATTATGACAGTGAGCAGTGACATACCAAATAACGACTATTATAGAACAGACTCGTCAGACATTGAACTAGCAACTGAAATTGGGCAAGGGTTATTAAGTGAGATACGACGAATGCAAATCATCTTGCAAAAAAGACAGGAATCACTAATACAACTAGAAAAAGAAAGAACAGATAATCAGCAGCATATCGCTGACCTTATAAAAGAGCTAAGGCTTAAAAATGATACAGAAGAGCGTCTTAAAGAAGAAATTTATAATTTGGAGCTCACGAAACAAAGCCTGTCTCACCAAATTCAACAGCTTTCTTTGACTGTTTCACAAGCTCAAATGGAGGAAACACGGCGCGAAAAACAAGAAGGTCTTATTCATCAAAAGCTAGAGTCGTTCAAAGAATCTCAAATAAAATGGCAAGAAGCACAAGCCGAATACGAAAGCAAACTAGCACTGCTGAATGAATCCATTGCTAAACTTAGAAATGAAAATCAGTCAGCTCGTTCTCGGCTGGAGAACTCAGAAGTCAGTGATAAAGAAGAAGGGGACCTCAAAGCTGATTTCCAAAATGATATGCATATAGAGCAGTCTCAAGATATGCAGGATGATAGCAATCCTACAGAACCCATAAATAACATTGTACCACCACATACCGCTTTAGAAAAAGCATCCCTGAATGAAGATCATAACAAAGCCCTAGATAGTATGCAACATTTGTGGAGTGAGTCCGCACTTGTCAGGTTTGAAGCACACCACAAAGAAATTATGCACACAATGGCAGGCGAAAGACTTTATAAATTTTCTACAAGCTATGTAAAATGGAGTAGTTCAAGCAAGCGTCATTTGAGGTTTTTTTGGATACATCCCTATACAAGGACCTTGTATTGGAGTGAACACGAACCTGGACTTCAGCATGACATATATAAGGCTAAAAGTGGTATGTAATTCGCATTAATGCTTTTCTAAAGCCTTGTATCAGTACAAATCGAAACATTCTCTATCGATCCATTAAATCAAGAAAACAGTATACCCATTATAATAATCAACTCATCTACTAAATCCATAAAAATACAATGCACCAATGAAGATTCACATGAACAATGGACTAAGGTACGTAATGCAATATACTGATCGTCTGCTTATTTTCTTTCTGAATAGTCGCTACGTCGTTTAGTTGTTGAAGTTAAAAGCGTCATACCTGACAATCTCAAGAGAAAGAGTTTATCTCTATTCTTAAGGGCAGAATCAAAAAAATAGCACACCCTTATTAACATTGTAAGAATACGCCAATAAACTAAATATTTCTTAAAAAGAGCAGTTTATTTCTAAATATTAGGTACACTGTATGGATTATAGGTATAAAAAAGCGATTATTAAGCGTAATAGTAATAGTAGTAAAAAAAAAAAAAAGCAATGCAAAAGTACAGATATACAATCATCAACGACATAACCAAAAATGGGAGTCCACTGTCAGTCTGTCGGAGAATGGTCTTGATGAATGGTGATTCAAACTAACGGTGCTCGTGGAATATGATTTTGTTTGTTGAACAAATGAGGGAGTCGGAGAGACTGACAAAGTAGCTGAGCTATCACACAAAGATGAGTCTGTAGAGCTCAAAGAAGTTGATACTGAAGGTGGTATAGAGCAAGAATTACGTCGAATGGATATAGGTGTTGTTTCTTTTTCCTCATCTTCTTCAATAAGGCGTGCATTTCTGATCCAGTGTCGACGTCGAGTGAGAATATGTAGTCCAGATGATCTAGGACTCCAGCGTTTCCAGTCCCATCCTCCATATTCCCAGCCCTCTTTATCTACACTTTTATCACTTTCGTCAATCTGCCAGCTATCAGAAGCCCATTCCCATGTCACCTTGATTCTCTTTTTAGTGGCCTTGTCGGTTTTGAAGGTTGGAGGTGGTAAACTAAACTTGTGAATAGATGGGACTTGTACGAGATATTCGTCAGACCTGGGCAAGATTTAGTATCATGTGATGAATTAGACTTATTGCTTACCACTCTGGTCTTTCATTCCCAAGTAAGAGAGGTATCCAACCTCTACATGGCCACCAGCGTTGATGTTCAATGACTTTAAAGCGATAGTATCGATCAAGATGTTCTTCCATAGATGTAAATGACGAACAGACAAATGGTTTTTGTGCAACCTTGGACCTGGCATGACGAACGACATATTCTGCCCTGTGATAAGCATGTCGAATGACTCGAAATAAGGCACTGTTCCAAGTGAGCAATAAAAGCCCCATAAGCCAAATGATTTTACCAAAATCAAATGCCATTAAAGATCCAATCCAAACTATGTACACGAGCACAAATAGAACTAATTTTTGATGCAGGTTGAGCTTGAAAAGTGATCGACAGTGCTGTTTGAATTGGTCTTGAGAAGGAAGAAGAAATGATAATTCCAATTGAATCTCTTTGAGTTCAGCTGTCAATTTATCAGATGAATCAAGTGTTGAGTCTTTATGGATTTCATGTTTGGCTTCAAAGATTTGATATAACAATAAGGCAGTCCAAATTGGTATCGTGAAATATACTACAGACTGATGGAACCAAAACCAAGTCCAAACAAGTATTGAAGCCATAGATTGACGAGCATTCTTCCAGCGTAAGATGTGTAAGAAGTGAATTGTATATTGTATAAGTGGTTCAAAAGAGTAGACAACATCAGGATAAGTAAACGTAGTTGCGCTAATTACAGAGTCATTCTCATACAAACTCATTGATCATTTAATTAAGAAAGGAGAAAGAAGCAAATAAATAGAAAAACTTTGCAAATGAATAAATAATGGGACGGAGAATGATTTTAACGGGATGAGGTACAGACGAGTAGTACAGCAAAAGATTTTTTTTAATTTGGGTATTTAATCCTTTCCCCAAAAAAACAATAGAAGTAAGAGATTATGTTGAATATATAGATGATTTAAATAAATGTTTCGGCTTAGCAACAGCCGCCTTGTTTCTGTTCTTCAGCAGGTTGAGTAACTTGAATTGTTTGTCCAGCAGTTGGTCTAATCACATCATTGGATGATTCAAGGGCTTTGTTGGAGACAATGCGGTAAATTTCTATATTTATTGTCAGGTGAGTTTGTCAGGGTTTTTTGGTGACCTTACCTGTCAAGATTCTTTGGAAAGCAAGTTCTACATTACTTGAATCCAGAGCAGAAGTCTCAATAAAAGAAAGTCCATTATCAGCTATTTAAAGGTAAACAAAGCTGCAAGGAGTAACGAATTCTTTTTTACCTGCAAATTGCTTAGCTTCCTCGGTTGGAACTGCACGTAAATGTCGTAAATCGCTCTTATTTCCAACCAACATAACTACAATGTTCGAATCAGCATGATCACGAAGTTCTTTAAGCCAACGCATAACATTTTCATAAGTGGCATATTTAGCAATATCATACACCAACAATGCACCTACAGCCCCTCGATAGTAACTAGTAAACATTTAAGTATCATTTCTTCTACAAGCATATACACTTACGCACTAGTGATGGCACGATATCTTTCTTGGCCAGCTTAAAAAAAAACGAGTTAATACCAAAGCCCTGTTACTCCGGAAATTAGGTCGGAAACAAACATACCTGTGTCCCAAATTTGTGCCTTTACGGTTTTACTATCTACTTGGACACTACGAGTGGCAAATTCAACACCAATCGTACTTTTAGATTCCAAGTTGAACTCGTTACGAGTAAACCTAGACAAAAGATTTGTCTTTCCTACACCAGAGTCACCAATAAGGACGACTAAAATGAATCAGTTGTACTATTTTTTTTTGAAGTCATATTTACCTTTAAAAAGATAGTCATATTCATCGTCTCTGCTCATGTCTACAAGTGTTTTTTAATAAAGAAAAAAGTAAGAAAGAAAAAGAAAATTATCTCATCGGAAGTGTCTAAGAATAAGATGCACAAAGAAAGCGGTTATTCAAATCTAAAGTCACATTAAGATTTACTGCAGTTTCAGTAACATTGAAATAGAGCAAAGGATACTGCAATGTTTAAAGGCCATGGTTGTTTCTCTTAGCTATTTATTTTCCAATAAGCAAAACATTTCTTCATCGATATTCAGACTGGAAAGAAAAGTAAAGGCAGTTGAGCATACAACTATCAACTTTTTCTTTTGTCACTCCAGTTCCTTTTATGATAATCTTTCGCACAGATTAAGCTACTCTTATCCGCACAATTACCTAAGCCTAACCTATAGATAGAGAAACAAATCAGATATACGGGGAACCAAAAGAAGTCGCCAGACTCTTTTTTCTGTCAAAGCTATAGGTTCATGTTTGGTCTTAAAGCATCCTTGATGCGAAGCCATCTAGAAATAGCGCTTAAGTCACAGGCCATTACCCAAAAAACAATAGGCATTGAAGAGCGAGAAAGCCAATACCTTTCTATGTCAATAAGCATATTTAGTGTAAAGAGTTTTTAGATCCGAATTGTTGACACCAACATAAACGCCACCACATGGGACAAAGTAGTACATTGTACTCCTGCCAAAGGAAAAGCCTTTTTAATACAATACTTCCAAGAAGCAATAACATCCTTATGGGATAGCAAGATTTCTTTTCAAATATTCACATCTAGTGAATACTTATAATTACATTTTAGAAACGCCATTGCATACACAATATTTTTACACTCCTTGAGTTCAGAAAAAGGAAACTGTCGCTTATTTGAAAGATTGACAGTGTTAGCAGTAAAGATATTGTTCAGGTTATTTCCATGTTACAAAAGTATTGTGAGTCAACTGCTTCATTATCTATGATGCCATTAATCGTCTCCTGACGGCTAGCCTAAGCCGCACTTGTCTTGCTCCGAAATGTTAAGCCATCAGAAGGTCATACTTTCTTTGTTCTTGTCATCTCCGCAGACGATGTTCTAAAAAATAGTTCTTAGTTCAATATGACATTGTGATCAAACAAAATCAAAACAACCGTCACCAAAACAAACCATAATTGCCAATCAAAATAGTGTTGACAAATATAATAAAGCTGTTGTTTGAAACTCATATAAAGAAAGATAATACTGTTTTATCGAGGGATGGGATTACTATTTTAGCATATATATAATTCTGTATTGAAACGATACGAAAAAAATGACTTATCGTAATAGGTTGAGGGTATGCTGACAGAATAGTTCGGGAACTGAATTAGAGGAGAGCTGAAAATTTTTGCTTGTTTGGGCCACCACAAAAGATGGATAACATAGCCTATCTTTTTTTCTTTTTCCTTTTTCTTATCCTTTCTTTTATTAAACTTCAGTTTGAAACAAGACAATGTCAGCTTTCATTGAAGAAGCCATTATCTTTGCAACAGAATCCACTTTAAATACACTTGTCTGTGTTGTTGCTGGTACCTTTCTAGTCTACTATCTATTCTTTTTTGGTAATTTTGACACTTTTTGAAAAAATAACAAGCCCTAACCTTCTTTTATTTTACGTGTAGACAAGAAAAAAGGTACCAAGGTAGAAAGCAAATTAAGGGAGATCAAAAAAGGTAAGAAACAACAGGAACCATTGTGTGGTATGTTTATTCAAACTTATTTTTTTTAGTAGAACCTATTAAGGTTGACCAGAAAAAGGAGAAGGAAGTCAGTAATTTGATTGTAAAGGAGGTGGAAACACTTTTACCAAAGGTTTGAAGACAATCAATATTTTTTTGTGTATTTTATTGACGTCGTATTAAAGAAACAACAGGAACCTTTTCTTGCTCGTTTCGAGGCTACTCAAGCCATTTGTTTGTTGGAAGCCAACAAGTATATTGGATCAATCTTTGAAAAAAAAGAAAAACCAAACTCGTTTTTTGATGATCTGTTGGGCGTATCTGATGTCGAGGCTGATAGTGGTACAGCAATCACGCGTCAAGCTATCCATAATGAAGCAACCACGGTGGTCGAGGAAGTAAAAGAAGAGAAGGAAGAGCTATCTTCAGGCTTACAAGCCACAGAGAATAACGATATAGTTGAAGAAGAAAAGAAAGAGTCCTTGGTCGAAAGTGAAGTAGTTCCTGTCGAGCCTTTCTTAGCAGCTTATGAAGCTACTGTCGCTTCTACTACTTTGGAAGCTCAACAGTATATTTCCGCTTTGCCTAAACCTCCTAGACCTTTCCTTGCTGCATTTGAAGTAACCACTGCAACAACTACCATGATTGCTCGTGAATACGTCAACGCAATGCCTAAATCTCCTAGACCTTTCCTTGCTGCATTTGAAGCAACCACTGCAACAACTACCATGATTGCTCGTGAATACGTCAACGCAATGCCTAAACCTCCCAGACCTTTTCTGGCTGCATTTGAAGCAACCACTGCTTCCAATTTATTGGCTGCCCAAACCTTTGCTGCCTCTTTGCCCAAGCCTTCCAAGCCTTTCCTTGCACATTATGAAGCTACAACCGCTCAAGTTGCATCGGCTGCACAAGAGTACGCAAAATCTCTTCCCAAGCCCTCAAAGCCTTTCCTTGCTGCATTTGAAGCTACTACCGCTCAATTCACTCAAATCGCCCGTGATTATGTGGCCGCTCTCCCCAAACCCCCAAAGCCTTTCCTCGCTGCATTTGAAGCTACTACAGCTTCTACAACTTGCACCAACCAACAATATATTACCGATATGGTCAAGTCCGATTCAGCCTACATAGAATCTCTTCAATCCATTTCTAAAAGATCCAATACCTCAGTACCTAGTAATACTCTAGCTAGTTATGAAGCTACAGCAGCTTCTATTCTCTCCATCTCACAAGAGTACATTCAAAACTTGACTGCATCTGTCGAATATCCTAAAGCCAATATTAATGTGAAAGCAACCGAATCAGAGGAAAAGGTGGTTAGTAGCATGGACGAGGAGGCGGAGGAGCTTTCTTCAACTTCATCTCTATCAGAGGCTTCTACCAGCTCTTTACCTTCTGAAGCTCCGGTTTCAGCCAGCGACGAAAAAGACAAGTCTATTGTTGGAAATGAGGGTTTGCAAGTAGATGTTGTGGATCAAACCAATGCCAGATCATCAGAGCAGTTCAAGCTATCTTGGGATGATATTTACTCGGGTGACAACAACAAGAAGATCAAGGCAACAACACAATCCCCTTCTAGTACTGAATCTCCTACCAAACCATGGATGTCAACTACTCCCTGTATTTATTATCCAAATTGTACCAACAAGAACTGTAAATTTATTCATCCTGGCCCTGACAACAAGTAAGTCATGCTTTTTGCTTTATGTGTAGTTTACTAACACATCTTAAAAGTCCTAGACCTAAACCTAAGCGAGCAGCTACTGTCAATGCAGAACCTAAAAGACTCTGGACACGACCTGAACTTATTGAACGACAATCACAAACACATTTTCCTATCTGGAAATCCCGTTGTGTGCATTGGCCATACTGTACAAACAAACACTGCAAGTATTCACATCCTATCAAAGAATGCCGGTAAGTAGTTATGGTGTTATTCAAAACAATGGCTTATGTGCATTTGTCTTTAGAATGGGCGATCAATGCATATTCATGGAACGTTGTATGTTCCTTCATCCAAGTGACCTTTTAGAACCGGTTAAAAAGCATCGTAGTAATCAAAGTAATGAAAACAACAACGACAATAATAATACCCATGTTCCTCAACAGCTGAAAAGATCAAACACTACTTTCAATTAAAATTACTTTTTATCATTAATAAAATCATTCTTTTTTTTTTTTTTTTTTCGTTGTGGATATCAAATCAAGTGAAGAACTACCAGCATAAAACTAATACAGTGTACTGACTACTATTCGAATAAAACGGTGTGGTAAATACCTACTTTTATATATACATCTATGATTGTCTCGAAAAGAGATTTATTTTATAAACATCAGTACAAATGCTTTCGTTTCTTTTCAAATTCAATCATTTTCTCAACACAATCTACCAGACTATGGCCTACAATATCAGGTTCTCCTGTATCGTACATTTGACTTGTATAGATTTTTTCTTTCGAATTCAAGAATACAGTTCTCAAAGAAACGTTTTTCGCACTGGCAAGCTCAAATGCATACGAGCCAATCATGTAGAAATTCTATACAAAGTGTTACACAACGTGTCTATGTCTTCATGCCTTATACCTCTATACGTTTTGTTTTATGTACAGCCAGCCGCATCATCTCAGAATACACTTTAGGATGGGGTTTAGATACGCGCATATCATCACAACACAAGATATTATCATCTGCGTATTTGCTAATGCCTGCTTTCGATAAAAAGTGCATCGTATCACCAAATCCGCCTATGGATAATATCCATATCTCCCAACGATGTTCTAGTCCCTTCTCTCTTTCTTCTAATAGTCTATCTAGTGCTTGGAGTGCTTCTGAGTCTAGATATGGTTGTTCAAATGTTTTCAAAATCGATTCTATATCGTCTTTTGTCAGCAAAAGTGTTTCATCATCAAAAAAGCATATCATAGCTCGCGGTAGTACAGCCTTTAATACTTTTTGCAAGGGACAGTACTTGCCAGCTTGTGAAGTGGCAATATAGTCGCGTAAAGAGCAGTCATACCAATAATAAAAGAACTTTCGAGAGATACACGTCTCGAGTTTTAGATGTGTTTTGGTAGTGAGTAAGACGTGTAGTTGTTTTACCACATGTTCAAAGGTACATAATGTACCTATTTGAATTTATTAGCCCTAGTGTATAGTTTCAAAAAAAAAAAAAATCCTTTACTTTGAAGGTCAAAAGCGACAAAGGGCATAAATGGGATAAAGTAAAGAAGAAAATGGAAAGAATTCAATACGTATGCAATATCGAATTATAACCTTTGCTTTTATTGGTTGTTTTTTGTTATTTTATCCGGTCAATCCTATTTTTTATATGCTTTAAGAACGTATGTATTTATTCAAAAACTACCATTCTGATTTAGATATTTCATCAAAGACAGCTGTAGCAATCTTTTTGTGCGTCATTCCACTTGGATGAAGGTTATCCCACCAAATATAACTATATAGTAATATCTTGTTAGATTCCCACCTAAAGATGGTGTCACTTACTTGTCACAATTCACTACTTTGTTACAATTCATCAAATTATTTTTGGCAATTGTGTCTGCATCATACATCTTGTAGAATTGGTTGTAAGAGTCAAAAAACAAGATGTTTGTTTGTTTGTGCTTGGAAGCGAATTTTCGAGTGATAGCCTTCAGCTTGATATTGTAACTATTGACCAACTGCTTCAAGTTATCCCGAGCAGTTGCATCATATGTCGTGTTATAGTACATTGGAACTTCTTGCAAAGGAATCAATCCCATCATGACAATATATTTAGCGCCACTATCTTTGATTTTATACTATCGAGAATAAGTAATTGATGTGACTTACAAAGGACATACCAAGTCGTTTTTGATACTATTGATATCATTCACAAGTATTTCTCTTCTTTCACTCGTATCATTTCGGTGGTTTTCAAACAGAAGCTTCATATCATTGACACCAATCCACATGAAGAAAATAGAACTTGATTTATCCGTGTTTGTAGCATCCGATTTCTCGAACGTATTCACTTGTGTGGCCATGTCAATAGGATTTCTGGGTATGAATTTCTGCATGATCTTTGTTAGAAGCCTTCGTTTATACCGGTTCAACTTACATTGTTTGCTGTTGCACCAGAGCGAGCAAAATCATAAAGATCGGCACCAGTGTATTTCTCAAGTACCAAGTTCTCTATCCAAAGAGGGCCATCGGAATTACGAGGCAACTAGATAGTAGAGATATAAGAGGATGAAGATCAAACAAAACTACTTACATTGTTAGCTCCTGCTGATTGAGTCCTAAGAAAAAGTTAGCAAAAATCCATATTTATGATAGGCACAAACATTTCTTTCGTAATGTGGGTTGAGTTGGAAGCATAAAAGTTACTGAAGGATTTATTATCAGTATAAGAATCACCAAACGCAAAGACTGAAGTAAACTTGGTTGCTCTCTTTGCTACTTGTTGAGCAGTAACAAAGAGTATTTGGCATACAGCTAATGCTAGTAATTGAAGAAGAAGACGCATGGTATGAGATGTACATTTGCGATATCATCATACATTTATATACTGAATCTTGTGTGGTACCTGTGCAGCATATATCGTGGAATAATTTGTTATTTTCCGTATAGTCTTTATTCCCCTTATGTTTCCCACCATGCGTATTGCCCCGCTATATATATATATATATATATATATATACATATGTTTCTATTGCCAAGAATAAAGTACACTAATGTTTATATGCAAGTATGTTGAATAATAATAATAATTTACAAAGAGGTTTTCTAATCAGCCCTATCTTTACTGACTGTTCGGCGATAAAACACATAAAATTGAAGGAAAATCTATCGTGTGTGTGAATCACTCGCAATGTAGTACTACATCTTCTTACCATAACATCAAAAATGACTGTACCCAAACTACCAATGATCCATGACAAGTTAATTATGATGTATTTCCGATCCATTGATTTAAGGAAAATAGACTTGTTCCATAAGTACTTGTTCTAAATCATTCGTTCACTTACCGATGTATAAAAGATATTGCCAAAGACTGCACAGATAAACATGCCTGGACTTAGTCCTTCTGTGCTTTGTTGCTTCCAGTTCTTAATTAGTTGAGGTAGACGACTTCCTATATACAATGCAGCACTAAACCAACCTAGTATTTGAGGTACAAGGCGAATATTTTCATGCTCCTCTTGAAGAGCAGGCAATGTAATGTAAGCATAGCAAGAAACCAATATCATCGCCATGAGTACAAGAATACCTATTGTATTCATCCATACTAATTTCATTTTAGCATGTTTTGATGAATTTTTCTGACTATCTGCAGTACAATCGCTCTTTGAATGTGCTTTGTCCACACTAGATCGACGTTGTTTTAATGTGTTTGGCGCTACAAGAACAATGGCTTCATCTTCATTGCGTTGATCTCTGTCTGTCATACATTGTTGATAATAAAATACTTGCCAAATCAGACAAATATCAGCTATTGCATACCAAAGAGCCAATAGGAACTGTATGATCATTAGTTGATCACCACTCTTCTCTTTGTCTACTTGCCATTGTAAACATGAGTCTTTCCATGATCACACCAGCCAAATTGAACAAGTCTCCTGCTAACCAAATCCATAAAAAGGTAATTGAAAGTCCATCCCCACTACGTCTCTTATAATTTTCAACCAGTTGACTAGGAAGGTTACGATCGAGTTGAGATGAGCAAAAGAACAGACTATCACTTACGGTATAAACACAACAAGCCAGCACACAATAGACAAATAACCTGTAATGACTGAGCCTGTCAAAGCATCATAATTCATCACAAATAATCAAAAAAATAAAATAAAATAAAGAAAGCATGTCAAAAACTTTTGTTTTTCTCCTTTTACAGAATAATGGTCACAGCAGGAAAATCCTTTTAATGAGTAAACGATTATCGTCTCCTTCTTCCATATCGTTGTGGATGATTTATATCAAAACGACAGTTTGTCTTGAACACACAGCCTTCTTGATGCATTCGCTTACCAATGGCTGCTAAATTGATTGCATCATCTAATCCTGAGTGTTCTCTGCCTTCAAATTGCATTTTTAAATGAGCCAACATGGCACTAATGTTCTTGTTTTCTTTTTGGTTATAAAAATCTCGAAATGTTCTTCGAATATTGACCCATGGAATATTGAAATAATCAGGTCGAGTCTTGATTTTACTATGTTTGCATTGTTTTGTGATAAAATCACGTATATCAAAAGGACCATCTTATCAAACATCAATACTCTTTTTCTAATTTTTTTTTTTTTTTTTTTTTAGTCTATACCTGTAACAAATGTAGCTGAAGCTGTCTGAAATAAATCATATTTTGCAAGAAATTTTTGAAATTCATTCAGTACTTCTACAAAAGTAGGACTCTTGTCAATGGTAGATTGACTAATGCCTGTCAAACCAGTGCAGAATTCAGACAATTTTGGATTCACCGTGGGTTGAACATAAGATCGAAATGTATCTACCTTTTTTGACAAGATAAATATACGTAACAAGCTGTCAATTGGACTTACTATATCAAATGTATCGCCATTGACTAGCACTACAGGGAATTCAATAATCTCATTTGGGTATCCAAATCCTCCGCCTGCTTCACACGTTGCTTCCACGTCAAAAAACAGGTAATAATCAAACGGCTGTTGCTTTCTAAGGAACATTTAGTGTTGCTTTGTTTGACTTTCTCTGGTTACTTGAATGATTCTGTCTTGATCAACTTGATCTCGTCTGTCATTTCTTTTATTTGCTCGGTTTGCTTTTTAAGCGCTTTTTTATAACGCTGCTTTAACTCGGGTTTACGCCCCTTTGTACAAAGACCGAGCTCCTCTAGAGCCAGTCTTAGTCCTTCTACAGTGCTCGTATTAGGTTTGTTAGTGACTTCCATAGCAAAAAGAAAATAGAAAAAAAAATCGAATTTACATTGTATGTTCGGGGATTGAACATGAATGCAAATGATCCTCTTGACAGCATTCCTTTACCTTTGTATGCCTACAATTCCACTTTTGTAGCAAGTTAACACACCAAATTTGTACTCACTTGTGGTTTATCTTTATTTAGGAACACTCTATCTTGATAGGCTTATGCGCGTATTTCTATATATTGGTTGGACAAACTAGATTTTTTTTTTATTTAAATGAAATACAAACAAAATACAATTTTTCTTTCTCTTTCCCCTCCTTGAATATGAACAAACATGCCTTCTGTCAACAATAAAACATATACTCAAATAGACAACACAGAGATCGATGGCTCAGATGCAGATTCATTGTTTAGCACTGGCTCACATCACTTTGGAGAAGACGATGATCGAGATGATCAAACCCTATTACCACTTACGCATCATGATAATAATTCTTCTACTTCAGTATTCAGTTTTGAAACAATACCTATGATTCCTCTCTCGCAAACACAAGCAAGAGGCCCTGAACTTCAAAAAAAGGTATCGTTTTGGAATGGTCTAGGCCTAGTGATAGGCATGATGATTGGCAGTGGTTTATTTAGTTCACCAGGTAAATGCAGACCATCATTCTCTCTATAGGGTGTCTAATAAGATGTAGGCCCAGTACTAGAATCAACAGGCTCTTATGGTACAGCATTAGTAGTGTGGTTTATTTCTGGTTTATTAGCATTATCAGGTGCTTTATGCTATGCAGAATTAGGTACAATGCTACCTATGAATGGAGGAGAAGCAGTATATCTTAGTAGAGCATTTGGCAGTTTGGTCTCTTTTATGTTTGAATTTGTTACTATTGTGGTGCAAAAGCCAGGTAGTATAGCTATTGTATGTATTGTGTTTGGTGAATATGTGTCTCGTATTGCATTCCACACTTATTTCTTTAATGTGCCTCATGATTCGGATGCTTCTGTTGAACTAGCAGATGCTGTGATTCCTAAATTCCTACCCAAACTATTGGCTGTTGTTTGCTTAATGATATTAACAGCCATTAATGCATTATCTGTTCGGGCTGGGATCCGAGTACAAGATATATTGACAGTGGTCAAAGTACTGACAGCCATTGTGATATCTGTTATAGGTGTTGTTGTACTATCCAACAAAGGTCTGGTGGTTGGCACTAGTTTACAAGGTGATCCATTTAAGGGTATTGAGTCGATTAGTTTTGGACAATTTGCTGTTGCATTTTATTCTGGTAAGTTGCTTGTATGTAAGAACTATTGACCCTGATGTCTCAGGGCTTTGGGCTTATGATGGCTGGAACAATCTGAACTATGTGTCTGGTGAAATGAAAGACCCTCATCGTGATTTACCTCGCGTTATCATCTTTGGTATTCCTCTGGTGATTGCTTGTTATATGCTATCGAATGTTGCTTATTTAGCTGCCCTAAGACCAGAAGTAGTGATGCATACAAACACAGTATCCATGGATCTTGGCAAAAAAGTGTTTGGACCTACAGGTGGCATTATATTTGCTGTTTGTGTTGCATTCAGTTGTTTCGGGGTAAAGTAATGCAAGATATATTCATTGTTCACGAATGTTAATTTTAGACTTTTCTCCTTTTTTTTTCTTTTAGTCTGCCAATGCAAGTGTATTCACAGGAGCTCGAATTATTTATGTGTCTGCCAAACAAGGTCATATCCCCAGTTTTTTCGGTAAACTGAGTCAGTCACGACAAACACCTATTTTAGCATTATTACTTCAAGCTATTTTGACAACCATCATGATCATGGTCGGTTCTTTTAGAATGCTTGTCAATTTCTATTCATTGTCTGCTTGGGTGTAAGTGTAGTCTGGTATAGAATCGAGCTTAATATCCATCCTAGATTTCATTTTTTAGCAGTACTTTCATTGTTGATCTTTAGATACACAGAGCCTGATTTAAAGAGGCCTTATCGTGTATGGCTATCAACCCCCATCTTATTCTGTATGGTTGCACTGTTTTTGTGCACAACTCCGTTTATAGAAGCCCCTTTAGAAAGTGCCATAGCGTTGAGTACCGTACTTTTGGCTATCCCGATTTGGTTTGTCCATGTTAAGTTTCGATCAGCGTTTTCTAGAGCTTGGGAACGTAAGTGAATACCATGATTTGGGGGAGGGGAGGGGGATAAGAAACCTAACATTGATGTTCTTTTAGGCTTAACAGGGCGATTTTTGAATCAAAATCAAGGCTATCAAGGCATGGGAATGACACAAATAAATGAACATTGATAGAATAACTATATATATCCCTTTTATTTATTGTACAGTTGAACAACACAACCTAATCTCCTTTTTTTTTCTGTCTCTTTAAAATACTTGGTTAAACAAGAAAAATAAAGTACATGGGAGACGACATAGAACGGTAAATCGCCTTTTTTGAAGTCTGTCTCCTGAATTCAGGAGTTGAGTATAAACAAACCAATGGTAGATGTTGGACAATCATTTTTTTTTCTGGTATATAAGTTGGCTCATTTGCATTACGAAGGGGAAAGAGAAGACAAAATGTGGCAGGATAAATGATACAATAAAAAAAAAAGCCTTTTTTTTACTCTTTCTTTCTTTTTATTTTCTCTCTCGCTCTCTCTCCCTTGACAATAAACAATCATTTTGAATACAATGAGTCATAAAGAATATTATCAAAAACTTTCACTTCCTCCAACACCAACAACACCTTCACAAAAAGACAAACAACTATTGTTTCAAGAAACTAGTTACGAACTAAATCTCCGACACTTAATATCAGAAGTGGAGTCTGCAGATATTCAAAGTCGTCTTCAGGCTGCAATAGATAAAGTGATGATGGACTGGGCTGATAAATACGATGCCTTAGCCGATTCAGTCCATCAGCTTGAACGTTCTAAAGCAATGTTGGAGCATCGCTTAAGCTCACAATCACAGCATTATGAGCGATGTCTACGAGAAATGCAAATGTATTACAAGTCACAACAAAGCAGCCATCAAAGGCGTAGATCATCCATTCCTTTCTCAAGTAACATAAGCTGTGTCTCTTGCAAAAGCTATCTTTCTTCAAGTTCAGCAAGGTCTTCTTCATGCGCTTCTTCTATACATACATCTTTCTCCATGTTGGAAGAAGCAGTGGTGGAACCTAACTTTTATGACCAAGAAACTATAGAGGAATTGAGCACAGACCTCGATGTTTATTCATCCATTATAGCAGATGAAACGCAAGAAAGTTTACCAGAGAGCAGTAAAATAACAAACAACGATAGCCAAGCAACCATCACGAAAGCCGCGGTTCCTATAGCTTCAGAAGACGTGTTGGTCTTTGCTTGTGGCGATGGGTTCTGGAATACGATTGCTCGAGGGAAAGCAAATAAACCTGAAGTAATTACACTTGTGGGGTAAAGAAAGGAGAGTTTCCATAAAAAGTTAAGAATAATCTTTTTTATAAACACAATAGAAACTATCTTCGTCGTGCGGGGAATCCTAATGTGGCAAAGAATTCTGATACGGTCAAGAGCGTCAAGGAAGGTTATAGTCTTCTCCATGCCTTGGTTGCCATCAAGAACACAACAGCCTTGCGGAAAGTGATCGATGCAGGAGCTAGAGTGGACGTATATCCACTTGCTTCAACAAAAGAAGACCAGATGACTCCTCTGATGTTGGCTGTAAAAACTGGTTACCAAAGTGGTGTCGAGAGTTTACTCAAGACAGGCAACTGTAGTCTACTTTTAGATCGCGGTCCTTATGGTGAAAATGCACTTCATGCTGCTATCCAAAGTAATTCAGATGAAATGGTCATTTATGTATTGAAATTGACACAACAGGCTTTGTTAGACAAAGCAGACGATAATGGTAAATTCCTTTTCTTTTATTTTGTTGCATGACTCATCACCTAAAACTAGGTGCTACACCACTTCATTATGCATGCATCACAGGCAAAACTCGGTTAGTTAGTTTGCTGATCAAAGACTGTCAATGCCAAACAGACCTTAAAGACAACAAAGGAGAGACACCCCTTCATTATGCTGTACGAAACCGTAAACTCAAAGTGATTACTAAAATGGTAGGCGAACTTGGTGTATATCCAAACCCCTATCTATTGAAACAAGTGCCCACACCATTGGATTTAGCAAAGTCTGGTGGCTTGAAATCTATTGCTGAATACTTGCGCTCTGTTGGGGCCAAGACAGCCAAAGAAATGGAGAAAGCACATCGCACTGTCTACAGCAGTAACAGTAGCACCTTTAGCGGCGAATCAAGTACTAGTGCTGACAGTGCACAATCTCAAATGACACTGGGTGTAAGACAATACCTTCACACAAAGACATCTCAAATATTGAGAGGCTCGTTTTGATTTCTTTTTTTTTTGTATTATGTTTATTTTATATGTCTAATATTAAATCAAGTTCTTGGACCTTGAAGGATATCCTTAAGGTTACCTTGAGCATCATAAGCAGCACGCTCCCAATACTTTTGTGATTTCTCTAAACCTTTGATGTCTTCATCGGCTTTTGCAACAGCATCAACGTATTGCTGCTTCATGTCTTTTAAAGGGCTTTGAATGAACCTAACACATGATGAGATATATTTTTTTTTCGATCAATTTCTTTCTTTACATTTTGCCAATGGGTTTGTAAGTCTTTATGTTATCATCAAGTCCATCAAGTTCGCGACGAGTCAATTCAGCTAATTTACGTTCACGTTGCTTTCCTGTGATTTGTGCCTTGATTGTGTTTGCTTGTTGTTGGGAATGGATGTATTTACTTTGTAATTCGACAAAGACCTAAGAAACATGTTAGATGACAGAAAAGACAAAGATCTACTTGCCTTGCGAATGGTATCATCCGAGAGAGAAGACATGGTAGTTTGAGAGAGAAAAGAAAACAGAGAGATCTGAACGCGTTTAATTTCTTTAATCAAAATTTGTACAGCGCCAAAATAAATAAATAAAAAAAACCATTAGTTTGTTTAAACACAGAGTTTAAGGACCATTCTATAGCCATAATGTATATTTAGGATTTCAAATCAAGACTATAGAGTGTAGTCTATATTTAAATAAAGAAAACAAGCTATTGTATTGTTGATGCAATTATATATATATATATATATATTTTGTTTATGTGTGTGTGTGTGTGCGTGTGTGTATAAAAATGTATGAAAGGAGATGTATTATGATTATTTCTTGCCACCACGTTGCTTCTTTTCATGTCTCTTCTTTTTATCGCTTCCTGGCTTCTTTCTAGCTTCAAAGTTAGCTGCATGTTCTCTCTTAGCTTGGAGACGAGCAGCTTTCTCGGTATTTACAATATCGTTCTTGCCAACAATCTTCTTCAAAATATCTAATGAGCTGTTCTTTTCAGCCTTGACATCACCAATAGTAGGACTGAATTGATGTGTGACACCCTTCATCTTGGTTTCACCCTTCAACTTGGCATCAAATTTACCCAAACTGGCAGTAGACTTTTTAGAGGCAGCAATAGCGGTCTGAAGTTCATCCTTTTTGAACTCTTTAATGTCTTTTTTACCAGCCAAAGAGGCAGCTGCACCTTCTTCTTGGTTACGACGTTGACGCTTTGTGTTCTTTTCCACACGAGCTTTCTTGGCTTCACGGGCTTTTTCATATTGATCTTCCATGGGATCAGCATGGTTAGGAACAGGCATAAGCCAATCAGCATCCAATTTGCCTTCTTCCTTGGGCTTGTAACCCCAACGAGGTACATACTCGCCAGTTTCTTCATCATAGACCATACGTTCACGTTTCTTGTTTTGAATGCCTTTGGCTTTAGCAAACTTCTCCCAACGTGTCAATGGTTTGTCCTTGGGTAATGGCTTTTCACGAGGCAATACAGACACACGGTTAGGAAGTTGAGCAAGGACACCAGCATCAGCACTGGTGACAGGCAACTTGAAAAGCTCGTTGACGATCAATTGTGCGTTATCTCTAGTTAACTCTGTAAGGTATTTTTCCATGTTGTTCTTGCTCTTCAAGGTCTTTTCCTCCAAGGCATTGGTGTCAAAACCAGCTAAAAGATTAAGATCGAAATCAAGAGGCACAAGCTTCTCTACAGTGATAGGTTTGCTAATATAAAGAAAAAACGTATTAGTATTGAAGGGGTATTTCTTTTGAGTAATCTTACAATTGTGCTGAATGAGCTTCCAAGATCTCGGTAACATCCATTATATATAAAGAAAAAGGTGAGGTGATCTATACAAAAAAAAAAAAAAAAAAAAAAAAGCCTTTTTTTTCTTTTGTCAAAAGGGCTCCTTGGTGACTGTCGTTGGCGGACCAAAAAGCAGTCGTACAGCCACCGGACTATAGTTTTGCATAAATATCCATGCTTTTATGAGATGCATAAGACAGGTTCCTTCTTATGAGAATGTACGCTCTAATGATTCGAATAGAGGATAAGCATCACACTAACTGTTTCTTTCTATTAAGAGGCACTCCTTCCTTTAGCGAAGACTAATGTCTTTTTGTCAAATAATACTTATTTATTCAATTCGGATCGAAAAGAAGCTTTTTTTCTTGGATGATTTTCTCTTGGATCTATGACTGTAGAACCAGGTGGAATAGACGAATACTTCGCTGCTGGAAAGTTCTTTCGACTCAGCAATGTACCTTTTAGACTTCGGATATGACTCTTGATGTTTTGTATCATTGTGTTATTATCTGATTCAGCATGATGTTTGTCTGCAAAAGAAGTAGCAAAACCACCATAATTACCAAACGAGAGGCGATTTTGGTAGTTTGGTGTGTTAGAAGGGTGCTGTAATAGCATGTTTTGAAATTGAGCAAGGCAAGAATTTAGACACTGGTAAGGCATTTGTTGTTTTTTTAAAGACATCAATGTGTTTGTCATGTCAATGATGGATTGATTGAGCTTTGATTGCTGAAGATCAAGTGTTTTGATGTCTGTAGTAGAATACTGTTTGAGTGTTAATTCTATTCGTGACAAGAGATGTCTATGCTGCTGGTAACGATGACTTTGATATTGAGCAACCTTGTTCAAGATGATCGACATGATTCTCTACAGAAAACACATCAGACTTGAGTGGCTCAAATAACAAGGTTTTACTTTGGTTATCAGTGTTACTGCAGTCAGTACACTAAATACACTCAAGCCAATCAACAATGCAGCTTTCATCAATTGTATGGTTGTCAAACGTGGTATTGGCTCGAGAGGATAATACACAGTTTGTCGATACAGTCTCGGTGGTAGTTTTGGTTCATCCTCCTGTAGCGTAAGAAAAAGTGGTATGTCCACTACTTACCATTTGAGGAACAACAGCAGGATCCACACGTCGAAAGGCTTCTTGTATTTCATCATCGTTCAAGCCTTTTGACTTTAAGAATGCTATTTTCTTTTTTTTATTAGCTGTTCGAGTCTCGGTATGCAATAAGAAGGACTCTGCTGATTGTATAAGGTCTTCTCTCATACTTAGAAATAAAAAGAAAAGAAAAAAAGTGATTTAATGAGTGACTGAGTTCAACCATGCCTTTTCATAGACATAGTTTAAAACAAAGAAAAGTAGTTGGTGCTTGTGTTGCATACCTTAGTGATACTAAGTTATTTTTATGCCTTCTGCAAGTACAAAACATGCTTGCATAAACACAAAGAATACTACAGAAGCCTTCCTTGATCTGGGTTCAAACCAGTGACTGCGTACGGTGTAATGAACTTAAAGACGCATACTTCTTTTCTCCTCTTTTTCTTACTTTTTTTTTTTTTTTTTTTTTTTTAAAAGACGTGCACTATGTATAACAACAATAACCGAGGATCAAGAGGAGGAAGAGGTCGTGGACGTGGTGGCCACCGAGGAGGTTATAATAACCACCAAGATCAAGACTATAACGACGCGAATAATAATCCAGGCAATGTCACTATTACTGCTCGACTTGGACCTATGGGCGGTAGAGCCTTTTCCTCTAACAATTACAATGGAGGCAGTGGAAGTGGAAGAAACAATCGTTCTCGAGGAAACACAGAACAGTTTAACAGCGCGTTTTCTAGTGAAGATACAGCCATGAGTGTGTAAGTGTCTGCATTCGATTAGGCTTCATTTTACCCCTTGTTTTTTCTTTTTCGATAGGGAGCAAGAAGGTGGAAATGTTGTAACAGTAAGTGGATGGTTTGTTATCATACACGACTATAACACAATTAGGTGAGTGGATATCCAGCTGGTGCAGAAGAAAAAGTCGTTGGCTTTTTAAAGCGTAAAGCAAAAGGAGATTGGGAAGCCCTTAATGTAAGTATGACACTGATTAATTATTGTTATTCATTCTATTGGTAGATCCAATATGAACACAATGCAATGCATATTACTGTCATGAATCAAAATATGGTTGATACTCTTTGTCGAATGAACAATTATGAATTTGGAAAGGCTACTATACACATTAAACCACAAAACGGTAGCGAGAGACAATATAATCACAGCAATAACATGAATAGAGGAAATACAAATAACAACAATAATAGAAGTAGACCTTCTTCTTCTGGATCAGCTTTCTTGGCTGATTTCTTGACAAAACGATGGAATGCTCAAGCAGGTTTCTTGGATATGGATGAATTACCAGACACTTCACATAATATTGCAGTTGTGATTTCTAAATTACTGATTGAAGCAAAGAATTTATTTGGTGATACTGTAAGTAGTATACAACCAAAGAAGATGTTTAACTCTTTTCTCTTCATAGCTTGTTACTATTTCCTTTGCTCGCAATAAGCTTTGGTCTGTTGCACCATTAACTAAATTAGCAGAACAATTCCCGAATATTCAAAACTTGTCTATTGCCGACAATGATATTGCAGATTTCCGCAAATTAGATCCTTTAGCCAACAAGCTTCCTCGTTTACAAGAACTCGTATTATCCGGCAATCCCATTCAAACCAACCAACGATACAAGCAAGAAGTCCTGAATCGATTCCCCACAATCACATTTCTCGATATGCAGCCTATCAACGAAGGCACTCAACTAGGCACCAATATCTCTTCTGAATTACCAGTACCAGTACAACCTTACTTTTTCGATCAAGACAGTTCTCGCCAATCTGCACAAGAATTTCTCTCTATCTATTTTCCATCGTTTGATTCCAACCGTGCTGCTCTTGTCGATCTATATGACGCTCAAGCCGTGTTTTCTTCTGTTTTCAGTAAAGGAAATATTCAACAAACCAATGCTTGGGGAAGTAGTCAAGGTAATATAAACGGTTTAATGAACACACCATTGATTTTGCATCATAGTTCCATTGGGCCAAAGAATGATGATGGGTAATCAAAACATCGTCCATCGTATCAGTCAATTACCACACACTGCGCATGATTTGTCAAGACCAGATAAATTTGTGATAGATGCATGGCAAACAAGTTATTCAGAAACACATCCTGTAGTATTGTTCTTGACTGTGCATGGTGAATTGGCTGAGTTGCCTTTAGGTACACCTTTAAAGTTTAGTCGTACTTTCTTATTGGTGCCTTCAAGCCCTGGATCAAGGTAAAGATATCTTATGTTGGTTTACACTCATGTACTTTATATAGTGCTCATTCAGCTGGATATCATTTTGTGATCTTGTCAGACTCGCTCATGATTCGAAAATAAGTTGCAAATAAACAGTCTCAAAGGAAAAAAGTTACTCTTTTTCTTTTTCTTTGATAAAAAGTAAAATTATGGAAGGACTTGAAATAAACGCAATACCACCTAAACTATTAGCTCGTATCTTATTACAACTTCCTACTCTTCCACCGCGTAAAGAAAATATTGGCTTGTTATCTATTATGACAGCTGGTCTGCAACAATATGGACATACAGGCGACCTAAACGCGTTCTTGGAGTATTGCAAAACACTTGTACCTGACCAAGATACAGTATGGCCTTGGGAGCAATACACTATCACAAAAGAATATGACTGGAATAAAGCAAATGACAAAAAAACGCAACAAGTAGTAGGCTTGCGTTTTCTTATTCGTTCCGAAACAGTAAAGTAAATCAATAAGTTCTTGCCGTGTTCAATACCTGAGGTTTATCTAACCTGTCTGTAGGAGAGAAAAAGAGTGGCACTGACACGATGGTCTAAAAATTCTTTTTATGACCCTAAATCCATCACATTCTATCAAGGCAGAGCTATTCCTATAGATCAATTGCTGACGGATACTTTGAATTACCTTTCACAAGAAAACCAAATGAATGGATTGGTTGAGAGCATGATTGAGTTAAGATTAGAACAATACGCTCGAGATAAATTTACGTTTCAGCAACAATCAAATCAACTAGACCATGCTGATTATTATCTTATGGGTGTCTTGATGGTTCGATATGATAGTACAGCAAATAAAGGGTACTCTTCAAATGCTTGGAGTCTTTATTTAAGAGATTATATAGAAGATCCTGAGGGATCTATTTGGCGTATCTTTTGTGACGAACAAGATCAAAAGGTAATCATAGACATTTAACATGGCATTGATGTCTATGTTAGGTCTCTTCAGATCAAGCATTGGCCGATATTCGTGGAATGACAACTCATCACACAGAACCTACACAATTCTCAAAAGATTATAGACCTGTTTATGTATTTTATGCCAATCTAGATTTACTACAAAATCAACAAACACAGCCTGAAGGACATGTTATTACTTTGGAAGATTATACTTTTGATGAAGAAGATGAGGATTCAAGAATACAAGAAGAAGAAGAAGAAGAAGATGTACCATGCATGCACTGTGGTATTAAAGAAATTGTAAATGATATTAACGATATGTTCTTTTGTGAATTATGTAATCAAGGTGTTCATCAATTATGTGAAGAGCCACCAATACAAGCATTTGAAAAGAATGTGGATCCTTGGTATTGCCGAACATGTTGTAGAGCACAAGGATTGCCCATTCCAACAGAACAAGAATTTTCAAGTGCTAAAAGAAAAAGACAAGATGAACCGTCTTCAACAGAACAAGAGAAAGTAATAAAAAAGACAGAATAGTGCATTTATTCTTTTTTTGTTTGTTTTTGTAAGACAGACATGACGGGTGATGGTAACATACTAGTATTGGTAGGAAGTGTTGTGTTGGGTATGGCAGGTACTGGTGCATTCATTGTTCTATGGTTAACATAGGCATTGTTCATAGAAGAAACACCAGAATAGATAGGCATATTGAAAAATCCTCTTTGAGATGTAGCCAATTTGCTTTTCTTGACTGCACTTTGTAATTCGATTTGAACACACACTTCTCGTAAACCATGGACATGACTTCTGATCAATTCAGTAATCCTTTGTCGCATTAGCTGAGTATCCATACCGTCTTTGACTTGAACATGTAGTGATCCAATGACATTCTCTGCTTCATAAGGCCAAAATCGAACATGGCTGATGCTATAAACACCTTCCATTGCTTTAACTTCCTCCATCGTGCCTTCTACTGCTGCCACTGTATCGTCACTTAATTCCAACATCAAGACAGCTGAAGATTGTCGAATTAAAGGTATCACAGACAATATAATCAATGTAGCAATAAACAAAGAGGCAATAGGGTCAAATCCTGTCCAACCAAACCATTGGATCAAGAGAGTGGATACAATCACACCAACTGAGCCTAGTGTGTCTGCCATGATATGAAGGAATACACCTAGCATAGAGATTAGAACATACACTGTCTTTTGATGTTTCTACCTTGCATATTGGCACTATGTCCATGATGATGGTGGTCGTGTCCGTGATCATGGCCATGACCATGGTGATGCCCATGATTAAAAGCAAAGATACCAACCAAATTTACTACTAGGCCAACAAAACTAATGAAAAGCAAACGATGTGTGTTCATTTGGGGTGGATCAATCAGACGTTGGACTGCTTCTGCAATGATAGAGAGAGAAATCAACACAAGAAACACACCATTGAAATAAGCTGCTACAGTTTCAATGCGGTTATATCTATCATAAGAAGAGAATAAATGTCAATTGTAAATAAATATGTGTCTTACCCATAGGAATACTCTGAATTAGAAGGCCATTTACTCATAACAGAGGCAAATAAACCAACGCCTAGTGCTAGACAGTCAAAGAACATGTGGATAGCTTAAGCAGAAACATTAGATAGATTAAAATACGCGTTGTTGATAGCTACCATCAGAAATAAGACCAAGGGAGTTTGTCCATACACCATAGGCTAACTGGACAAACATATAAGACAAGTTGAGCAATAGAAAATAAAATATCTGCTTCGAGTCATTATCGCTCAAGATGATCTCTAAGGACTGTTTGATGGTTCTTAATGTGCTTGATGAGTTATAGGCAACTGAAGGCTTATAGTGTGTATCTATAGTATGCGTCGGTAAGTCTAGAGGTGATGTGTTGAACATGATGACATTCAAAAAAAAACAAAAAAAAGGGGGGGGGGAGAGAGGACATACATGCAGTGCCAATTAGCAATTGGTAATAATTCAAAGGGCGTCTCTGCCAACTGGTTTGCAACACCAAATAAGTATTGAAGTTAACGCTGCTAAGAACATTAGGCATTCTTCATGATTGAACACAGATCCATATGTGAGCAAAATAGAATCCTTTTTTACTAGAATGGTAAGAGCATTGCTCATAACATGGTGCGCTTTATTCAAGGATAGATATCTTTAAGCTTATTGCGAGCACAAAGAAACATAGATTCATTGCTATTAATAGACTCTCTCAATATCAATCTGCTGATGAATGAGAATATCACTTAATTTGTCTATTGGATCTATACATGCATTCAGAGCTTTAGAAATACTTAAAAAACCAACGCAATACGTTTTTGTTGTTTCTTGTATCCATTTCGAAGAGATAAAAAAGTTTTTCTCTTGTTATGCTGGTGAGTTTCTTTAAAGATCTGATTTTGAAACTTGTTATAAATCATTCGACGGTCGTTTGCAATTTGATTCTGTCGAGAAATGCAGCGCAATAAACACGATAGATAGCAGATATGCAACAAAACTCATAATGGTGCATCGTACGTTCCGTTCTTACTTTTTCAAAGAATAATAATTAGAAGGGCATGTGTGCTTTTAGGTGATTCAAACCAAGAGCTATTGGTACAAGCGCATAGTGCTATAAGATGGCTATCTTAAGATTCACATTGAATAGTTGAAAACAAGCCATGAGCTGCTCGTATATGAATTGAAAGATAAAGGACTGCAACACTTGTTATAATGCAGTAACCACATGTCAATTGTAAAGAAAGGTCCGTCAAAACGACCAATTGATAGGATGGTAGTACATAGTGCTTATCATTTGAAAGCTTGAAGCTTTGAAATCACAACGGTGTAGCTAGAATTGAAACAAGAAAAGATGTTTTTTTTTTTTCATGAAGTATGTATATGATAAATTGATTCTTTTCGGGTAGAGATGCGATTCATCTGATCGAATCATGCAAAATAAAGACATCTTCTCTATCAGAAAGGTGCGCAAATCCTTTTGATACATTATTTTAACCAATGGCGAGGTTGAAATCATCAAAAAGCAGACGAATACACAAAATGGAATGGTCACGCAAAGGTAGCACGGATTCTGTTTACACAGGCATTAGTATTCCAAATACCTATAAACTATGTTTAATGACATATGAGGTACCTTTGGAGTTGCTTTGGACCAAAAAAAGTGACCTGGCTAGAATGGCCAGAATATGCCTTTCGACCAAAGGGTACTAGTCATGAAAATTGCTCATTTGACAACTTTTAATTTTCCTTTTCTCCTTTGGCCTTGAGAAATATTGCAGAAGTGAAATGGAAATTCTTTTGGTCTCTGTCTCTTACCTCCATTCAACGTAATGTGACATACCGGTATATCCTGGGGTGTGTTCCTCATCGTCAATTATTGCATTTTATTATGCCTCGTGTGTTTGACACTCTCTTTTGTCCGGTGTGCCTAACTATCACTGACTCTATTAGCCATATGCTCTTTCATTATCCAACTAAAGAGAAGGTATGGCAGGAAATCATCTTTGAGTTTCTTTGGCCTACCATCTCAATATCTGATATCAAAGAGGCTCTTCTGTCCCTGGACTTCTCGTACATCTGGTACTGCCAATGGAAAGGAATCAAACCATACAGAATCCTCATAATTACTCTTTCGCAAATCTGGCTTGCTCATATGAGATTTATCTTTGACAAGACCCCCATTGTACCCACGGCCATATTAACAAGCATCCGATTCAATGTTCGTCAGACCATTGAAGAGAATCAATGCCATTCAATCATATAACTTTTTTTTTCTTTCTATATATTTTATTTTGTTTTAGTTTATTTTGTTTAGTATATTTCGTTTTATTTTATTAACTTTCATTTTAATTGCACCCGCCTCTTCACTTTGACTATTACTCTTAGTGTACGCGGCTCAATCAATAAACACATTTAAAAAAAAATCCTTTTGACGCTACAAGACAAAAAATAAAGCTATTGAAAAGCTTAAATTCTCAAAATGTGTGCAAAAAAATATAATTTTTGTTCTATATGTTTACTTGCCAATTATACTAAAAAACTGGCATGCTATGAGCGAAAAACCTCATAAACATTTTTGCCTGTTTGCTCAATATTTTAGGTTTAAACTTGCTGTACTATTTGGATCAGTAGACCCAGAAGGCAAGTATCTAAGACTTTTTTTTTATTGCACCAAAGTCAAAAAACTGCGTCTTTATATAGTTCTCGACAAAGGCTCCATTTTGATGTGCGGCAAGAAGAATTAGAGTTGCCTTCCGTTTTCAATCTCCAACACCAGCCATCTTGTATCCTTTGTTCATTTCCTCTCCCCATATTTGCTTCATAAGGTGCTTATATTTCTATCTTTTTATGTTTTTTGGAGCTCAAAGTAGTACATGATATCTTCTGTTGCTCTATTACTAGCAGGTTTTATATGACATCTAGAGCAAAAATGCTCGAAACACAGCTTAAATACACCAATCTTTGATGGACCACTACTCAACAACCAGAATACTAAAATAACCTTTTTTCGTTTAAAACATGTTTTTTTCAAGTCAACGAATCGAATGGTACCATTGGTTTGGTAGTTTTATAAAATTTGTTCTTTTTTGACCTATGGGGATCCACGGAGGTCCGTGAAGATGGAAAAAAAAATTGACCAGGATTTTTGGAATGACCCAATGTAGGTCTGATCCAACCGAAATGAGGCAATGTCATGTCTAGGTATTTCTTGGGAAAATAAAACGAGTTTACTAAGACGAAAAAGGCGACTTTATTTGAGCATTGCCTTCAAATCTGCATTCAAGGTTCCTTGCACACTGTAATTGGTAGAAAAGAGGCCCTTTTCAGTAGATATCGGCTAGTAAGTATGCACTTATCTCTACATCGTTTAATTTGAAAGATATCTACAAGCAACTCCTACTAATATATGACACTCTTGAGGTCAAAAAGAGCAGTTTTGGATGACAAATGATGAATGTTATGCAAAAAGGTGAGTTCGGTATTTCAGACCTCGATTTTCTTCTTATTTTGCATATCAAGTGTACTCTGCTTTGATGAGTATCACCTTTTCTCTTTTTCAATAGTTACAGGCCACAATCATGTTTTGCTCGATTTGAAAAAAGGGAGAAGGATAAAAAAATAAAAAGATTACCAGCCAGACAGCAAGTATATGAAAGCAAAATGTGATATCACAACGTGTTGAAGACAAGATCGCTTAATTTGGCAAATGAATTGTACTCTTAACAACTCATAATAAAGACGAGAAACAGCAAGTGATATACGTCTAATCATGCAGTTATTGTCTTATTGATAAAATGTCTTGAAGCAGCTAAAAAATCTTACATATCAACCTGTCAATCACACTGAGCTGATCCGATATTGACTGACTCATATAATTTAGATCCTTTTACCGTAGTAATCAGGAATTATCTGGATTAATTTTTACTATTCAAGATTTCTGTATGGAATAGAGACCTCTACAGATTATGCTGTGCCCTGATACAAGCAATTGTCTATAAATATGAAACTATTTCTGACTTAATAAACCGCATTCTTTATTTGATTTTAATTTGATCGCTCTTATTTTTACATAGATAAACTAGCAAAGAATAGCAAGAAATAGCATGCATGAACACGGATGAGCAGAATAATAGAAAAATGTGTGTATTTTGGGTTTTCGAAATTAATTTACTCCTTAGCTTAATGGACTTGTAGAAAAAAAAAGTCAGTTTTTTAACCCCCTTTTTTGACAATATATACAAACTCTATGTTAATGTTTTGACAACATTTTTGATTTTTTTCATTTTTTATCACATTTTTATTTTTTTTTATTTAATGTAATTCTTCGGCACTTCAGCATAAGCAGTGAAAATTTTCTTCGATTGATTGCAGAAATGGAAATTTTTGGCTAAACCTTTACTCAAATATGGAAGAAAAATACAATCGCGTACGCTGTATTTTTTTAAAGCTAAAAATAGTTGTTTTCCAGAAATGTTTCTCTGTTGGCACAAATAGCATACTTGCGCATTGGTATTGGTTTTGTCAAATCCATACTCAAAGTTTGTTAATCAATTCTATAGAAGACATCCTTCTGAACCCGTGGTCTAACGTGAACTTTGATTACTTGGACTCAAGCAATTCATAAGAATGACTATGCTAGGCTAAAAGTACCTTAATAGAACAAGGACAAAAAAGGACTAGAGAAGAGAGCGTCAATCTAATGGTGTATCTGGGTGTGGTTTTATAACCAGAGAAGAAATGGAAACATTTGGTTGGGTTTTGGAAGAAGTAGATTGTCTGTGGTAGCATGTCGCATAGAGGTGATTTGGGATAAAAGCAAATGTATAGAGAACCGTTTGGTATTCTAATGAATTACAGAGCAATAAGTCTTGAGTGCGCTTGTGAGGAAACAGTTTACGACTCTCTGAAAGACAAAGAGCTTAACCAAGGACGCTTTTGCATTCTCCAAAGCCATCTTGAGCAGTGTCTAAAGAAAATTTTTGGCTTTGAAGAAGCTCCTTAATGCATGTTTTGAGAGTTTTACCAGAATTAATAGTTAGACTAATTAGATAGTAATTGATTGGATCAGTAGGGTTGCCTTTCTCATCAACTGGAACTACTTGTGCGTGCGACTCCTCAACAGTGAGGTATGTATAGTTAACGTCAACACAGATCAAAAACATAGATGCCAGGAACTTTTTTTTTAAAGATTTTTATTATTGCTTCGCGTAAAGTTACCCTAATGGCACTCAAGAGGCGGGCGCAATTCATACTGAATTATATTATAAAATTATGCTGAAAGCAAACTAAGCAGAATAAAGTAAAAGATATGCCACTGTTATTAGTGTAAAAAAAAAAAAAATACGAGAAGAATTACAGTCTTGTGTGTACTTGCTTTTCATCTGCAAGCAGTTGTAAAGCAGTACGTGTTTGTTGTAGAGTGGAGTAGGTATCAAAAGCTACGTTGTCCATGACAAATCTCCAGTGTGCTTTCCAAACTTGTGGTACGGCTGTAATGATAATGTCAACAACGGTTAAATTTTTTTTTTTGTGAGTAATCTATTCTAGTGAAGTTTAGTGTAACCAGTGCTTGAATAACATCTTCGACAGTGGTTGTAGGCCAAAGAAATTCGAAGATGAGATTGTTCCAAAAAAACCTCTTTGGTGGGCAATAGAACAGGAGGTGTTGTTCACTTTCCAGATGAATTGAGCAAATGGTACAAAGAGGTGAGGGGAACTTCTCAGGAAGTATATAATGAAGAAGTTGTCTTGTGGGTAGTTTGGAAACCAGGAATCGGTATATCATATTACGAGCAACTGGCAGCAGAGACCAGCTCCAGAAATCCGTCCAAAAGTTACTAGAGATAGCTCGTAGGCGCTCTGGAGCAGATGTAGCACTCTGTGTGATGATCTGACATTAAATAAGTCTTCATTTACATACTAAAATACATCATAATCAATTTACATCAGAAATAGACATAAAAGAACCTCTTGTACTGAATAAGACAATGGATCTTTTAATAGATCAAGACTTATAACCGAAATCCCTAATTTACATTATTTAATTAATTTAAAGTAGTCTATGATAATAGAGACTCAGTCATTTGCATGAACTCTACTACTACTTACTCCGACATCTCTTCATGTATAAATATGCTAGAATAATTTATAATCAAAAAGAACAAAAAAATTGTATAGAACAGTCTCAAAGTATCTACCTTTGTCTCTATATCATCTTATTATATAACTCTATTATCAAAACATCACACTCTGGCAAGTTAACCGAAACTTCTTTGTCGATACCCGGGTGATTGATCCAGTCAGGGTCACAAATTGTAAAGAGTTGACAAATGGAACAAAAGATAAAGGTGGTGAGGACGGTAAAGTAGGCAATACCTCTACAGTAGGAGGTTGGCAGTGTTTGAAAAAGAAAGGAAAGAATTGATACTTGTTACTTTCTAGCCCTCGGGTGATCTGAAAGTAGAATTTTTGGAGCTCTTGCGGAATATGATCCGGATGCTTCCAATGGATTAGCTTAAGATCGTGGTTGAAAAGCATAAATGCTTGAACTGGGATAAATTGAATCCTTTTCGGCAATGACGGAAGTCGTGGTCTTAAAGATTGTAAGACAACCTTCATCGGCAAACTAAGACATGCTTGGTGAGCTAGTGTCATCTGGTCAAAATCTCGAGGCAAGCGATCTATTGAGGCATAAAATAGATCAATTGTTGAAATACGTTTACCGCACCCAAAGTGAGAGGTTCTATTGTGTCTAGCCAAAGGAAAGAGCAAAGGAATAGCTACCTCATAATATCCGAAGATATTTTGGATGTGTCTTGTGAGTATACGATGCCAGTGTGCGTTGATAGAGCGATTCAACAGAGGAAAGACCCAGCGACTATAAAGCGCGTCTCTTTGCAATAACGGATCAAGGACCCCTACACCACCATCTTCTTTCGGTAGAGTCCAAGTTGGCCAAGCAATTTTCGGAAAGATTTTGGAGTTTAGGAACTGCTGTGCTAAAGACCGGATTCGAGAAATCTCAGTCTTCGTGAACGGCGTTACCCGAAGAAGATACCAACATTTGGATAATATCAAGGTGTTAACTACCGTGGCCCGGCCTAGTACTGACAAGGAACGGGTAGAATGTATCAAGCAGGCAGATTTCATCTTTGCCAAAAAGGTTTCAAAATAATTTTGTCTTTGTGCAACTGACTGGATTAATGGAAAACCTAAGTACACAATAGGTTGTGCATCCATGGAAGACTGAATGCGCTGTATCTGTAGTGGTAGCAGATACCTATGCCAAAATAGCCAGGGGTTTGTACCAGATAAAGATAGAGCTTCAATCTTGTTAAAGTTGATTTTTGCATTTGATGCGCTACAATAGGTTGATATATGTCTTTGCAGTATTGCAAGATCATTCGGATCATGTATAAATACTAAAGCATCATCTGCGTAGCAAAGAATTTTAGTTTCTATAGGAGCAGAGGAGGAAGAGTCAGGCCTTGGTGTTTGTTGTAGAAACTGATATCCTTTGAACCCCCCCATCTTGTATAATCGAGCGTAGAAATAGATCAAATGTCAAGTTATACAAAACTGGTGATAGTGGATTGCCTTGTTTTAATCCTCTTCGTTTCTTGATTTCTTTGGTAAAGAACCCATTAACATTGATTTTGATCTTGTTTTTTGAGAGCAATTTGTGTATTGTATCGGCAATCAATTCCGGGAACCCGTAGCCTATCAGCACTCTCTTAAGATATGTGAGGTGTACCCGATTGTATGCTTTCTCTTGATCAAGTAAAAGCGCTAAATCATGGTCACTACTTCTGCCGTTAGTCGTATCTTGCTGTACTCTGGCTTGTGCGTCTTCCATAGTGATTTGGACTATCAATCCATTTTCTGCAATAAATCGCCCTGGTATGAAACCCAATTGAAATTGAGTAATCAATTGTGGAGCAATCATCATTATACGGCGGTTTAGTATCCTTGTAAAGATTTTATAGTCCGTGTTAGCCAGTGTGATTGGTCTATAGTTCTTCATGTCGGATAGATTGCCTTTCTTAGGTAGTAACACTATCAATGATTCATTCCATGACATTGGAAGACTACCAGCTAAACTATCATTATATACATCCGTAATCAATGTGTGAAGACTAGGATGTTTCATGATAAGATTCAAAATTTCACATCGAAGACCATCGGTGCCAGGGCTACTTTGTCTTGGAGTCCGCTTGGATTCTTCAAATATTTCATTCATAGAAATACTCAGCATCATGGTGTCTCTTTGACTATCATTCAATTTCACATTGTCAGGAATTTTAGCAATCAATCTGTTCATAGCATGGTAATTGGGAAGGTCCGGAGTATATAAGTTAGAATAGAATTGTTGTACTATTTTCTCTTTAGCCTCTTAATCCCCACAAAGTTCACCACTGACAGGATCTCGTAGATCGCCTACTGATTTTTGATGTGTTCGTACTTTGATCAACCTGTTTAGAAAGCCTGGAGACTTCTCGCCTTTTTCTCGCCAACGCTTTCCCGCTCTCAGAGCGTCTATTTCAGCAGCTTCCTCTTGCAAAGCTCCCAATTGTTTCTCTACTATGGGTAGTGTCCAATCCACTATACCACGATGTTTCTGATGCCGAAGGATTTTGTTACGTTTACGTTGTAACTGTTTAATCTGTCTGTTTCTCCAATTGACTGTCTCCAATTGAAATGATTTGGTAAACAGTTTGACTTCAGCTTTAATCCAGTCCCAATTTCTCTGAGCAGTGTAATGTTTTCCCTGATTCTGGAGTTGCAGAACTAGTGTATCCAAGAAAGCAGCTAATTGTTGTCTAAACTCTTTCTTTTTCGCTAAGTTTGGATTTGACTTCCATGCACCTGGGCCTCTAGTGCTTTCTTTGTTCAAGTTAAAGTTAACAACTAGCAGAGAATGATCTGTCCAAGAACGAGAAATAAACGTCTGTTCAACGCTCTCTATATTCGTCTGCAATCTATTACAGCAATATACGTAATCAATGATAGAAGACGCATTTGAACCTTGCCATGTTATCTGTTTATCATTGCAAAAGCAATCATAAAACGAAGTTTGCAGCAAATCTATCCATTCTGCCGGTGGACCATAGACAGATCCATCCAAAGTTCGTTTTTCCATATTGTAGTTTGTTGTGAGATGAAGAGAGAGTAGATATTCAATAAGAGAAAAGGTAAGAACACAGAGAAAGTCCGTTAGAACTTGTATAGGTTTTTATTTCCCAAAGAAATGTTATCTTTCAATTGCTATAAAATGTCGAGGTATTTATATTTTTTCTTCTCGGTCAAAATATTGTTTTGGGTTAGCTTCTTGACTACGGATTGGTTTGTTAGATCAGGAGCAATTAAGAGAAATGCCTTTAGAGGAAGTTGTCAGCTCAGCCAATAGTACATGATCTGACCTGAACTTGAATAAACTATTACATATTTGTCAAATGCCAATGCTAATGTATTTATCAGCTCTAACTGTCACTTTATGAGGGCCATTGATAATAACAGAGTCACTAGGTTCATAATATCTGACTATGAGGATGATGTAGTACTTCTAGTAGAATGAGTGAATGTCAGTGACTATAGATCCATTGCAATTGCCATAGATGTGATCTGGTCTTTTGCCATGATCATCATTTATTGATCTACGCATACGAATTCATATATGTTCACAACATCCGCAATGAGGGCGGCGGTTTGTTGTCTAGTAGCCTTGGAAGGTCTACCAGTGGTTGGCAGTTTGCTGTAAGGTTCAACACGCTTCGCACGTGGGGTGGTCTTCTTGATAGTAGGAGTATTCATAACGAAGTTATATTCGTGGTCTAATGAATTTGATCGAAGTCGTTTCCTTGGGGGAGGTAGAGTTGGACTGAGTGAAATAGTTACAGGTGCGTCAGATGTTACGTCTACGAGTGGTGGCAAAACTGAAGGCGATGTCGGTTGTAGTGGTACAGAAGAAGGTTCTACTGGAGGTCTGTCGACTATGTCGTTTATGTTGAAGTTGCTGTTGTTGTTGTCGTTGTTGTGTTTTGTTAATTGAAGGTGCTGTTTCGGGCTTAGGTACCCTAAACAGAAAATTCGAAAAAAGGTGGAGCTTTCAAAATTACTACTAATAACGATATGACAAAGAGCTTGGCCAAGAGCACTTTTGCATTTTCTAAAG